ACGAGCGCTGGATGGGTACGAGAAGGCGCTTGGGCTCGAGCACCCGTACACGCTCACCAGCGTCGGTCAGCTTGGGTCGGTGCTATGGAGCCAAGGGCGGTTGATGGATGCTGAGATCCTGGAAACACGGGCCTTGGAAGCAAGGAAGAGGACGCTTGGAGACGACCATCCAGACACGCTGATGGCAATGGCCAACCTCGCGTTCACACTCAGGTCGCAAGGTCGCCTCCAGGGGGCTTTGTCGCTGATGGAGGCATGCGTTCAAGTGCGGACACGAGTTCTTGGACTTGGCCATCCTGACACCAAGTCTTCTACATCGACGCTGAACTGGTGGCTTTCAGAGAGCCGAGACCTGGGAGCGTGAAGCTGGCTGCGTAGAGTGTTGGCTGTCGACTTATGTACGACAACAGTAATAATCACATTGCATACAAGCTTTGCAAAGCTGCATGCAGATAGTGGTATAGTACTACTGGTAGTTAGGATATACACACAGCGACTAACATATACGGGGAGCAGCTAGCCTGTACACAGCATGCAACCTCAGCTCATGTACACCTATATCACGAACAGCAATGTACCTACAAAAGCGTTAGGCTGCTTTCAGGTTAGCGCACATACTGTTTGTCTAGGTCACGCACGGGAGTTGTTCAGCACAAATTGCAATCACGGCAGACAATGCAAGTGGACTATCTAATCAAAGACATAATTTATTAAATTAGGTAAGGTGTAAGAAGCTGTGTTTTAGTCGAGGTGACTGGCTCAGCACCACGTAAGCGTACTGACGCTGCTCGCTTGGACACGCGCTACTTGGCGCATGCCCTCTCACGCAACCTCGCATGTAGGTAGCACACGACTGCAAGTCGTAGAGGCTGGGATGAAGATAGATCTTTCGTAGCTTTGTTTTCTGAGCTCTTAATAAACAGCAAGAGTAGAGGTAGCTCTGTCGCAATCAGGGTGCAAAGCTAGCGCGATGCCGGGCGCGGTGCACGTAACAATCAACAGGACGACCACAACCGCAGTAATTCTCTAGCTTCGAGGTGGTAGCCTGCAAAGGAACGGCTAAAAAAACAAGCTGACACAGATAACGGATGTTTTGCCCCAAGGTTGAGGGCTTTGGGTTGGGTAATTATCCACGTCATGAACGTATAAAGTGCAAGGAGTGCGGTCTCAACAGGCTGTCCGGGTGATGCAGGACACATACTTCACAACCTAACCGATTCGCGTCCACTCACGCCCCTTATCGATGTCGCTAACCCTACTGCCTACGTTTGACTGCAAACCTGATCCGACTCTACACTTGGAGACCCATGCACAGAGACCTGGCTGAGAAGCTGTTTCTCGTACATCATCGGAAGTTCAACCATGCCAGGAAGGTGCTTCTCGAACGTTTATCTCCTCAATTCGTTCTCTGACAGACCATGCTTTCTCTCGTTTAAAGTAGTCTATTTCCCGGTGAATGAGCATCATGTCTACTGCAACGACAACCAGATCTGCGATACGGTCAGTTGAATGAACTTCAAGAGTCTAGGCAATAGCTGCATACCAGTGTAATATAAGCTTGAAGGGGCCTCGTACACGACCTGGTTGGGTCACCATGGTGGTGGCCTCTCAGAGCAAGACTTGAATTGTTTACCGGAGACAATGAGGTTGGCTTGGTTCATCCAATACATGATAATTTAGGCTAACTCCTTCTTGAAGATAAGTGTAGCCATCCTTGGAGCAAGACGTAGAAATTTTCCATGTTGCCGTATGGACCATTTTCTGCCGCCCTCTCCATTGCGCCGACAACGTGCCCCAAGGCACCAAAAGCTATCCCAGATGGGCTGTCCGCGACTTGTATATCTTTATGGTCCCCCGTCGCATCGGCTGTTGTTTCGCCTCCAGACCGCGGGACTTCGTCAATGTAGGGAGATCCAGTATCAGGATTTTGACAGCCTTTCCCATAATCCAACTGTCTGTCGCGGACGTTAGGTGAGATATGGCCTCCCTTATCGGCGTGGTGGTGGATTGCCTGCGTCTCTGACGGCCACGACCTATCACTGAGAAGCGAGGAGCAACCACTGAGCAGCTCATATTGAGCATCCCCCCGACGCCTTAGCTTTCGACAGAATCCACTCGAAACTTCGTTCATCTCATCTTGGCAATCTTCAGCCGGACGCTTCATGCCGGTGCACCAACTTGCACTCTCATCCAACCTTGTAGACATGGGTGGACAGGAGCTTCGCCCGTACGCATCATGTGAGGGAATGAAGCTGCCACGTCATCAGATGGGCAGCGGAAGGTATGACCAGGCTTGTGACCGCTAGCAGCAGAAACATGCTGATCATCTGGGCGAACGACACGTTGCAGTACTGTGCGATATGGCTCATCCCTCCAAGAAAGAAACTTAGCCCGACGTGAGCAACAAGTTCGAAAGGAATGTGCCAAGCAGGGACAGCTTCAGCACATCGACTTGACGGGATTGTAGAAGCAGGATCGAAAGGATGAGTTGGACGGCATTGCTAGTCTGTGTTAGGTTTTGTCATGTGTGTGTACCCACCCAAGTGTCATGTTCAATAATGCGCCAAAGTTGTCCCCCACTCAAATGCTCAGTTCATTGACTGCAGTCGACAGTATTGCGGCGGATGGAACGGTGGCGGCAAAGTTGACACAAAAGACAGCGACCTCGTTGGCATGGGCGTAGCGTAGAGCAAAACCAGCAGGAACGCATAATACGAGCAACATGATTGCAACCGCAGGCCAGCTGGAGAAGAAGACGAATTTGATCTGGGATCCTACGGGAATCGAACATCTGAGAGCTTTTCGTTTAGGTTCCTCCAGCGTGATATCTTCAGACTCCTGGTTTGCAAGCGTTTCGTCATATTCTTGGTCGTGTCCTTTCTGATACAGCTTCTTGAACTTGCCTCACTTCTCCACAACACACTGTATAAGTCCGGGCTGTGATTTTGGATCGGTGAATGCAGGCTGTAATCCTATCGGGTTAAAGGGTTATAACGCATATCATCAGGTTGCATCGCCGCTCGATGCGCCTGCCTGCGAACTGCGTCTGTAACCATCAGCAACCTTCTGTCCGAACAATGACGTACTTACGCATATTTGATACTCGATACTCAATCTCGGGAGTGATAACTTTTGGTCGCCAGCAAGGTGCGAAACGATTGAAGAGGGGTAGCTGATCCAGCCACAGCGCTTAGAGCTGATCCCTGTGTTGTTTCCGATCAACTGTCAGTGTAAACGGAGGTCGCTCTTCCAGCTGTGTACAATACGTGATGGGTAAGAATGTAATTCTGTGGCTCCAAAATCCACGGTGTTCAGTAGCCATCCGATGCAACGCTTTTGAAGTGACTTACAAGCTAGTCATACATGCCGCTAAAATTGCTGCAACCCGCCTGGTCATACCGTTCGCCAAACAATGCTTCATAACCTCATTCGCTCACTTTTTGCCCTTTCCCTTTGTCTTGCTCCTCGTCGACTTGCTAGGCGGAGTATCATCAACATCAACCATCTCCTGAACTACAGGCTCGCCATCATCTTCACCTTCATCACCAACATCCTCCTCTTCTGCATCACGCACCATCTCCTTAGCCTTCACCTTGCGCGCAGCATCCCAACTCTGAACCAGATTTGCGACCTCCTCGTGCGGCGTCTCCTTGCCGTTCCAAGCATTACACCCACCACATCTCCATTTGCCGATGTCCTCCACCGTGCGAGCGCCGGGTGGTGCTTGCCCGTTTACGAGTCTGCATTCGGAGCAGATCAGGGCGAGGCGGTTCTTGGGCTGTGTTTCGTCTTCGCCCAGAAGAGCGTCAAGGATGCGGTCGTACCAGCGAGATTGTGTGAATGAAGTTACGGGTGCAGAAGAGTACTGTTTCGTTGAGTCGACAGGTGCGAATGCATTCGGTGCGAATTCGGCGCCTGGTGAGGGTGGTTGTGGGCGATCCTGAGGTGAGATAGGTACTGGAGGTACACGCTGCGGTGTCACTGGGTTCTGCGATTGGTTCTGCGGACGTTGAATGTTTGCAGTCGGTGGAGGTGCAATGCCTGTGCGTGGGCCTTGTGGTTGCGGAGGTTTCTGAGGGGTTTGTTGCTTTTTACTATTCGGCGACGGCTGAGGTACCTCCTGCTTGGGCGAAGCACCGTACTTCTCGAGCAACTGCTGAGTAGAGTTGTACTTGGTGGCCTCCTTCAGCCTATTGATTGTAGCATCACGCTCTTTGTTGAGCTTCCTCAGGTAGGCGTCGGTGTTGGATATGCGGTAGTCGAAGTAGCACGTGAGCGCATAGCGGACAAGGTAGATGCTGCGCAACGTCAGTAGCAGTTTGGGAGTTACTGAGATGTGGACCTACACGACAGGACTGCCTGCAATGACTGACACTTCCACGATACCCCAGTTCTGGCGGCCAGTGACTAAGATGAGCAGTAACGCAGCCAGGATATACGCAAACCCAGCATAGAGCGTCCACATAACGCGGGCGCGTCTTGAGGTCTGGCGGCGCTTGTCATTGACGGCGGTAGCTTTGTTGATTTTGGCGGTGAGAGCTGAGAGCGTCCTTTCGAACGAGGCAGCATCTTCGCCCGCCTGGAGTTGTTAGCAGGTGGATTTCTAGAACTACAAGTACTAGGACTCACCCTCCATGGCCACAGAGACACCATGGTTGCCGTAGCAGATGTAGCAGAGTTTGCAGCCCGGCGTGGGGCGTGGTTATGGTTGTTGCCAGCAAGACATGCGTTGCGTGTAGAGAGCTGCTGCGACGTCAGAGGAGCTAGCCCTGGAGATCGACAAGCGGATTGATCCCTGCATGTTCCGCTATCACGTGACACTGCTTTCTTTCCGCAAGTTGACGGTTCGCCGCTGCCACTGCGGCTTCGACGCTCATTCACAAATCAACTCAATGTCCCGTGAAATGGCCCTTGTAGCATACAGAAACCTGCTGCGATCAGCGCGCATTGCTTTCCAAGGTACATCAGCGCACCCATCACCGTTCAATCGCAGTATAGCTCACACGGTCTTCAGGAGATGCAAACGTCCTCTCCGCCGCGCGCGTCGAGGTCCGCAAGAACTTCGAGAGCAACCGCCACCTGCAGACCGGCACCGAAGAGTTTCAGAAGCAGATCGCACATGCCGAGGAAGTCGCCAAGTTTCTGAGAGAGAATGTTGTTCAAGGAGAAGCTACAGAGGGCGACAACTATAGTATGTGACGAAAGGCTTGGATTTAGTTAGAGTGTTTGCTGACATGCGTTGCAGAGATACGGATACACGAACACACCGAGCGCGGAGACAACGAGGATATCAAAAAGAACAAGGGCAAGACTACATTAGGGGGAACGAAATGCTGCTCGTCCTAGACTTTTGTCAAGCTTCGTAACGTGATACCCATACCGTTCATGACGCCGACCCAATGCTATGTATAATGTACACTAGTTGCCTGCCAGACTGGGGTAGCTGGCTTCCTCGTCGCCCGAAGGTGGAGGTGCAAGAGCCAGGCTGTCCAAGTCGTTTTGCGCAGGCGCCTCGATCGCCGCCTGTGCTGCTGCCCGCCGCGCTGGACCAGCAGCCTGTCTGCCTTCCTTCGCATACTGCATCCTGATGTTCTGGTCCAGACTGTCCAGCTGCTTCGGCTTACCCCAAGTCACCCGCATGGGACACCCTTTGATGACTACCTTGCCCTTCAGTGTTTCTGCAGCTGTCTCCGCGTCCTTTCTCTTTACATAGTTGACGTATGCGCAGTGAGCTCGATGTGAGCATACTAGCGATCGTAGCTGGCCGTACTGTGCGAAGTGTGTACGGAGCTCGTGCTCAGGAAGGTCGTCCTCAACACCGGTGACGAACAGTGATGCAACGTTCGGATCAGAGGGCGGTAGCCAGTCTTGCGGGTTGGGCTGTGCTGAGGATCCTCCAGCGCGTCCTCCTCTCGCAGGTCTCATACCTCCTCGCGCGCTGCTAGCACCACCTCTCGAATCTCGTGTCCTGATCGGCCCTCCAGTGTGCCCATATGCAGAACCTCCACCAGTGCCAGGTGCTGGAAGCGCCTTTTGTCCACCTTCCTCGGCCTCTGCTTCCAGACGTCGCTGCTTCTTGTGGTACGGTTCGCTTTGCGCCAACCGCTTCAACAGGTCGCGTGCCTTCTCGTCTGTCTTCTCATACGCCTCCATGGCGCCTCTGCCCTCTTCAATCTCTCTCTCGTGCTCTTGCGCGTAGTATTGGCGGTTGATGTCGCTCTGCGGCCCAGGCGCAACCATCTTCAGCGCTGCATCACGGACAACGAGGGGCAGTCCGAATGACAGATCCAGCATGCAGCACTGACAACAGTTCTTGAGGCGCGCGCATGTGAGGCAAATGTTCGTTCGCTTCTGTCGGGCGGTGCGGTCGGCTTTCCAGCGAAATATGGTGAATGGTCGTGTACAGATCTTGCATTCCTAGATTATATCAGTATACTGCGCATCATCGTAGTATGGAGAAGAGAGTACTTACTGCGCCGTGGTCCTCCTTCAGCATCTGCACGTACGGGTTGTCCGGTAGGCATTTCTCGCAAACGGACGGGAAGTCAGTCGTCTCCCACCCGCTGCGGTTCAGGTCGGTCTTGATCTGGGGCGGCATCCTGATCGCGGTATTGTGGTTCCAGAAAGAGGATCCTCAAGCGTATGCCCAGCCTTGGAATACGTGTGGGTAGGTCTTGCGCCTGTGCGACTATGTTGTGCCTTCCTGTTGCGATGAAGGCAGGGCTGGCGCGGGAGTCGCAATGTTGCGCGGACGAAGTTCAAAGTCGAGGTTAGCCAGGGACCGTCGTCAGCGAGCGTCACGGGCGAATCGGCGGTGTTGCAGTACGCGCAAGTGGGGCGCAGTAGCAGTGAATGTCTCTCCGTGGGGTGCTGGAATGACGGCGGAGGGCTCAAGGAAATCCTTAGCACATGTTCGGGTGGCGCATTTAGCGCGGTCGTAGAGAGATTGTTTTGATTGGCCTGTCGGCGCCAGGATAATTTGATGCTACCTTAGGTACAGTTAGGGGCAGTAGGAATCTCCTGTACCGCTATTTCGCATAAGAAACGCTGTTCTCTCCGTTCTCTGGCTCTTCACTTCGTCAATTGACACTGCTTCAACACAGTACACTTTGTTTCTATACCTAATAGTTACTTTTGTCCACCGCCACCATGTCTCCCATTGCGCTCGAACAGGAAGACCACAGCCGTGATGCCGCCTTCAACAAGGCCATGCACGGCCAGTCTGCGAAGGCGCGTGGTGGTATGACTGCCATGTTGCAGAAGGACAAGGGTGCGCAGCAGGCTGCTGTGGACGAGTACTTCAAGCACTGGGACAACAAGGCAGCTGCAGACGAGACAGAGGAGACACGGAAGGTGCGCGGCGAGTGCAGACAGAATGGCGGTGACGGCGACTGACATGCGCAGGAACGACGAGACGAGTATGCTACCCTGACCAGGCACTACTACAACCTGGCAACCGACCTGTACGAGTACGGCTGGGGACAGTCCTTCCACTTCTGCCGTTATGCGTACGGCGAGTCCTTCTACCGTGCCATTGCCCGCCACGAGCACTACCTCGCCCACAAGATGCAGCTGCAGGACAACATGCGCGTGCTGGACGTTGGCTGCGGTGTCGGTGGCCCTGCGCGTGAGATTGTCAAGTTTGCTGGCGTGAACGTTGTCGGTCTCAACAACAACGACTACCAAATCGAGCGTGCCACAGCCTACGCCGAGAAGGAGGGTCTGTCAGACAAGCTGAAGTTCACCAAGGGTGACTTCATGGTACACACTACCCCTGTTACTTCTTTGAGACCCTGAGACTAACACTGCCACCAGCAAATGTCTTTCCCCGACAACTCCTTTGACGCTGTCTACGCTATCGAGGCTACCGTCCACGCTCCCTCCCTCGAGGGCATCTACAGCGAGATCTTCCGTGTGCTCAAGCCTGGCGGTGTCTTCGGTGTCTACGAGTGGCTCATGACCGACAAGTACGACAACGACAACCCCCACCACCGTGAGATCCGTCTTGGTATCGAGATTGGTGACGGTATCTCCAACATGGAGAAAATCGAGGTTGCCCTCGCGGCCATGAAGGCTGCCGGCTTCGTCATGGAGCACCACGAGGATTTGGCCGACCGCGACGACCCCTACCCCTGGTACTGGCCTCTGTCCGGCCAGCTGAAGTACATCAGCACCATTGGCGACATCCCCACCATCCTTCGTATGACCAAAGTCGGCCGTGGCCTTGTCCACAGGTTTGTTGGTGCCCTCGAGACAATCGGCCTGGCGCCCAGGGGTACCCAGAAGACAGCAGACAGTCTTGCGCTTGCTGCTGACTGCCTTGTTGCTGGTGGTCGCGAGAAGCTGTTCACCCCCATGTACCTTATGGTCGGTCGCAAGCCCGCTGATGCCTAAGTGGACCGCACTTGTTCACATTCTTGCCGCGCTGTTGTTCTCTAGACCATTTTGCATCGAGGGTTGTTCTGCCTCGATTTCGCTTCTACGAGCATTGTCTCAAGCTCTTGTACCACAAGCGTCGCAAAAGGCGCGTTATATATGTATGTAATATCTATAGAGTCAGAGAGGGTAACGAGAACGTGATTTATGGCCAACGCAAAAAGAGATAAGATGCTCTGTGTTCGGGGAGCGGACGGCGTGCGGTGAACTAATCAGGGTCCTGCGCTAGTAGTGATAGAATACAAAACTGATGCCGCGAAGGGACTGAATCAGGCCTTGAGCAGATGAGCACACAGGACTTGTCTACAGATGTGTCAAACGCCATGCTCTCCATCCCAATCCTGCATTGAGCGATACCAGAGGCCATTGGTGCAAATAGATATGTCGGGTGAAATCGCGGCCAAGCTGACCCGCTCGTTGTTGAGCGCTAGTTGTTGGGACGTGCATTGTCGGAGATCCGAAAGCTCGATTTTCTGCAGAGGGCTCAACTGTTTGACCGTCAACCTCCCGCATCAGCCTCACAGCTCCGGCCATCACCACACACCGGCACTGCTTCCCCTCCGCCTCTACTCTCCAACCCCCGAGAGCTACACCCACAATGGCCGCCTCCAGGATCACCCGCCCGGCCGCCCGCCTGCTCGCAGCGTCGCGACCGGCCGTCCGACCTGCCTTCCGCGCCGCCGCCATCACCCCCTCGATTGCACGGAGAGGATATGCCTCTGGCCAGAAGGAGATGACAGTGCGTGAGGCGCTGAACGAGGCCATGGTCGAGGAGATGGAGCGTAACGACAAGGTCTTCGTGCTGGGAGAGGAGGTCGCGCAGTACAACGGAGCGTACGTGCCCACACATGCCCTGCGCCAATTGTGCCTGGCAGCGCTGCGATAGAAGGGACAAGCAAGAGGAAGACATAGTTGCACCACAGTCCAGCTGGGGGAATGGCTATCGCAGGCTGCATGGGTCTCAGGCTTTGTCGAACGGAGCTGACGGAGCTGCAGTTACAAGGTCACCAAGGGTCTTCTCGACCGCTTCGGTGAGAAGAGGGTCATTGACTCTCCCATCACCGAGTCTGGTTTCGCCGGTCTGACCATCGGTGCCGCGCTCGCTGGTCTGCACCCCGTTGTGAGTAGCATGCCCGGACACTGTTGCTGCGGAGACAGCTCTAACCCCTCGACAGGTCGAGTTCATGACCTTCAACTTCGCCATGCAGGCCATTGACCAAATCATCAACTCCGCCGCGAAGACACACTACATGTCCGGCGGTATCCAGCCCTGCAACATCACCTTCCGTGGCCCCAACGGTTTCGCCGCCGGTGTCGCTGCCCAGCACTCCCAGGACTACTCTGCCTGGTATGGCAGCATTCCCGGTCTGAAGGTCGTCGCCCCATACAGCGCCGAGGACGCCAAGGGTCTGATGAAGGCTGCTATCCGCGACCCCAACCCAGTCGTTGTTCTAGAGAACGAGTGGGTTGCCCTAGAAACACCTCTCAGAAGTGTAGGCTAACAACGATTCAGGCTTCTGTACGGTCTCTCCTTTCCCATGAGCGAGGAGGCCCAAAAGGACGACTTCGTCATCCCCGTAAGCTCCACAGCCTCACCCGTGAACCAACAAGCACACTAACAACTCCCAGTTCGGCAAGGCCAAGATCGAGCGCCCCGGCAAGGACCTCACCATCGTCACCCTCTCGCGCTGCGTCGGCCAATCCCTCGTCGCCGCCGAGCAACTTAAGCAAAAATACGGCATCGAAGCCGAAGTCATCAACCTGCGCTCGATAAAGCCGCTCGACATCGAGGCCATCGTCAAGTCGGTCAAGAAGACCGGCCACATGCTGTGCGTCGAGTCTGGATACCCCTCGTTCGGCGTCGCGTCTGAGATCATGGCGCTTACCTGCGAGTACGCGTTTGACTACCTTGAGGCGCCCCCGGCCCGTGTTACTGGTGCTGAGGTCCCCACACCGTATGCCCAGAAGCTTGAGGAGATGTCGTTCCCTCAGGAGGACACCATTGTCAACTACGCCGCTAAGCTGCTTCGCGTAGCATAAGCGATGGCGTAGTGTAGGAGTGAGATTTGAGAGTGGGGTGCGGCGATATCATGGGGGGTTGAATAGGTACTGTGTATGAACAGGCGAGGAGGATTCTCTTGGCTGATATGGCTGAGCTAGTGGGCAGTGTACGTGGGAAGTATTTCAAATCTGCATGTACAAGTATTTATTTGCATTTTCTTTCTAATGCCACACTTTTGGAAGGAATTGTCGTGCAACAAAAGCTGTCGTAGTGTCTCTTTGAGGCATGTGGCTGTATGCTTTCGCATTTGTACTACTCAGGCGTTGCTGCCCTACAACCACAAAACCTCGACCCGCACATGGCGTCGGCGACGCCGGTGCGTCCGTCGCCGATCTGAAATCGCGAGTCTTCAGCTGGATCGGTGTAGTCAGGAAACGGTGGGGTGCGTGGGTTCTTGGTGATGGGGATAGGGATTTATGTGGAAGCAGTTGCGAGCTAGATCGCCTTCAGTGTGGATAAAGCAGCGCTTTTTAGCGATGTTGAGCTGCAATAGCAGATGTTTATGGGTGGCTGCCACGAGGTGCAGAAAGGGTTGGCATGTGTGTTAGATGCACGTGGAGCTGCTAGGGTGCGTCCAAGCTGGTGCAGTGTCCACGACTATACGTAAAATCAAGAAGAACAGCGACAATATCCGTACAGGTGTGGGCGAGTGCAGTCCTGATGCTCGAATGGTGGAGAAAGAACGGAAGACCGGGTTGGAGCCGCTGGCGGGCTCCATGCTGTTGCTTTCCCGAACCAAAGCCACTCACACGGCGGATACGGTGTGATAATGTGCTACTAACCTATGGGTCATGTGGCTGCCACGAGGCTTCGACCTGCTAGGCGTTCGAATCAGTAGATGTCAAGCTACTCGGGTGTGTGCAGCTGTCATTGCAGTCTTCATTTGTGGTCAATATGGGTAAGAATCGTGGCTCACTTGATGCTGTTTGGTTTCGGTAGTAGCAGGTTACCGAGCGCAAGTGTTGATGATGTGCTACAGGTAAGTATGCGTTGTGGCTGCCACGAGGTTTTGGCGTGCTGCGTGAGTGGCCCCATGGTCGCTAGAATTGCTCGGATGTGTGCCAAGCGGCGTTGCAAGGTCCGTCAGTGGGCACACTGCACGTGGAAGTGGACGGTGTGGAATGTTTTGCGAGGTGCATGCTTGGATCTGTAAGGCCTCAGTGGTGGTGGTGGTGTACAAGATGTGGGTAGCAAGATGCCACGTGTGGTAACGTCGATACACCGACTGAAGCTGAACGTAGCGTGGACGGTCTGCATGGTCGTCAAGCCTTGTCTATCGTGACAGGGTCGATCCCGAGCAACTTGCGCCCAAAAGCCTTCGATGGGATAACGCATGTGGCGAGCTGGGTGTACGCGTCCCGGAAGCAGTTTCAGCGAATAGAGTGCTATTCACACCGCCGAGTATGGACATGATCATGGGTCGTTGGCATGGGTGGTGAACGACCATGGCTTGTAACTGAAATGGTAAGCATGGAGTGGAGCAGTACGGAGGAGCCCAATGTGGGTGGAGCTGAGATCAAAAAGCAAATCGGTAAGTACTGGCGAGCTGGTGTCAGAGCACTGAGGCTTGATGTCGTGCAGGTCAGTCGCATGGGCCCGTTGATTTCCACGTGTTAGGAGCCGACGTACCGAAGAAGTTTTCAAATCGATCTGGCGGATTCATGTTGGCAAGTGTGGCCGTGTGGTCTCGCATCCGGCTTCGCGGTGGTCTCGAGATGTCCCAATACTGCAAGGTTCATGCAGGTACAAACCAGTCTGTTGGTGACGCACCACAGGACGCTTGCCAAGTATGCTTCGCGTGCGGATTTTCATGGGGATGTCCTGCTCTACGTGCGGCGGTTGATGCAGTGCAATCTGATTTCTTCTGGGGTCAAGGCGCACATCTGACGTGCCGGTCACTGATGAGATGCAGTTGTCTTCTCGATTCTGGCTGCCCCACCCTCGTTCCATGAGCTGACCCTTCCGGTCCGACCGTCTAACTTGTACGCTGATACAAGCGAAAAGCTCTCGCGGAGGGCCCCCTAAGGTGAGTAGCTTGCTGTTCCGCGAATCTAATGTCGAGAACAGATTAGATACGAGACGAAGACACGGAGAAGCAAATCCCATATTTGTGCCCGTGTTTTCAGTGAAGCCACATAGGACTGTATGTTAGGCGTAAACTGTCGATGGCGTAGAAGGGAGGAAGATTGATTCACCGGTATATACACGGCGCTTTTAGACGGCGGGAGCTCGGAAGGTTGTCTGAGTGGTTTGACTGGAGATCTTGCAAGAAAGTATACGGTACACAGGAGGATAGCTGATTTGTGAACTGTGTGATACAAACGGATGGTATGTGAGGATTCAACCCTTAAGGCTGTGCATGATGGTGCAATGTGGGCAGAATGTGGCCTGATCCAAGAGGCAATCAGGGGTTGAGAAAAAGCAAAGTGACACCCACATCTCGAGGGTTGGATAGTGTCTGGAATCTGGATTGACTGCATGTCGACGCCACCCAGTTTACGCTGCCACATTCGGCCCTTTAGATTCCAGTGACTGCTGCAATGGTGCTATGATCATGATCCGCGCTGACTATCGGTTGTCAGCCAGACGCCTGATCTGTTGGTTTGGCGTGCGGAGGTTGACCATGCGGAGGTTGGCCATACGGAGGTTGACCATGCGGAGGTTGGCCATACGGAGGTTGACCATGCGGAGGTTGGCCATGCGGAGGTTGACCATGCGGAGTGGTGTTGCATCCCCATCAAATCAGGCAAAGAACAAGACTTGGCAGCTGTATATTGGGTCAGAGCAATATCGAGCCTGCGTGTGAGTTTGAACCGGAACGGTCGCTGAGTCCCACACTGAACAAGACAATGTTGCTTAGTAAGCCGTTTTGGCATGGCACCGGACGCGTTGCTGGACGTATGGTGATGACATAGCTGCGAGTGTCGAGGCGCTCAGCTGTTCGCGGCGCTGGGACGCATGTGCGTACATGCGGCTCCAAAAAGCAATATTGGGTAGGAACGTCGACGCTCGCGTGGTTGAACGATGTTAAAGGTTACACAACACAAGGCCCAGACTTGATTTGTAGTCGGAAGGGTGGGGAAGAGCCGCGCCACCAATGCGGACAAGCGCAGCCTCGGCAAACAACGTCTCATGAAAGCTCCTGCCATGCCTGTGGATTGCCACAAACCCTTACAAATACATCCCGCTATCGTATGATATGGGCAATACGCGGGCGATGAAGAGAGCCCGGGTGAGTATCGTTTAGCTCGTGGCACCTCGAGCTGCATGTAAAAGTTCGTTTTGTAGCCGAAGCAGGTGCAGTACAGCGCTTTTGCAACGACGCAGTATGCATGGCTTGCAGGACCACGAGGGGACACAACGACGTGTTTACCTTTTTGATTAACACCTAGCAGTTGACTAACGTTCTGTTAAGTTCCCATGCATGTCGATCGTACTGCAGGGTTCCGGAATATACGCTCATCGAAGGCACGACCTCGCCTGCCGTTTGCTGTTTATCACTCAAGAGTACTGTGATGTCATCTCAGGCATGACGATTCTTTTTTCGTCTACGGTTGGCGTTCTCTTTCAGCACTGTTCACGAACGGATCTCTCTACACAAGCCCTCGTTACTGCTTCATACCTCTACGGCGTTAGTTCGTTTGCCGCGTTCCATGTCAACATTTCCTACCTTGCAACGCCATGGCTGCCACGGGATACCAGCAACATAATACTGTGATCGTACGATTTCACCAGCAGAGAACGCTCAGTACAGCCGCATCCACATTGCAGTAGAGACAGGTTCTTCTGTCAACAAATCCACTTGCTGCCCTAATCCTCTCTATCTTACTCGCGGTTAAAGACCTGACGTCCGTGCAGCTAGTTAGTTGCATCACAGGAAGCACGGCGAAGCTCGGTAGTACGCCTGTTGATACTATAGTCCGCATTAGTCTTGAAGCAGGGCCAGATTGGTCTTACTGGTCCTCTTCTGGAAGCTAGCCTTGCACTTCCCACGTGGAAGATGCGAACTCCGCATTTTGCTTCTGCAAGCCTTACTGACCATATCACATACAATCTCCACATGGTCATCTGGTGACCGTGTCGATTGGTCCACCAGGTCATTGAAGGTCGAGTGTCACTCATTTCGATTAAGGGCCCGCCCCTATTCCGCAAAAAATACCACGACACCCAATCACATGAGATGGCTGGTGAGTTGCCAGTCTCCCAAGCCTTAGGGATATCGTTACAGCGTGCACACTGTCGACTCCATCCAACCCAAAATCTGCTCTTGGGCAAGAAAAGAAATCGTTGGCCATTGGCGTCCCACGCTTCAAGGTGAGTGGCTTGAGGCGCACTGCCTTGAAAGGCGTCTTGCAATGATATCTTTCGGACCATGGTCCGACTTTTAAGTCAACGCCTGTCCTTACACCACTTACCAGGATGGTCCTAGGTACAGTCAAACTACTTCGACTGCAAGTTGCTTCTTCTCACCCTTTCACAGGTCATTGCGCAACGACACAGTTCCCTGCGCCGACAACAGCTCACTTTGCGACTCAACTTCGGACTACAACGTGCCATTTGGCCGGCTACAGACAGGTAGCTGTGGTTGTCGAACGATACTTGCGGGTAGATTCGACCCTTGCACCGCTCAAGACTTGAATGCTAACTCGTTTGGGCAGCTCAACGCTGCAGGGGTTTCTCGCTACCACAGCTCAACTACGATGATCGTGCCTGCGGACCAGACGCCGTTGTTCACACTACCATTGGAGCTTCGTCAGCTGGTATACAAGGCTGTACTTGCATCGCCCTTGCATGGTCCGGAGCTGTTACAAACATGCCAAGAAATTCATTTGGAGGCTCACAAGTTTCTCTTCGCAAGACCGCTTAGCTTTCGAAGTCAAGAAGCCCTTTTTGATTGGTTGGATCGGGTACCCAAAAAGTATTTGCCACAAGTTAAGGAGCTTTCTCTGAATATCCAGGACGTCGATCTCAGATCATTACTCAAGGCATCTGCTCTGATCAGTCACCCAGGTGATCCACCCCGGCTTCTGACATGGAACATTTACGAAGCAGAGCTAGACAAGCTTTTCCATGCTCTGGAACAATTACCGAAAGTCCAGAAGATCACGATTCGAGCAGTATCAGGCCGCCAATCTTTCCTATACCGCGAATTTCTCCAGAAGTTCTTGAGACTTCTAGGCTCTCTTTATCCGAATCTTTTGGATCTTGGCTTAGAAGGTAACCTTCATCACCAGGACTTGTCTTTCATATCTAGCTTTACGAGGTTACAAGCTTTCTTATTTGATGGCTTTTCTGCCTCCTCGCCAAGTGACACGGCCAGAATCCTTTCCGAATTGGGCTATCTTAAGTGTCTGTCGCTCGTCTCACAGAGCACCATGCTTACTCCGGGTTCTCAGACACGCAGTGGCTTTACAGCAAAACGCCAATCTTTAACTGGTGGTGTCGTCAACAGGATCGACAGTCTCAAGTGTTTCTCGATCACAGAGATCATCCCAATTTCGGCGCCGACGTTGTTTTTCACACCTGAAGTCCTCACATCGTTGCACAACCACCAAAGTCTGAAGGTCATCAAAGTCTGCTTATCCCAGGCACCGAATAACGAGACCATGGCAGCCTTCGAGAGCTTCCTGGAGAACACACACATCAAAATTTTGGAATTGGACTGGCCGCAATTGGATCCACACGTTCTGGAAACCTTTTCACTAATCCCTGACGGTCTCGAAAAGCTTTGGATAAGAGCGAGGAGTGCAGCAGATGCTTTCTATATCATCTGGTCTATTGCTGAAAGCCGAAATGCTGGGGATCTTCACGCTCTGAGCGAGCTAAACCTTCTGCGCTCCACGCAAACTTACGACGACATCACTCCAGCCACCAATGATAGGAAGGACAGCGGTACAGGAGAAGTTGAGGGTGCCCTCAATTGTGTAAGTCCCTTTCGACGATTCCAACCCTATTTATGTTCCGTATGATATGCTGATACGACACTCGCAGATGTACCCTGCCTTTGACGACACAGATGCAATCAACGTCGTTCGCGCACGACTGCGCCTACAAACATTGGGTGTGCGAGTCTCTTGGTGCACAGAAAGGCCATAGGATTCATAAAAGAAATAGGGAGCCTACATCGCACTGATATGGACAACTGCTGCTAAGCTTGATGACGACGAATTGTACTCGCACCACCCCTGGTAATGGTTCAGAGCTTGTAGACTATTCAGTGCTGAAATGCCATTTGTATCTCCACTTGTTCGTCTTGCATTAAAAATCTAGACGTATGTCTGGCTCGTATTGTACCATCGTCCATCTGTCTACCACACTTGCCGTGACTGGGTGGTAATTGCCTGAAGTGCACTAGCGGTGTTCACCTAGAGAGCTTCCCTCACATAGCCCACAGCATCCCTCTGACAGCCCGCTACGTTCTTGCATGGTATCTCAGCCTACTCACAATTGTGACGCTGATTCGAGCACCTTATGATGGCAGCTTATGTTTCCGCAAGGACACTACCAGACCACCCTTTGGTATCATCTTGTTCCTTACTTACCACCATACAATCCTCCTATACAAGAGGGGAGACAAGGAAATGCGGACTGGATAAGATCGCACAACTATCTCGCAGGCTTCGTACAAAAGTGTGAGCATGCGCATAGTGTAGAGACGTCTGCATGAGACTGCTGCTGGGCCTTGAAACTGGCATGCACGTACAGCAACTTCCAAACACCGCGCAACTGGGGGCAAACACTGTTCTCGAAGTGTTTCAGAACACGAGGACCCGAGTTCAACACTGGGTACGAGCGGTCGAGGCATCCCAATGTCAGCCTAGACAAGAGCGATTGGCATCATTTCTATCTCAGATCTGAACGGACGAGTTCAACGCTTTTCATTGCTTGAGCTCAAGATGAATGAACTTTGTGCTGAGGTTAGGTTAATCCAGAAGTGAGGACCAGCACGGTTTCTGCACAGAGACCATAGCCTACGCGTCTTGGTGGAGTTGCAGACATTTCTGGTGTTTGGGCGCGCATTTTCGAACAGGTGTCTCATGAGATGTCCACTTCCGTCCCTTCCCGCAAGGGTCCTTTTCCCGCCAAGTTTCGATCGGCCGTGTAAGGCCGAGCTGCAGGGCAATCTGACACCCCTAATTCCTTGTCCGCGTCGACAAATCACATCTTCAGGACTTAAGAAAACGCGTTCTAGACGCGAATGGCGTCATGTTGAACCATGCTAGTCCATATGTTCCTGCCATCGCGGTCGGAGATTCTGATGTGCCGTGGGGCAACCAGAGCAACCGAAACAGTGGGTGATGAAGCGTCGATTGACGCTTCTGGAAGGCTTTGGCTTGAAAGCTGACCGGCGCGCCAAAGCGTGTATCAAGTATGGACAATTCCGCTCGTGGGCTTTTCTTCTTTTCCACTTCTCTTCAGACGAGACCCTAAATCATACTTGGACAGCACCTCCAACTTCACCGGCGCGGAAAACGACCGCATTTGGCGCGATCCCACCAAGATTTATAGAAAGATCGTAGAGTATACAACTTTTCGAAACGCGACAATTGCGCAGTAGATCGACTTGCAGACATGGCGAGCACACCCACCGAGCACCCTGCCACGACGGCGACGTTCCCATCCCGCCAGAAACCGATCCCTTTTTCATTCGAAAATGGGCAACGCACCCAACTCTCCTCCATTCTCCCACCTCTCGTGTTTGGTACCGCGACATTCAACCACCAATACAATGACGATCCGTTTGCCATGGACACCACTGGCTTGGTGACATCAGCGTTGACACACGGCATCCGCGCCTTCGACACATCGCCCTACTACGGTCCGTCCGAAGAGCTGCTTGGCAATGCGCTCGCGACGCCCTTCGTGCGCGAAACATTCCCACGAAACTCGTACATGATCCTGACTAAGGTTGGGCGGATAGGCGGCTCGGAGTTCGACTACAGCAAAGAATGGGTCCGACAAAGTGTCAGGCGGAGCTTGGAGAGGCTACACACCGACTACCTCGACCTTGTATATTGTCACGATGTCGAGTTTGTGAGTCCCGCCGAGGTCCTCGAGGCCGTCAGGGAACTCAGGCGCATTCGAGACGATGAGGGCACAATCAGGTACATCGGTATCTCAGGGTATCCGCTCGATGTGCTGGGCGATATGGCAGAGTTGATTCTGCGCGAGACGGGCGAACCACTAAACGCGGTACAGTCCTACGCCAACTTCACACTTCAGAACCAAACACTTGCGGGCCCGCGCGGCATTCAGCGTTTGCGCAACGCAGGTGTAGACGTGGTCCCTAACGCATCGATTCTGGGCATGGGACTGCTGCGCCGGCAGGGCGTGCCATGTGGTGCGCTGGGCGATTGGCATCCTGCGCCGAGCGCGCTGCGCGCTGCAGTTCGCAACGCCAGCGACTTCTGCGACTCGTATGGTGAAAAGCTGGAAGTCATCGCCATTCGCTTTGCGCTAGAGACATGGATTTCTGCTGGTGCGCTGTGCGGTTCGAAGGGCGATCCTGCTTCTGGTGTACCCTGGAAGCTCGAGTCCAACGACGACGTCGGCGGTACAAAGCTCGGTGTGTCTGTCATCGGTGTGTCGCGCGCACCTGAGCTCGAGAAGACGATGTTGGTCTGGCGCTCCATTCTCGACGGGCTCGAGGGCGGCGAAGAGACCGCTGTGCAGGCTGGGCGATGGTACAGGGCGTGGGAATGGTCGAGGAACAGGAGACAGGCTGTGCAGATCCTGGCTGAGGGAATTCAGGAGATTCTTCAAGATGGTTTCGACTTTGCATGGGCTAGCCCTGATCCAGGATATGTCAATCAGAAGAAGAAGCAGAAGGTGGTAGAGGAGAGTGATGCGCCATGGTTAACGCCAGCGGCGAGTCCTGAGGCTAAGCCGGTCAAGGATGGTGCAGAAGTCGCTGAGGAGAAGAGCCTGCCGTTGCGGTGATGCGGCGAATGAGGAGAGAACAGCATATTGAGATGATTTGATGAGCACATATTCGTAAAAGCTAGAATTGATATCCGGTACTTGCTTGCTGCGTTTGGAACAGACAGATGAACATTCACTTCAAGTATGCGTTCACAGTTGTCTCTCACGCTATGTCTCTCACTTAGTCCTTGCAGCCCCTTCATTGTGTGCACCATGATACGTCCCTTGTTCGACAGTAAGATTCGTCCCACCAACGTGATGCCCCGGTGCAAAAGCTGCGTTGCGCTCGCTCTGTGACACGGTGTGCTCTTGTTCGAGGCGCTCATCGCGTCCCTTGGTTTCTGCAGAGCTCTCAGGGGTGAGTGAGTTCTTGATAGACTCTCCAATTCGGTGAACGATAGTGCCATGTGTTTTGTCTGTGATCGATCAGTACAATGCATTCAGCGAATGCTGTGAAGAGGGGAAAGTGGCTCACGTGGCTCAGAAGTCTCTTCCATTGCAGATACGCCCCATGGTTGCGTCATTGTGGTTTTGGTAGAGTATGAAGTTCGGACCTGGGTGTGGATTTCTAAAAGTTTGGAGGCGTTGTCTGCTAGACGTGGGGAGGCTGGAGATTATCGAGATGCTTTATCTCCAGCTCTCATCTGAAGCGACTGACATCACTGCTACACTTGCTATCGTTGGACCAGCAGCCCTGCGTCCCGATTGGACCCGTTATTCCAATTGGCATTTGAAGCTATTAGTGTTGCTGTTAGTGTGCGACTACCTCCGCGGTTCCGCATTCAGTATACGTTTCGATGGCTCAGAGAGGGTGCTGATAGCTTCAATATAAAGTGTTCCCTTATGTGAAATGCGAGGTGAGGTCAAGACGAGGTCTTCAATGGTTGAGGACAGAGGCGAGCGCTGAGGTGAGATCTCATGATGGAGATTGCATACCTAGCCAAATGTGATATGAGAGGCGTTACCGTCACAAGCTCGAAAGGGCCAGTAGAAGTGCAAAGATACGACAGCATAAATAATGTCGTTGCTTGAAAGTCTAAAATGCAATCTCGACCACATTGTTGACAGCAGCAGGAGCTGTCACTATCCATGAAGGGCAAATGATGGCGTTTGACGGGTGACGTCACTACTGACTTCAAAACAATGAAAACACTTTACACAGTACACCAAAACTTCGTACTTCGCTTCTGCCGACGCTATAACACAAACTGAAAATCCTCTCCGCTTAAGCACCTATTCAGGTAATGTTGTTAACCATATGTCGGGTATCAGATGTGAGTCCGGCGTTGCGGGGTGGTTCCGCTCTGCAGCGAGCTCCACCAGTTCACGGGGATGTGCTTTCCTATCCCGCCTTTGCCGAGCGTCGTTCTCCACATATGCTCGATACAAGATGTAGGTCATGCTCGTGAATCGTTTCAAGTGTTCTCTCGGACTCTCCCATGAGTATACGATCCCTCGATCACAATGAAGCCAACCGCTACCACCACACTAGACCTCGGACCTCATGGCCAGTTAAAAGGCTCCGTATTCGCCAACGGCGTCAAAAGATTCACACCTATCCCATACGCACAACCGCCAACTGGACCACGTCGATGGAAGAAACCCGAGCCGCTCCCTAAAGGTCACGTCTATGGCAGTAATGGCCCGTTGGATTGTACTCTAAACGGCAACGTGTGCCCACAACCAGAGTACATTATTAACGGAAGTAGTATGATCAACACGGACTACAACTTCGACGAAGATTGCCTTGCTGTCAATGTGTGGCTGCCGCCTGGCGATTCACCTGAGAATGGCTGGCCGATACTTGCGTGGATTCATGGGGGGTGGCTTCAGATTGGCGACCCCTCGCTCAAGGAACACACTCAGCCAACGCAACTTATTGCAGAAGGGGGTCTAAACGCTATTGTTGTCAGTATCGGGTACCGCTTGAATATCTTTGGATTCCTTGCTGGTAAAGAATTGAAAGGGAACTTCGGGTTCTGGGTACGCTTCCTGCAAGGAAACTTAGGACGCTAGTACTAATCAGCTGCGCAGGACCAAAGATGCGCTCTTGAATGGCTCCAGGACTATGCTCCGTACTTTGGCGGCGACCCAAAACGAGTTACGTTGGGTGGACTGAGTGCTGGTGCTTTTTCGACCCATGTTCAGCTGGACTACGAGCTCTTCCGTGGTAATGATCAGAGGCCGCTCTTCCACAGTGTATGGCTACAAAGTAACGCCATTCCAGCACAGCCAAAAACATTAGGCGAAGGTACTATTGATGACCAAAATTTCAGTATTCACAAAGCTCACAATATGCAGTTGATGCCCAGCTACAGAATGTGTTTGAAACCTTCAACATCTCCAAGTCCTTGTCCCCAGAAGAAAGACTCAAACAACTACGCGAAGTACCAGCATCCTCCCTTGTGAAGAAGATATTCGATCTCGACATCCACACGTTCCGCGGCGTTACGGACGATGACATGATCCCTTCCGACCTGATCTCCAACGTCCACTTCAGCGCCTTCGCAGCACGCTTCAAGGAACGCGAAATGCGCATTCTCCTTGGCGAAGCCGAAACGGAGGAAGTCCTATATGCACTCACCAATCCGCCGCCCACCTCTTCTTCAGACAATATGCTATGCGGACTGAACAACTATTACGCCTTGCCCGTGTGCGAGAATCTGCTCTCGCTGTATACCAGGGAGGGCTCTTCTGCCGATTCCAGAGTCGAATCTGCACTATCTCTAGAAGATGACTCCGAGAAAGCAAAGCAGCTCTTCGGTTTGATAACATCAGACGTTCAAGTCCGCGCGCCTATCCGCGTCCTCTCCAAAGCTCTGTATGATGGCGGAGTACCTCCAGAGTGTATCCTAAGATACCGCATTGCGTACAGGCCAGAATGTACGGACAAAGTCTATCCGAGAAGTTTCGGCGTCACGCATGCTGCTGATGGAATGAGTTGGTGGTATATCGAGCGGTACGGCTTCAGTGAACAGGAGAACGGAAGAGTGAGGGAATGGCTGGGCAGAACGCTCACTCCGCTTGTTACAGGTGATAACCGTAGTGTGGAGAAGTTGGCATTGCAGGAATTTCTATACTTCAAGGAGGATGGAGGAATTGAAGTCGTTGAAGATGGACATTGGAGATGGATGATGCGTGTTGCGCAAACGCTGGGCTGAATCCGGGGAATAGTCCTCTTGGTCCGTGGATGTACGCGAATAGCGCCAAGCGCGACTTCGATATCGGATTGGCGATACTAAGGACGGTCTCTTTCAAACCTCGTCTCGAACTTGGTCAAATTGCCTTAGCATCACCAGATGCTGACTTCGCAGTGACGTCCTCACAAAAGATAACATTGAAGACTAGTTCGAATCTGGCAGTTCTATGGATCCTTCTAGCAGGTTCGACCAATCACCTAGAATGTTCGACCAATCGCCTAGAATGTTCGACCGATCACCTAGAAGGTTCGACCAATCACACGAACAGTCTCGCATCTCCAAGCCTCACCTCATCACTTCTCGAAGTCTCGCAGAACACTGAGCCTAATCCTCTGAAAATGTATAAATCCGGGGCCACTGTAGCGCTTTTCCACTCATCATCAGAAACATCAGCAACAAAGCACAACATCAGCAGCCGCATTCAAGACATCACATTACACACACATCCACGCACAGCATCTACCAAACAAACATGGCAGACGCACAGTTCGAATCACAACAACGGCAATTTACAACACCAAGTATGGACTCAAGAGGCTCTTCTGCGAAACGCAGAAAGGTCATTGGCCAATGCCCGACATGCCACCAGTCATTCGCCTCACGGCATGAACTACGCGCACACATGGCTGACCCGCAAATACACGCACCAGCTTCGGACTCGGACGCTGTTTCCTTTGGCGAACTGAGTTCCGACTACGACAGCCTTGACGAAGACTCCAGTCCGCACAAACCCTCAGCGACCAAGCATGAGGACGAGCCGACACTGAACAACGACGGCTTCGCGTTTTCCTCCAGCGATGGAATACCGAGTATGGAGCAAGATGGCTTTGAGTTCACCGACGCAGATCCAAGCTTCTTTCCCTCCGCAGCGCATATGAACGCTGAGCAAGGCAGTGTGCATACCATGCACGACGAAGACGAGCAGCCGAGTGCGGAACACAAGGCTTTCGACAACCCTATACAAACACCGCCCCGGAGAGCGACGCAGCCCAAAGGAGGTGCGCTCGGTGTCTTGTATTGTGGGACGTGCGATAAGTATTTTGGGAATGAGAAGGTGTTTAAGAGACACTTTATGTTTGGGGTCAAGCATGGTGAGGAGCCGAGGGATATGATGGAGTTGTACTACAGAGTATGGGGATCATCGTGGGCGGACGAGGCAAAGGAGACGGAGAGAAATGGGCGAGTTGCGGAAGTGGACGAGATGGAGTTGTAAAGGACAGATTGCTTGAGAGACCAGATGACGATGATGAGTGGATGAGTAACGATTGATGATACCCATAGAGTATTTCTAATACAAACACTTTACACTTCGATAGTGCAACTCAGTCAAAGCTTACTGTGACAATATTTCATTGTCGTTCGTGGCACTTACAACTTCGCAAATACAGTCGGTACGACACCACCCATTTCAACAAGCGTGCTCTTGTTCCTTACCCATGCCTCAAGCCCCTTCGTTCCGTTCTCGACGCCCACACCGCTCATCTTCCATCCACCAACACTCATCTCCGCCGGGCTCTCGCCCCATGTATTGACCCATGTGATACCCGCCTCGAGCTTCGCAATCACCTGATGTGCAAGGTTCAAGTCCTTTGTGAAGACACCCGCCGCGAGTCCTACGTCCGTATTGTTGGCGCGTGCGACGACTTCATCTACGGTCTTGTATGTCAGGATCGACATTACAGGGCCGAAGATTTCTTCTTTTACGATCTTCATGTTGTCGTTGCAGTCTGTGAAGACGGTGGGCTGGACCCAGTATCCGTTCTGGTAAGCCTTATTTGAATGGCTGGCGAGCCATGAAGGGGTCTCTACACCGCCGCACAGGAGTGTTGCCTTGTCGTTTTCAATGCCGTGTTTGATATACTGCTTGACCTTCTCGTAGTGCGGTTTCGAAACCAGGGGCCCGAAGTTGGTGTTAGGGTCGTGTAGGTCGCCGGCGCGGATGTGCTTGATCTTCTCCAAGAGGAGCTTCTCGAAGTTGGCTTTGATGGCTTCGGGGATGAAGACTCGTGTGCCGTTTGTGCAGACCTGGCCTGTGGAGAAGAAGTTGGCCATCATGGCGCCGTCGACAGCTTGTTCGAGATCGGCGTCCGGAAGGATCACGCAGGCGGACTTGCCACCCAGCTCCATAGTTACGTACTTCATCTCGCCTGCAGCGCTGCCAGCGACCTTGCGGCCTGTCGAGACTTGGCCGGTGAAGCTGACCTTTGCGATGCCGGGGTGCTTGGTGAGGTATGCGCCGACCTCGCCGCCACCCTGGACGACGTTGAAGACGCCTGGTGGGACGCCAGCTTCTGCGTAGATGGATGCCAGCACCTGAGCGTGTAGTGGTGTGAACTCGGATGGCTTGTAGACCATGCAGTTTCCTGCAGCCAGGCACGGCGCTGACTTCCAGAGCGCGATCTGGATGGGGTAGTTCCATGCACCAATGCCAGCGCACACGCCGAGCGAGTTCTTGGTGGCGTAGACCCATGCGTCTGGTCGCAGCTGTATTGTCTCGCCGTTCATGCCACCACTACCGACCATGTTGGCGAAGTATTCCAGCACATCAGCGCCTGTGACTACGTCTACTGTCGATGTCTCCGAGAAGGGCTTTCCTGTATCGCTCGTCTCGATTCTGGCAAGCTCGTCGTTCCGTGAGCGGAGGATGGCTGCTGCTCGCTGTAGAACTCGCGCGCGCTCGATGGGGGGTGTGGCCGACCATGCTGGGAAGGCCTTCTGTGCTGAAGCAATTGCGGCGTCGATGGCACCGTTTGTTGTGGTGTGGATTTTGGCAATGGGCTCTGCGGTGGCCGGGTCGATGGTCTGGAAGGACGAGGTCGAGCTGCCGGACTGGAGCTTGCCGTCGTAGTAGGCGAAGCGTGGCGCGTATGGAAGAGACATGATGGGTTGGTTTTTGGTGTGGCTTACTTTGACAAGATCTTGTATCACCAGAAAAAGGTTCAGACGCTGAACAAACAACGCACTCAATTGAACTAAGAAGCTATCAGTAAAAGAATCTCTACTGCGAGCTGTGACGAAACCCTCCTCTCAGACCTCGTACAAGATACTCACCAAAAGTTGAAGCTTGATAGTGGCTGAGAGGGGTGTATGCAGAAGGTGCTGTCGAGTGATCTTTCCTGTTCAGCGCGGGATCTACTATCTGGATATGGAAAATCTTTCACTCCCACACAGCAAGATTGGAGGCGTGAGCTGGCGATAGCCGTCGTGTGCATCGCAAAGCTGCCGACACTGACCGCCCGGCAGATGCTAGCAGGGGGCCCATGCGATAGTCCACGCGGACGCAGCCCAGCGGAAGTCTCAGCGGGGCGGGGTCGTGCTAGCGCTGAAAGCAACCTTCACTCCCATCATCGGATAATTTTTCTCGCTGCGTTTGGCCTGGTTGCACAACAGATTCAGTTAGGCGATAGCCGCAACAGTGCAAGCAAATAATGATCAGGAGATCCAGAAAGCACCGCAAGAGCGCCAATCCTCTCTGACGGCTCAGCGACTCGCCTATCTTGCCTCCGCCGTTGAAACACCGCAAATTAATGCATCGACGGTACCGCTGACATCACCAAATGCACGTGCTTTATCCCGCACTATCCGAAGAGTGGCCGTCTAGCACGTCTTTTCTTGGAAGGCAAACTGCATTCCTTGCAGCTGGACTGTCACCGACACTCCAAGCCTCACCGGACCCTCCACGTATCGCCTGATCGATTCCGACAGACAGTACGTGCACCCGCCAGGCCCTGGATCTGTCAGATTAAGGACGATATCAGAAAATTTTGGAGCTAGCTTCGCACTACTTAAGGCCATTGCTTCTAACGAGCGTCGTATATAACCATTGAGAGGGCCAAGAACCACACCAGCTCAGGTCTCATCACATCAACTCTACAACAATGGCACCTAACCACAAGACTGTCACCTCCATCCCCAAGGATGCCGAGTACGATTTCGTTATCGTAGGCGGCGGCACAGCAGGCTGTGTTATCGCCTCCCGTCTTACTGAGTACCTACCCAACAAGAAGGTCCTCTTGATTGAGGCCGGACCTAGTGACTTCAAGGATGACCGTGTCCTCCTCCTGAAGGACTGGTTGAACCTTCTTGGTGGTGAGCTCGACTACGACTACGGCACCACTGAGCAGCCCAATGGCAACTCACACATCCGCCACTCCCGCGCTAAGGTTTTGGGAGGCTGCTCATCACACAACACCCTCATCTCTTTCCGACCATTCGAGTATGACTGCAAGAGATGGGAAGAGCAAGGCTGTGTTGGTTGGAGCTTCAAGACTTTCATGCGTGTTCTTGACAACCTCCGCAACACCGTTCAGCCCGTCCACAAGAGGCATCGCAACCAGCTTTGCCTTGACTGGATTGACTCCTGCTCCAAGGCCATGGACATTCCCATCATTGAGGACTTCAACCACGAGATCAAGACCACTGGTGCTTTGAAGCCCTCTGTTGGCTTCTTCAACGTCTCCTACAACCCGGACACTGGCCACCGCTCTAGCGCTAGTGTAGCGTACATCCACCCCATCCTTAACGGTTCAGAGAAGAGGGAGAATTTGACAGTTCTTACCAACGCCTGGGTTAGCAAGGTCAACGTCCAGGGCAACAAGGTCACTGGTGTCAACGTCACATTCCAGGACGGCTCAAGGCGGACACTGAACCCCAAGGCTGAGACCATCCTCTGCGCTGGCGCAGTCGACACTCCCCGTCTTATGCTTCTTTCTGGTCTCGGTCCCAAGCAGCAGCTTGGCGAGCTCGGTATCCCTGTCGTCAAGGACATCCCCGGTGTTGGCGAGAACCTGCTTGACCACCCCGAAAGTATCATTCTGTGGGAGCTGAACAAGCCTGTTCCTCAGAATATGACCACCATGGACTCTGACGCTGGTATCTTCCTCCGCCGCGAGGTTGCCAACGCTGCAGGCTCTGACGGCGAGATCGCCGATGTCATGATGCACTGCTACCAGATTCCCTTCTGCCTGAACACCACAAGGTAAACTTTGATGTGAAATGAATACTCAGAAAGAGACTAACAAATCACCAGGCTTGGCTACGACTCTCCTATCGATGCCTTCTGCATGACACCCAACATTCCCCGCCCCCGCTCCCGTGGCCGCATCTACCTCACCTCATCTGACCCCAACGTCAAGCCTGCTCTGGACTTCCGTTACTTCACTGACCCTGAGGGCTACGACGCCGCCACTATCGTCGCTGGTCTCAAGGCAGCCCGTGAGATCGCCAAGCAGGCACCCTTCAAGGACTGGATCAAGCGCGAGGTCGCCCCCGGCCCTAAGCTACAGACCGACGAGGAGCTTTCTGAGTACGGTCGCCGCGTCGCCCACACTGTGTACCACCCTGCCGGTACTACCAAGATGGGTGATGTAAAGAAGGACGAGTACGCCGTTGTTGACCCCGAGCTGAAGATCCGCGGTCTCCAGAACGTGCGTATCGCCGATGCCGGTGTCTTCCCCGAGATGCCTACAATCAACCCCATGTTGACTGTTCTTGGTATTGGTGAGCGCGCTGCTGAGCTCATTGCTGCTGAGCACGGCTGGAAGGGTCTGCAGAAGGAGAGGTTGTAAGCTTTGACGAGAGAATCGATGAGAGAACATCAAATGAACGATCAGATATAGAGACGATTTTGACGCACCTGTATGTATGATTTTTGTATGTAGATTTGAGATATCATGACAATGAGTGACGCCGGCGCGCGGAGCTATTCCAACGCAACAACTTCCCATGCGACCACCGCTCCTTCAGTAGTACGTAGGATATGATCATGACGATGTAAGTTTTTTGCTTGATGTGTCGTATCAATTCAAAAGATTACATTTACACACTACCTTCCGTTGTTTGTGTCACCAGTCGCATTTTACGTGCATAGCTCGTGCAACGGAAAGGTACCTTGACATACTTGCCACCAACCGAACCTCTGTTCATCTTCCACCACTCGTCATCTCATTTCTTCCACACATCACCATCTTCGTCACTATCATCATCAGTCAGAGCCGGACGATGCGCTGGCAACGAAATTGACCAAGAGATATGTTTCACCTATCGAGCGTTCGGAAGATGCATCCCTTTGTTCGTTCGCCCTGGGCTTGTCTCGTGCCACCGCAGGCACTCGAACAAAGCGCATTTGGCTGCGCCTGTATAAGCCTCATCACAGACATATAATGAGAGGCACAACCACCGTCACAGCAAGATTGATGGCCATAACGCGCGCGTAGACATCAGATTCAGGGGAAACACCCTTTGGTGCCTGCTGTTGCCTGAACACGAGGCTCCATTTGGCTGGCTGTTTGCCGCATCGAGCCGCGTTTGCGCACCAACCTCAAGTGAACGCCAAACGCGTAACGACACTGCGCATCTTGGATCATTGCAAGACAACAATCACTTCATCCGAGACTTTATTACAGGAAGCAGCAAATACAGGACAGAGCGGCGAAAGGGAAAAGCCTGTGACACGCAAAAGCGACCTTGTCTTTCACTCTTGTTCGGCACCGTGCAGCCACACCTGAGCGATAGGGCATCTCCTCGCTACCAGCTTTCTCCACGACTTCTTACGATCACTATCACGCTCATACATCTTGCCAACTCATACCTTTTCTACTGTGCCATACCTGGATTACTTCGAGGCCGCAACCGCAGCATTGCGTTACGACGATCAGCAAGACATCCGACCACAATTCCTATGTCAACTACAGCGACCTACACAAACCCAGAACCTTCTTTACGATAGCTCCAATGATCTCTGAGCCCGCCAGTCCGCGGCCTCGCCGACGTAAGTATACGAAACCCACTGATAAAGCAATACCGAACTCAGTACCTTGTCAACAGAGGCCTTCATCGCCACGTGCTCACCTGACGAGCTGCTCGGTCAGGTCATCCGGGCACTTTGCCCAAGGTACAACATCGACGCGCCTCATCTCATAGCATTGCGCAAGGTGTTATCGAGCGCTATTGTTGCACCCAGGAAGCCTCCGCAGTTGAAGCGCACTCGCCCCGACAAGCGCATTGGAGAGATCGGTTCGATCTATGATACACTACGCCGCTCTCCATATGGTACCAATGGCCCGTCAGTGTCAGCGAACCAGAGCCTCCACTTTCACCACAAGGACCCTGACTTCAAGAGGCTGCTACCGCAGGTAGACCGTTCACGCTACGAGTGGCCAGATGAACCAGTCAGCCAGGAAGACTCAGACGGTCAGGAGGTCCCAGACAGTAAGGAGAGCACGCAATCGAAGGTCTCAACCATTTTAACGCCCACCACAAAGCGCAATGTATCCTCCCTATTAACAGAATCAGCCACCTCTGCATCTCCCGCTGTCAAGAAGACTTCGGCCGGGCCCATCCAACGACTTAAGGAGACACGCCAGGCAACAACTCCAGAACAAGTGCCTATTACTACGCCATCGTTCGATCCACGATTGGCACCCAAAGCGCCGCAGAAGGACGCATCTACGAATCCTAAGAGTCCGCAATCCTCATCTATGACTACGATTACCATTACGAGTCCGGACTCCGTACGAACGATTGCGACGAAGGGACATGAAACCACAAAAGTATCAGCCTCCCTTTTGCACGCGGCCGAGATCGCCATCGAACTGCCAGGTACTCAAGACACGCAGAGTGTCCCTCGATCGTGTCACGTCCCCGTGTTCCATATCCCACAATCTTCGGATACGCAAGATACAGTCAACAGTACTCAGCAAAGCGAAATCTCCAGTCCACTGGTCGACTTTGTGCAGTGTACTCCGCCCACACAAGAAGAATCTTAGGGCATGGCTTCGTCACAAGTCGACACTTTCAACCCAACCGAACCTGCAACGGCCATCAACACGGATGCTAAGGCGTCAAGACGACCTCATCGATGTCCCCCTCGGACTTTCGCGTCATAATCGTCGTTCACTTCGCCTTCATTGGGCAAGCGTTCGCGCGGGAGGGAGGAGAAGGAAGACGATGCTCCATCACTTAAGCGTTCAAAGTCAGCCAAATAGGCGCTTTGAGCAGTCTCGAGTGTGCTAGGATCATTATGTTTGATGACCAAATGCGATGACGCAAAGGAATATTGGATCATATGGAAGGAAAGACTGGCTTATTGAGTTGAGGACTAATGACTGTCTCAAATATATTGCATCTGGCCGCTGACAGCCAACAACACCATGAATTGGTCTCTATTCTATATACTAGATAAGTGTCAGTATCACGTATCACATCACTTCCAAGTCCCTGCACGCCCAGGCTGACATGCAGCACCGCTTCGGCTCTCCACCCGCGTACAACTATAATATTTAACGCCCTTAGCACACCTCCTCTCACCTAGCACGCCAAAGCCTCGTCCAAGCCTCACAAATCCCCCTCAACATCCTCAATCCTCTCATCACCGCCACAATGTCCTCAACCACCACTCCATCAGGTCCCGTAACTCGAATCGCAACATTCCGCTTCCATCCGCACGTCACCGCGACTCAAAAGGCTGACCGCGCACGTGCTTTTCTTGAGCTATATGCACAGCATCCGGAGTTGGTGTTTGAGGGACCGAAGGGTGGCAGGCCGCTGGATACAAAGCTGGAGTTGACGGGAGTGAAGAGGGAAGTGGGGTGGGATTTGGGGTTTGTGGTTGTATTTAAGGTATGTCAGCATGCATTAAAAAGAAGGAAGAATGATCGGGGGGTGGGACAGGGAAGGGTGAAAAGTAAGGCTGACAGTTGCAGGATGAAGAAGCGAGGAGAACGTTTGATAGTAATCCAGGGCATGAGAGTCTGAAGGTGAGCTAGTTGAGTACAAATTTAGGGAAGCAAGTGCTGATGAAGAGCAGAACGAAACAGATCCGCTGCTTGCGCAAGTTTTTGTGTATGACTTTGTCAAGCAGGAGAATCTGGGGTGGTGATGGCTTTTGAACGAAGCATCGAAGAGCTGCCGGTGTGCATCTAGGTTAACAGAAGCACATTCTATAGTTTGCCAGACTGAGTGAGAGGGGAATTTGAAGAGGATTGTAAATGAACGGGTATTTGTCATGGTCAGGAGGTAAGAGCTCTAGACGATGGCAAAAACCACACAACAAGACGAGTATGACTTCTACAGAAGCAGTGACGTGAAAGAAAAAATTAAAAGACATGGTAATTGCGGCAAAGAAGAAAGACTACCGCGCAGACTGATCGTGGTGCTTCTGTACAAGTACAATCCTAACTCGTACACCTACGTTCTGGATCCTGACAGATATACATCTTGCAAATCCGAATATTTGTTGTTACGATCAGTGGTAGACCCAATTCAGGACGTGTGACCACATATTGAGTTCGTCCGAATAGTCAGAACTATATAGTCTCCGGAGTGAAGCTACGGAGCCCAGGGCCCATGTGTACTACGCGTAGGGTCTGGCACTCATGCCAGGTATCACTTATCATTAAAGTTTAAAGCTCTATATCCTACGCAGAAGAAGTGAAGGGTGAACATGAAGGAGAATGCAGTAGTTGCTATTGTCGTTGTGCAGGAGAATGTACCTATTACTAATACGCCACTCGCATCGAGGAGCCTTCGACTAGGGATGAAAAAGACAAAGACGTAGAAAGCCCAGCATAGATGATATCTATATAATTGGAGCCTGGATTATCGACAGGACTAACATGCAGGTCTGTGGCACTAAATGTTTCAATCCCTGTCTGCTTAACAAAGCCCAGAGTCTCTGTTGAAGGGTTTAGATGTCGATTGATTCCAAGAGCTATTGGCAGGAACTGATCAAGATAATATAGTAGAAGGGAATAGCAGTGAAGGGGTAGGGAAGCAAACCGAGCTAACCGAATGAGCTGGACAATCAGTGCAGCAGACCACTAGCAAACAGATGGAAATCGGTGGATATCTTCACTCCCTCCGACAGTCTCCTTGTGAGCCATCGACACGACGTCATGCTCTGATTTGGCTGGACTGGTGTCGTGGCCACGTTGGAAATCGCGCGATGGGCTTGGTGTCGGACGCAGTGCGCTTGCGTTAGATCTGGTGCAGGCAATGTAGGCATTGGTCTGGCCAACTTGATTTGCGATATTATCAATATTGTCTTATGCCTCGTAAATATTTTTCCATCAGCTATATGTGGCCTTGTCATGTGATGTGCAACCACTACAGGACTACACGAAGACTAATAGAAAAACCCCTCAGTACTGCTAAGAAATACGTACTGTTCCAGCATGAGTGCTCGCGCTTTTCGTCCATGCTCCTCATGCTGATGGCTGTGCGAAATTGCTGCATCTCTCTCACGCCATCCCTCTGAACATCCGTGACCATGCACCATCCCATCAAAAAACCCATTCCCACCATGAATAAGAAAGCACCCAACGTTGCAAAGGAAGTGATCCAAGTAACTATGATCCAGTCAGGTTTAGCGTCTATTTGGCGCCAGTGATGTGATGTGATGGGATAAGGGCAAGAAGTATCGTGAGAAACCCAGGTAGGTAAAAGAGTCGGAATGGAATTAGTCGGACGACCATTGCTCGCTGCTCCCTATCGGGTTGGTAGCCGACGGTTCTTCTGGCTAAGGAAGTGCGTGATGGTAACGTATCTGAGGACAGCCATGGGTTTCAGCAGAGACTTAGTTGGTGGCTTGTTGTTCCTGGAAAGTCTGACCTTTGGTCAGAAATCGCCATGTTGTGATGTAAATATTCAGTTGTTACAAGTATTTGTGTCATTGCCCCTCACTTTAGGCTATTTATGTACATCATTACCTTCTTTCCTATCTTAGTTGCTAAATGCAGCGTTATTCACCTTTTATCTTCCCTCTTGTCCGCGTGATTAAAGTATCTAAGTTAGCGCGCACACCGGAGTACTTGCCGAAGGGAAGAGACACTTTTCGATGACATCGATCAGTGCTAGACATTCATCTCGCTAAGGTATGCCCACAATCTGTACTAAGTGCGCAGAATAAGGTGTATCACACTGCAGCACTCTGGCAGAGATATATCGTGCGACAGAGGAGAAGGGGGAAAGAGCAGAAGGGTGCCTTCTCTACGCACAAACGTCAACAAGTTTGCCTCTCTCTGCTCTAGCTGCACGGCATAGCATCTCAAGGTCTACATGCAAGCACCAGGGCAAAAGCTGTTCCTCGGGGGGTATGCTGATAAGCTGCACGTAGTAAGCCGATGTGCTGCATAGCGTGTATTCACCCTTACACTCAGGAAGCAACCCGCTACGAATGACAATCAGACCACTTCATGACCGGCGTCGAGATCTAGGCAAGGAACAAACAGCCTGCTGACTAGATCTTGGCCAAAGTCAAGAATTGTCTGCCCATTCTCGCTGGTGAAGACCTTTCTACAGGCTACCGTTTCGGTGAACCGGACTGGTGTGGCATTGATAGCGACGAGTTCAGCGGATGGACGGAGCAGAGCTCTAGCTTCTGACATTCTGCCTGAAGCCCTCGTAGCGTGTAGTGTAGCCCAATCTTCCTGATCCTCTCTTGTATCGTAGGTCTCGCTATCGTAGAGTTGACTATGAACACGGGCATTTGGAGTACACGACCACGTGTCGTCGGTGAGAACCGTGTATGTATTCTTGCTGTACTTTTGAATCTCGAGTTGTGCAGCGAGCCCAATGTCCTTACCGTACGTAAAACTTTGTCCACCTCGCGGACCTATTCGGCCTGCGTACCAGCCATCGCCAACCTCAGCACAGATTACATTGTCGTGCCCGGGCAGCACAAGTGACGTTACGTCGTATATGCGATAGGCCCACCGGTGAGAATAGCTTATCCATCCGGGCGCGAACAGTTCGTTACTGACAGGCCTGCCGTTGATGTATGCCTCAAAAATACCAAACGCAGTGATATAGAGACGACGCGCATCGAGGTTGGACGTGACATCTTCCGGTAATGTGAACTCTTTTCGAAATCGAATGGGTCTCAAAGGAGTATCTGGTCCAAAACAGAGACACCAGGCAAGACTTTGGAGAAGATTGCGGGTATCTTCGGTGACGATGTTGCCACATACACTCCAGGAAAGGTACTCGACGAGAAGGATGGTGTTGAGGTGCGTGAGGTCGCCAGTGCAAGAGCTTAGGTGCAAGTCAGTCAGGTAATGTCTTAATAAAGTCAGCATCACTACAGGACTGAGTCATATACTTCTCTGCTCATGCAACCACCTCGTCTCATCAAGACTGGTATGCTATTCCTCAATGCTAAGACCGGGATTGTACGGGTAATACTCGACGGCAGTCGCGGTTCAGCATGTGGCTGCAAGTCCAAGCTCCTATCCATGGCTGCCTTCCACTCTCGTCGTGAACTCCCTCCACTATCACTCATCGCAATACCGGCGCACAAAAACAGCCTGCTGATAAGCCCTCGTCTTTTCAAAGCGTGTATCAAGCTAACCTGCCGTTGGGTATGGATAGTTACCGAGCCGAAGAAGCTTTCTCGTCCTGATCCTGCAGTATGCACAGTAAGAGATACCAGTCGACGCATCGACGCAACGAGCATCGCAAGAGGCAGGCGAACCAGCCGTTGTCAAGCCACCGAGCCATCTGTGCCCTGCACCGACCCCAGGCTAGGGTCTACTGCCCGCAAAGATAAGTAGAAAGCCGAGCTTCATCGCCAGGTCGTGTTCTCGAAGGTGGCTGGACAAATCAAAATGCAGATGTTATGGCGCTAGAATATTTGCCGTGGGTCGAAGCATTGCCGAGAAAAGCTTGTCTGAGATAAGAGTGGGGTACGCAAGGCTTTGCAGCTAAGCACACACGGCAACGCCCTATCTACCACTCAGATTTTACACCGGGCCTCGCCAGACCATGACGCGGCGCTGATCTATCACAGCCGTTAAAACCCAGCTGTCAGCCGTTATACGTCCCACGATCTTGTCGGTCACCCTTGCCCGCAACCTCCAGAGCCCTTAACGCCCGGCCCACAATGTCTCAAGAGAAAGCTGAAGATCATGCGAGCGTGTCAACATCTAGTGGTGGAGATGCCGGGCACTCGACTGTGAAGCGCGAGTCAGGCTTCCTGGGCGCCATGCGCAGCTTTGAGGCCAAGATGGATGCAAAATTCGGCATCGAAAGCGATGCCATTACCAGGAAGTTGCCAGAGGAGAAGGGTCATGTACCCTGGCACCACCAGATGAGCATGTTCTTCTTATGGGCTAGCGGAACAATGAACACTTCTTGTTTCGCAACGGGATTCCTTGGTTGGGAGTTTGGTCTGAGTAAGTTGCTTTGATACTCACCACACGAACCTGTGCAGTGGTTCAGGTCCTGATCATAAGCAGCGCTCCGCCAGTCTATCGTCATCATCATCTTTGCCTCCATCCTTGGTGGTGCGGCGACAGGCTTCGCAGCAACCTTCGGTGCACCAACTGGTCTGCGTCAGAGTAAGTGTTCACAGCACACCTGGAAGGAGCTTGTGGAACAACTCGAGTACTGATCACTCGTAGTTTCCGTTAGCAGATATGCTTTCGGATGGTGGCCAAACAAGGTCATTGCAGCCCTGAACACCATCGTGCAGATTGGCTGGGCGGCCGTCGCCTGCATCACAGGTGGTCTGGCACTGACAGCTGTCGCCGACGGACACATCTCCCTCATTGTCGGCATCGTCATCCTGGCAGTGGTAGCTACACTAATCTCGTTCGTTGGTCTCAAGGCTATCCTTGTGTACGAGCGCTACGCCTGGGTCATCTTCTTCATAATCTTCATTATCTTCTTCGCCGAGACTGCGAAATACGCAGACAACTCTCCTACGCCATCTGTTCATGGCTTGGACCTGAGCGGCGCGGTACTCAGCCTAATCGCTATCGTATATGGCAGCTCCGCGTCCTGGCAGACCATGGCGAGTGACTACTACGTACACTACTCTGTCAACGTCAACCGGTGGAGAGTTTTCCTCATGACGACATTCGGTATCTCGATTCCGACGTCCATCGGTAAGTGATCAGTTTCTTAATTGATGAAGACAGTATTTCTTATTCCAAGCCAGGCATGATTGCAGGTGCAGTCGTCTCATCCGGTATGAACAACCGCACCGACTGGAAAGACACCTACGAAAACGACGGCCTTGGTTTCCTAATCCAGACCATGCTGTACCCACGGGGCTTCGCCAAACTCATCCTCACCCTCCTCGTCCTCTCCGGAATCAATGTAAACGTCATCTCCATCTACAGCGCCGCCATCTCGTGCCAGCAATTCTCGCGCCCCTTCGCGCGCGTACCCCGCTTCATATGGGTGCTCTTCTGCTTCGCAGCGATCCTGGGTCTCGCCATCGGCGGGCGCGAACAGCTGTCCGTTTACCTGCAGAACTTCCTCAGCCTGCTTGGTTACTGGAGTACGCAGTACTTTATCATCTTGTTCAGCGAGCACGTCATTTTCCGGCGTATGAATTTCGAGAATTACGACTTGCATGCATGGAATGATCCGAGTCGGCTGCCGCTGGGTATTGCTGCAGGTGTTGCGTTTACGGTGGGCATTGTGGCGTGGATTATGGGTATGGTTGAGACGTGGTATGTTGGTCCGTTGGGAAAGCTGATTGGTGCTGATGGAGGTGATATTGCGAATGAGTTTACATTTGTGGTGACGGGATTGATCTACATACCTGCGAGGTTCTTGGAGAAGAAGATGGTTGGAAGGTAGACCAGCAGAACGATTGGATAGAGGCAAATTCGCAATACGAAACCAGCAATATAATGTCAAAACAAGACCAGAGCTCGGTTCATATGAAGTTTATCGCATGTCTCATGATATCTGACTTGAAATTGTGGGTAGGGAGAATCATGACTCGTTTCATGCTTGATGTCGAGGATCCATGACTTAGTCTGAGCTGCCTTGACATCACACGTCTCCCACCAAACACCCAAACCACAACAACACCCATGGACCCGACACGATCGCCCCACCGCCAACGTTTCGACCGCCACGAGCGTTCCGATCGAGAACGAAGGCATAAATCGCGCCGCTCGCGCTCTCCACGCCGCAATGATGACCAACACGACTCTGAAAAGCACAGTTTGCATCGCTCGCACCGTTCACGCTCCCCGCCTGCGAAGCCAGTGAAGCTTCCGTACCAAGCAAAGCCGCTGTCCAAGCACGATCTAGTAGCATACAAACCGTTATTCCAGTCTTATCTGGATATACAAAAGCATATACAACTAGACGAGCTCGACGAGCGGGAAGCGCGTGGGCGCTGGAAGAGCTTTGTGTCGCGATGGTACGCCTCTAGACCCCAAGAGAAGCCTAGATGGTGCTGATAATCTATGATAGGAACCGTGGAGATCTGGCGCGCAGCTGGTACGATCCCTCGATGCTGCAGACTGCACAAGAAGCCGTACAAGCATACCGTGCGGGCTCCCAGTCGCCTCGACCTGCAAAACGCGCATCGCCAGAGTATGAGCAGCGCGCATCCGCCTCAGCACAGAAGTCTGACGACAGCGACGATGACTTCGGTCCCGCACCGCCCACACATCTGGCACGCGCCTCGGGCCACGGTCCTACAATACCGCGCTTCGACGACCTGACGCACCGCAATGAGCTGCGCGACGAAGACAACGCACGCGACCGCTCAGCCCACGCCTCCGACACACGACACGAGCGCAAAGCCGAGCGGGAGACGCAAAAAGAGCGCATGGACGAACTCGCACCACGCGCCGACCCTGGATCCCGCGAGCGGCAGCTTGAGAAGAAGCGCGATATGACCAGCACGTTGCAGTCTTTCCGCAACGCCAAGGAAGGCGGTGATGTGGAGATCGGGGAGAGCGAGCTCATGGGCGATGACGGCATCGACGCATACAAGGCGAAGAAGAAGGCGGACGAGCGGACGAAGAACGAGCGCGAGATACGGCGGGAGGAGATTGCGCGGGCAAGGGCGGCGGAGCGCGAGGAGGCGCTGAGCGCGAGGCGGGCGAAGGAGGCGCAGACTATGGAGTTTCTGAAGCAGCTTGCGCAAGAGCGATTCGGTTGATGTGGTGTCTGTGTAGATAGATGGATGGGTCTACTCGTCGTCCAGGATCGAGTTCGCCATCGCTCCAAAGAAGGGCACTTCGTATCGATCAAGTGTCGCCGCTGTCATTCATTAGCCTTCTCATGCTTCCACCTTCAAGACGAATCTCGACTTACCATCCAGATACGCCCTCCACGTCAACCATCCAATCAACCCCGCATCCCCAACCACCATAACCCAACTAATGAAGCTCGACCAACTAAAGATGATGTGCACCACAAAGATAAACGCAAACAACAAACTACTCTGCCACGCATGAAACCGCACATAATCACTCTGATGCTCCATAACAAGCAACAATACACCTCCCGCGGGCGGCAGCAGCAAGTACGCCAGGCATGCTTCGTAATCCATTCGTAGCCCAAGGCTCGTGGTGAACATGTCGACGTCCTCCCGCGCAGCGCCGAAGCCGAGCGGTTGGGACGATGCAGGTGTGTTCCATGCTATGTGCTCGGTGTCTGGAGAGTCATTGCCGGCGCCGAAGTAGTCATGTTGCTCATAGGCGCGCGTTGAGGGGGAGGCGATTGAGGAGATGTTGCGCGTGCGGTCGACTGAGGTGCGCGGGGATGCGAGGGGTGGGGAGAGGGCGCGTTGTGTTTCGGGGATGTCTTGGTAGGGTGCGAAGTTGGCTGCCATCTTGAGCTGTGTATAAGCGTTGATGTCGAGGGGTTCAGTATGTGAGACTGAACCGGGCTGACGGTGACGCGTGCGGACAAAGATCCAAGCTCGAGACAGGGTCTTCGGTTGTGGATAGCCGCATGTGAAAGGAACACCACTGATGCAGGTGATGCAGGTGATGCAGGAACGATGACATGAGAACATTTCCCGATGTCCCGAGGTCCAAGACATTCTTCCGTCGCAAGCCTTCAGACCTCGTTTCTCCTCACTCCAGTGAACATGCATGATTCCACCTCACCCCACATGGCGCAGCGTGCGGGAATCTGGAGAGACTGGAGACACGTATATAATGTCGTTGTTGGCAGCCACACCGCCCGCGTACAACCTGCCTGATACCATTGGCATCAAACAAGCGTCTCTTTGACACCTTAAGAACCATCCAAACACCAAGATACGCACCAGCTACTGACCATGTGTATCGCTATCCTCACCACCGCGCACCCGGACTACCCCTTCATCCTGCTGAACAACCGTGATGTAAACACTTGGTCTCCCTTCGTCCACGGTCAGTGCTGATTTCATTAGGAATATCTCCACCGCCCAACAGCAGAAGCCACATGGTGGCCGTCACCAGACTCCCAGGTCTTAGGAGGCTACGACCTGCATCGTCCCGCCCATGGAACCTGGCTTGGCATGACCCGTCAAGGTCGCGTCGCAGTGCTCACCAACTACCGCGAGGAGAACCAGGCCATCGTACAAGGCGCGAGAAGTCGAGGCGTGATTCCAAATGCATGGCTCAAGAGCAAACCGGACTCCACGCAGACTTCCTCGGACTTTGCGCGGCAGATGATCGAAGAGGATGGTGTACGGGGCGTTGGTGGCTTTTCGCTGTGCTACGGATTCGTCAAAGACGTCGCTAGAGGCGAAGGACTTGTGATTGTCAGCAATCGGACCCCTGATGTAGAAGGTGTCGTTCATCTGCTGCGCAAGAAGGACGAGACAACTGCGCTCAGCAACGCGGCGTACGGCGACCGGACATGGCCAAAGGTTGTCAATGGCGAGAAGTGGACCGAAGAGGCGATCAAAGCATCAGTCGCTGCGAATGAGACTCGTGAGCAGCTCGTTGAACGCGTGTTAGGCGTCTTGTCCGTGGATACCATGCCTAGACAGAAAGATAACGAGGAGTGGGATATATACCTTACGCAGCTGCGGCACAGCGTGTTCATTCCAGCCATCGGACGCGACCATTTGGAGCTGCACAAGATGCCGAGCCATGAGGTTGGAGATGTCGTCAAGAACAAGGCCCCAGATGCTACGAGTGGATGTTATGGCACCGAGAAGCAGACCGTGATCTTAGTCGACAAACAAGGCAAGGTGTTCTACTTGGAGCGCACGCTCTTCGACAGCGATGCGCAGCCTGTTGCTAGGGGCGAGGGGGATCGCACCTTCGAGTTTCAGATCGAAGGGTGGTGAAGAGGAGCATCGAGTGCAGCTGTGTTTAGCAAGCTGTCAGCATCATCATAACAATGTCATGGGTACCCCACTTCACTGTGTACGGTTGACAATCGATACCGGTGGTGGGTTCGAGTGGCAAGAGCAAGGACGGCTGCTGTCGACATGTCGACCGTGACACTGGGAACCGGTCAGTTAGTGCAACGTCGTAAAGCATTAAGATTCGACCTGTATCAGTGCATGGTGAGCGTGCAGCTGCGCATGCAGTTGGTGAGGGTATGAGTGATGGTCAGTGCAAGGAACCTAAGGAAGTTTGTTGACTTAGATGTATAGACCCCGGACCCCTACGAAGACATGGAAGTGAAACTCTTTCTCAGAGCTGTCAATGCCAAGTTCGGCATTGATCGCCCGTTTTGGTACGAGAATATCAACAAGTACCCAATGCTTCAATAGCTGTTTGTCGGAAAATTCAAGGAAGACTTCTTATCGAGTCCTAGGAACGTAGAGTACTACAACGAGATCCTGGCGGAACCATACGACTATCTCAACGAGGATCTGTATTTGGTCATTTTTTTCAATCCCACAGGCACGACAAGCAGTTGCACCTTTGTGCAGTCCAACAGGAAGATTAGATACGCTTGCGATAGGTGCATCGACCGGGTGAGACTTTGTATCAGACCCTTGCAGCCGGAGGTGATGGGCGAAGTTGAGCTGGTGGTGCATCCTTTGCCGAAAAAGCTTCGAAGAGGTATGATGCCAGAGAACAGACGATACTGGATCCGGGAGTGAAAGGCGAGATAAGGCGACTAAATGTTGGCTGACCATTTTGCGCTAGTCACATAACGGCTTATGCGAGGTTGTTGGGTACGAGATACGAATAGACTTGGGGCCAACGCTACACGGGAGGGACGAGGTGAGAAAAGGAAGGCTGATATGGCGAGGGAGAGGCGTAATGGCTCAGATGAGAAGAGGAGGAACTTAAGATAAGGAGATCAAGCAAGTAGAAGTGAAGTTGACAGAAATCAATAAGACTACAGTACAGATCTATGCATGACCAGCACAAAACGCAGGATATGTAATCACACTTTTGCATCCACCTCTTTCCGCACCTAAGTTATCTTTCCATTTATATTGTTGCTGAAGACCTGTACGATGCCATCGGAGATGTTGATGAGAAAGTTCAGATCCGCCCCACATCGCTATCAGGATTTGCCTAACAAACCCCACAGCCATACAACACCACATCGATTCTAGCATAACTGCTCCACTCCCCTGCCAGTCTCTAATTCTATTATCATGATTATTTATGTTAGATTACACCAATCCTTCATCAAAAGATGACTAAGCAAGACATCATCAACAGCATAACAACTGGTTTTGTAGTGTACAGTCTTCCCTGATCAATTTAATCCGATTCAAATAGCTAATTCCTTCTAGGTAGCGGTTATCACTCCGGATTCTGATCACCTCAGTATCTTCCGGCAACCCCGGTTCGATTCCGGGCAAGACCTTTTTTTTTTCTCATCCAGTATTTTGGGATAGCGAACAGCTGGCGATACTGATCTTTTTGCCTTTCGTTCGTTCTTAATGAAGTAGTCATGCTTGCGTGATGCGAGTGTGTTCGTTCACCACATGCTGAATTGACCCTGGAAAGCGAACCATAGGACGCTGACGAGATGGTGCATTGTCTATTGGATTAAGGTATATTCTCCAGCAACACAACATCGTGTGATGTCCTACAGACTCTACGTGCTGTTGGTACTCGCGTAGGTGATGTAGTTACCACCGGCAAGCAGTGCGTTCGGCACCGAACCCCACGATCCAGTGACGGTGTCAAGTGCGATCGTACTATTCACACCAGCAACCTTGCCCGGCTGATCCGCATTCTTGAGGTACCCAGAGTTGACACTACCACCCGCGATCGGCCTCTGTAGATGGTTGGCACCCGCCTTGACAGTGAAGTTGGCGAGTGGAATATCGTATGAGTTACGCGTGCGCACGGTAGGGGAACCATAGTACTCTGCACGCGCTTCATTGGCGCTGAGGTGGAGCGCGAGGTAGCCGCGGAAGTAGCCTTCGTTCCACATGAGCTCGGAGTTATCACGAACTAGTTTTTGCGCTTGGGCGTTGGTCGCAGCGATGTTGCCGCTGAAGCCAGATGAGGATACCGCTGTGACTGCGAACTCGACGCCAATAGCTCCTTCTCCGGTGGCTTGGTTGTACGCTGGGATGTCGATGCCGTTGTTAGTGGAAGCAAACGGCGCAGACTCGGGGTCGACCCAGAGCAGGTCTGATACCCAGTTGGCATGGGAGTCACCAGCGAGCATAATGGTGTTGTCGATCTGGTTTCCGTACAGGTACTGGTAGGTCCTGTTCCTGTTCGATGTGTAGCCGTCCCACTGGTCAACGTTGTAGGGCTCATCCTCAGAACCGAACCATGAGGATATGTTGACCCTCGAGAAGACGATCTGATTACCGATTACTCGCCATGCAGCGCCTCGCTCCTTACTCTCCGAGAGGGTGCGGTAGAACCAGTTCTCCTGGTTTGAGCCCATGAGCGACCTACCAGCGTCGTTCCTGATGGAGGTGACGTAGTCGGTGTTCCAGTTGAGGTCAGTGATGGAACGGTCGTAGTTTCGTGTGTCTAGGACGATCAGATCGAACAGCTTCCCCATTTGGAAGTTTCTCCAGATGCGCAGATTGTCGTCAAGGTTGACTTGGCGAATCGGCATCCACTCGAAATAAGCGCGGACAGCGTTCATCTTGCGTTGATCTACAGAGACACCGCCGTTGCGGATGAAAGAGCTCTCGGTGTTGTTCACAGCCGAGGAACCGTCGCGATAGCCGTTGTTGCTGACTTCATGGTCATCCCAAGTCGTGATCCAGGCGAAGTTCTGATGCGCAAGAGTCAAGTCAAGATCGGTGCGATACTGCGCGATTCTGGTGCGGTAGTCGTACAGAGTGAAGATAGTACGAGGGGGGTTGGTAGCACGAGCATCTCGTCCAAGTACACCAGAACTGGTCTCGTAGATGTAATCACCCAGGTGAACGAAGTAATCGACCTCGTCACGACGAGCAGCTGCAAGATGCTTAGTCAGCCAGAAGCAGTCAGGTATCCCTCAGGCGGCTTACCGTTGCCGTACGCGTTGAAGTAACCACTGGGGTAGTTGCTGCAGGAGAAGACCGCCAAACTGAGCTCAGTAGCGTCGTCATCCTCAGTGGGCGATGTTTTGGTACGACCGATCGGGCTCTGCTTAGAAGATCCACAGACGCTGAAGCGGTAGTAGTAAGTAGTGTACGGGGACAGCCCCTTTGCCTCGACTTTGACTGTGTAGTCAATGTCGCTGGTAGTATATGCTCTACCATGGCTAACAACTCCTCCGGTGATGTTCTTGTTTGTCGATACCTGGTAATCAACACAAATAGGGCTGGTTGATACGCGGATGTAGCGTTCAGTCTCGTGAGAGTACAGAGGCACGGTCCCTGCGACAGTGACATTTGAGCGGTCATTCTCCAGCTGTGGTGAGATGCGGGTCCAAAGGATCACTGAATCAGGGTAAGGGTCACCCTAGGCATCTCTGTCAGCACGGAGATAGCTTGTTCGACTGCAAACACTCACAGATGCAACACCGTGGGTGAAGTTGAGCTTGCTGGGGTCGATGGTGACATTATAATCACGCTTCTGAAGGTGCCTACTCATCATCTTTGGCATGTCAATACCCATGGAGGGGTGATCGAAAGAGGGACTCTTGAAATTGATGTTTTTATCGTATGTGGCTGTGACAGTTGCTGCCAGCACTGCCAGGACGGGAAGTGTGTACAGCATCATGGTACAGTAGCCGACTCGACTTGTCGCTGTCTCTCCACAGCCGTGGCACTGGGGACGATTTATATGCCATCTCTGCCGCTTGACAGTCCCCAGGTTGGATTGCTGTAACCGAGGAGAGCACCACGTTGGGTTGTACTTGGTTCAGAGTGGAAGGTCGAATGCTCTTCATGATGTACACGGTATCGAGATAAACATTTGAGGAGACGACGCAACCAATGGGAGTTTTGGCATTGGAAACATGTTCATGTTGGCCCTGAAGCTCGTGGTCGTACCGGGAGTTCAGATTGGTTGCACGGCTGGGAAGATCTGCCCTCGTATTAGCGTCGCCCTGTTAGCTTGATGCGCCTTCGTCTGCAACACCACAGTAAGCAATGCCAAGCAGTGCCAAGCATATCGATGAGGTACTTCGGGAGTTGCGAAGCATTGAAATCAAGTCTTGGTGTGGTTGCGAAGTTCAAGCCTCCACCTCGTTTTCACATCGATTCATACTTTTCCGCGCAAAGCTCTTGCGCACCAGCAGGCTTGGCCACCAACAACACCTTGTTCGCTGTACCCTCTTGCTCTTCGAGGCTGTCTCCCGTTCTCAAGGTACACCCCTTGGGCATCTTCAGTATCAAAGCTCATCTTATCGACGATGTTATATCCAACGAGTATCTACCCTCTTGCGCTTAGGCGTTTGTGGACCAACTGTCTACTGTACCTGGGGGCCAGTCTGTTCGCACCGATGCGAGGCATCGAGGCGACAACGACTGCGCGAGTCGCAAGAACTTTCGCGATGGTTTCTTGAAGTCGCAATGCAGGGCTGGTCCTTGTTTGTATTGTGATGCAGCTTTGCAAAGGGCATGAGCTGGAAAGTCAAGTGGGCGTGCACGCGTGGGGTCATGAACGTTGCTTCTCACGCGTTCGACATCGCGCTGTTATTCTGATGTCACCTACGAAAGGTCCAGTTACGGAAGAAAGAGCTTTTGGAATATTCCTTGCAGTGATAATGTAGCGCTCGCGGATGACCGAATTGTGGTGGCATGTCGAAGAGTCGGAAGGAAGAAGGCGCAGCTGGAGCGGAGACACAAGCGCGCCAAACAAAAACCTCTGGGCTGCACCGTCCCTCTGACTGGATATATCTTCTGCAAACCTCAAATACTTGCTGTTTCACACCGTCAATTTGACCCGAGATGCATGCTTTTCGGCAGTGTTGGTCATGGAATGTCACTCGGGAAGCTTTTTCGACACTCGTGTTCTCGGCGATTTGACTGATCTCGTACACGTCACTTCTCCCTCGTCCGCCGTTGGTGCTGCAGGTACGAAGTCTTGGATCTCCAGGTACGGATGTCAACCTCGGACACAGGCCGAACAAAGCTAGCCTGTGTGGTCATGCGGGGAGATAAACCTGGGGATCTTCAGACTATACGATGTCCAACTTCAAGATTCTCTGTCTTGTCGAGGATCTGCAAATTCTCAGTTCAGGTATAAAGCACGAAGATTGAGCAATGGCAATTCACAACTTGCCAGCAGCTTATCAAGATGCGTTTCATCACATACTCTCTAGCCACTGCCACGGCTTGTCTTCTGCCGACACAGCGCACAACGGTGTTGCCGGGCTGGACCGAGTCCGATACACTACCACCAAAGATTTCAAGACTCTCACTGCACCAGCCGACTACATTGCAGATGGCACGCCATTCATTGACCAAGAATTCCAGTACCTGGGCCAGCCCAGCCACTTCACTCGTTTCATCAAGAACGAGACCGTTAACCAGATCTACCGAGAGAACACGACTGGTGGTCTCTTTGGTTCCTGGGAGCGAGTCCCCGGCTATGTCACATCTGGGAGCCCTTGGGAGGGCACAGCATCGTATGCTGATAATACCGTGGCTGAGAGGTACCATATCTTCCTTCAAAGTTACACGGCGTATGTACCATTTGACTCGACAGATATGAAGACATGGACAGCTTCGAGCAGAGACGGCTTTCCAACAGGCCTGAAGCATGGTTCTGTGACGTAGATAACATAGGTAGAGTTGGACGCAATCAGGGCGAAGTATCCGGCGTGAAGCTCTTGCACACGTAAGCTAGGCAGCGTATGAGTAGCCAATATCATCCAATAAAAGGTCAATTGGCGAATGTATGTTTACGATGAACCCTGGGCCTATCGAACGCATGAATTAGGTCCTAGGGGGGCCCGACTCCAGTTCATTCGTTGGCGTCTTGTCATTGTGTTATCGCGCAGCTGTCTTTAACCGTCGTTTGCCCTTACCGAGCCCGGCTCCTCCATCGCCCCAGAGTGACCTTTCTCGGTCATTCTCGCATCTGCACATACGTCTGCTTTTTGACGCTGTGCCTTGCTGTTCCAAGTTGACCTGGCGACAGTCTTCACAGCAGCATATGCCACCTCTCCGCTCACATAGTTCGCAAACAATAAGCACCAAGTGGCATCCAGGCACCTCACATTTACCGAGGCGAGCCTCCGGTTTTCCGCAGCTGTGACATGCTGAGACCGCCTCTTGAGCACCAATGGCTCCTCTTGCATCGAAAACGTAGTTGCTCCCTTTGAAGAAGCTGTCCTCGGGGATATTTCTCCCTGCACTGATCTCCTCTTGCATCCAAGCCTGATACGCGACAATGCCGCCATGTAGCGTGTACACCGGCGCATCACTACACCCTCCTTCCCTCACCAAGGCTTCTTGCATCCAGCGCGCGCCTTTCTCGCACCGTATACCGCCGGTGCAATATGTCGCTACCCCATGAGGCTTCTTGTAAACATCATTGCCCAGGACATGCCTCACAACATACCCAGGCCACTGACTGAACCTTCGCACCGCAGGTCTCACAGCCACGGTCCCGTCACCAGTGACGAAATACCCAATACGGCTCTCATAGTGATTTCGCACATCAATCAGCGGTATATCCCCCTTCTTGAGGAGGTCATGAAACTCTGCGGGCGGCAGGGAAATAACATTTGACCATGATGAGGGCGCGTAGTTAGTGACTCCCAATGGCGTTATTTCAGCTGTCACTCTGACAGACGCTTTGCCGTTGAACGCACATGCGCAGCCTGGTGTGGGTTTGAAGTACGCATCGCGCGCTGAGGGAGTGATAAGATCGATGCCCGCGAATGACCAGTGTGCGCAGCATGCTTCGATGTACCCCTCGATCGCAGATCTTGTCCCACCGACCGTGATGTTGAACCCTTCAATCGCGATGCGAATTTTTCCTCCTGTTTGCAGTTCGGATACAAGCTGCCTGTGAAAGTCGGTGAGGGCCTGAGGGTTGTGGATTTTGGATGCATGCTCAGGAGGCAAGGCAGGTGTATTGGCCCAGTAGCGGTAGAATAGCAACACTTGCCCACCCTCAGTCTGTGCCGGACATGTGCACGTGTAGGCGACTGGGTCTGAGTTGTCTTGGTTGGCGATGGATTCGGTCATCGTGCCGAAGGGAGCAAACGTTCAAAAATAAAGTTCGAAATGGTGAATTTGCTATCCACACTTCAGCCACGTGGCCTCACCTCGAAATTTGAACGACGCACCTCGAGAATATTCTGACTCGCAGAGATTGCGGAACTCACCCGCACACCCGCATACCCTCACACCACTGACGATCTGATAATCTCAGATCGACCAGCGGCACCTTCCACGGATCACCTCGATCTGCACACTCGAAGCACCCACCACAAGTTAGTTCTCTGGATGCAGTGGAGCTGAACCACACGTGGAGTGATCCTGATCGCCCGAATTTGGCCTAGACCCAGCCCTCACTTGGGGCGCAATAATTCGCTTCCCCTCGGGCTTAGATGCGGTAAGCCACCCCACCATTCCTTTCCCCCCCCCCCCATACAATGCCCATACAATTTGATGAACTATAAACTGAGAGGGCTCATCCTGGGTCAATCTGAATGAATTTTCAAGATAAAGCTATTGATATAGGTGCGCAGGGCTATACAGGAGGGTTTTGTGGTGTAATGAAGCATTACCACAATGCCAATATTGTCTTTTCATCACCATTACTCCTGAGCCCTTACTCCTCTCATCCTGCCAGTGAGCTCTCTCTTTGATCCAGTTACGTCCTGTGTGTGCACAGATACCATGTTCTTCTGCTATCTACTTGCGAGTCTTATCATCAAGGCATTAATCATAGGCCTCAAAGTAGTGGGATTGCTCAGAGGTATCAGGACATTTGAGACTGCAATCTTGTTCAGAGGTCTTTAAGGCATTCATTGATCAGGAAATTATCAAAGAAAAATTATATTTGAGTGAGTTATGGTAGGGATGAAGTTGCAAGGTTGATGCGTGGGATCTCAGTTTGATGGGGTTGGTGACCTCACCCAAGCTGAGGGGAAGCGAATTATTGCACCCCCTAATGCCCTGGAGATAATCACGGTGGAGGTGGAACGAGGGGATGGAAATCTCCGCCACGCCTTTAGCACCTCATCACATTCCAAGAAGCCTCTCCAGGGCTGCAGTTTCTGTCGATATACGAACTTTGCATGTGACACGCGCTTGAGACATGTTACTTCGTACGGTGATTTCCTTATCGGGCGCACGCCGAAAGTTTAAACACCTTTCCCGGAGTGACAGCCTCGCTTAGAGCGGCGCATGGTCACGAGTCACGCGTGGCAGGTTTAACCTTTCAGCGCGCATGTAAGTTTCCGTATCTTGCGGTTTTGGTCCGGATGCCCCGGCTCCGAAACTTTCGTGACTCGGAAGGACGTGATTGTGGTTGAGCAACGAGGAGTGGAGATGGGAAAGGGAAATCGGCATGTGGATTTTCGCCTTGCAAAAGTAAGTTCTAGGCGTAAGGTGGGTATGGCATGACGGATTAGGATGTGACGGATAGAATGTGACGGGCGTGTCGCTGCCGTTCTCGCCCTCGCACTTGTGACGGTTAGAGAGGGCAGCAAGATTTGCATTCACACATTGGATTATCGTTGTAAATACTGGCAAATGAAAGCAAGTGAAGGCAATGTAAGACCAATGCTTGAATGTCAGGAGGCACAGGGCACAATGTAGAGGTCGTGACCATGATTGTTGAATTGGAGAATAGATACAATTAACTCTGACTATGGCTTATGCTTCTCCTCGTGGCTGACCAAACTGGCCTCGTCGGTGTCGCCATGGCTGTGCTGCACTGTGTAGCTCGTCTTGATTGTGATTCCATCACCCTGCTCGAATACCCCACTCCTTGGACTTGAAATATCAGTACCATTGTGGTGAGACCTCTTGCTCTGACTTTGACCTCCAATGTTCTTCAGCTCATTGCCGCTGCCGTAGTTGTAGTACTTGTTCTTGGATCGAGCCGAGGAGCCACCAAGAATGGGGAAGAGCTTGACAAGAAGCAATCGAAGGGTAGGTAGGCAGGCGCTGAAGTTGATGTTAGAATAAATGTCAAGGGTTTTGAGGTTTCTGGAAGGCTTACCACATGATTCCCACACAGATCTCGATTGTACTCCAGACCGATACATCGTAGAATTCCCAACTTGCGTTCGACGAAGCAGCAAAGTGCACCAAAGCCTGCAGTCGAAGGATACTGACGATGGTTACAAACGTTCCCAGGCAGAACATAAGCGCAACAGCGACCTTCTTCTTCCAGTGCAATTTCAGGCCCCACAGCTGCCAAAGAGGTATACCAAGGATCCAAAAGTCCAGTGCAATACTGATCGCCGCATTACTAGCAGTGATGGCGTTGATGTCCAGACAGATGCCCTTGTGTAGCCCGTCCCACTTTGTCCAAAAGTAGTGTATGGGCTGGCACTGAAAGATAGCAGTGATGACGAAGGCAATTCCCCATAGCGTCACAAACACCACGGTACCCCACAGGAGTCGCTGCACTTCTTTGTTTGGAAAGACGCGGATGTAGAAAAAGATCAGTGACAACTTCAGGAGCGTGACTTGAGTGAAGTAAAGTGATGCCATAACGTAGAACCACTTCAACATCTCGGTGATTTGCTGAGGTGTCAGGGCCCAAATGTCCTGACCAAGACCGTGCTTCACAGTGCCGTATACAGTGACGATGGCGCTCGGTACTGCAGAGATGAGTGTGATGAGAACACACCAGTCGTCGTAGCCGAAGTCCATTCGCGATACTGTGGCCTTGAACATGAAGCGTATAACGACGAACGCTGCGGCAACGATGATCATAGTGTTGGATAGGACCACGTAGTCTTGGCCATGGTTGCGAACAGGTGCGCCGCAGTTGGTGAGACTGATGTTGCGGGTCACTGGGAACCGTCAGCGCGCACTCTGTAGAGACTATGGTATTAACATACTCAACGACTCAGGGATGGTGCAGGTCGTGGCGACGCATGCTGTGACATTGCCCTGGAAAATGGAGTTTGTACAGATACATGCTTGATCGGTAGGCGTGCAGGTGTTCGTTCCAAAGGCGCTCTTGAGGCAGAGTTGCTAGGATCTGTCAGTACGAAATGAGGCGGGGGTGAAACTAAACTGGCAGACTCACAGCACAGGCTGGCAATTTGGACTGTGCAAATGTTGTCGCACACAGTCCCAAAAGCAGGAACAGCAATGCGTGGATGTGAAGCTTCATGGTGAAGATGCTGGAAGCTGAGCTCCCAAGGAGAATCCCTTGTTCAAATTGAGGTTGCGCAATGCGGGAGAACGACTGTTGGTCAGTCAAAGGCCAGACTGCTCGTGGGTCACACCATAGATAGCGAAGAGTATGATATGCGCAGGGATTAATCGCGTTGTCTATACTCAAGCTTCATGTATGATTTAGCCCACGAGTCGTGCGACTACTGTGCAACTACCGTGCGTCTACCATAGTTGTCAAGTCGAACCCTCTTCACACGCTTACCCAAAACAGTAGGGGTTAAGCCTATACAAGTAACTGCTGGGCTCGAACGGGTAATCAATCAAGTCAAGCTGAGCTCTCTGAGCCCCACTTGATTGATTGTTGACGACTATGCGTCTACGTTTGGGTACTCTGCCGGCAGTAGCACGGCAGTAGCACAGCCAAGACGTTTCGATAATGCAGAAGGTTGTCGGCACAGGTGTCCGTGGCGCACATGTCGCTAGGTACCACGGATTGCATGAGCATTCCCACGGTATATCGCTGCAGCGCCGTCAAGGGTGACGGTGAAGCCTCGGCGAAGAGTCTGGGGTCCGCACGCTAGAGACGCCGCCTGCCGAAACCCTCCCGTGCGACTGCAGCATGGACAGTCAGATCAAGCTGACATGTTGGGACCTGCAGTGGTACATGTACGGCTAAATTCGTCAGATCGATAATGCTACAAGATCAGCGCAACAGTGGGTTCGCACGTAGGCTGGTCAATGCAAGAATTTCCGCAGTACGCAATCATCCCGCTTCGCACTTCCTCTATTAAGCATCGCCCGTTCTCTATGAGCAACGAACTCTGGTCCAGGGGATCAATCCTCATCGGTTCTGGGCACGCGGACGTGCGCATGCTACCGCTAGCTGCGAATCCCATTGTTTCAGGGCCACGAAACGGCCACTGCCCGTGGAGGATCTTCTCCCCAGCATTAGCTCAGAACTCCTGGGCATGCCATTGGTTACTCTGTAAGGCATCCCTATCCACTCACCATGAACCCGCCTGCAAAGACCCTGCGCTAACGGCCGTATTACCGAACGAAGATTCGAACTGCGTTCGTTCAGCGGCGTCCCTGCGAGTAGCCCATGTTGTCGGCCAACGATTGCCGTAAGGACGTTGACGGCAGAGAAACCGCAGCGACAACTTTGGTTGTTGCGGCATCCAAGTGGACCTTTACCGGCGCTATATCCTACAAGAGGAAGCAACGCCACGAAAGACCCTCGAAGCATTCCATTCAAACGGATCCAGACGCTCTCCTTCGAGATGGCCTCCGAAATGGAGACATGGCATCGCAATAGTCTGTGGCGAGGTCGTGAAAACGAGAAAGGGGACATCTACTGACTATATATGAGGCTATAAGGCTGTCTTCTTGGTATCATCACCACCGGCTGAATTCCCACCTGAATTCTCTCTACTTTCTCGGCAAGATGAAGCTCCTTCACATTGCAAAGCTCATTTGGGCTATGCTTCTAGCGAAGTTGATTGGTGCCCAGAACCAGAACAACACGAAGTGCCACGTCCTGCCTGGCGATGCCGACTGGCCAAGTACTGAGGCATGGTCGACATTGAACGAAACCGTCAATGGCAAGCTGGTCAAAACTGTCCCCATTGGCTCGCCATGCCACGATCCCACCTACGACGCTAGCGCCTGCGATGCTCTGAAGGCAGCGTGGACCAACCCTCTGACACAGTGAGTACGTTCAATCAAGCACAACTACAACAACTGACGATGACAGCACTCCCTCTTCTCATTCAATTATGCAGGCGTACTTCGCCACTCAGGCATGCGACCCCTTCTCTAACCGCAGCATTCCTTGCACGCTTGGCAACTACGTCTCCTACTCAGTCAAGGCCACCGAGGCTTGGGATGTCGTCGCTGCTCTTGAGTTTGCTAAGGCCGAGAACGTGCGTGTCCTGGCTCGCAATACCGGTCACGACTTCTTGGGCAGGTCTACTGGTGCTGGAGCGCTTGCTGTCTGGACACAAGGCTTAAAGAACATCACCTTCGGTCAATGGTCTGACAAGTACTACACAGGGTCCTCAGCCACTGTTGGTGCTGGTGTTATTGGTTACGAACTCGTTGAGGCTGCAAACAAACAAGGCCTTACAGTCATGTCCGGAGAATGTGCTACTGTCGGTCTCGCTGGCGGTTTCACCCAAGGTGGTGGTCACTCGATCCTGAGCACCCAATTTGGTCTCGCTGCTGATCAGACTCTTTCCTTCGAGGTCGTCACAGCAGAAGGCGAGGTCCTTACTGCCTCGCCGACTGAGAACTCGGATTTGTACTGGGCTCTGTCCGGCGGTGGCGGTGGCACTTACGGCATTGTCACCTCTATTACCGTCAAGGCACACGAGTCGAAGACAGTCGGTGGTGCTGCTATGCAACTTCTTGCCTCCTCCACTAACGCCACAAACTACGCTGCCATCACAGCCAAGTTCGTTGAGCTCCTCCCTGCGATGATCGACGCCGGCGCCATGGTTGTCTTCCTTATCAGCACCCAGTACCTTGTCATCAAGCCCCTCACCATCTGGGACTCGAACGCAGCTAAAGCTAAGGAAGTTCTCAAGCCATTTTCCGACTACCTCGTCTCGCTTGGCATCACTCCCCCTATTGTGTACAGCGAGCTCGCATACCGTGACCACTACGACCGCTACCTCGGCCCTCTGCCCCAGGGCAGCTTCGAGGTCAACCGTTACCAATTCGGCGGTCGTCTGATCCCCCGCTCAGTCGTCGAGAACAACACCGCAGAGCTGAATAAGGTCCTCGCCGAGCTCGCAAATGAGGGTGTCCTTCTCGCCGGCAGCTCAGCCGACTACTCTAAGCGCGCAAACACACCTGACAATGCCGTCCTGCCAGCGTGGCGCGACACCATCACCCAGCTCCAGCTCATCACCAACTGGAACAGTACCGCCCCCTGGACCGACATGGAGGCCGCACAAAAAAAGATGACTGAAGTGCTCATGCCCAAGATCGAAGCTGTCACTCCTGGAAGTGGATCGTACATGAACGAGGCCGACTTCCAGCAGAAGAACTGGCAGACCACCTTCTACGGCGGCAACTACGAGAAGCTTAAGCAAATCAAGAACAAGTACGACCCTAACCACATTTTCTACAACCTTAAGAGCGTTGGTAGTGAGACGTGGACTGTGGACAAGGATGGCAGGATGTGCCGCGCTTAGACGATGTGGAGGAGCGGAGCGATTCGACTCCTCTAGGTCGGTTTCTTGTGTATGTTTTGGAGCATGTATAGCGCGGTGGTGCGCACTTTGGATTGGAGGCTAGCATTTGCATTCTTGTACATATCTCTCAGCATAGCGCGGTGTAATCTGATGCATTCTGGAATAAGTCCCGTCTGAGTGGTATGCGAATGTTGTAATGTGAAGTAGTTCGTGAGTAGATATCAGTAACAAAATAGATGGAAGTCGGACCGTTCGACGTTCTTGGCGTGCAGTTGGTACGACCTCTAAATCAGAAAGCCTCTAATAATCTGTGCGTAGTTCCTACTGTGTTCAGGGCATCTTCAATTGCTTGGAAAGTCAGTTCCTACGAGCATCGAAAACCTTCATCGAGAAAACACGTCCGCGATAGTACTGTGACAAGGAGGCCAAAAATGGAGATACGGCTGAAGAAATGTGTCCATGCACTGTGCGATGCGGCAGTGAAGGTGCTAGTGAAAGTGCGCTAACACCGAGCAACAAAAACAAAAGCAAAAAAGATGCACGCTGCCCAGAGTCGAATTAGGGCTTTCTGGTGGGCTACCATTATGTCGATAGTCTACTATCATGTCTAGTGGTCTACCACTATGTCTATCAATTGATATGTTTGCTAAATGACGAAAACTTTAAAAATTATTAGATATCCATATAAGAATATTTCAGAACTTGCTTCTTGAATATTCAGGAGTTTGCGCCGGCAAGCAAGCGAGCGCAGTGTTTCAATGCGTTAAAGGTTGTTGGGCGTAGGCCTCCGCGTGCAGTGGTCCAACTGAAGGAAGCAGTGCTGCGACCAACACGTCACATCGATTCCAAAAGCTGCGTCCGGCTAGCGATAACTGAGGCTAAGATTGGCCGATCTCGGCTTGCTTGATGGCCAACTTTACAGGCTGCAGCGTGTTAGATCGCCGTTCAATCGAAGAATGCTGAGAGAAACATGCCGGTTGATGAATTCGCACTGTTCTATATGGTTGAACCTGGGACCTTCGACACTGAGAAACGCATGAATGGCATGTAGTTGGCTCCTGAATGTGCACGCATCTTGATGCGATCCCGCACTTGCTAGGCAGAGTTTTGTGCAATCATGGCGTAGAAAGGACGATGGACGTAAGGTTTCTCGAAGACTGGCCTGACGTATAAACCGATGCTAAGATGGCACTAACTCACTGCGGAACTTGCAGCGAACAAACACCACAAGTCATACAAAAAGAAAATGGCTAAAGAAAGCGATAAGCACAACCCGGGTTCTATGCTGTTATCGATGCAGTCACAATCCGAAGTGGGAATCATGTAAGAGAACATCGAGAAGGCGCAAGTTGGTAGAGTTGGTTATTATGGCGGCAGACGGTGCCGCTGGAATACAATGGAAAACTGCGCTGAGTTGTTGACTAGCTAGGAAGCAACGATATATATACACGGGCCAAGCTACGTGCTAACCCAACATAGTCATGCCGTGTGGGTCATGCTCATAGGCTACTGATACCGCAACAATTATGTGTTTCACGTTACAGTCTTGTAGCATCTGTTGCAGCAGTAGCTCATTACGTTACACATGCCAAAGCGATTCTGCTACCACTTTAAACTCCGGCTCCCAAAGAAGTCGCTAACAAAGATCTTAGTGCAAACATTCAAACACATCAATCAACCGAATATGGGGCGTGATCCAGCATATGGAGCCCTTACATGAGAAGTTTTAGACTTTGCCCTCGACCTTATCGTTTATATTGACGATGTCAAGAAGAAACATCTTACCGGCGGGCTAGAGACGACACATGTAACAGCGCTCCTCCTCAGTCAAAGGGTCGTGACGGTACTCGCAACGTGGGACTTTACAGAAGCCCTTAGTCTCGAAGTGAATGTGGCAGAGACCCAAAGCTCCAGTACTTGTTCTAGCCGTACTTGCAAGGCCAGACCTTGCCTTGGTCGACCTTGTACTGGACCTTCTCTTCACGCTACCGGTATGTCTTGTTCTCGCGTGGCGCATCTGGGTACTTGAAGCTGTTGTTGGTGGGAAGCGGAGCTTCATCGGTTGTTTGAGTACTCGCAACCTGGGCAGGCGCATGCTGCGCAGGAGTAGCTGGGCTGCAAGTCTGACGCACCACGTCAAGCCTGCCCTTGAGCTTCAGATTCTCAGCTGACAGCTCGTTCATCTTGCTCTTGTAGTGAGCTTCCATCTCTACAAAAAACGTCTGTATGCGTCAAACTCGAGCTTGACCTTGTTGTCTTCCTGATCCCGTTCAAGGAGCTTGTCGATGGCGCGATCCTTCCCAACCACGGCCTGAGCGTTCATTCCCTTGTACCAGTCGGCCATATCTTTAGTGGCGTTTTCGTACCTGGCGATTGTCGCCCTCTGAGCCTCCTCGTTCTGCCTAGTCAAGATATCGTAGGCGTTCTTTCGGTATCCCACCTCATACTTGAGTTGTACAATTCCCTGGTCCTTGTGGTGGGCATTGCTTTGCAAATCGAGGAAGTCGGACTGCTTCTGCAAGAGAGCTTGTTCATTGGCAAGAGCCTCCTGCTTCCAGGGACAGTCGTAATGAGGCGTAGCCTCGGCGCCTGCTTACAGCTTGCGCTTCTTGGAGGTGGTATCGTGGTTGTCAGCGGCCGAAGTCTGCTCCCGTGCTTAAGCTGGTGTGGTGCCACGAGCGGAAGAGTCGACAGGTTAACGAACAGCGCCTGCGTGCGGTTTAGTAAGCAGCGACCAAGCAACCAAGTAGTGGAACCTACCTGTATCGTGGCAATGCCCGTGGTACTTCAATCCCAGGTGGGGCGAGAGTAGGCGCGGTTGAAACCTGCAAGGGTCAGCACGAACAGGAAGGAGGAAAGAGTAGTTACCTCCCAGGTGAAGAGTCTGCCTCACGCTTGATGAGCAACGACTTCTGATGCTCAGGTAGTGTCATCTAATTATACCAGTCAGTGATGGTGTTACGATGTGCCGCGGCCGCTGGCAACCTACCTTGCTAGTGGCGGCTTGCGAATTTGAGAGCCTCTGCGACTGCTATTCGGTAGGCTTTGCGAATATCAAAAGCTGCGGCGGCGAGGGGTATTTGTGTGACATGGAGAGAGCTAACGGCGAAACGTTTTCCCCACAACCAGCTGTTGGAGTGAAGTGAAAGAAATGGAACAGACTACCCCACTCGACGGGAGCCCTCTCGGCCACCTCATGACCATGAGATTGTAAGAGCAACTTGGATGGAGAATCAGAACAATCTTTTAGGCAGTCAATTGTGCTCTTCAGATGCCTCAAAGACCCCCAGGTTGTTCAATTGGCTATCGTTGCGATCGACGTATCTACCAATGGAAAATTCCACATATCTGATATAACGCCCGGGCTCCGAACACATCGGTGTCCACCGGGACCCTGAATTGTCCTTGATACGCTCAAGCTACGCTGTACTGTCCATTGCGAGCTGAGGTCGCGGTGTAGAGCCATGCAACGCATGCTCTCCTTTTCGTTGCCCCTGTCTCATAGTCCTTGATCGCAGCCTTCGGTGTATAGCCTTCGATCATTTCGCGTAACCATTCTCAGTATCCTGCTCCTGTACCTCTCCAGCGAATAACATTGCCTCAACTGCCCGTTCGACAGCATCTAACATTACCATCTTCTCCTCACATGCCTGCTTTTTCTCCAACATCTCCCTCCTCAGCGCCGAAATCGTCGCACTAAAGCCATCGAGGGCCCCCAACAATGCTAGTGTCGTGTTGATCGTGTCAAGATGAGAGCTAGCTGCCGTCTTGGCCTCGTCGAGCGTAGCGTGGACAAGCTCGCGCGTGGAGAAGGTGCTGATCTCGAGGTCGAGTGAAGCAAGCGTTTCTGCCAACGAGGCAGTCTCGATCGGGGATGGGATGTCAACAATGTCTTCTTCGGCGATATCTTCCAGACCGAAGGGCTCAGGCGTCTTCGGTGGCAGTGTGGTGGTGCTGGAAGTAGCGCTCTGTTTGATCTTGGAAACTGCGGGCTCGCGTTCGCTGTCGGTAGCAACACCTGAGAGTTCCGGAGCCGATTTCCTCAAACCGAGCGGCAGTGCATCTTCAGTAACCCTATCTCGTGGACTGTGGCGAAAGATGTGACGAAGTAGGTTCCGAGTTGACATCGTGCCGTGAGAAAGGTGTCGGGTGCAAGAGTTGCTGAAGAACCTCGAGATGGCGGGCCGAGAAAAGTAAAGTTCTCGAGCGCAAACAAGGGACTGGAGGTGAAAGGGACTCTGATCCACGACGTCTACCGAGCCCAAAGTCTGATTGTAAAAGATCTTGAGCAGCAGAAGACAGTGAGATCACATACAATTGCAGGCAAAAGCATTGATCATATCTCCGGGACAGATACGACGAATGAGACATTCCAGAAAGAGGCTAAGGCGCGCTCACCGTGCAATCGAAGAGTCACTTCTAGTATCAACGATTGCTGTAGTCTTACCTTCGTAGAACTATGGGATGAGCGAACCCCAGGAACATAGTATTCTGATGTCTGGGGCCTCACGTGAAACCTGCCGAGTTCGTGGCTTTATTCAGTCGCGTCTAGCGCGACAAGGGCAAAGAGCATACAAGGAACCGAACGAGAATGTCTTGACGCTTCCGGAATACCTACGTGGATGATTGAGCTCCGTGAGCATTGTGGGAATAGCAGGGAACCCATCGGTAGTCTGACGGTTGATCACATCGAGACCTAGCCGAGATGCTGGTCGGGAAGATCGCAAGGCGAGTCTTGCGTTCGACAATGAAGTAGATTTGAGCTAGAGATGACACAAGTAATGATGAGATTGGTGTGCGCGTGGTGGTGAAGCACGGCGTCTGGTGTTCTTGCACAATCTCAAGGCTCCTGCCAAGAAGTTCCACTGCCAAGGCACCAATGAAGACTAAGTTTTGGCCCCCATCTCCTCCTTGGTCACGTCTCACACACCTGCAGTTCAACTCCGCATTGCCAATTTCATAAATGGAAGTCCGCACGATAGATAGACGTAGAGGTTGTGATAATATTGTTATTTCACTGCCCTCGATCGAAAAATTCGCTATCGATCGTTTACACGATATGACTCTGATGTCCTGAGCTAGGCTCCCATGGCCGGTGGTTCAGACTGTACAATCTCTTCACGTCTGCTTACGCCCTATGCTAACCCCTTTGGCTTGTAAACAATCTTCTTAGCGTTGCTCTGTCCTACTCGGATGGACCCGAGCTTGTGTGCTCAACCAATCTCTGGCCCTGATGTACGTACGAAAACAACTCCTTGCGGCTAGATTCAGCCTTGTCGAAGCAGTATCACCAAAGACGTGCTCAGGAGTACGCGAAGTGGAAGTTTCAGCCTATATAGAGTCTGTTCCCTGCGAGATATGGGCGCGTTTCCCGCTTGCTTAGCCCTCAAATCGACAATCACCGAACAACAAAATGCGCAATGCCCTGTTGGTCTCGTTACTTCTCGAACTCTTTGTTACTTTAACGCATGCAGACTGCCGGCATCCAAATGGTAACATACAAACCGATGCGTATCATGCACCATGCAGCGATGTCCTCAACAATCCTCTCAATACAATGTGTTGCGCAATCGACCGCCCAAATCCTTCCGGGGGCTACTCTGCAGATGGACTTGCCGCAGACAAATGCTTGCCAAATGGACTTTGCCAGCAGAGCTGGACTCCTGATGAGAACATCACGATGAGAACCGAGTACTACCGGGAAGAGTGCACAGTCAAAGGATGGAAGAATGGCAGTTGTTTGAGTGTCTGCTTGTCCAACAGCGTACGTAAATTAGCCAGTATCGTCTTTCGCCAAATGGTTGACCTGTAGCAGGCCAGCAGTAATGTTTTGATGACGCCCTGCGACGACACCGCGAACTCCACAAGGTGGTGCTGTGGCACTAATAAAGATTGTTGTGCTGGCGATATCGGAGTTGAGATTCTTGCTCAGACATTCCTGGGAATGGTCGCAACTTCAACATCAGCCCTGAGTTCGTCAGCAACCGCGACTGCTTCCGGTTCCACTTCTGCGCCAACCCCTACCTCATCCAGCTCAACAGTCGCTAGGAACTCCGGTGCTTCATCGTCACTTTCAGGCGGCGCAACCGCTGGTATCATCATAGGGGCATTGGCAGGAATAATGCTCGTTGGAGCTGCATGGTTCTTCATTGCGCGCCGACGCCGGCCTGCTGGTCCACCACCTCCGGTGTACGCCGAAAAAGGTCAAAGAGCTGATGATCCCAAGACATACTACGCACATGAAGCCGATGGATCTGGGCCGCAGGTGTCTGAAATCTCGGCTGCCAACGTCAAGGATCATGATGGAAGAACCGGAGTGCATGAGATGCAGTGACGCACTGAAAAGTACACAGACCACGAACATACAAAGGGGCTACATCGAGACCAAAACACGATTTTGAATTCGTTAGGAGCATGAGTAGACACAATGCCATTATTCTGAGCTAGCGCCTACGCGAGTAGAGCACGCTTGAGGACTAGTAGTATCGTCCACCGCGCTGGCTACCCATCTCAGATATTGGCTGTTGATATGCAGCTATCTGGTACTGAGGTCGATTGGTGGGCAGCATCTGGATCTGGCTGCCTGCCTGTGAGGTTGTTCCAACAATAGAAGGTACCGAACGACTGGACCTCCTCCTAAGAAGTTGCAGATATAGAGCCCAGGCGCCTACCAGTAGGCTCGGAATGCCGACGCCCAAGCCGGTAGCCAGAGCAATGACATCGGACTTGCTGAGACCTTCGTCTTCTTTCTTGTCTGCTTCAGTTAACCCTTGGGTCGATATCGCTGTGGCCGAAGCTGACGCTCTTGCAGGCACTGTTTCCGTGCTTCTAGTTGATACACTCGCCGCTACTCCCTTACTCGCCTCGGCGCCGTCTATGGTAGTCGTCGCCGGCACGCTCGATGCAATCTCCACATTCGCAGTCTGACAGTACCCATCATACAAGCCCAACATGCTTGTCAAATCGCCCCCTACATCCCCGAAGCTTGTACATTTTGCGCTCACGCAGCTCGAGATGTAGCTTGAGGCACTTTTTGCTAGACCTGCGCTACAAAAGCAAGCATTGTTTGGTCCGCAGCCACAGCCCAGATCTGTCCCAAGGTCGTGATAGCCAGCGTTAACACCGCAGGCCCATATGCCGTTGAAGACGAGACAACCAGCGGCGCAAGGACGGGCAGTGGAGTAGGCTGGGAGTTTGTGGATGGAGATGGGTGCTAGAGGGCCGATTGTAGTTGTGGCTGAGACCAAGTGTAGAGTGATAACGAGTCCCAGCGAGAGCACAGAGAAGAGAGGCGTAGTTGACCGCATTGTTGAATGCCGCAGATCAGTTCGGTTGGAAAATGGAGCAAGCAGCTTTTTGGACGCGTTCGCTGAGCTGGAAGTCGGGAATTCGGAGAGTACCGCGTCTTGAAGCCGCCGTCCTAATTTATATTCTTCGCTACGATGTATCAAGATGTTGCACCAGCTTAGACCTTTCGCTTACACTAAGCAACCATTGGTCGAACTTGATCGCCGAGAGCTGCATAAACGCCCTCATGCGGCTGAGAACTCCAATAGTGATCTTGAATGTAGCGACTGTGAGACCCTGGCTCAAAGCGAAGAATACGAACTGCGGGTATGTCTGGAATACAGTCCTTCGGCACAATGAATACTTGTCGTGGTTGCTGACCAGGAGCCACATTCCTGAAGCGATTCGATGGGTTGAAAGGTCAAGACAGGACACGCAGACCTGGTTGGCAGACAGACTGACTCGACAGCAGAGAATTGTTTAGACTCCGTGCTGAGGCGCATCCATCAACTTCGCATGACGCCGTACCTAGGTAGTCATCACTATCCACCTGAACCCGATCGGTGTAGGCGAGAGTACATCGCAGTAGGAAACCTTACCAATTCCTTGTGGCAGTGAAAGAAACAAACAGCCATATCGACAATATATTTACTAAAGGCCACACTTGCACGCTTCCCTGTCACTGCCCAAGACCTTGCGAGAATCAAAACGCCTTAATTATATGTTTATTAGTTTTCAAGAATTTCATCAATCGATAGACGTACCGTGCGATCTCCAAGAGCAATAGTGGTAGTCCATTCCCCAAGAGCAATGATAGTAGCCTATCCCCACCAGAGCTATCGTGGTAGCCCACAAGGAAGCCCCGGTTCGACCCCAGACCGCACGAGTCTTTTTCACTGTTCTTTTGCACTCCCTCGTTGTCGGTGTTCCTTCACTCGCACATCCTGCGCCTACAGAGCGCACGGACACAACTTCCTACTGGAAAAGCGAAAGGCAACACTACCATGGGCCTCTCAGCCTACTCTTTGAAGACTGTAGATACTTCAGCGGGGCTTGTGAAGATCGTTACTTATTCTTGTGCTCTATGAACGATACCGCTTGCCTTATATTTCGAGCTGTCTTGTATTGGCGACGTTCGACTCTGGTAGTAATATTAGCTTTGTAACCAATCGTACTTGTTGCCATCTGAGAATGATGGCACACAAGTAGGATTATTGCATAGAGTATACACAATGGCACGAGCATGCCTTCAGGGTACGTGTTGCGAGCATCGGGGCAGCTATCCCAGCAATACTGCAGAATTTTAAATGTCGTGCTTCCTGTTGATCAACAAATAAACAGACAGAGAGTAAGATCTCAGGTTTATCAACATTACTTTATTCGTCGACGCGAGAACGCATCGTTCCCAAAGAAGATGCTTGAGCTCGGCGATCGTCGCGCGTTCCGCATGAGGCCATGTAACCGAACGGCTGGCACGGACCTCGATGACGCCTTTCCCCATACTTTCGAATGCAGCTCCGTGATTGGTTGCTTCGTCATGTTTCGCAGCTTTCCGGTCCACAGCTCACCACCACAGACGTCAGGTTCCTGGATTTGACGCTTCTTCTCACTTCCATCATACCTTCCACACCTACCAGCGCATGACCCCCAGCTTGTCGCAACGTAGCTCAAGCTCTTACCCATCAATTGACCATCGACCCCGCTCGTGTGAAGTCAACTCCGCCTTTGCGTACCATCACGTCATCTGTTGAAAAGAGCTTCTCGATCAACCTTCTACAGGATGACTGAGTCTGAAGTCCAACAGGGAGACAAAGGTGAGTATCAAGAAAGCTCCAGCACGGCGACGCTGCGTCTACCCTGCGCGCTTGAGACCGCTCGAGCTAGCACCGACGCGCAAACAAGAGCGTTGCTAGTGATCGCTCAGCGCGCAAGCGTGTGTAAGGCTCGCGTGTCCACCAAGCTTCAAAGAGACGTTTCTCCCAGTAAAAACGTGTGCTGACCTCATTTCGCTCTAGTTTCATGGTCGTGGGGCTCAGGACAGCCTGGCGGCAAGGTTGCTGAGGTCAAGGAACAAGGCGAGATCGCCATCGAGTCCAACCGTGGCAACACAATCAAGAAGAACGCCGAGCCTGAGAACCCCGCCGTCCACATCGAGCGATCCGGTAACAATGTCGTGAAGCGCGCCTCCGAGCTCCAGATCGACAAGAAGGCCGAAGGCGCCTCGAATGGCGACTCTAAGGAGCAGGAAAAAGGCTCCGAGTCTGACAAAAAGGATGAGAAGCAGGACGGCGATAAACCAACCGAGTCTGAGAGGAAAGACGAGGAGATGAAGGATGCTCCAGCCTCAGAGGAGAAGGAGACTGAAAAGGAGAAATCGGCTGGGAACGGCGACTCCAAGGGCGAGCAAGACAAAGCCGAGTCCAAGGAATACTCAAAAGAGGGGTCCAAGGACCATACTGACAGGTCTGACGACAAGTCAGATGAGGCACAGACTGGCGACAAGCGTAAGGCCGGCGAGACCAACGGCGCCGATGCTGAGAAGAAAGCACCTGCTTCAAAGAAGACCAAGACCGACGATGCTGAAGCCGAGGATGACAACAAAGCCGAGAGCGACGATAAGGCCGAGGCCGAAGACAAGACCGAAGGCAAGTCCAAGGGCAAGGCCGGTCGTCCCAAGGCCAGCGAGAAGAAGGAGAAGAAGGAGCCTGCAAAGAAGAAGCAGTCCAAGCCAGCGGCCACCGAGGACAGCCAGCCTAGGCGCAGTGCCCGTAACAAGTAAATGGCAGCCTCCGGCGTCGTGGCAGGTGGTCGCTACATCGAGACCATAGCTTGGCCGAGGAAGGGATAGTGTATCTGGTCGAACTTGATTTGGCTGTTAGGCGTACGGTAATGATTGATGGAAAGGCACCGGTTAAAGCCGTATGGACATTGGCGGGACTGGTAGTTTCGCCGGGTCGCTGGCGCCCTAAATGTTGTCATGTACTGTGATTCGAACCCCGTTGGCTATGCCTTATACTGCACTCTGAAGTCTGGCTTTGCGAAGCAGCAAGGACTGTTAGGAGTAAATATGTATAGGATGTATGTAGTTGGAGAAATGTAACAATGATTGTGCTTATCTACGACCTGTTCACACCATCAGCAAGTCTTCCAAAACGACTGGTCACAGTTGAATGTAAGGTGTCATTCCAATCAGTATGCATCTTATGCGTCAGTGAGACAAAAGCACTTGAGCCTCTCCGATCCGTCTTGAAACTTGAGTATGAAAGGAATCATCAGGGAACGAAGTAAGGTCCTTTGGTCGAATTGCCACTTACCTAAATTTTCATCGCTGCTGTTGTTGCGCCCTATTGCGTTATATGTGTCGCTCGTTTCGCAGTGCAAAGCGCTGTTGGAACAGGTCCAGCAGCTGGCCACGTTAGGCGGCAGGTGGTAAAGCAAGAAGAGATGAGGCCACCAGCGGTGGGAAGGATGGGGAAGCGAAGCTTGGCGTTCCGAGCTACTCCTTCCTCACCGCGTCCTCGACACTGACCGGCAACAGACCTGCGGAGGCCTAGAGGAAGCATTGATAGGCTTTCTGTTCACTTCCACTCGGTCCCGATCTTCCACCCGCGGCGGCATCTGTGAAATGCAGCACGCCCTGACCGCTGCGAAACAAGACCACACCTTCAAATACCGACAAGTCGACAAATCGACATGACAAGATCGCCCTGTCTGTCATCCCACGAGCTATTTTATGCGGCAGCGAGTCCGAAGCAGTCGAAACAATGCGACTGTTGAACACATGTACTCTAGGGCTGGAAAGCTTTGTTGGTGATTACCCACCCTACGCCGTTCTGTCGCATTGCTGGGGTGAGCAAGAAATCATGTTCTCAGATGTCTTAAACCTTGCGGAAGCGAAGAAGAAGCAGGGTTTCGACAAGGTCGAGAAGACGTGCGAACAAGCAGTCAGAGATGGTTTTGACTACGTTTGGATAGACACTTGCTGCATCGACAAAAGCAGCAGCGCAGAATTGTCCGAAGCAATCAATTCCATGTTCGCTTGGTACAAGGGGTCAAGCAAATGCTATGCTTATCTATCTGATGTCGACGGACTTGACGGCTTTGCACGCAGCAAGTGGTTTACTCGAGCCTGGACATTACAAGAGCTTCTGGCACCGAGTCATCTTCAGAATGGCGGAAAATCGGGCATGGACTTCTTCTCAAGCCATTGGGTCAAGCTGGGTAGTAAATCGGATCTCAGCAACATGATCAAGGATATCTGTGGCATTGAGAAGGAGTATCTCGAAGGCCAAAGCATTTACTCGGCAAGCATCAGCATGCGTATGTCCTGGGCAGCTGAGCGGAAAGCGACAAGATCAGAAGACATTGCTTACAGCTTGCTGGGTCTTTTCGACGTCAACATGCCATTACTATATGGTGAGGGTAAGCTAAAGGCTTTCCGGCGCTTACAAGAAGAGATCATGAAAATCTCAGAGGACGAGACTCTGTTTGCTTGGGAGAGTGCCAATTTTCAATTGAGCTCGGCTTCTGCGGACGTGCTAGCGAGCGACCCAAAGGACTTCAGCGAGGCTAGATATCTAGTTCCCTTCGCCTCCGATGAGCCTGTGGTCCCTTACTCCATGACGCACAGGGGACTTCGAATATGGCTTCAGCTTTTTCGAATCGAGGACCTGGAGGATGGGATCAAAGACAACCTGCGGAACAGCATCCGACCTCTACGATCTCCGGTCATGATTTGGTCGAGCAGTGACCTTGTGTGGGCTATCCTCAGGTGTCATATTGCGCACGACTTCCACCACTTTGTTGCGATACCCCTCCAACATCTCGCAGCTGATATCTACACTCGTGACTTGAGTACAAGTGTCGCATTAGTAACCACAAAGTTTGCGCCCGTTTTAAGTCAACATTACGCAATCAGTGGGTCCGCCGGTGAAAAAGAGATCTACATTCGCAATAGTCAGATCTCTTCCATCTCGAACAGTGTACAACGGAGATTCGGCTTTCTTTTTCGCAATCTTACCCCAGGTCTTGAGATCGCCTATAGATCGTGTCCAATCGATGCTTGGAACCGAAAGGATAGCATCTTGCAAGGCGGCAATAGCACTCAGAAGGATCGATTTTGGCATGCAAGCCTCGCTCTGTTACTACCAACGCCAGCACATGCGACTGTCAGGTACATCACATATTTGAGCTTGGGGTGCGAGAATGGTCCCGCGCTTCAGATGCCCAAAGCGTGGTGCTATCTCGACGATACGGTTGTACCTATGAATGATATGGACTTGCTGGCATTCCATAATATGGCAGGCTCGAAGAAACCGCGACGCGAGGTGACTCGATACCAAGGATCACATCAAACTACAGACTTTGGTCTTAAGGTGTCGATCGAAGAAAACAAGGTACTCGGGCAACGGATGTTCATTGTCGACATAAATTATATCAAGGGCGACAGCAAGCTCGGTGTTCCTGCAGTCCCAACGAACGTTGCGATCCCTCGACCGAATGGCTCTGCTGTGCCTCCAGTGGACCAGGATTTACCAAGCTTCACTCTTATTGATAAATCAGCCTAAATACCCACTGAAGCCGAATCCGCATAGTATAGCCCCAAAGAAAATAATAGAACGCGCATCGAAGTACCCTCAATTCCACGTACATACGGTGAATGGAGCCAGAACAAGCCTTTGAGGTTGCGAATTGGTCAGTTGCCTCGGCATGACAAGAAACAATCAAGCAAAGCTAACTGTTGTCACCCTTCGTACCGAGCAGATCTGTCGATCTCATGTATTTGCTCTTGTGGTGCGAAAGAAAATGTTTTCTCCGATGGTGCAGAGCCTGCAAGTTCCGGGGATCCATACGAGCCATATCGATGAGCCTACAACTCAGCCATTCCCTGTCGATATAGATCGTTATCGACTATCTTCTCGTTTGTACCCAAGTATGCAGCAGGGGTGACACTCTCGTGCCTTTGTTTCCTTCGCTTGAGCACGCATACTGTGGCAACGAGGAAGACGACCAACACGACAGCCCCGATCCCGGCCCCGGTCCCCGCTTTGCGCTTGTCGAAAGCCCACTTTAGGTCGAAGTTGGTGAGGGGTGTTGCAGTACTTCCTGCTGTGCTGACGGTAGGTACCACGGTCAAGATAATTGTAGATACCACCCCACTGGCATTGGTCGTGACGACCGATATTGCGATTGTTGCTGGGGTGACAAGGTTGGGTTGCGATGAAGTCCGAGGTGTGGCAGTCGAAGAGGCTCGGGCACTGGGTGTACTTGTACAGAGCTGACCTTTCTTTGGGAACCAACCCTACAGTCCCAGAGTTTTACAATCGCTCGAAAGATTAGCTAGGAAGTCGGGGCTTAGCATTGCTGCATCGACTGTATACGTTTGCGTCTTTGCATTACTCTCCGAAAATGTGGCATTCACAAGCCAGCAGCTGTGGGCGGTCTTTCCATAAGGCGTGAGGTCGAAGCTATAGCACAGCGATACCTTCATGACGCAGCAATCGAGTCAGTTAGACCATGTGAGCTCATTGGTCGGATCGAGGAAATCGACCACCTTCTGGATGTCCTTCGCACAAAGGGTCTTTGAATTGGACGGTCAGGCCGTTCTGGTTGTAAACTGAAGTGTCGCCGCGACAACCGTCCTGCGCCATGACCGATGCTGATAGGAGCAGCTATGACAGGTACGCGTATCGAAACAAAGTACTGGAATACACGTTGGTAAAATGCGAAGTTGGAAGCAGATCATATTGCCGTCGATGGTCGAATAGGCCAGCGCAGCCGGGTCGTGCACGGCTGGACCGCTGTGAAAGGCTGCATGCGGACTGACTGGAGCATGTTTGTACGCCCTCACCTCCGCCCCAGAAACGCTCTGATAGGGGTATGAGCAGTCTTTGGGTGTCATGGTCTGCAGCCACAATGATGGGCGACGATCTGGGCTATCAGTCCGCCCAACTGCAGCCTTATGAGCTACGCATTGAGTTCGGCGCACGGTGCACAGTATTCAGCCTCACGCGACTCGCAGCATTACTCTTCGCAAAAGACTCAAGAATACGTGAACCAACACTTTAGCCGAACATCGTCAGTTTTGGGAGCGCGTCTCCAGAGCTTTCCAATGTCAAATGCGTGGTAGAGCTGAACTATCAGTATCACAACATCACTTTCACTGCGCCAAGTTCGGCTGTCTGCGCCAACCCCATGGTCGTCCGCAGCAGCACAGACTACTTTCATCGATTGCGTGAAGTCCAATCCAACATGCCACTGGAAGCTTGCTTAAGGAGAGCCTGCTCAAACAAACATCTGCGACAACGATATTGCAATGCTAGATCGGTGAAGAACAATGTCGTTGCATCATGTGTGTACTAATTACGCAAGGACAAACAGCGAAAGACTTTCACACTTTGACCTTCAGGGTCCACTGTCTCCCTAAGCATGCCCATCGACTGAACACGAAAGAAACCAGACTCAGCGCAAGAATGGCGCAGAAGAACCCTACCATTGGCTGTGGGCCAACCTTCTGAACCAGTTCACCACTGATAGGAATACAGATCAGTGTGGCCAAACTTGCGACGAAGTACATGGACCCATAGTACCTGCCAAACTCCTCAGCTCTGCAGAGCTGCCCAACACAAGCCGGTGTCAGCGCCATCCAGCTGCCTGTCCCAAATCCAAAGAGCGCAGAGAAGGCGTAGAGAGCAGGAAGAGAAGTTGAACCGAATGGAAGCCAGAGAACGAGCATGAAGACCAGGGTGAAGACTATCATGACGGCGAGGGTGTTGAAGCGACCGATCTTGTCTGCGGCATAACCTGGAAGAATGCGACCAAGACAAGAAACACCGTTGAGGATGGCAATGAGGAAGAAGCCAGTATCAGCGGAGAAGCTCGTAGTCAAGGTTGCGTAGGTAGGTAAGATACCCAGAGCACCGAACAACACAACTTCGAAGCCGAAAACACTGACAGTGAACAGGCCCAGGCGTAGATCAGAATATATCGACAGCGAGACAATGGCCTTCTTTTTCGCCTCTGCTGAAGGAGGTAGGCGTGCCTTGATGAGGATGTTGCCGATGATGAAGCAGAACAAGAACACGAAGCCGAGGATGCGCATCGACCAAGCGTAGCCGTACTTTGGAAGTGTCGTCCTCAACACTAGAGGGATCACCAGACCACCGCAGCTCGATCCCATCATGGCAATTCCCTGTGTCAGACCTCGCCTCTCCTTAAACCAATGTGCAACCGCTGCCAAACTGGTGGTGGTCAAGAGGGCACCTGAAAGGCCTCCAAGCACTCCGCAGCACAGCATCATCTGCCAGAACGTCTTGCACTCGGCCAGCAGAAAGATCATGATCAACTCGGCAACGCTACCGCACAGTGCGATCCATCGAGGTCCGTAACGGTCGAAGAGCGGACCAACGAAGAGGCCCAAGGCGAGCGATAGGTACACGAAGACTGATGGTATCCATCCAATTGTACTGGCTGACAAGTCTGCAAGCTGATGCTGGCCCCAATAGTCTTGCAGTGTGCCAATGGAGACCATGAAGCCGAATGATGGAAAGAGCAGAAGCCATGCAGCTACTACAACAAGCCATGCACGCATGCCACCTTCCGGGAAGTTGTCTCGTGCGATTTGACTCGCAGTTTCCTCATCAACCCTTTCGCCGTCTTCCCTTCGTTCTGATCGCGTATGCTGTTGAGGCGTGAGCTCGTCGCCATCACCAGCCTGTGCGTACTTTTCTGCATTGCTCTCTCTTCTTGATCTGCTGGTCATCCGGGATACTGTCCGCACCAAACCATCCCATACTTCTTCCAGCTCTTCATACGTTCGTCCCTCGGTTGATGAACGAACATGCACAGCTGGATTCGCAGCTGAATCCATATCGTCTTGTCCTTCAGCTCTTGGTACCTCTGGGGTTCGTGATGTAGATGTGCACCACTCGCGCTTTTCGATGTCAGAAGCGAGTATCTCAAGACTGTCAGCTTTACGTCCGCTTTACAATATAAAGGTTTCTGGCTTTTTTATCCGAAAGCGTCGTTTCGATAATTCCGTCTTGGCGTGACCGCCCTATGACAATAGCGCACCGTATCATGCATTGCGTTTTTCACGCGTCTTCTCGCGCCCTATAAGGCGTGGTAGTTGTCAATCGACCGGTCTCGGTTCCGATTCATCGATGGTTCGGCTGCCCCACTCAAACCAAAGTCAAAGAACTCCGAACTCCAACAACCACAGATTTTACAACGTTTTAGTCCGAGACCGTAGATCGTCAGCGTCGTGGGGACGAATGCCATACTTGAATGCCATTAACGCTGCCGTCACCGTGGCGCGCTTCTATCGGAAAGAGTTGCTCTCTTCAGAGGGTTCAAACGATTGGAATGCGGCAGAAGGCGGAACGTTTACGCCAGAAGGAGTTGAAAGAAGGGACATCCGGTTTGTGTTGCCCTGGTCGCCAACGTCAAGTATTACTCACTCGCACGCTGCGTGTTGCAGGAGCAAGGTGTTCTCCAAAGGACTTGAGGCCCTATCTCTCTATCGCCATCGTATGGCCTGTTCTTCTCGATCTGTCAAACTACAAGCAGTGCCTGCGCCCTTCATCGATATATCGAGTTCTGCGCCGTCATTTGTAGTTCTAGAGTAAGTTTAGTCTCTTGTTCGTGCGGCTGGCAGCTTAGGGCAGCAACAGCAGCAGAGTAAAAAGTTTCTGCAAAGCCTTAGATCTTAGGGCTGGGAAGGTAAGAACGAACATCTGTTGGTCTATTCAAGCATTGTGCAAAAGAAAGAGCAGCTATTTAGGTCGATGCCAGATATTGTGGCGTGTGTTCGTGCGTGGGGCTGCGCCGCCGTGTGAAGTGAAGGTGTAGTGCACAACAAAAGTGCAAAAACAACCCAAATAAAACGCGCGCAGCCCAGGAGCTGAACCTGGGCCTAATGGATCACCACTATTTAACGGTGAGCGGGTTGCTGCCATGTAACAAGGAGTGGTTTACCATCATGTAACAGGGAGTATTCTACCATCATGTAACAGGGAGTGGTTTACTACCATGGAATGGGGATCGCACAGTACGTCTACTGGTTGACAATAGTTTCGAGAATTCAATGATACATATACAGGTTGCACTCGCTAAGAGCACAGATTCGCAGTGTGCGTCTCGAAGCGAGCGGCCTGGTACGCGCTGGCGGTGCCGCCATTCTTGCTGCTTGCTTCTTTGGCGTGAAATAGCACAGTGCGTTCTGCAACGGGTATTTCACACCTTCACTGTCGAGAGCGGTCTGCAAAAGATGGGGGAACGCGACCTGCGACGACCTCCGGCGCGCTCTGCCTGCCATCTCACTACGATGATATCAGACTCAATCGCGACAAGAATATTGTCCATATTTCTCCCTGTCCAATAAAACATTCCCCGGAACAATTCAGCTTTTCGATCATTTTGAGGAAATGTGATGTGGTTCAAGAGCACAGATCGACCGAAACAAGTTGTTCAAATCCTCAGGAGCTGTCAGATCATCCACAGCTTCTGATGAGGTTTCGGGCCAGGTTCCATCGAATGACTAATACATGATTTTGAGTGCTTGCCGCAGACTCAGAGGAACAAGCATATGTGTGTTGGGGCTGGACTTACTTTTTGACCGTTCTGGAGCAGAACGAAGATGTACCTCTTATTGAACGCGTTTCATAGCAATGTAGAGGTTTGCGCAGGAAAGAAACACTACAGAGATGGGCCGCAAGAATTCCATAGGATAAATGGCAAGCCAGAAGCATGGTAAAGTGCGATCGAACCTGAAGATCAACATCAGTCAGGAATAGCAGAGTAAGATTTCGTGAACTCAAATGTTTAACACGGGATTTCGTGAACTCGAATTTTTAACACGGCAGTATTGCATACGCGTGTTGCGCAAAAAGATTGGAACATAAGATAAGTTGTCGTAAGCTTTGGGGTCAACAGCAGATCACAGGCGTGTGCCGTCAGTAGCTTTCGAAAGATCGGATAACAACAGACATAGGTTGGAGTATCGAGGGTTTTCGTTATGTTAAGAAGGCGTAGTGTATGGAAAGAACCCTACCCGGGACGCCGACGGGAAAGATTGTTGCACTTGGGCTTTTGCCGAGCCAACAAACGACTGCGCATTGCAATGCTGTTTTCGAGATCGGGCATGTATTCGCAATTTGTCCAGAAACCATGCTGGAAGGGAGTAACTAAGAGTGGTCGAACATGTCTCGAGACTACAGGTGTCTGAAGTGGAAGACAGGTTGCAGGCAGAGGATGAGCATTCGCGCTTCATTCTCGCAGGTTTGGAATGTGCAAGAACTCAAAGAAAGTTTGAGCAGAAGAAAAGTCACATGAAGCAAGTGTCGAGGCTTTATTAGCGCCTCTGGAGTACCCTTGCATCCTGTGGCGTATACCACGTAAGTGAGTTTTGGAATCGTCATGGGCAGAGGCTGATGAGATTTTCAGGAAAGACAAGACGCAGTACGTCAATTGTTCGAGTCACAGTTTTGATCTTGAATTAAAGGAAAGTAGGAAACGAACGAGCCATAATGGCGTCCAATCTGTATTTCGAGTTTGATAGAGAAGGTGGTGGTGATCAGGTTATGCTTGTAGAGTACAGGCTTTATAGGTAGGTGAAAAGGTTGGCTTTCCGGGCAGTACATCATCCGAGACACTGGCGCTTTCGATTGCCAGAAACGATCATAACCATTCCGGTTCTTTATTTCGGGCACAACAGAAACTCCATCGCACAGCTCTTCGTACTCTTTTATTATCGCGCCAAATGCGTGGCTGTGGCAGCAGGGAGGCAGGAGAGGGCATATCTGCCATCCAGTCGAACACTTCGGATATAGGCTGGGTGGAACCCAGGCTGAACAGTCGGATTCGCATTTAGCTACCGTTTTTCGGTCAAGACGAGAAGAGACAGAGCATGAAGCTCATTGTCGGTGAATTCGAGATTGTATAGAAGAATAGCGGCAGATCAAACATCAAGGTCTTCCCAAGATCTTTTGGTCTCTGCAAGATGCCGGTGAGGAGAAAAGTTGGAAGTACCGGAAGCTAGAATTTATACACGGAAAGACATATGTGCACGTGTATGATGCGTAATGGTTCGAGAAAGACATCGTAAGGCTCCACTCACTTTTGCTGCACGAAAAGTCCATGCCCGTCCAATCTTTTGGATTAGGAGAGCAGCAAAAGACATCAGGTGGCGTGGAGATCATTTTGGCATCACACTGCACAGGAATAAGGGTAGGTATCAAACCGAAGGCTTGCAAGAGGCATCGAACTCTCATTTGTGGCATTTCGAGCATGCGGTAGTTGTCGCTCTGTTTCGAGAAGCCATGTCGACACAGATGGTGGCTTTTAGAGAAAAGCAGACGCGCGACATGAGCTGGCGACTAAGATTTTCTTTTTGAGTGGAAGGGGGGGGGGTGCAGGGAGGGCAGTAACATGGGTGATCTGCGCGATGGTTTTGGCCAATTTCGAAGTGCAAGTTGATGGAGAAGGTAAATGTAAATAGAGCGAGATTATATACACTGCTTGAGAAACTGTTCACTTGATACGTATGGCGTTAAGGCAGGGGCGGGTCAATAGACGGCAATAAGAAACAAGTAGGTCAAGACATTCCCATGAAAGAAAGATTTATCACATTTGCAGCAAAGAAGTATGTTTTGTTTATGATCATGTCGTTATTATCATTATCAGTAGCCATTACTTTCCTCTTAGTATGACGTTACATGCACATGAACCGTAGTCCAGTAATAGTATATACAAATACAAAATTGTCGAGTGATGAGACCCAACATTTAACCAGCCTGGTAGAGACCAAGAGCAACAACGTGGGGGTTGATCATGGAAAGGTTGAAAGGGGTCAGGTAGAGGTCGCTATCAGTGATAGCCAGGAACATAGTGTCATTGGCAGCTGGGTCACCCTGGTAAACCTCGCTGGCAGGCTGGTAAGTGTAACCAGAGTTGTTACCAGTGACAGTCAGAGGAGTGTAGGTAAGGTTCAACTGGCTGACCCAGGCGGCGAACAGAGGAGCGCCGGCAGAGGTGGCAGTAATGTAGGAGTTGTTAGGGCCGACAGCCTGGCCGGGAGCCTCCCAGGTCAGATTGACGAGCTTGCCAGGGAAGGAGAGGGGCTCCGAGCGGTTGCGGGTGATGCCAGGCGCACAGCTGTAGCCGGGGTTCTCCTGGGGGTTGACGCCGACGCAGGACTCGTCAGCAGGGATGGTAGAGTCGGAGGGGTCGGCGATGCGGTTGCCGGCCACCTCGTTGGGCTTGGTGTCGTTGGGAGAGAAGCGGTTGGGGTTGGCCTGGTTCACGATGTGAAGGGTGGGGAAGTTCTGCCATGCGAGGCGGGTGGTGTTCTCCGGGCAGGAGCTGATGTAGGGAGCGAGGTAAGTCCAGGCCCAAGACTGGGGAATACCAGTCTCGAACCAGACGGGCATGGGGTGAAGACCAAGCATCTGGCGGAAAGACATCTGCTGACGAGCCTCGGTGGCAATCGACTGAGCAAGGAGCTGGCCGACCTCGCGAGAGTCGAGATGGTTGATGAAGCCCCAAACACCAGACTCACCCCAGCGGGTGAGCTTCTGGTTGAAGTCGATGAACTCGCGAACGGTGCGGAAGGGGTAGTCGTATGTGCACTGGGGAGCAGCAGTCTCGCCAAGCATATTGGAAAGGAGAGTAGCGTGGCCAGTCTCCTGGATTGCCATGAAGGCAATGTAGGCACGGTCCTCAGCAGTGAGACCAGCCTCAAGGAAGTCCTCCTCAGAGAAGACGGCAAGACCGTTGTTGAACAAGTCAAGCTCAATCCACTCCTGGTAAAGACCAAGCTGAATCGACTCGTAGTCGAAGTCAGAGTTCACCATGTAGCGAGGCTCAGTGCCGTTGGTGCCGAGACCACCAGCCGGGGTATAGGGAATTGGCATGGGGTTCTGGGGAGAGCCATTGGTGTTGTAGTAGGTGGCGGTGGGGTTAGGAGGGAGAGGGGCAATGGCAGTGCCGAGAGTGGCGGGTGCCTTAGCAGCCCCAGTGGTGGTAGGAGTGCCAGAGTAGGGACCGTGACTGGTAGCACCAGTGGGGTCGGCGCTGATGCGAGGGTAGGCAGAGCCAGGCTGAGTAGGCTGAGCAGCTACCTGGGAGTCAGGGCCGAAGCTGGCAGCAGGTGTGCCAGTGGGGTACTCGACCGAGAACGAGGCATCGGCGTTGGTGTAGCCAGACACCTGGGGCTTAGGTGCGGCAGCGGCGAGCGCTGAGAGCAGCGAGGTGCTGAAGATTGCCTTGGAGAGCATCTTGACTTCGAGATTGACTGTTGGTGAAGATGCAGAACAGTAGGGGGGCGCCTTGATTGCATTATATAGACACTGCTTACTGACCGCATCACTGCGCTACTGCTCTCACTGACAATTCAAATGATAACAGGCAAATTTCTTGAAAGCGCTTAGTACCATGACTTCATGACCATCTCAATGAGGAATTGGATCTTGCAGGCATCGAGGAGCTGGACAATGACATGGGGATATCGGAAGTTTTTCGATCAGAGAGGTAGCACGAGCCAATCACGGACGGGACGGCAAGCTCGTCAAGCTGCAGAGAGCTCCGGGCGTTCTGCGCGAACGCGTGGTTACTAGGATGGTCGCCCCCTGCCGAGTTGATGTTTGTTTGTGACGTCGTCTGTTTGACATGGTGGAGTTGTCGAAACTTTTGAGTCGCTAGCGCTCCCCGTTCCTACCGATCAACGGCGGACCGCCCAAAGCAGTTTACTCGTCGCAAAGTCGGCGAATAACAGTCCACTCCTCAGCAAGGCTGCTCTAAATTGTTCAGCACAATGCATCTCGACTCCCATAACTGCCGCGGAGCCCAACAAGGCCTCAGGCCGCCTTCATCCACTTTCGCCGCTTTCCTTGCTGCCGTAAAACCTGCAGGTACCGATTGGGGCCAGCGCCCCACAGCACATGGCCCGTTGTGCGATGGATCTTGCTTGTCATATCAAGATCATGGGGTATCGTATCACATCGGAATCCTGCAAACGAGCACGCGTGGTGTGAGATTCGATTCTGATAGACCGGACAAGTGGCTCGCTGTGCGTGTTTACCTAAGCTGCACGCACAGCAGTTGCTGGGCACGCAGAGTTTAGTCCATGATGTAAGATGTACGCAATGATCTGAGGTGTTAGCGCATTGCCTCCTAATCTGGAAGACGCGTAGTCACGGGACGAAGGGAGCACAAAAGGCGACAAACATTTGTGGAAGATGGGCAAGTGGAAATAATCGCGATGGCGAGTTGGTAGAATTTTGATTTGTTTCGAGTTCGAGGATTTGGAGAAGTCTCGGCCCATTGCTTGCCGTCCTTCAACTTGCTCCAGTTGTCAGTCCGCCAACGGTTATGACGGAGCTCTTTCAATAGCGCGTCTGCTTAGCGGTGCGTCACCTTGCGCGGGACATGGGGCCCCAGTTCTCTCGTGGTGCGAGCTGGTAGCGGACATACTTGCCTCTGTCGTGGTCTCTGCCCAGCTTCTCGTCGAACTTGACTTCGAAGTTCGTGCCCAGGTATGAGGGTCGCTCGGTTGTCTCTGTGTTTGCCATCTCGACATCAGCAGTCTCGCCATTCTGTGTAGTCGAATCTGTCACTGGGGCGACGTTCTGTGCTGCGCCATTTGTCTTTTCTGCACTTGTGCTTGGTTTCGACATGATTGCGCGGCCTGCAGTGTTCTCCTTCAAAGGGTTCTTGAGGGGCGCTTTCTGGCGGACCCATTCTGTCATGATATGCCAGATGTCAGTCCAGGATGCGTCTGTCTTTACCGACCCGGGCTTGCAATGGCTCATTGTCACCCGGAAACCAGCGTGTCGAAGTGCGCCACGCAAGGCTGCGGTAGGTGGCGCAGAGCAGTGCACGACTCTGGCGATGGAACTGGGAATGAAGAAGAACGGGTGGTGATCTATCTCCGCGGGATCAGCTTTGGGGATCAGAGGGTCGAGGACGCGTGTGCTCTTCTCGTCCTTTGGCTTCACCCCAAAAGTGATCTCTTCCAGCGCTGTGCGAAGCATGCCTTCTATCCTGTCCATTGTCGGATACGTCTTGCGATCGACTTCGTTCAATTGAGCCAGTACCCTTTCGATGAATCCTACGTTATGCAGGGGTCCGCCGTACATGGGCCCAACGAGGTGCGTCTTGGTCCCGCAGTGTCTGCAGTGTTCATCTGCCGAAGGGCCTGCGGCGAATCCGTGCTTGTAGAACGGATCGCCCTTTTTGTTCTTCGTAACCTTGTTGCGCGCAAGGAACTGGGTTGTCCATGCGCCGCAGCCGTTGTCGCAGGAGTATACGAGCATCGTCTTGCCCGCTAGAAGCTTGACATCGTTCGGCGCCTTCCGTACTCGGACAAACACTCTGAGGTAGTAGTCGATCGAGAGCGAAAGCAACGGCTCTATCGCCATGCCGTATCGTGCAGCTGAAGATGCGATAGCGTGTAGAACCAGGCGCAGACCTCCCTCATGACAAGATTCGCCCTTGAATGGCAGACCTCCGTATTGCGAGTATGTCTTCTCCAGGTAGCCATGTGACGCAAAGATAGCAGAATCTGTGCAGGTCACGCAAAGGAGACCATCGTCGTTGATCGCTTGTATGGCAGAGTCGATGAAGGGTGCCGCTGTACCGTAAGGGTCCAGGTCGATCACGTCGTAACCATTCTTGTCACAATAGCTGTACATGTAGGCTATGGCGTTGCCCGTGTTGGGTTTGATGGTGGCTTCCAGCTTGTTGTGCTTCACGTTCAGCTTGATCGACTCGACAGCATTTTTCGACATGTCGTTAGATGTAATCGATGTCGCGAAAGGTATCTCTTTCGCATACCGCAGAGCTCGCAGACCGGTCGCGGAAAGAGCATCAAGGATAGTGAACTGTGCTCTCCAGGGCTTGGGTTCCTTATTTGCGTCCGCTTGCGCACCTGACGCAGGTGCTGCTTCTGCCTCTTCTGTCGCATCGCCGTTTTCTGTGAGTTTCTGTTTCTTCGCCGGCGCTGCACCGTCGTCTGTCTCGCCGTCGGCCAGCTTGCGCTTCAGTGTGTTCTCATCCTCGCCGGCCGCTGACTCCGCCTGCTCTTCCTCAGCCACGCCCGTCCCCTGGCCCTTGTGCTTCTTCGGTCCTCTCTTCAGCTGTTTCGCATGCCTCTCCTGCTTCCTCTGTATCGAGTCCAGCCCAAATGTCTTGATCGCAAGCACGCTTAGATCGCGGTTGAATTGCTGGATAGGATTGTAGAAGACCTGCTGCTTCTGCGTATCCTCCTTTGACATGCGTGGGTCGGTCGACGTGGGCGTATCATGCGGTACGAGGATGTGCGCCAGGCCCTCCTTGATCGTTGTGTATTCCTTCCCCTCATGGCTGATATTCTGTCCTGCTTCTGGAGTTGCGTCGATTGTCTTGGCTTGCGGGGAGGTCATTGTAGCGTCGGTGGAAGCCATCATGGGCGAGATATGGAAGCTGCGACTGGGAAGGAAGGAGCTACGGGCAGCCCATAGTCTACGAGAAAATATTTGGAGCTTTTGCGGGGCACACAAGACGTGCAAAACTGGGGTAGGAGAGGCCAGTTTCGTAGCGAGCCGGCTATCCAAGCTTTGTACCCAAGCACTCAAGGTAAGGTGAGGTTGGTAAAAGCTCCAATGTGACTCGTATCGCAACCACAGTTCGCGTCGCGCTCCCAAATTTTGGCTACTTAAGCTTATCTTAGCGCCATCTGGTCCGCGAAGTCGGGCAGACACTCCCCGCACCCTTCACCACATGCAACACAGCATTGGCGCAATAACGAGAGCAGGGTGCAGCAAAGCGGCTTGTCTCATCCAACAGTGTGTGGATTAGACTCGCAGCCTGTTATGCGCAAGCCGGGATATCTACGAGCACATATACTCGCCGTTAGAATGCCGATAGGTGAGTGGTTGCCTGACGGTTCCTAAAACAGCCTCCACCAGGACGCGAGTCTCACCGGCGGCCCCTTGGGTAAGTATAAGAGGCTGAGTCCCGTCTTTCCTTGTTGTCCCATCTTGCTCTCCTTCCGTCATACCTTTGCTCCCGTGAACACCAAAACATCACATATAGCCGTATTCCGCGTGTTCTACCATCACCAGCACCATGGGCAGGGCCGCACCATCACCAGAGTATCGGGACGACCCTGACGCCGTGTCCCTTCACACCACACCAGAGGACTACACGTACGACGACGCACCTGAACTTAATGAACCTCCCTCCTACGCCGACAGCGAAGCCGATGCTGCCGCTCCACGAGCACCCATCCACCATGTCCCTCCGCCCACGACCCGCACCGACCACAACTCACCCTCCTTCCGCAACGGCAAGCCGCAAGTATGTTCGACCACTACATACATGGACGCGCGCTACGACAGCGATCCCGTCTTCCTCGAGACCGCGCTGCGCTCCTTCGCATCCACCGCCCCTGTACCCCTGATGTACATCATGGGCACGCACAAAGAGACCACGAAACGCGGGGACAAGAAAGAAACGCACGATGTGACGGACTTCCGCATCGTGCTCAACATGTCTTCGTACCTGCATCCCAACTTCTCCTCTTCAGACACTTCCACCATGAATCTCGTGACGGCGTCCAACGGCGAGCAGACGCACCGCGGGACAGTGCTGAAGAAGCGTGCCCCCGGCGTGAAACAAGACATCGAAGTCGGCAGCCCAGCCCCCAGCCTGACGGAGTGGTGTCACCGTTTCTGCGCCTCCACATCCGCGCTGCGAATCTTCCGGCTCAAAAGAGCGGTTACGGGGTTCGACGCCACATTCATGCAAAACCGCATCGAGGGGCTGCTACGGAGCACAAACTACCGCGGCCACATTAGCATCACCTTCCCGACTGAAGACGAGAATGTGGATATCTACACCTCCCACCGCGTCAATAGCTGGCGCAATACGAAGTGGATTTGCTGGATGTTTTACCTCACCTTTCTGTGGGTCATTACTTGGCCGATACTGTTCTTCTGCACGAAAAGGTACAACGTGGTTAGGGCGGAGTGGCCGTTTAGCGTGAACAGCAATGGGAGGAAGGTGTATACCACGGTGAGTGAGGAGCAGTACTTGGAAAGGTGGAGCACGGCGATTAGGAGACTGGCGCTGGATCGGTATCAGGGCGAAGCAAGCGAGGAGATGATGCGCGGTGTCACCGAGCGCCCTGCGGATCCACCGATGCCAGGTACTATCACCACGGGTCACGCTGGTGTTGACAACGCAGTAGGGCTGCTTTCGCAGGGCTTCCAGGTTGCGCGCGCGCTATCGAGTGGAAGTGGTCGGGGTCTCGTGCAGAGCGTGCAGGGCGTGCAGGGTGGGTGGGGATACGACACCTGAACGAAGGCCCAGCGTGTGTTACTCTGCCATGTCAGTTGCCTTTTGTTTGTTCAAGGTTCGTACAACTCAGCGCATCGCCTCAACTCGCAGTGTATTGTTGCAAAACTACCAATCCCACGAGCTTTCAAACTTGTCAAAAATACTACGTGCTGAAAAGAGTGAGAAATGGAGTGTCAACGTGCGGATCTTTCAGCCGTTGTTTCTCCCTGTTATCGTGTAGGAATCCTTCTGTTGACGTTGTTGATGGTCTATTTGCGCAAATATACCCATCTCAATATCTGCAGAAATTCCCTAGTGCGTGGTATGCGCACAAGGGCATCGGCCCATCTAATCCACGAGAGCAATCGTATAAACGGGTCTTGTAATGATCGCAATCCGGGCTCAGCTCTGAAGATCGAAAAAGGCATGTACAACACACCACGTGAACTAAACACTCTACAATACCAAGTAGCAAAATCGCCTCAACCGCTCAAGCCCCGCCCACCACAAGAAGTAACGATATACAAGAACGAAAAACGAACCGTAAGAGCCGGGTCTAGCCAGTTGAACATATTCCTCTTCCTCATTCCCTTGAACCGTGTCAGCCCACCCTTCAATACGCGTCCTACCACGTATCCACTCCATCCTCAGCATCAAAGAACTCGCTCCCGCCCTCCGTCGTCCTCGTCGCCGTACTCGCCGTACTGTCACCCCTGCCCCTCCCGCTATCCCTTGGAATCTTATCTTTCAGCCAGCTCAAGATAGCGTCTGTGCCTTTACTCAGGACTTGATAGTTGGGGACGCGGAATTTATTCCCCTCGACAACCAGACTGGTGAGTGTACCCGCGTGCAGACCGATTCGAGGGTCCAAGCGCTCGATGTTGTTGTTGCTCAGGTTGACGATCTTGAGGCCGGACAGGGATTCGGCGGGGACGTCGATGATGGCGTTGTCGCTCGCTATCAGGGTGATGAGAGCGGGGAATGAGTTGCGCAGGCCTGGAAGAGATCCTGTGAGGCGATTCTGGCTGATGTCGAGACTTTGCAGCGAAGGGGCTGTCAAGGGCGCCGTGAGGGGAGTTAAGGAGCTGAGTTTGTTGCCCGACAGTCGCAGCTCGCGGAGCCTGGGCAGTTCGAGCGGGCTTGTCAGTGGGTTTGATATGCTGTTCTTGGAAAGGTCGAGAATGGTGAGGTAGGAGAGTTGTCCGAAAGCAAGCGGTATGGTTTGGAGGAGGTTATTCTGGACATTGATCTGGCGGATGTCACTCGTTTCTGCTAGAGCGATGAGGGCATCTTCGTTGAACACAGTGAAGCCTTTATTGGTCAGGTCGAGTGTTCCGGACGGTGTTACCGTCCAGGCTTTGGAAGACTCAGGTGCCTGCTCCTCAATGGGAAACCCGTCATCCTCATCAGGACCGGTGACAGTTTCCTCAGGCCGAAGTCGTGCGTAGAGATCGCGCTTCATGTCATCGGTGCTCATTGTCAAGAACTTTCTCTCGCGGATGGGGTTCGCAGCGAGTGTCAGATTTTCCAATCCGTCCATAAGCGCAATGCGTTCGTCCACCTTAGAGATGTCGTTTGCTGTAAAGTCGGCGATGCGTAGTTGCTTCAGCGACAAGAAACCCTCCGGGAAGGCCGTGACTTTGTTCTCACCCAGCAGTATTGTGCCGAGATTGGTCCAAGACGTCATGTCAGGCAACGACGACAGTCTGTTTGCCGAGAGGTCTAGATACTTCAGCGCAGGCAAGTTCAAGTTGCCAGACTCAGAGAGGGATGTTAGCGCATTGCCGGACAGTCGCAGTTCCTGCAGATGCGGTGCCGACTGGATGGTGAAGAAGGTGCCCTCCAACCGATTCTTTGTGGCGGTGAACTCGATCAGAGATGTTGACGTGAACAGCTCCATCGGTGCCGTCCGTAGCTGGTTGTCGGCCACGTTGATACTCCGCAACTGCATCAGCTCGCGTATCTCTGCTGGTAGGCCGATGAGCTTATTGCTTGCGACATCCAGGACCTCAAGCTGGGTCAAGCTTGCAATGCTTGATGGAAGCTCGCCCTCGAGGTTGTTTTCGGCAAGCTTCAGCTCGCGCAATGATGCTATCTGAGTGATGACATCGAAAGCTCCCATGCGAAGCTTGTTTCTGGAGAGGTTGAGCTGCGTAAGTTCTGCCAGCCGCCTGAGACCCATCGGCAGTTCTCGCAGCAAATTGCCATGGAAGTCAAGGTGCTGTACACCACCGAACTGTGGGCCCGCATCATCGGAGTCGATGAAGTCTTCAACAGCAACGTCTGGGAACATACTGTCCGGCAGCGTCTCCAGCTCGTTGTCAGCTGCAACAATGGTAGTGACGTCCACGATTTCGCCCCAAGCTACGGCACTATCATTGGGGTCGTACATGCAGAGAACCTCGTCGGGCATCTCAGTCAACTGCATACCTGCAATGTTGAGACGACCAGTCGTACGTGCGCCATCGACACGATTGCGCAGGACCGACTGGCCAGCTTTTGAATTCTGGTTGAAAGGATCGCCCAGGCCAAAGTCGAATCCAGCAATCTCATCAGGATCAGGTAGGATGGCGTCTTTGGGTGGTGTGTCCGCTCTGACGGGTCCAGCCTTGTTTCGCTTCGCTGCTTCTCTGGCCTTCGCAATCTGCTCCCTCAGCGCGTTTGAGGAGTTCTCGGCTTTCTTTGGTGTTCCGTTGGGAGAGTCGCCGACCTCTTGTCTTCGTGCCGCCTTGGCCTGGGCAATGGAGTTACGAAGAGTAGCTGACGAGCTAGGCACTTTGCGCGCAGTACCCGTTGGTGGTGGCGGAGAGGGTGCGGCGGCAACCCCCGGTGGTGATATGGCCTGCCCAAACGTACTGGCAACAGGTGGACGCGCCTTCGGTGTGCGAGATGCTAGGCCCTTGCTGCTAGACAGGGGAGCTGGCTTCGACGGTGTCTGGATGTTCTGTATGGGCCCCAAAGCCGACTTCTTGATGGCCGTCGTGGGACGTGATATGGACGAGATTCGGCTTGGTGTCGCCGTAGGCGTAGAGGCAACAGCACTGGCGCTTCTTTTGCCAGGCACAGTCATCGACAATCGTGTGGAGGATGCACTGGGCTTGCTGGGTGTTGCTGGCAGGCGACTGCCGGTCCCATCACTGGTAGTGGGTCTGCTGCCATTGCTCCTGTTCGACATGGCGGATGCAGGCCGCAGTGGTGGTGGCATGGTGTTGTCCTGATTGAAGAAGCTGGATCTTCGCCGTCTGCCCTTGCCGTTTGCTGGCGAAGAAGGCAGCTGTGACAGACTCTCGATAGTTCTGTCTGACAGTGACGGTCGTGACTTCCTCTTGGCGACCTCCTCAGGCTCCACGTCTGGCACATACTCGGGCGAGGAGCTGCTCTCATGGAAGCCAGCCCTCGATCCAGCTCTTGAAGACGCCCTTGAAGCTGAGCGGAAGCCGTCCAGGCTGCCTAAGACGTCATCCTCCTTGCTTATGCTCGGTGTGCGGACCGGCTGAGAGGGTGTTCTGCTCTGGCGAGAGGGCGGGCGAGCGAAGGGCTTCTTGAAGGCAGGTGCATGCTGGGTGGCCGTGCCGTTGCGTGTTGGCGGCACTCCCGAGCTGGGGATGCCGCTGACTCGTCGGGCAGAGGACGGGACGAGCGAGGCGCGGCTGGGTCTCTTGGTGAGAGTCGCAATCGAGTTGGGGTTGGGCGCGGCGGCGGTGGTCGAGGGGGCGTGCGAGGGGGCGTGCGAGGGAGCGAGCGAGACCCTCGAGGGCTTTCGCTGTACTGTTGGCGCGGGCGCAGGTGGTGGTGGTGGTGGTGGTGCTGCTGCTGCTCTGGGCGGAGCCTGTGTTTGTGCTGGCTGCGGTGCTGGGCGCGATATCGAGGCTACCGGGGGCTTCTTGCGCAATTGGCTGCTCGACGCCGGCGACCGCAGCTGAGGCTGGCTCCCTGAGGGCCTCAGCACCGGCAGTCGCGAGGTCGCTGGCCTGGGTAGGCCAGAGGGCCGTGGGAGGTTCGAGGGCGGATCCATGGCCTTGACGGCCGCGGTATCAGTGGCCAACGTCGCAGTTCATGCGCAGTCGGGTGCTGCCGTGGGCAATTCGAGCATGTCGCGCAGCGATTGGGCCTCTCCCTGCTTGGGCAGTTTTTGGGCCTCTCCCTGCTTGGACAATTTCCAACGGGTGGGCTCAAGTTGCAGGCGGACAGGCCGGCTTGATGTCACTGCGTTGTCGCGTTGCTTGGGCGACGGATGGTTCGCAGAAGTGGAGACAACGTTCAGCACTAAGTACTACAGTGCACGCCCCCGAGCTCCGCGCCTTACTGCCCGCTCCACACCTCCCTCACCACCCGCACGTTGACGTTTGCGCGTCTCCGCAACGGTTGCATGAGAGATTGCTGGACGCATCACGGTCGCATAGCTTTCGCGACACTTGCCCGCTGCACGCGCCGCGAACGCGATCGCCGGACTCGTCCTGGGCCCGCCTGCAAGCACCTACCTCGAACACCTCGAACACCTCGAACACCTCCCGCACTTGTTGCACAAACATCACCACGCCCGCCATACCGCATACTGTCATAGCTCTGGACGCCATGGAGGCTTCCCTGCTGCCGGCTACCGAGGAAACGCGCGCCGAGACGGCTGACCTGAAGTCGCGCTCCAGCTCCATAACACCGCCGCCCTCGTCACAGGTCCCCCACACACGTCCTGCTCCAGTCCGCACGCCGACGCCTCCAACGCCTCCAACCCCGCAGCTCACGTCGCCGCCGCCCACTTCGAAGCTTGCCAGCAACACCACAGCGCTCGTCGAGGCAGCAGCCGCAGTGCTGTACTCCCATGACCAGGTCAGCAATGCCTCCGCCGACGAGCTTCGATCCATGGTCCAAGACCTCACCACCGCCCTGCGCGACATCAGGCTGTCCGCCGCCCACTACAAGCTGCAACACAACATGGCTGTGATGGAAAGTCAGGAAGCTGCAAGTCGCATGGCAGTGGAGCTTGCGATGGCGCACAGGGAGCTGGATGTTCTGCAGCAGGCCGAAGAGAAGCGCCGCCAGGCTGCAGCTCCTCCTGAACCGAGCTATGCTGAGACTGCCAACGCCGCCAATGCCATCATCATGGCCGAGATGAGCCGCCAGCATCAGGCCCTGCAGGCCGAGAACGAACAGCTTCGCGACTTGTTCGAGCAGCAGAAGCGCTTGACCGAGCACAGAGAGGGCGAGCTAGCCAGTCTCATTGAAGAGAACGACCGCCTCAAGTCCAGGATCCGTAAAAACAGGGACCACATGGCGCCTTTTCTTGAGCACATGAACGAGCATGGATCGCCACGCTCAACCTTTGGCACTCCGCAGCAGCCTGCGCCGCGACGACTGCATCGCACTCCTCTCTCCAATGACAACATTCGAGGATCCAACAACTTTGAGGCCCTCCTTCTTGCCGACAAGATGCTCAGCCAGGAGACTGCCACGGCTCCCACAACGCCCAGGACGGCCCCACATGCACCAAGGTCCCGAGGGCACCACAGAGGTGCGCAGTCCATGTCTTCTCTCCCCAATACCCCAAACAGGCGATCGCATCCATATGCTAGGCCACCACGTACCCCACCAAACTACATGCCTGCGGCCATCCCTCAGTCCGCGCCGCCTGCTCACTACCAGCAGAAGCCTGCGCATGAGCGTCGACATAGCTCCAACTCGACCATTACAGCCTCCAGCATAGGCGAGGAAGAGACATTCACCGACCGGAAAGGTGACGAGATCATCGAGTCTCAGGCGAGTCAGATGGCCACGAGTATGCTACGGCGAGCACCTCCGCCCAAGGCTATGCATGCACCGCCACCCTCCAACCTTGTGCAGAGCAAGATCTTCGGTCACGTCAAAAAAGGCCACAGTTCGACACGCCCGAAGGAGATTGAGAAGCGGCGGCCGGAGTCTGCAGGGCACCACGCTAGTCCGCGGGGATGCGTGGATCACGGTGTAGGTCTAGGCATTGGAGGCTTGCGAGAGTAAATCGTTCCTGATCATTGTGCAGGATGCCTGCTACTAGCTACGATGTTACGGCCTTTGGATAGGCAGCTTGGATCTGTCTGACTTTGCAATGTTTGGTATGATATCCCCTTCTGTTCGCTGGTGCTGTAGCGCACCGGCCATTGTTGCTTCACCTTGTTCGATCTCAGCGTTGAGCAGAGCTCCAAATACGTAGTGTGCAGCTTGTAAGCGCATGGCCATTATAAGATGCAATAACAAACTGTAATTCGACACATGACGATCAAAATCATGATCTTGTTGGTGAGCTGTCCGTCCGTGTCGTGTCGTGTCGACGTTTGACGTTCACCGCCAAGACCGGCGAAATGTTCCACCGCGGCAAGCGACCCGCTACGCACCGCTAGCGCGGATGCTTGCAAAATCTCTCGAAGAACGTCGAACTTCCAGCCGTCAGCCCGTACTAACCACAGGTCCATCGACAGGTACGCAGACCACGCCGCGCAATCGCACTCGACCGACAGACGACTAATTGACCGTGTAGAAATCTGCAAAAATGGCCATCAAGCACAACCAGCAGATCCAGAAGAACCATTTCCACAAGGACTGGTATGCGACACCGCCCTGCACATGCGCAAACTTTGGCTGACTCTCCCAGGCAACGCTACGTCCGCGTGCACTTCGACCAGGTAAATCCCCTCTCACTCCGCTGAGAGCAGTGGCGCCTGTGTTCAGATGTTAACGCTCGAATAGCCTGGCAAGAAGAAGTCCAGACGCAACGCCCGTGTTGCCAAGGCTGCGAAGGTCGCTCCTCGCCCCGTCGACCTCCTCCGCCCCGTTGTGCGATGCCCTACCGTCAAGTGTATGTGGAAGCAGGCAATCGAGGCAGCGCATGTGCTGACTTGGAACAGACAACCGCCGCGTCAGGCCCGGCCGTGGTTTCTCGCTCGTTGAGCTGAAGGGTACATGCCTCCGTCTACGCGACCTCAACATCCACTAACACTTCCCAGCTGCTGGCATTCCCCGCAAGTTCGCCCGCACCATCGGTATCTCCGTCGACCCTCGCCGCCAGAACCTCTCCGAGGAGTCCCTCAAGGCCAACGTCGAGCGCCTCCAGGAGTACCGCAAGCGCCTCATCCTCTTCCCCCGCCGCAACGGCAAGACCAAGCAGGGTGACGCCTCCGCCGAGGACGTCAAGGCCGCCAAGTCTGGCGAGAACGTTGTCCGCAGCAACATCCTGCCCATCAAGAACACCCCCGTCTTCGAGGAGGGTTCCCTTGGTGACTACAAGAGCGAGGAGAACGCTTACAGGAAGCTCCGTGACGCCCGCTCTGAGGCCCGCCTCATCGGCAAGCGCGCTGCCCGTGCCGCGGCTAAGGCCGAGGAGGAGGAGAACAAGAAGAAATAAGCTACTCGCCAAAGTAGTGGTTCGGTTCTGTGCTATGCCTTACGATGGATTCAAAAGTCAGGGTCTGGTGATGGATACTCCCAGCATGGGCGGCGTTTAGGTCTGTCAAAGACACATCTTGTGAATGATACCTAGTTTTGCAAATGCAACCACGCCCCCATGAACTAGAGGTGCGCAAACAGCTGTGTCATCAGTGATGTTGGTTTCCTTTTCTACACGGTCAATGCGATGCGAGTGCGCAGAAGCACATGATGTCCAGGATTCTTCAAGTCTTCCTAGTCAAAAGCGCTCAATCATCCCTTTCCCGATTCTTGCACTCCTCACTTCCACTCCCAAGCCTCCTCAACAACCCACTCAAACCCTCCATACCTCACCCTCCCACCCAACTGCACCACCTCCGGCCTAAACGTAACACTGCACGGCAAAAACAGATCTCCCGTCCTTGCCGTCCTCTTCCACGTCTCCTCCCCCACCCCGCCCTCCTCCTTCCCCTCTACATCAAACTCCCACCTCTCCGTCGTAGCAACCAGCCCGTGCATAAGAATTCCTTGACAAAACTGCCCAGTCCTAATCACCACGCCGCGTATCCCTTCCTCTACGTCATGATATCTCAGCACCACACAGACCTTACTCCCATCCGCATTCGTAGATAAAGCGCCGACACTACGCCACAGCTCCTCATGCCCCGCGACCCGGTCGAGATGCGGGTGAAACGCGTGCCCGTGCTCGAGAAACAGCGAGGGGGAAAGTGCGTACATATCGCCCTCGTCGACAGGAATGTTCGGGTGCTCGACGGGATAGCGCGAGTCTAGCCAGTGCGTCCATGTCGAATGGCCAAACTCTCCGTACTTCTCATGCCTCCCTCCCTCCGCCAGACTCGATGAGGAAGTCCCTGCGAATCCCCATTCCAGTCTCTCCCTCTCACCGTGGTTTGGGAGGGGGGACTCGTTGGTCGCGACGGGCTTGCGGTACCGCAGATCGACGAATGTTTTCCTTGGCGAGGTAAGGACGAGCGTGCTGGTGGGCTCGAATGGATGCGGTGGGAGGTTGAGTGGGTTGGTGTCCGGGAGGCCTGGTGTGTAGGGGACCGGCGTGCCCTTTGGGAGAGGGTAAGGGAGGAAGTATATGTATTCTCTGATTGAGATGTTTGCGCTTCCTGTTAGAGCAGGCGGGGCTGTGGTTGAAGGCGGGGGCGTGTAGATAAGTTCCGGATGGGTGTGGGGTTGGGATGGTGATGCCATGGTGTGCGGGCGATGGCGGTTGTGTTTACCGGTGTTGAAGGTGGTGGTGTTGTAGGTTTGTCAGAGTCAAAAGATATATCCAATTGTGTCCAGAGCCCAGGGCACGTTCAGGAAAAAGAATCCTTAAAGTCTGAAACAAACGAGTAACTGCGAAAAGCTAGGTGGAGAACAAGGTCACAATAGCTTTGGATCGAAGTGAAGAAAGTATGCTGCCTTCCAAGCGTACGTTTGCGGGAAGGCAATCGTTCAGTCGTCGTGGTTGTATCAGATTCTTTTAGTGTTTGTGTAATCGAAACAAGACCTTTGCTCTTTCTCGGTGATGTTGTCCGTGTCGTGACTGAGTGTCGTGATGTTGAAGTGGGGATGTGGAGAAGAAGAGCCCCACCTACGAGTGGAGTATCAGCAAACACAAGTGGCAGCAATTGAAATCGATTCTTTACATAGATAACATCGTATTGGCTACAGCTGCTTGTTACAAGAAGTAGCGGCAATACCTATAGGGAATCGGATGTGAAAGTCTGTGTTTCAGCTATGGATTGGAGGGCTTAGGTCCCGAACCTCGTGCCGTAGTTATAAAGACCCAGAAATTCACGACGCAACGACACCAACATTTTGGTAGCTTGAAATCACGCTGGATGTTACATGTTTTGAAAGCAGTTGTTCGGAGCCCACAAGGGAAAGATACAGGTGAGTTGAAGTGTTCATGTCCGGTATCGGATGGTGACTGTGAAAGCGTTAATTCGACAGTCATGATAGATTGGGAAACGTTCGCATCTGTGGCGGCGTGGGCCGCTGTAGTATACTGATAGCTACGGTAAACGATAACGTAGGACTATGGGGTACATGAAATACTGCACCGAGTTGCTATCTAGCTAGGAGATGATATATACTGTCCCTGCAAGACCTTAATGCAAATGGGGAACCACGCAGTGTATCGATTGAAGCATTCGAACGCGTAGGTCGCTGCGACGAGATAGACGCTGCCCCTCATACACGCCTGTGTAGCCGCGATGTCAGTATCTCCCAGAAGCTCCAACTGAGGTCTGGTGGCTCACTCCTGCAACGTAGTACAAGAACGCCACAGCTCTAGGTATAGTAGTCGACATGATGTTGCGCTTGGAACTGTGTGGCGGTTCAGCGCCTTGTGTGGAGTGGGTCTCAATGCTGGTAGGGCTGTAGTGGGCTGGTGGTTGTGATAGAGCGATACGGACCTCCACTCTTCCCCAAGTATCAGCCACCCACGTTGGCTGGACCTGGCTTGCACGCTACCAAAGGCAATGAGGGCGCTCAGATCGACTGTAGACGTCCACCCCCAGCCTCCTTCTCATCCCTTGCAGCTCATGTCTCGCTACCAACATCTTGCCTTCAAGACCTCCAGTTAAACCTGAAACTCATCTTGAGATTATGATCGTTGCGTATTGGAGGGTCCGCAGTCGAACAAAGCCTTCGTAGAGAGGTCGTGGAGTTCTTCCTCAGCTCGACCAAGCATCCGGATCTGGAATGCGCTAGCGGCGGCACATCTCCCGATCCCGTCCCACATTCTCGCGAAGTCTGGAGGCCTTCTTGCAATTGTGACTGCGACTCCGTCCGCATCATTTTCAAACTTTTCAGTCATACCCACACTGGGGTTTAGACCAAACATTGAAGTTGTAACCCTACGACGTGCTCCTTGGTGCTTATCGTGAGAGAGAGCGGATGACGTCATGAATGTTGCGCTGAAATAGCCTCGACTTAGTTCTGAACCCTTCATCGTCACAACGAACACAAAGCTGGAGAAAGCTTCCGAGGCTCAGAAAGGAATGTATCCAAAATTCTCTTCGAGGTTGATGCTTTTCATATTGTGGATAGAACTCCACCCGCAGTTTCGAATAGAAAACTGCTTCGTGATTGGTGAAAGCACGTTTGAATAGGTAAGGAAGCTTCACAAGTTAGACAGCATCACTCAGCCTGGGACAGAGTTCGGGTATGTTGAAAGATTGTATCTCAACGCGCCATATGGAATGGGATACTGTCTACTGATGTGACGAGAAAACCAGGAAGAATTTTGCAAGGCTGACGTATGACGTCTATCACTCTGTCGCCGTTTATTCGGCTCTTACATATCAAGGAACCGCGTAAGACATGCAGCCGAAGGTATGCAAGTGCGACGACAGCTTGACTGGCTGAACTTCTTCAGTTTGCCCAAATGCAGGTACAGCTTGCTCAGACAAAATAGGATAAGGGCAGGGAAACTTGCGCAGTGACGGTGTCTAGATGCGACGTGCATAGCATTTGGTTGAGATCGAGGTGTGGATAACGTAAGGTATGTATTGATCTTCTGAGGTATCGGAGGCATAGTACAGGATTAATTCATTTGTTGTGAACCCCTAGATCGACGCTTAGAATCCAGACACATAGACAGAAAAAATTGTTGCCGGCTTATCCTGCTGGTGATGTGCTGCAAGTCCTCCACTCCCAATCCAGATGACGGATTCAGGAAAAACGCCACCTGCATCTATGATAGGCCAGCTGCGCCACGACAGCACAACCATCAGTATGCCTCCCGTAGCCTTGTTGCCTTGATGAAATCTCCTTAATCTCATGTGGCCTGCGCGTGAAGGATGGTATCGAGGTTTTCGCGTGCAAGAAATCGCCCACACGCACCATGGCCATTTTGCCCCGAGAAACACTGGTCGCTGGTGGTGCGAGCGCAGAGTCGTCGCAGTTTGGTAGATCGTCGCCTTACCCTAAACTTACCATCACGCTTGCCGTGCTTATACCAGTGGTTGCCATTTTGGGACTATTGGTATGCTTTTGCTATCGCAGGAAGAGACGGACGAAGGAAGACGTGATCGAAACAGAAGCTGTTCCAAGTTTCAAGGTCCTTCGGGTGAGGAAGTTCGTTCCGAATGATGATGTCGAGGCCGGCTTATGGCGCGTAGTCGGCGAGGAGATACCATGTGCGAGCAGCTCCAGTACCACTACGAAAAATGAGGAGTCTGAAGCCCGAGATGATGAGCTCGCTCGGTCTAGATTCTCAGACAAGGAAGTGGTGCAGAGCACTGCTCATACTGGATTGGTACAAGAATCTCGTCCGGATGAAGTGGAAACAGAACGGACGAGTTTGGTCAATCGTATCAGGAAGATACGCGGAGTCTGGCCTGGTCCCAAAAAATTCAACGACACCACTTCAGCAGCACAATCAAAGACAACGCTGAGAGTATCCAGTAGCACGTACAAGAAAGATGCAGGCTCGAGTAAGGGGAAAGAACATCTTGCTTCGGAGGAGGTCCTTGGTATCGACAAACGATCGATGTTACAGAGGCTCACGGACCCTCATGGTGAGTTTACGTCCTGGCATGTTGGATATTGAGCTAATTGAGCTAGCCCATCGCTCCTCACATCTCCGTATCGCGCCAGCAAACCTGGATCAGTCAAGTACTTTCGTGAACCCAAGCGATGTCGAGTATGCGCCCAATCCGGTGATATTCTCGCATCTTTATGGGTCTTCAAATGCATTCCAACCTATGCCGCCAATATCAGAAGTAGACGCAACAAGCAAGCCCAAAGTACAGGCAAAGGAGCCATTCGAGCTGGATGCGGTTGATAGCGAGTTCAACCCTTGGCATCATGCACCCATGCCTATCGTGGGCAAAGTACCTCATCGATGGGAGAAAACCCTTGGTAGTAATCGCATGTTCTTCGACGCAGAAGCCGAACTGATGTCAGGACGTAAGAGACGTTCGCTATCCGACCATCATCATTCTCCAGAACCTCCACGGCGGAAACGAAAGCTCAAGCTTTTCAAAGCGAGATCTCCCAGGCCTACATCGGATGGTACGAATTCCAGGCTTGCAGATAAACGATCCTGCACTAGCTTTCCAGATCGTTCCCAGGACCAAGCCGCGACATCCTCCAAATTATCAGACCTACGGCAAGAGACCGATGTGTTTTTGTCCTCAGAATCAGATTTAGCACATCCGAATGTCTGGATTCCGACCGCAGTGCCAGTGTCACTACCTGTCGTACTGCCTTCCGCATATCCGTCGTTGGTGCTGGCGGACGAAGATCACCAGTGGTAGGTTTCTAGCAAACTTATGAGAGTTTTGCTGACCAGGCCGAGGCAACCAAACACAGGCAAATATCCAGAAGCCCTTCCAACGAATTGGCATACTGTCGACACCTCGTTTGCGACGAAAATTGCAGCTTCACACGATCAGCAAGTCCGGTTCTTTGCAAAATTTTGCAACCTGCCAACGACACCAATCAACTTTACCGTCCCTAGAGAAGGACTGACTTTCAACGGAGGTTCATCGGCCCTTTCGTCGCCTGTCTTGCCGTCAGATTCGCCCATTGAAAGCTCGCCAACGCGGTCGTCAATCAGGAGCTTCGGCTCGTCCCTCATCCCGGTGGCTACAAAGTCCTCTGTTGGAAGTTCCACTTCACTTGCAACACAGGCGAGTCGATCGACCACAAGTGTTGCGACAGAATCTTCTGTAACCACGGTCAGTATAGACGACTTGAAATATGCGTGTTCAGACTGCGACCTTCGGTTCCGAACGCCGGGCCAAAGAAGGTAAGTGCCCTACCGAGCAAATCCTGCCGTTATCAGTCTGACTGTTCAGAACTCACTACAATCGCAAACACAACCTTCGATATACGTGTGTTCTCTGTACAGCGGCGTTTGGTTTGCGAAAAGACCTTGAGCGACATGAGTTTACCGTCCACAAAGATCGCTTTCATTCAGAGGTTCGACTGTTCTGCCCAAACTTGTACTGTTCAACACCGCAGAAGCAATACAACCGCAAAGACAACTTCGACAGGCATGTAAACCGGTGTCGTCAAGCTATCGCAAAAAGAGGCATCCCACGATGAGACGCGCTGGAAAATGTTAGTCGAAAGGCCTCGGCTTCAGTCTGGTTTATGGAACGATGAGATTTGGTGTGTTCACTCATGCCTCTCTATCAATTGAAATGGATGACGTCATAAATGCAAGCAATCCAGCAGCCCCACCATGTCACGTCCAACTCCTCTCCTGGCACAATACAACATTAAGAAAGACTCGCTTGGCGGCCTCGCAGGGGTACTTTCGAAATGTATAGAACATTGAACTGAATCTTCGATACCAGGCATCAACACTACTAGCCAGCTATAGCTTGCTCTTATCCACCTTATCCCTCGCAAGTATCTTATGCGCATTTGTAAACCCTCCACTCGCAATCGCCGCCGCCGCACTGGTACCCAACGCCATAGAGAAGCACGTCACCAGACCTGCCAGTTTCCTCTTGCTCCCCGGACCGCGACACTTCAACAACTCTAGACTCGCTTTCTGCGATGCATATATGGCTCCTCCACCCACAATGCCCACAGGCAGACTTGGGAAGAAGAGACTCAACTTGAGATTCTTCGTCTCCTGATTCAAAGTGGTGCTGAGATGCGCCCAAGCGCTTTTCGCAACACTTCCAGCGTCTTGTCCGCAAGCAATGAACATCATGGCTACGGTATTGGCAGTGTGAATATTGCATCCGAACCCGCCATCCCTTGCCACACCTTCCTAATTGTAGACCGCCGGACTCGGTGAAGGCTTTGCAGCCGCGGGAGCATGAGGCGATGAGGGTTGGCTCGACCGTAGCTAGGGGGGCGAAGAAGTCATCGCTAGTGTTCTCAGATCCGAGGATCTTGAGGGGACCTACTATGCCGACTGGGACGCGGATGAAGCCGGCGTGGTTTTCGATGATGGCTTCGGAGATCGTAGGGGGGGGCAGAGTCCAGTGAATTGACTGGCCTTTGAGCGAAGCGGAAGGCCATGGCGAGAGAATAACTCGGATTGGAGGAAACAAACAAGATATGTGTGCTAGATAGAGTCGGAACCTCTTGTCTATGGCCCTAATTTATAGAACAATCCTCCTACACCTCCATACCTTCTTTGCATGCTGTTGATAGGATACTTGTCTCTAGTCAATGCTTCTTCGCAGTTGTTTCCACTTTTCGGCTAGTGATTCCAATGGCTGCGCAAACTCTGATCGGCTCCAAATGTAAGGACAATAGGAGGGTCGTTGGTCAGGCTGACGTTAGCGCATGAAGCACTGAGGAATGAGGAGCACACGTGGGCGGCTCTTGCCATGCAATGCATTAGTAGCTTCATGTGAAGGCGCTTAATATCTGTAGGGCTTCAAAAAAGTCTACCAGACAAAGAAAGGAGTGGTCAATATGTTGCAGGTAGTGAGGCTTTGAGCCTGGGAATGATGATAAGGCTGAGGATCTCGACTTATGCGCTGCAACTTGAGGCTGAAGTAGCTGCATATTGTGATTCTCAGAAGTAACGGACACCCTGAATCGGGCCAATATCGAGTCCCTGGGCAACATACGGTCACCCATTGGACACAATATATTGGTTTGACAGCGGGGTAGGTCAACCAGACGTAATCTACCAATTAGCAACTCAGAAACTCTTCACACCCCTAGGTAGGGGGCGTCCGTTACTTCTGAGAATCACAATATGCGGGTACTACCCGGCTTCGCCTATTGGACAGTGGAGGAAGCGCAAACTTAGGAAGGGTACGCCAATGTAGTATCCAAATATTTCCATATTGAGGTCGTCGGCCAGATTAAGCCAGTGTGGGGTTCGTTGCGCTATAGTAGTCCAGACGCTACGAGCCGTTAACCGTGACGGCAACTAGGTGTTCCAGTCCGCATACATTGCGCGTACGTTCCTAGCAGTTATGCCTTCCTTGTCATTTACCCTTTTGGTAATAGCTGACTCGGTCGTTCTCAGCCGCATGGAAACCGCAGCAAGAACAATCGAGCAACTTGCAAGTTCTCGTCTACTTCCGCCGCCACCACAGTCCTTTTCCCTTGCCCTAGATAGATGCTCTGTACATCGTTAGCTCGAGCATGCACAGAAAGGCGTATTGACTTACCGCCTCGGTGCCATAGTCCTCCTCAGATCCTTCTCCTTCTCTGTCTCCTCCGTAATAGGCAGCACACCCTGCTCCTTCAGCCCCGTTAAGAACTCCTTACCATACTTATATCCCACTTCATAGATTTCCTCAAACTTCGCGAAATCGAGCGTGCCGTACGGGTCGATAGGCGGACGCATGTACCTGCAGCCTGGTGTAGTTTTCGCGCGCTCTAGCGCGTCGATACTGGACACGTAGGCGAGGCGAGATTGGATCTCGGATAAGGTCGGTGGGTTGGGATATGCGGAGAATGGGTTCCAGCGATTGAAGGTGGCCCAGAAACCGGATAGTGAGTCGCCGAACGACTGTGGTGTGTCATCGTCCAAGCTGCCGACATCGACAGCGAAGATCACATCTGCGCCGAGACTCTTCATGTGTGCGACAGTCAGGTTGTCGATGTACCCGCCGTCGAGCAGCATACTACCATTGTCGCAGAGTGGAGGGAGCAGGCCGGCGAGAGACATAGAAGCGCGAACGTAGCGCCAGACGTAGCCTGAGGTGTGGATCTCAGAGCGCGATTTGCTGATGTTGGTTGTGTTGCAGTAGAACTCGAGCCAGGAGTCTTCCATCTGTGAGTTGCCGAAGGTCTTGAAGATTCCGCGATTGAACTCGTGGCCAGTTGTGTAGGATGCGCTGCTGTTGTCAGGTCACAGTAGTAGGCTAAGTTAAAGTGTACTTACGAAGGGTACGTCAAGTCGAGTGCGAATCTCCACATGCTGCCCATGCGGCCAGCGAACTTCTTCGCACGTCCGTACATGGGAACAACGTCTGCATCCCATGCATAGAGCGCACCGATGAAGGCGCCAATGGAGGTACCACCTACGATGTCGATAGGAATGCCTGTCTCTTCGAGCGCTCTGATGATACCGATCTGCGAGATACCTCGAGCGCCTCCCCCACCTAGAACGAGACCAACAGACTTGCCACAGAGTCGTCTTGCAAGTCGGTGGAAGTCGCCCTTGAAAGGCGTCTCCGCAGAGTACAACGGTGTCTGTCGAACTCTCCTGGAGGTATACTTTTGTATCTCGGCTTGGATGACCTGCACACGCTGCTTCAGCGCGTTACCGAAACGACGTCCTGCATGATGAACCGGCTCTTGCGTGGCACGGAACGACATCTGGATGTGATGATGGCTTCCATTGATCCAGGGGCGATTGCGCAGCCACTTACGTGTCAATCCGGGAGGACAGTAACGCTCCGAGTGCAGCATAACAAGCTCCTTGCGGGCTGTTGTCTTTGTCGTCAAGAGGAAGCGCTCGTATTCTCCAATGTTTGGCGACAATTCGGCTAAACCAACAAGTAGGATACAATCTGCTTGGCTGATGCATGTTTGCGTCCAGGGCGATTTGACCGGTGTATCGGCTACGTAAAGGATCATACCGTACTTTTCTTCAAGGTCGGCTAGATACTGCGACAGCTTCAGCTTGCCCATACGGTTGAAAGCATGACGCCCAAGGTGATTGAGAATGGCGGCCTGATTGAGCGACACAACGCCTCGCGGAGTGCCGATCTGAGTGAGGGCATTCATAAGACGGCTGGCGAAGTCGACCACTGGTATACCAGATGTAACAGGTAGGATGGCGATTGTTCGTAGATTGACGGTAGATGAAACGTTCGTGCGTGTTGCCTTGGTACCTCGCTCTTTTGTCTGTTCATGCAAAGGGTCATCGATGAGCGACCGCATACGGGATGCAATGATTTTGGAGATCTTGATTGTGATACCAGGGTGTTCCAACGCAAGGCTGTTGAACAGGGTCTTCGGGAATTTCGCAAGTTCTGTATCTCGAATGGCGTGTAATGACCCAGGGCGTGCGGACTCCGTGAGTACTTCGAGTTCACCCACGCTCTCGCCTTGTCCATACTCGCCAATGACCTTCATGATGCCGCTCTTCTCCGCATCTTGAATAGCTCGTAGACGTCCGTTGAGCACAATGTAGATTGCATCGCTTTCCTCGCCTTGATTGTAGATGACCTGACCCGCATTGACTTGTACCCACTCCAATGCAAAATCGATATGCTGGATGAGACGAGGCAGGAGAGTCGTGAGGCGTTTGGCCATGGTGAGCAAGACAACTGGATATCTGTCGACAATCCTCTCAATTGATGCTCGTGGCAAGAAACCCACATACACATCGGTCTTCGCAGTGACGTCAACGAACGACCGGTTCGAGGACACAGTGCCTAGGTAGCCAGCTAGCCCGCCAGGCTTAGTCATGAAGAGGCTCCGGCGTGGTTTCCTCTTCTTGTTGATACTTTCAGCTAGATTGCGTACGGAGCCACTTGTTGATGTTCGCCTGAGTTGAGGACCGAAAAGCTCTTCCTGACTAAGAGCTGCTCCAGTGGGCGAGGTCCCAAGCACATTCGATTCCGAGCTATCCTCGTCAATGGCCACACTGACGTCGAGGAATCCGTCCACCACATAGTATAGTCCAGGGTTCCTTTCGCCTTGTTCAACCAGAACAGCATCTTTCGGGAAGTAGACAATCTCTACATCGTTCACAATTTCTTCAAGCAGATTTTGATGATTGACGCCACTAATGCTTGAAAGATTCGACGCAGACACCATGGATTCGGTGTCCCCGCCCTCAAAAGGATCCAAAAGGCCGAATGCGTTGGTGAAAACAGCCTTCTGCTTCTTGGTGTCAAATGAAAGCATTCGCGGCGATTGCTCTACGGATCCGGCTGGCTTGGGCATCGGGTTTTCCAGATCTGTCAAGCCAATCGCTTTGAACATGCAGTCGAGAACAGATTGTCTGAAGATTGTGGCCTCGTCGATTGATTCTTGTCGCTGCATAGTCGGTCGGGTTGACGATGAGGCAAAAGGGTTGAAGTTGCTAGCATCAAGTGGGGTGCGAGGGTCTCGACGATTGTCATGTTGGTACGGTTGAGAGAAACTGTTGCCGCGACCTGACCGGCCAGCACCACGGGCCATCTGGGTGTTGGTCAATAAGTCACCCGCACTGATGCGATCGTTGCGGAAGGGAGGCTCCAAGGAAGCTTTCTTGGCCTCAACTTGGCTGTTTGCCTCCATTGATGTTCCTCTAGCCGCAGCAAGTCGAGCTTGCGCAGCTGTACCGCGTCTGATCGATGTGCTAGATCGACGTCGACGTCCAGCACCAGGATTGTGCAATGCAATTCCTTGCATACCCTCATCCGCACCGAGACGCTCTGTCTCTTTGGCAAATTTCTCCTTGAGCCTCTCCAGAGGGGCATCGCGAAGAAACCCGGGAAGATCGTACGTCGTGTACTTGTTCATCAGCTTCTCCGTACGAAGGACCTCATTAGTCAGACTCAGATAGGCATGGCTGGTCGCAAGGGTGACTCTTTGTAGGCGAGTAAGAATGACTTGAACAATTTGTGCGGTCGATTTAGGGTAGACACGTGTCAATCGGTGGAATGCCGTCGCAGGGATAATGGCGATTGTTGTGTCCACGACTGCTCGAGCTACAATATCTGGATGAGCAGACTTGGACTTGGAAGATCGTGATGGTGATCGCCTCAGCTTAGTATGTTTGATGCGGTCGCCGTACTCATCAATATCTAACGACAGCGGCGGTACGCTTGGCAGTCGCCCTCCAGCTGTCGGGCTTGCTAGAGCTGAAGAAGCTCGTCGATGCCCTGGCGGTGCGCGGGGCAAGTGTTGAGGTGTCTGTGGTCCTGAGTCATCCATTGTTGCGAAGCTGCTGTTGCGGGTCATTGGTGGTCTTGGCCGTCCTGTGTATGGTGTCTCTGGCACACTAGAGTCTGCCTCATCATCGTCATGGCGAAGTTTGATGTCCTCAGTGAACAACGACAAGATCGAGAACAACGAGGACATCGGCGCTCCGTTCTTCACTTCAGTCAACAGCTGGTAGCCTTGGCTGTGGCCCTGGTGTCGCGACTCATTTGATGTCTCCTCGTCAGAGTCACCACTCTCGCGCTTCGACTTGACGAAGATCTGTACAAGACCATCCATGACCAAACAGAACCCCTTCTCTTCTTCTAAGAGAATCGTTTCACCCGCCGCAAGTCGTCGAGTCTGCATAGTGCGCGTCAATTCGTGGAAGACTGGACGCTCCAGGTAGCCAAACACCTTGATGGCACTCAAGAATTCGTCCATGTAGTTTGCGAAAGCCCTCTTGTGGTCACCTTCTTGACTTTCTGGGAATACCTCCACTTGTGGTTCTTCGCGTTGTGGCTCAGGTGGCAATCTGGCGTACATGGTCAAGTAGCGGTACCTAACAAAGTAGGTGACCGTTGAGACCGCGAAGACAACAACCAGTACTCTGTTGTTTGTTAGTCATGAAAATGCAATATATTTGTTTGATAGAGCCTACAAAGAGCTAAAGTTCATTGTGAATGTCAGAGTAGTAGAGAACAGGGTGAAAAGCCATGTCGGTAAGGTGTATGACACCCAGAAGAGAACGCCTGGAAGCACGCCCAATATCGATAGAATGACACGCCCTAGCAAACCAAACGTCGAAGAGGATGCAACCTGCGCAGCTTCTGGGGCAGCGCTTGCCGTTCGTAGAGCTTGTTTTGCACTTGATACGGCTGCCGTGGATGCGTCTACAAGAGACGTGACAACCCCAGACCCCGCCATGATAACGATAGTGGTGGGTGAGGGGGCCCGAATGGAGAAAACTACTGAATAGAGTCTCCCTCAGATCTACCGTAGTGGTGCAGGGGAAACAACACCCATGTTGTTGGAGTTTCCTGGCACGTTGGTTGTTCTGCGGCTGTCCTTGGTGGCTTGTGACAGCCCCATAGTGGGCCAAAAGTGGGTCTGCTTATGTCATCCTCCAGCGTCGAGCTTCGCGTTGCGCGCGCGAGCTTCCATTGAGCAACGCGCCGGAACTTACACACCCATTGGCCCACCATGCCGCCTTTCAAGGATGACCAGATTATAGTATGGCGTTCGCGATGTATGCACTTCACTGCGCATTTGCTAACAGTATATTATAGGTTATTGCGCCAGGGTCAGAAACTACTCTAGCGCAGCTCGGACTGCCAGAGTCCTTCACCCCAGCACGAGTGCGCATACGATCGCGCATGTTCCCCGCCGAGAAAGGGGGGGAGTTTGAACCATACAAGATCAGACGGCGGCAAGACAAGCCGGTGGAGAAGCCAGCTGAGCAAGACGGTGAAGCGCAAGGCGAGGCCAAGCCAGCTACAGCCGGCGACGACGACATCATATGGGAAGAAGACCGCATTTCAGAAGAAGGAGCGATATGGCCGATTCAGGACGGCAAGATCACGGACTGGCCTTGCTTCTTCGCGCTCATTTCACATGTGTACAACACATTGAACCCACCCTTCCACACTGCGATCCTCCTCATTACACAGCCATCATGGACCCCACGAGAGCATGAGAAGCTTACGCAGTTCTTCTTCGAGAAGTTCAAGACCCCAGCATTTGGCCTCATGGACGCAGCGCTGGCAACAACATGGGCGTACGGGGTACACACCGCAACCATTGTAGATGTGGGCAAGGGCAAGACCGATATTACGGCTGTCAGCGAGTTCATCCCTCATGTTCAGGGTCGCATCATCTCTCTATCGGGTAGCGGAGGTGAAGCCTTCACCGAGACCTTGCACTTCAAGTTGAAGTCGAAGGGCTTCAATCGGGACATATGTGAGCAGCTAAAGAAGTCACCCATCTGTGAGATCTTGCCCGAAGGTACACCACTTCCAGGATCTGGGAAGGCGGACGAGGAGGTGATTACCAACCCAGCAGCGGCAGCGTCTACGGGCGCAGTAAGCTCTGGACCGGCGGCGGCTGCGGCGGTTGGCAACGCACCTCGAGGGCCAGGACCTGATACAGAGGTCGGCGAAGAAGATGGCGGCGAGAATGAGGGCGTCCTCGACGTTGCGAGCATTGTAGCTGGCGGCAAGATGAATGAGTATTTGGCCAAGAAAGAGAAAGAGAAACAAGATAAGACAAACGCGAAAAAGAAGGGTGCCCCGGTACCAGATGCGAACAAGCCTGTAAGGCTACCTAATTCGAAGCGAGAAAAGGCGACGTTTCTGTACGAAGACCATGCGCTACTGGATGCCCTGAAGAATACAAATCTCGACACTCAAGGCATGGCTGACGCAAAGGCCGCATTAGATGAGGGTCCAACTAAGAAGGCGTCAGAGGGTGAGAACAGTGAAGCAGCAGAAGCCAACGGCACTGGCGAAGCTGCGTCTGCAACATCACGGTCAGGCCACATAAGGCGTGAGATGGAAGTTGGTACAGAGCGATTTTTGGCGGGCAGCAACGGCACCCTGGAGAAGATCGCAGACGCCATACACCGAGCCATATCCTCGGTAGATGAAGTGAATAAGCGCAGCGAACTCTGGGACTCACTGATCATCTGTGGTAACGGATCGAGGTTGCGAGGTTGGTGTCACCGCCCTAATTCCACAATATTTACTAACACGCCACAGGCTTCAAGGAGGCGCTGCTTCAGACACTCCAGTCCAAGTACCTTATCTCACCTTCATCAGCCACAATTTTCACCTCAGAGATCCCGTCCAACATCTCCACACCCGCCGGCACAGGCGCCAATACCCCGCAGCCCCAGCTTGGTCCTCACGGGGGCTCTGGAGTCAACCCTCTACTATTCGCAGCCACGACTGCCCAGTCTCAGAACCTCATGCCTCACGGCAGCAACCCGCTGATGCCTGGTCTGTCACACAACGCACACTCTTCACATGGACAGACTCCTACTTCGATCAAGACGGTCAAGCCACCAGAGTACTTTCCTGAATGGAAAGATGTGGGATTCGATGAATCGGCCTTCCTTGGTGCACAGGTCGCTGCGAAGGTCATTTTTGTCGTCGATCAGGGTCAGAGCAAGGGCTACATGACCCGTCCAGACTACAACGACCAGGGTCCTCAGGGCATTCATGACTATAGCTTGTAGGAAGGGCTAGCAGTATGTGGGTTTGGCGTTTCTCAAACAGCGTAGTTGGGCTTGTATACCTAGATTGGAGTTTGGAGGTTATGGATATCCTACCGCGGGATCAAAATGGATTGCAAAGGCAATCTTTGCCGCCTCTGGAGGCACAAGGCATGTTACAAGTTGGGATGCATCAGACATATGTCCGGCCTCAGCTCTCAGCACATTCTCAATTAAGCAATTCCAATTCACGTGCCGTCGTCATGCATTGCTTTTCATGCACGTGGAGCTGGCCGCATCCTTCGGTGACCTCCGCCGTGTCCAGGGCTTACTAGACTTAGCGAGGCACTAGCCGTCTCTAGCTCCACCAACCTATTCTCCACCATCCCCACGCCGCGGTTGTGCAGTAACATTGATAAGAACTTCACGACCCTCGGTACATTTGAGGCTGTTCGCTTCCGCTTTTCTTTTGGCGAATCTTGATTGCTGCTTGTCATACGGTTATTGGATCTCGTCACACGCAAGACATTTGCTCATAAGTCCCGCATACCTGGTTCACGGATCTGCATAACCTACTACAACGTCCCTGTAGTGCCCGTCAGCCTTATCTTCGCACGTCGTCAACATGGCAGCTTCTGCACCCATCTCGAGAACTATTTACACTGGAACTTTCGTCCACAGCATTTCGCTCACAGAACTCGAGATCTGCGAAAATGGAGCTATAGGTGTTGATAGAAACGGCATAATAATTTTCGTAGAGAGAGAGCTTGATCTAGAAGCAGTACAAGAGAAGCATTCATGGCAAGATGCTACACCTGTCTATCTTAGAGGGAACGCCTTCTTCTTCCCCGGCTTCATTGACACTCACACTCACGCCCCTCAACATCCCAATACCGGCCTCTTCGGGAAAACAACCCTTCTAGATTGGCTGCAAACATATACCTTCCCTATGGAATCCTCATTCTCAGATCTCAAACGAGCCGAGACAATATATCGCAACTTCGTATCCCGGACCCTCTCCCACGGCACAACGACAGCAGCTTACTACGCCACCATCCATGTTCCCGCCACCAACCTGCTCGCCGATATCTGTCTTGCCAGAGGCCAGAGAGCGCTGGTAGGGAGGGTTTGCATGAACTCCGACATCTCACCCGAGTACTACCGCGACATGTCTGTCTCGCAAAGTGTTGCGGATTCAAAAGCAAGCACCGACTACATCCGCTCCATCGACCCTAAAGGCTCCATCGTCCGCCCAGTCATAACACCGCGCTTCGCACCATCTTGCACCGCAGAGTGTCTTTCCGAAATCGGAAAGTTGGCAAAAGAAGAAGACGCCTTCATCCAAACACACATCAGCGAAAACAAGGGCGAAATAGCTTTAGTCAAGGAACTATTTCCGGACAGCAAGAGCTATACAGACGTCTACGACACCCACGGCATTCTCACACCGAAGACCATCTTAGCGCACGCCATCCATCTCAGCAACGAAGAGCGCAAGACCATACTAGCCCGCGGGTCGTCTCTATCGCACTGCCCATGCAGTAACACCGCCATCACGAGCGGCTGCGCCCCTATCCGCGAACTTTTGGATGAAGGACACACCATTGGTCTCGGCACAGACGTCTCTGGTGGCTTCCACCCCTCAATACTCGAGAACGTGCGCCACGCCATCTGGACAAGCCGGCACTTGGCGCTGCAATCAGACTTGGGCGATAAAGCCAAACTCTCGACCGAAGAAGCGCTCTACCTCGCCACGCGCGGCGGCGCAGCCGTCGTCGGGCTCTCTGACAAAGTCGGCGGGTTTGAAGTCGGCAAGGAGTTCGACGCGCAGCTCATTGACCTCGGCAGTGTCGAGGCCGGAGGTTCGAACGATACTCAGTTTGACGCTGGGCCAGTGGACATGTTTGGTTGGGAGTCGTGGCCCGAGAAGGTTGAGAAGTGGGTATATGCGGGTGATGATAGGAATACGACGGCTGTGTGGGTCAGGGGGAGGTTGGTGCACAGGACTTCGAGATTCCAGGAGTATCAGGCGAATGGGACGGCGACGCCTTAGGTATGCTTTTGGTTAACGTGGGCAATGGCCGTGTTTTGTGTGTTACTTTCAAGATCTCAAGTGTATAGACGGCCGAGGTAGAGTTCATCTGTGTAAATTGGTGATCATGTAATCGAAAACGCGTAATTTCTGAGTTTTGATTCCAGATTTTCTTTCGTGTGAGAGCGTTAGCAGCGGCCTTGCTTTATGTGCGCCGCAATTATCCTTCCGCAAAATCGAGCTGAATACCCCTGATAGACGAACGGCGACGGCTGTGACCTTCCGGGCTTGAGTATGAGGTATCATAAAAATTGTTGCTTTCGAAGGAAGCAGCCAAGGTCCGTTGGCCCCGCATACGGCCTCTGCGACACGGAAAGTGAAATCGCTGATTGGCAGATCAGTGTTCGCTCTCAAACAAGCAGGTAGGAGGTGGTGGATTCAGGGCATTAACGAAGGATGAAGTAGAAGTGTGGCAGGTGGTGTGGGACGCGCAGAAGGAGTAGAGAAAGAAGGTGTCAATAACGGAGGTCGCGTACAAGTAGACATAATATATGATCCTACCACGGGAGCATTCTCAGCGCGTCAAGTCTGAGACCTTTACGCCTAATTATTCTATGTATCAAGGGGAGATGTAGGGTCAGAGTCAAGACCGCTTCGCCAGTGTCCGGCAACCTTATACTTTAAATCATCGCCCAGCTTGGTACAGGCTGCATCCTCACTCGCCGACAATAAACAGCGCATCCAAGACTAAACAAGTGTGCTGGCCAGCGCTCAATTGATCACCGGACATCGGCGCAGATGATGACTGCAGCGCCAATCAGGCCAAAACTAACTCTCTTTGTGCCAACCTCGCTCTCGTGGAGTGCTAAGTACTGAAGCGAGGAAGAATGGCTGACTGAATGTGAAGCCGACAAGGGCCAGTCGAGGCAACACGTGCATCAACAATGGCTCAAGGAGAGCTCTACCAAGGGTCTGGGCCAAACGAAACTTTGGGCCAGAAGACGTGCTTTTGTCGAAGCATGCACTCAGCCGATTGTGCGTCTTTTCGGATGATAGGTCCTGATCCAGACTTTACAAATTGTCCATGGCGAGAACGGATGAATACCCAGCCAAGAATAACCGCTTCAGCCAGGTGAACATGCCAAGGTCAAAGAAGCCACTACTCTCCTATGTGCTGTGTTTATCTGAATCCCAGTACAGCCATGCAGTCTTTTGCTTGGATTCAAGTGGGAGAATGACAACCTTGCACACCATAGATGCTGTGAATATCCTGGTATTGGTGCTCATGCTGCGAGAGGTGATCGTAAGCCATAGTGTCCGCGCACGCGCAGTGTCGAGGAGCAGCGTCATGAAAGGGTATATTGGCAACAACATTGAAGGTCTCCGTGACTCCTAATGCTCCAGATATGAGAGGAGGATAATGTCACGGTTTAGGGTGACTCTTGCCTATTGTACCTCACCTCTTCTACATCACCTGCCATGAGGGTGTCTGCCTCATTACGCTAGCGTTGTTTACTGTCGCTCACATATACATACTGTTCGTAGCTTCACCCAATACAACCTCAGTTCAATCCTTCAATATTTCCGCACATGCGCACTGATCACTCACGATCTACCGCGACATATCTGCTGCCACCTGAGCACTCTCCGACCGATTGAGGTTAACTCAGGTCCTATCTGTGTTCCGTCATTTGCTCAATACCTTAAGGGCTGCCTCATGGCGACGCCGTTGTATGATCTTTCTCCAATGTACAATAGCAAGCATCGCAAGAGCTATTTTTTCGAACTGGACCATCGCCGTAGGTTGGATACCATGCCAATTAATCTTACGAAGCCCGATCATCTTCTTGTACTCGAGAACCTTTGCTAGGCCCCGGGCCATGACCTGGATCTGTTCATGATTCATTTCCTCGTCTCGAAGATCAAAGGTCAAAGTCAGACGCCCTCTTGGTGCTCGTATCAGATGAGACTTTCTCTTAGCCTTCTCTTTGGTAACCATCGGCGAGATGAGAATATTCTGTTCACTGCGGAGCAGATGCCAAAGCTGAGATGGTGTATCGCGTCGTAGCGCATTCATACAAATACGCTGATTGAGGTGAAACGAATTGAATGGTTTGTCGCCGTATTCTCTTAATAGATCTCTCAGCTCATCAATCAGAGCCCGCGTGAATGAATTTTTTCCAGGTGCCGCCGTTGTCTGGTCTATTGGGCATGCGCCCAGTACCTCGAACCGTCTTGAATTCTCTCTTGAACCCTCCCTCTCTGTTGAGCTGTTTGAGTAGGGTGTATCGAGAATTGCAAGGACATCTGCATCAATCTCGTCTGAACGCAGGAGATCTTCTGCCTTGCGCCAATTGACAACTGCATCCTTGTACGGTAATTTGCCGAGATCAGGGTTTATGGACGCAGCTAAGTCAAGGCGATCGTAAAACTCATCGAATCTGCTATGTCCTGAGTAATACACAATGTGTAAGCGGTGAGGTCCGTCATGTTTCTCAATAAAGGTCGATAAACATCGGTTCATTTGAAGCTGAGGTTTGCTTGCAAGATCGAGCTCAACTATTTCGGTGTGGAAATGGAAACGCTCGCGAAAAAGAGCTTCCAGCTCCTCGACCTGAAGTATGATTAGCATTGCAGTACGCCATGAGAACACCGTGCATCTATTGCAGGCTACATACCTCGTCGCGGGTTTTGAGCTCATCGAGTTCATCCGCCCATTTCAGGAGTAACACAGCGACATTGGAGTAACCAGAACCCTCTAGCAGACTCCATTGCTGCTGAAAAGCCTTGTCCCACCACCTTTGCATGTGCGTTTGTCGTTCCTGAGCTTCGACTCTATCAGCTTCAAAGCTTTCCCCGTAAGAGACCCCGTCTTGTACAGAAAGGTTGTCACTTGGCATCGGTAAAGCTCCTAATATTTCCGGGACTTGGACGTTTGACTTCGTTTGGGTGAGACGTGAGGAAGTCTTTGGAAGACTGGTCATTGGTGATTCCGCGAAAGCCTCAGAAGCTGTCCGACTGAACGGTCTCGATCTAACCTGCATAGTCGATGGAGCATCTTCGCTGGTTTCACCCTCAGGACTCTGCAGCCAGACTTGTTGATGGCTCACAGTCAAGCCATTTGACTTTTCATAAGCGGACACACTTTCGCGGGTTTGGTGGAGACGCATAAGTGCTTTTGTTTGGCCCTCTCCGTAAAGAAGCGGCATGGACAGATCGAAAATTCCTAGCAGAGAATATGCTTTGTCTTCTTCGCGTGTCGTTTCTCGGTTCTCTGCCCACGATAAACGCTGATCCACTGTGAACTGTGATAAGGCTACAGGCTCTTTTTGCAAAGCTTCGAAGGGGATGTTTGTGACTTGATGAATATCTTTCCAAAGTGAAACTCGATCACCCAGCCACTTGCCCTGTGCGGAAAAGAAATCAACCGACTTAGGAGCTATGAGTTCTTGAAGCGTCCAACCCCGCGTGAACCATCTGCTCCGCCGAAAAGCTAGTCTCGATGCCTGCTCAGAGGATATGCCATGTTCAGTTTGGATCTTGGTCGCTGTCTCACTGTGTACATCCGCCAGATATACGTAGCACTTCTTGGCTTTTTGGTACCAGCGAAACATCGAGTTGATGGCCTCTTGGAGCTCTGCACTGCTTGCTTTGTCAATACAGCAGGTGTCAACCCAGAAGTATTGCAGTTGGTCCTTAACAGCCTGTTCTGCGCAGAAGTGGAGTTTCCTGTAGCCAGCTTTGCCTTTTCCTCTACCTTTAACTAACTCCTTGAAAGACACCTCCTCGTTACTTGCAATCCATGTATGCGAGAGGATGGCATATTCCGGAATTTGCTTCCCATAAAACTCGGTCAGGCTGAACTCGCCATCAGCCCCAATCTGCAGGAGATGCATGAGAATAGATGTACAATAGAAGCTGTTTCAAGCGATTACCAACGACATGGTAGCGAAGTGCGCACGAGCAGGTGAGAGGTATGTGTATTGACCAGACGCGTGCTTTGAGAGAAGTGGGAGATAAGGCAGACGCCGCTAGATTGCTTCCGAAGAAGTGGCTGGGTGGCTGCTGACAGAAGAGCCCGGGGATCAAGCGCGTGTGTATTTACCCGACGCAGCAAAACCCACTCGCTCTCTCCTACCTGACCTTACAAAATCTTGGTAGGGTCAAGTCGATAAGTAGTTTTTTTCAAAATTAGTAGCTGAGAGGTTTCTAGATCTACCAATGTAAGGTTGAGGAAAGAAACATGATGAAATCCGGAGAGCTTGAGGTCAATACCAACGTTACCGGTAGGGCGGCGGTTCGCTTGCTGCTTGGCCCTCGAACAAGGAGCTGACGCATATGAAAAGCGCAAAATTATGTCTTCTGGAAGAGCCGTACCAGCTTCTGTATGCATGTGTAATCGAGTTTCAGGGCAGGGGTAGACTTGTTGAGGTTGAACTGGGAAGTCTGGAAGCAGCGATGGTGCGAAAAGGGTCCGCTCGGACGGGCTGACTTCAAGATCCATCTCTTGTACCTGTAGAGAACCACCCTCCCCTTTTATAAACCCCCTCTCTCCTTCTATACTAGAAGAGCTACTGCACCTCCTGTTTTCATTCTCCTCGTCATCATCGCTTCCGTTCGATCTGCCGTTCCCGCCGTTATCATCATAGGGGGAAGCTTTGGCCTGAGGCAGGCGCAGAGTGTTTTGATTGCCCTTTCCGACAGCCGCAGGAGTGAACTGATAGTACTCGGCCGCTGCATTTGTCTTCGACTAGATAGAAACGTCTACAGGCACCGGTCCGTGAGCATCAAATTAGTCGCTATCACGGCCTTGAAGTACTCAGAGATTTTTGAGTCGCGTATATCCCTATCTCACGCACCAGGGCTCGCACGACGAGCTGTCTGATCAACCATTACTCCCTTAATTCATGCTTAGGTTAGTCAAAGATGGATCAATATTGCCGGACTTCCTCGACACGCTTGAAGCTTTTGTCGACCGCACCACATACTGGAACCCATGTGCAGTACGCTGTCACAAGGGCGACTTGCAGTTGCGCTACGTGCTGAACTGGATCCTGCCTACACAGTCTGCTATAGACACTGGTGCTGGTACGACGAGGTCATTGCATTCTGGAAACCGTGACTTGGCTGTGTCTCAACAATCCTTTCCCTTCGATATTGACTTTAATGTTTTCTTCGACACACCATCCGGACTATTGTCACTAGATCGATTGACACGGTAACACCCCGTTCATGTTTGTGCTCAGTGACTCATTGCTGCGATGGGCGCCAGGTCAAAAAAAATTGAGAATGATCATACGTAAAGCACGCGCAGTCGTAAGTCAATTTCACCGGCTGTAGCTCTACAGCAGCAGCTACTGATGAATTTCAGGAGGCGCAGAAAGACACTTTCATACTATTGGCAACGATCCAACAAGCCAGTGAAGCTCAGATCAAGATCACCTTCCTTTCTCAAGCCATGCACAGAGTTTTGGGCTCACAGCCAATCTCTTCCTCCCTGGGATATTCATTTCGGTGCGCACTCAACTACCAAGACTGGCTTTGACCTGTTCATTATTCTCAGACACTCTTCAGCTCTAGTTTCTTCCAGTTCTCCGATACTGGTGGGATCCAGGTTGCACCCTCATTTTGGACGTTCTGGGCAGTGATGGTCCCCATTTTCGTTGTCATTTTTGGCGGCTTGCTGTTATACACAACACTCCAATATCGGATAGAGGCGTCATATGGCCGATACTTTCGAACATCTGGGCTGCTTACTCAGTTGTGCGGCTCGTGTTGTCGTCGCCACCGAGAAGGAGGCGGCGCAAAGAACCCAGAACGGATCCAGGCCCTGGCCTTGGTTTTGGTCTAGAGAGCAGAAATCCAACTCTTCCGACCGTAGAGCGCCAGCGGGGTGCTTTCACAAAGTCATGACATAGCTTCAAGTTTGTTGAGTTAGTTGTGATATATATGGTGCAACCAATTTTTCTTTCACATACGACCATAGGATGTTGAAAACAAGGCTTCCCGTTCGCTCAGCCCTATTTAAGCAACGTACCGGCAGATCAGTAGTTAGGTGGGTGACCACTAGCGAATACCTGCTGTTGTATGTTTTTGCTTTCTTTTTGCGTCTGGAAGGAAGTAGATCTCACATCTCGTTGCCATCCCTCTCGATATCTCTTTTGAATTCTGGTCGCAATGGGAAATGGCCAGCGTCAGGGAGAACACATCCCTTTGCAACACAGAGTCGAGTTCCTCAATCCTTTTGATGATTCTTTGGAAGCTTTCGCGAAGCATTCTGCAGCCTTGTCTTTGATCAAGAGGGTCCAAGGACCCTGACCCCATCTGTTCGCGAGCTATTTGCTATTGTGGTATTTACGATCCCTTTCACACAGCTGTCAAGAAATCCGAAACGTGGTTGAACATGGTGCCTCCGAAGCAACAGTGCGAAGCTGCAGAATATGCCGGATTTCAGTTGAGAAATGCCGCAGACTTTCATTTTTCAAAGCTGGGTTGGAGGAGAAATGGTGATCGTCCATCAAAAGACGGAGAAGGATACGCGATCTCTCCGACGGACAATCGATCCCGCAACGCGTCAGGGTCCATGCACCTCGCACGACCGCGAAAGGCTCGTGCTGTGCGGTAAGAAAGTGGAGCCACTGAGCATCAAACATCGAGTAACAGATTGCACTTTCAGGCCTAATTCGATGCGTAAACTTGCCTGATCAGTACATTTGTTGCAGCTACGGCAGAGGAGCCGGTCTGGCGTTCTTCCTCACAGTCAAGCCAGGCAACCGTTGGCTCGGTAAGGGTGCCAATGGTCTTATCGGTTCCCTCAGCGGCGCCGAATCAATCAAGGGCCGCGGATAATGACGGTTTATGGGTTGGTTATGCATATACACCTTAGCTGGGTCGATTGCTGGAAATTATCAAGGGAGGGTATGACGAGACTCCTCCTTCTCCATTCTTTCTTGTGTCTTTGACGCGAACGACTGTCTTTCGGAGAGCTCCCAGTGAGTTGCAACACGTCTGTAACGACACGAGCAGTAGCAAGCTCCAACAACTTTTTGGCCAAGCTGCAGACTGCTTGGGTGAGGTCACGAGAGCCATTGTACGGCTGCTCCTTCGAAAGTCCGCCTGACAATACAATTGACTTCTTCCCAGCTTTATCGCTCGCGGCTTCCATCCCAGATCCCCACACCCCACATCTAGCTTCCTAGTCCCCGCGGACGAAGAAAGATCACAATGCGCACAGCGTGCCTCAGGGCAGCGAGCTCTGCCACCAAGCTCGCTCGTTCTACACGTGTCGCGCAGCTGCCTCGCCCAACTCTCGCAAAATGCATACAGCGAGTAGTTGTGGGCCATGGCCAGCAATTTAGAGCATTCCAGCAAGCTGTGGCTGTCCAGCCCACGGAGGATGTCTTCGAGACACCCAAGCAGAGTACCGACTCTGCAAAGCCCACTGAGGCGCTCGACACATTTCCCCGCAGACACATTGGCCCTTCTGCCGATTCGACAGAGGCTATGCTGAAGGCCCTGGACCCGCCTGTGAGCAGCTTGGATGAGTTTGTGCGCCAGGTCATTCCAGCAGACATCCTCAACGACCGCGAGCTCAGCGTTGGAAAACTCTCAGACCGACATGGCGCAGATTGGCAGGCAAACGGCGTGCCTGAGTCTGTCTTCCTCAAGAACGCAAAGCGCATCATGGGTCAGAACAGGCCAGGAAAGAGCTTGATCGGTCAGGGCTACTACAACACCAATGTTCCCGAGGTCATCAAGCGCAATGTGCTCGAGAACCCTCAGTGGTACACCAGCTATACTCCATACCAGCCTGAGATCAGTCAGGGTCGCTTGGAGTCGCTTCTCAACTTCCAGACTATGGTGACCGACCTGACTGGCCTTCCGATTGCCAACGCCTCGCTGCTCGACGAGCCTACAGCTGCTGCTGAGGCTATGACCATGTCCTTTGGTTCGCTGCCAGGGCCGCGCCAGAAGCGTCTGAACAAGACATTCCTCGTTTCCTCTGCTTGCCACCCCCAGACCATCCAGGTCCTCCGCTCGCGTGCTGAAGGATTCGGCATCAAGATTGAAATCGCAGATGTGCTCGCAGACAACAGCAAGCGCGTAGAGGAGCTTGGGCAAGACCTCGTTGGTGTTTTGGCACAGTACCCTGACACCGACGGTGGTGTCAGCGACTTCCGTGGTCTCGCAGACAAAGTTCACAAGCAGGGTGCGCTCTTCAGCGTAGCCACAGATCTCCTTGCCCTTACTCTGCTCACTCCACCGGGAGAGTATGGCGCAGATATTGCTTTTGGAAATGCACAGCGTTTCGGTGTGCCACTTGGCTTTGGTGGCCCTCACGCTGCGTTCTTCGCCAGTGTCGACAAGCACAAGCGCAAGATCCCTGGACGTATCATCGGTCTTTCGAAGGACAGGCTGGGCAACCCGGCGGCGCGCCTTGCCTTGCAGACACGAGAGCAGCATATTCGACGTGAGAAAGCGACAAGTAATGTCTGCACAGCGCAGGCGCTGCTTGCCAACATGAGCGCTATGTACGCTGTCTACCACGGACCCAACGGTCTGACACAGATTGCAAAGCAGGTCGTAGCAAAGACCAGGCTTGTGCAGCAAGCACTTATCGAGGCCGGATACAAGACCGGTACACGCGCAAATCTCGACGACGCCCCAGCTGCATTCGACACCTTCGTTGTGGAGACCGGCAATAACACCGAACCATTAATCGCTGAGCTGGAGCGCAACGAGATTCTGGTGCGCAAGGTGGACGATAGCCACATTGGTTTATCTTTCGATGAGACTACCACCTCGCAGACCATCTCTGCGCTGCTCAAGACTCTGACCAACGGCAACGCCAAGGTTGACTTCTCTCAGGAAGTTGCTATCGAGGCGCCTGAGGGATACAAGAGGACTACTGAGTTCTTGACACACCCAGTCTTCAACTCGTACCATTCTGAGACCGAGCTGTTGCGCTACATCAACCACCTGGCATCCAAAGACCTGTCTCTCGTCCACTCGATGATCCCTCTTGGTTCATGCACAATGAAGCTCAACGCAACATCCGAGATGGCACCTGTGTCTTGGGAAACTACAGGCGATCTGCACCCATTCCTGCCCCTTGAGCGCGCGAAGGGTTACCTTGAGATGATCGACCAGCTCGAGCGCGACCTTGCTGACATTACTGGCTTTGATGCTGTATCGCTGCAGCCTAATTCCGGTGCCCAGGGTGAATTCGCCGGTCTACGTGTTATTCGCAAGTACCTTGAGCAGCAGCCAGGCAAGAAGCGCGACATTTGCTTGATTCCCGTCTCTGCCCACGGTACCAACCCTGCTAGTGCAGCTATGTGCGGTATGCGCGTTGTGCCTGTCAAGTGCGACACCGCCACCGGCAACCTCGACATCGCTGATCTCAAGGTCAAGTGCGAGAAGCACAAGGATGAGCTCGGCGCTTTCATGATCACATACCCCTCCACTTTTGGTGTCTTTGAGCCTGCTGCTAAGGAAGCTTGCGATTTGATCCACCAGTACGGAGGTCAGGTGTACATGGACGGTGCTAACATGAACGCCCAGATTGGTCTATGCTCACCTGGCGAGATCGGCGCTGATGTTTGCCATCTCAACCTTCACAAGACCTTCTGCATTCCTCACGGCGGTGGTGGCCCAGGTGTTGGACCCATCGGTGTGAAGAGCCACCTCGCTCCCTTCCTGCCCGGTCACTTGCGCAACGAGACTGGTGGCGCACAAGCTGTTTACCCCATCTCCGGTGCACCATGGGGCAGCGCCTCCATCTTGCCCATTTCTTGGGCATACATCAAGATGATGGGCTCTGTTGGACTGACACAGGCCACCAAGATCACACTGCTGAACGCTAACTACATCCTCTCCAAGCTCAAGCCTCACTACCCTATCCTGTACACCAACGCCGAAGGTCGCTGCGCTCACGAGTTCATCCTCGATGTGCGCGGCTTTAATGAGACCGCTGGTGTCGAAGCCATCGACATCGCCAAGCGTCTGCAAGACTACGGCTTCCACGCCCCGACCATGAGCTGGCCTGTCGCCAACACTTTGATGATCGAGCCAACCGAGTCCGAGAGCAAGGCCGAGCTTGATCGTTTCTGCGATGCCTTGATTTCCATCCGCAAGGAGATTAAGGACATCGAGGATGGCAAGCAGCCTAAAGGTGCTGGCAAGAACTTGCTCACAAATGCGCCCCACAGCCAGCAGGATCTTATCATTGGCAACTGGGACCGCTCGTACAGTAGGGAAGATGCTGCATACCCTCTGGCGTACCTGAAGGAGAAGAAGTTCTGGCCTAGCGTTACCAGGCTCAATGATGGTGAGTCTCATTCGTGCCGGACCCTAACTTGGTATTGAATACATATACTGACATGGAACAGCCTACGGTGACACCAATCTCTTCTGCACATGTGCACCCGTGGAAGCCGAGGGCGGCGACATCACCGGTGCAGCTGCTCCCAACCCTACCTAAACCACTCACTCTCAACACCGAGTGGCAGTTCTTGAGTTTTTGACGTTTTGCTGCATTTACGTTCAACACCAGCGTGGGAGTCCGGCGCCTCAACATATCCCTTCCTTCAACACAGCTGGTATCCTCTATGGGTTGCATATGAATTGGCGTTTGGGTGGATAGAGTCTGATCGAGAGACTGTGTGGGGATAAATTCTAGAGCAAAAGTAGGATGACGGATTCAACAAGTCGTGCATGTTCACAATTGTTACTCCTGCGCACTATGGGTGTTGACGTGACGTATCGAGAAGTGGAGGTGGCCACAGCGCTGAATAAACGGTATCCACGTGCATTAACTCCTTGCTCTGGTCTATCAAACCTGACCGCCTGTGCTACATTGCTATTCTCATCATTCTTCCCCCCTTCTCCGAAACCCAAAATTCCTAGGTGATTTACTCATGTGGAGATTGCCTGCCATTTTGTCAAAAGCCAAAAAGCCAAAACGTATGTCACTTTCCTGCACTCCAAAAACGCATCTGTCCAGGCCGATGTTCTGGTCCTCTGCGCCTTCTCTTAAAGTCCAAAAGAACAACACGGCTCTGGTTGTGTCTGCTGTCATCTGTCTGAACCTCAAAAGCTTGAACTGCGCAAGCATATGTTTTCGAGAGTCTTGCTACCCGAATATTGCTGCAATAATCCAAAGCGATGCTCTGAACGAGTAATAGATACTCCAGCTGTATCTTGCAAACCAGCACCATCAAACAATGTCTCTCGCAAACTTCAGGCGGCTCCATCTATGGCACCGGGCAGTCAGTGTTTACGAGTCTATGTGCACTAGTGGAGCGTAGTCCGCGCTTGGCGCCCCCAAACTTGACATTCAACTGCCACCTAATTCCCTTTCTGCCTTCCGCAAACCATCAAAACGACTGGCAAGACCTCACAAGAGCTCCATAGATACTATCAGAAATACGATGTGAGTCTGTGAGCTTTCTCAGCAGTTCGAATTTCTGATGCGCCTTCGATCTTTTCGTTCATTGATCACATGAGGCCTCATGTGGAGAAGTCTAGGACTGTCTTGGGTCTAATGGAACGATTGTGTGAAGAAGCAGGCCATGTCCTCAGAATACCATTTTGAGTTTAAGCTTGTCCCCTTCAACAATTTCCTTCTCCCTGCTCATGAGCTCTTCCATATCCCATGGACACGTCCCCGCAGGAAAAAACCGAACACTTTCGCCGATTTGTCAGCCCCGCACCCCACAACTCCGCACCCACACCTTTGCACCCCCTCCCCCCTTCCAGTAGCTCAAATCTAATGAATGATGGCTCAAATTAATCGTGAGAGCATGCCCGATCGTCCCATGAAGTCACATTTTGATTCTGTGCGTCGCAAGCGATTCTATGACGCGTACAAGACGCGCAACGTCAATGGGTGGGTCAGCATGGAGACCTTCTTTGAGCAACAAGGGATCTCTAAGACACAAGGCTATAAGCTGTTGCAAGGTGAGCTAGACTATGGGGATTTGGCGTGCCGGAGAAGAGATTTAAGAGCATTTAAAGCTAAACAAAATGGTTCTCTAGGCTCTGGGAGACCTCCCAAAGTCACTGATCAGCAGCTTGACAACATGATCAAAGCACGAAAAAAGCAGCGGAGAAAGAGTCTGATGAAACAGGCAAGGGAAGCAGGGGTAACTGCCACCGAAAGAACAGTTCAAACATCACTTTGGGACCGCCAAGAAGCTTGCATGTTCAAGGCAGTTGTGGCTTCCGCCATCACAGATGATCAAGAATCTCAACGCACATATTACAGCACTCTCCATATCCACAAGCCTGTCTATGGGCACTGGGATGGTGTAATTTTCCCTGATGAAGCTCACCAGAGGCTTGATGGCTTCCTAGATGAGTGGATTTTGAGGATATTTGGTGAACGCTATAAGCCTGAGAATATTGTATAAGCTCGAGAAACCCTTAATAAGGTTGCCCACTTCACTGCTTGGATCAACTATCATGCTAAGGCCAAGAATCTAACATTCTATAACGATAAATGAGATGATTGGGAGCCTCCTAAGCTAAATCCTGACGACAAAAAACCTCGGAGAAGGCCCAAAACAGAGACCCCTGAGGAGTTTGAGCATCGAATGAGAGAGTGGAAGGCAAGGCAGCCACCTAAAATGGAAATCAAGATACCTGGCAACTCTATGACGAAAGATTACTACACTGAAAATATCCTTCTTGTGTATAGAGAGGCATACAAGGCACTGAAAAAACGCTCTAACGAGCTCAGGGGTCACATTCCCAAGAAGCTCTGGTACAAATGGTACTTCCAAGAGGATAATGATCCATCCCATGGCACCAAAAACATTCAATCAAAGCCTGCTTTGTTCAAGAAGGATGCAGAGATGGAGTACTTTTATCATCCGGCCAACTCCCCAGACTTCAACCCAATCGAGGCGATGTGGCTCATCATAAAAGAGTGAGTCAAGTAGTATATTTGGGACATTGACACTATCAAAGCGCTCAAAGCAGCTCTCCAAAAGGAGTGGGAGGCTATTACAATCGATCAAATACAAGCACACATCAATGAGATGCCCTATAGGGTTGGGCGTGTTGCAAAGGAGCCAGGTTTGCGCGTTAAAACTGAACTTTGGTGACCCCACAACACCAAGAAAATCATCACAATAGCTCTCTAATAGCCTCACAAGTTAATTGCAAGTCAACTCTATTTTGTAGCGCCTCAAACAGGCTTGTGGTGATGCTGCTACAATACTATTTTTGTATGGGGGAGCATCTTGATTGTACGTTGTTGGGGTGCTTACATATCAGACTACCCTGGACTAGCATGTTTCAGGTCAGGTATATAGTTGTCTTTTCCTAGCTAGATAACAATTTAGCGCAGTATTCCATCAACCCGATAGTCCTAAATTGTCGTTCACCGTAGCTATCAGTGTACTACAGCGGCCCACGCCGCCACATTGGTAGGCTCTCAATTCTTTCTTATGATGCAACATCCTACTGGAGACTTAGTAGTCACTAGAAACAATAAAGATCGACCTCATGTCTTGTTTTGTGACCCTTCCTCTTTTCCAAAGTCCCTGGAAGAATTGGATGCCGTGAGCCACCTGACCTTCCAGCAGAAATGCACTCATGCTTGCGCCTGCCCCATCATGTTTGATTAACCAAAAGGAAAAAGCCTTTCAATCATGTGTCGTGTTGACGCTTGCTCAGAATGATGATCCTGGTGTGCTGACTATATCAATACACCAAAGTTCAGTCGAACTTCTTTGCACCTCAGGATGTGATAAATCATGGCACAATGCCAGCCAGGAGGTCCTCCAACCACCATCCAGCTCGCATGCTCGCGCAAACCCAGTCATCCTCTTCCCACTCAACAACACCCCAACGTGCCTCTGTACTGCCTCAAACCTCACAGCCCCACAAATACCATACTCAAGATGATTAAACAGCGCTGCAAGCGCCCTAAACTCCTTTCCGCACATCCTTCCTGGGCAGTGATACATCTTCTCCTTATGCTCTGGCGAATTGACATGATTATTCAAGCTCTTGAGCTTGCGGAAGCCTTTGTGGCAGTGATAGCATTCGTACATGCCGATGCGCAGATTACAGAACGCGGGGTGTGGCGGTGATGGAGGGCTCGGTGCGGTAGGTGGGCAGTTCCTCGGTGATGATGTGGTTTGGGTCGCGGCGGTGGGTTCCAGTGAGGATAGTGTCGTGATTCAAGGAGCGCGCATTCGGGAAGAAGCCAATTTCGAGGTGGTGCATTGCTCCAGTGGCTGTTGCGAAGCCACACTTGCAGAATGGACAGATTATGTAGGTGCCACGGTGGATGTTGCTGTTCAGGTGCTGTACGTACTCAGCCATAGCTCTCTCAATTCATCCAGTGGCGCATATACCTGTTCCATATTGGCCTCGCTCTCAAAGCCTTTGTTGCATAGTGTGCACCGGTGGGTCCGCCAGTGGTCTTGTCGATACATGCGCTGTTTGGCCTCTGCCCTTGAAATGAAGGTGTATCTACAAGCCTCGCACTTGAACGCCTTTTGCCAATGATCATGATCGTCCACATGTTTCCGAGCATCCTATCACATGTACCATGCATCGTTGCGTGTTTCGCATTTGTAGACGTGATGGACCGCGTCTGCATGCTGCTGTGCCACTGGCCAGCTGTTGAATTGGCGAACACACACTCATCATTCAGGGTAATGGGACATCTTTACGGTGAGTCTGAGCCAAGGTGTTGACTAGAAATGCAACGTATCGACGCGACCTACGAGATCGGTCGACGGCCGCTGGGAAGGGGCACTCTTGTTCTGAGGAACGGAAGGAGCACGTAGTGACAAGCTTGGAGCGCCAGAACCACAGGGTGAAGTGTAGAGTAGATGTGAGGTCCTGAACTTAGATCAGGGGTCATGCGGGGAAGCGGAACCAGCATCAGCTGGTCGCACTAATTGTTAGCCATGATCCTTGGATGTTGGCTTCGCATCCTTGAGCTCTGTGCCGGGCTGTTGGCAAACACCAAACATGTTTGTGGCGATGTCGTGTGTAATGGAACAGACGAAACATGAATATGTAGCACATATGCAAGACGTGGGGCCTGAAGATCGCGTCAGAACTGAAGTTTCCAAAACGCGCTAGAACGCGAAGTCACGAGCGGTGTGTTAGTCCCCAGATGGCCTCAGAAACAGCACGTTTCGAACGTAGACGAAGTTTGCTCAAACGTTAATGCTCATTACCATCTGACGCAAGAAGGGTATATGCTGTACATAATCTTCGCCAAAGGTCAACATGCGGTGTGGTCGGCACCAAAGACGTAGGAGAGACGTAATGCGAAATGGACGTAGGTGCATGAGCTGGCCATGCACATCTACTCGTCGCCGACGGCAGCCTTCTTCCTGCCCCTAAGACCAGGTTAGCGTGCATAAGATTTGACCTTTGTTAACAACACATACCTCTTCTGGGGTGTTTTGGCTGCCCCCTTAGCAGCAGCCTTCTTGCCTCGCTTTGGCTTGGGGGCTTCCTCCTCTTCTTCCTCTTCAATCTTATTGTCTTCCCCTGGTTCTTCCTCAGGCTCAGCCTCATCCTCGCTGTCGGCAGCTGCCTTCTTCGCCCGGCTCTTGCTCTTCTTCTGGGGCGGGGCCTCATCCTCATCCTCACCCTCCTCCTCCTCCTCTTCTTTGTACTCGACCTTCTTGCCGCGGGCAGCTCTGGCCTTCTTCGGAGCAGGAGCCTCATCTCCATCGTCGGCTTCCTTCTTAGCAGGACGTCCGCGCTTCTTGGGAGCAGGGACATCTTCAGCGTCACTCTCCTTCTTGACGGCTTTGACACTCTTCTTCTTTGGTGCTGGTGCTTCGTCTTCCTCATCGTCGTCAGCTTTGGCCTTCTTGCCGCGCTTCTTCTTGGGCTTTTCCTCGCCATCAGCATCTTCGCCGGCCTCCTTCGCCCTCTTCTTCAACTCGGCTTTGGTGAGACGCATGCCAGTGCGACCGTCTCGGTTGGCCTCGACATCCTGGGCGGTCAGCATCTGCTTACGAAACCATTCTGCTGTTGTTTGATCAACTTACACCTTTCCAGTCCTCATCAGGGACGTGGCCGTTCTTCAGCGCAAAATCGACCTTCTTTTGGTACTCTTCAGGAAGATCATCATAGCCATCGACCATCTCTGTGTCACCTCCAGATGTCTCAATCAGATTTTCGATCTGCTTCGGTGTGACGCAGCCCCTTGCGAAGTCAGTATGTTGAGGTGCAAAGATATCTTCGGTGCACGCTAGTGCGTCATGGCCAGTATGTACAAAGGATTTGGAAGAGTAAAACATACCAATGCTTATACTGCCATGATTGATGTTCTTGGATAGTAACCTGGATGGCATAGCGGAATTCGCCCTTCATGATCTTGACTCCGGCGGTCTTGCATTCTTTGTTGATGCAACCAGCACCTAGAACTTAGGTCAGATCAATGTGCAATAAAAACAACGCGCCTCTTCAGAGAAATTGCCACATACGGTTGTTCGGTGATGCTTCGACGCGGTAGACGCCCATCTTCGCGAACAAGCTGTATGCAATTGCGTCAGATGTAGGCTAAGCTCTCAGATATCAATACGCGCTCAGCGTTGTGATGAAGAGCACCAATGGAAAAAGGAAGTAGGTTTTGTAATTGTGGAATTGAAGAACGCGACAGGCGACGCAGAGTGGTTTACATAGCAAACTAAGAGTGTTGCTCCAGCTCCAGTATTCCCAGGCAGATGTCAGGGTCAGGCTGCAGGCACGCGCTACGACGCGCTTGCTACGGCGGGCCACTAGACCGTGAATTGTCAGCGTCATGGAAAAAGATACAGCCAACGCCTCGAGCGCGTGCCTTCACTCTCACCATTCTGGCAGGCTATCCCTCAATGAGCACTGCGCACACATGCTTTCGCAACGCCCTGACCCAGGCCTTTCGACCGTCTCGCCGTGGCCCCGCTGCCTCCCACTCCGTCTGCGCATTCCTTGTTCCGGCGCTATCGCGAAGCTCTAAACGCCCCTTCTCGTCAGGAAAACGTCGATCCAAACCACAGAGCGCCACGTCCCATAACTCGACAGAACGACCGAAAGATTCTCTTGTATACGTATACCCCCCAAAGGGCGCCAGATCGCCCATACAAGGCCGCATACCAATACCCACTCCCGATGCACGTGGCGACATTAAGCAATGGCTCTTGGCCATTGAGCCTTTCCTCCCAATCGAGATACGACGCACATATACTGACGCGCCAGATGTCTCCGCCACGGTGACATCACTCGATCTCTCCATTGTCATCAACAAAGCTCAGGATGCTGGCCACGACATACTCAGTCATCTTGGCTTGTTGGCAGGACGATGGCAGGCGGCGGTATGGATAGCGAAGAAGCTTGCAGAAGGCGGAAAGCGATCGGTCGAAGCTCCAGCACGGATGGATCCTTTCGAGGACGTTGCCTGGCCGATCTCCGACATTCAGTCTCTACACTTTTCGACGAACAAGCCTCTGCGCCTCGAACGAACACGCCCAAGAAGGAAGCTTGAGGTTTCTCTGGACGAGCTGACGGCAGCGCCAGACACGATCAATCTACGCCACCTAATCGTCAAGCGGGCTCTGGGTCAGTTATGGAGGAGCTTGGGCACCATGATACTGGCTGCTCCTGAGCAGAACAAGTCTGGGCAGGATACAGTCATGTCGCATGTCCTAGAGATTATTGCGTACTTGCATCACATTGGATTCATGCCAGATTCTGTGTACATGTTCCGTCCGCAGAATGACAAGTATGCGTTACAGCAACCGCCAACGCTGCACATGCTATCCTCAAAAATCCTGATCGCCCTCTCAGATGCGTCTTGGAAAGCGCATGAGGCGGCAGTGAAAGCTGCAAAGGACGGCGCGAAAGCCTCGTACTTTCTTGGTCACGAAATCCCCAGTTCTCGATATAAAGTCGAGGTCACAGAAATCGCGCCTGAGCTCTGGTTGGAGCTTGTCCTTTGGTCGTGCTTACATGGCGGCTGGACTGCAGATGGTACCGCAATCCTTGAGAGGCTGGCTGCCACCCAGGGCGCCCATACATGGGGATTGATCAGTTGGCGCGAAATCTTAGAAGCTGAGCAGCAGCGTCTGCCATCAGCACCAGAGGGGTGGAATCTTTTTCCAATGCATGGAGATGCTGCTGCGGGTGCTGAGGATCGGGCACGCACACGGAGAACTATCAGCAGCGAGATTGTGACCGCTTTCATTGATGCTCTCGTCAACGACATGCGCCTGGGTGTAGGTGCGCGCGGCACAAATCCGGAAGTTCTGATTGATCACATCAAGACTTTGAAAGGCTTTCTTGAATCAAAGAACCTAAGTCTGGGTTCAGTGGCGTGGGACTCAGTCATCACACGTCTTCTGGAGTCAGGCGGCTTTGACCCAGAGAAGCGTCCCGAGCTTCTACTCCGCATGTTCAACCTTGCGGCTGAATTTGGCACCGAAGTTGGCTCAGTGAACGCCTCCCCGGCAGCTGACGATGAAGTGCCATACTTCTTCGAACCTACCACTGCTCCCCTTAGCCTACTTCATCGGGCAATGAGGGCTTTCATCAGCATCGGAGATACTAGGGGCACAATGGAATCTTTCAAGATGCTCCAGCAACATGCAGATAACAACAAGCAGAAATCGTTGCAGCAATTCTTCGAAGCATTGAAAACTATGCCATTGCGACAAGCTGAGCCCTTTACAAGCCGGACAGCGCCGATCGACTTCCCCTCTTTTGACACGAACCTACCTGTACCATTGCTTGCTAAGCTACTGGATCTTGCGACTGACTCCGAGATGTACGAACTTGGGCGTTGGTTCGTCTATTCGAAAGACCTCGATGGTCCACTGATCGGCCGGGGCCTATACAACCATCGAAACATTGCTGCGTCACTTGTACGCTTCGGCATCCTTGCAGGAGAGAATGACATTGTGCTGGATATCGTCAAGCGAGCTGGTTATCTCGATCCCAAGACTCAGCAGCAGCGGATGCCCAATGAGCTATTGACAGCACTGTTTCGCAGTCAAGTCAGACTTCGCCGATGGGACGCAGTTCGGAATATGCAGAAGCACGCTCTCAAGTTAAGCACATGGACACCACGACCGAGTATCTTGACAACCTTCGTTGCTGAACTCTTGCGTGCTTCTGGGGGGTCTGAGACAGAGGCGAACGATGCCAAGAAGGCGTTTTTCGGAATGCTCTTCACTTGGGAGCGCCTTATCCTCAGTACCATACGCAACGAGCTGTATTGCACGCTCGCTATACTTTCCACTGTCGATGAGACATGGAAGACATACTGTTCTCAATTCCTCAACTTCTCCTCCCGACAAAGCGTCCTGCTCTCTACGGATAACTTCAATCAGATCTTGGGTGGGGTCCTCGACCGGTATGACAGCGTGAAAGGGAAGGAGCTCATCGAGCAATGGTGCTACAAGCCGAGGAGACTGTTCGAACCATTCAGAGCCCTTGGAGGAGTGCCAACTATGCCTCAATTCCGCTTTGGAAGAGGTGAAGAGGTCGAAGCCTTTCCGGACAACATAGAGATAGTCCAAGACTCGGGTGCAAAGCTCGTCTTGCATGGTCGAATTCTTCCGAATCGGCAGACGATCTGGGCCATCTTACGGAAGGTGCAAAGCGAAGTGGAGCAATGGGGTCAGGATGGAAAAGAGATGACAATCTCTGCGCGTGATCAAGTGCGCGATACGCTTCGATGGGCGGCTCGTCTTCTCTACTATCTAGGCTACGACTACGAGGAAATCATTCGTGATCTGGGCAGCCTCGCGAAGCTTGCCGAGCTTGAGGCTCCCAAAGCCCGCCCTGCCATTGGACAGATCGAAGCTGCAGAGTACGGTCTGTAACGGCATCTTGCACATAGCGCACCGAAGTTGAACTTACCAATTACGCAACATGCTCGACATCAAACTCCGTCAAACATTTCTTCCTTTAGTGCACGTGGTGAGTTTGGTGAGACGATGTCCGAAATGAAGATCTTGACTTGCATTTCTCCACTGCCTTTCCCCACTTGCATCACGGCACCTGTCAATCTCCCCAGACCGCTGTGCTTGCGTGACACTGACTCTTCAACTGACTCTATTTCAGCATCATCGTGCAGCAAAAGTCCAAAATCATGGCCATTAGGATGGGAATTTTGTACAGATATCCCAGTCGTTCGCGGCAAATGCTTGCTCTGATGCACGATGCAGCGAATAGGGACGTTTGCCCCAGATGAGTGTAAAAGTCTGCTGCCCAATGAGAAGTGGGCTGTATGCAGGACGTCCGAAGATCAGGAGTGGACTCGGGAGTGAAATCGAATCAGAGTGCTGAGGGCCACTTTTCGAGAGACCCACCAACGGCTTGCATACTGCGGCCAGAAGAGGAAAGAGCTCAGCCTTATCAGTGCTCCGAGGGAATTTTGTGAAAGCAGATTGCTCTTTACGTACGCACATGCTTCACACCACGGTACCGCGTGGAAAAGTGGACGGAAGAGGCATTGTGTGCATCTTGACTTTCGATGTCGAATGTGAAGAGTATCAACTAACTGCAAGGTCTGGATCCTTTCGTCACACAAGCAGCAGGCGGCAGGCCGCTGCTGTACCTTTTGCAGCGGCTGCGTTTTCACCGCCAGACCGCCTTTTCCACGCGGCGCCAACTGGTCAATGCGTATCGATTTGTTTGGGTGGAGAGGCAGAACATCGACGTCAAGGGCATCTGGAGGGGTTGATCATTGATGCCGTGCTTTTGCAAGACGGGTAAACAGCCTGGTCAACGGTCGCAGAGATATTAAGGATGTTCAGATACGACGAGTGCAGAGACGCTGACGGAGTGCACCGCGCAAGAGCTCAGCAAGGCAATCTACGCGGGCTGCAAGGATGCTTGTTCGCCGGCTTCGTGTTTCTATGTTGGCCAATGGGAGCTCGCCGTTCCGGGCCTGATACTCTTTTCTTGCCCGCTGCCTCATCGCTGCATGTTTTCTGCAGTTCAAGGTTTGACTGCTGTGGGGCATTCCTGCGATGGGCACACGAGCTGCGCAGCGCCTCGTTCATGATGCAACGAAGTCCGTGATGCTCGAATCAATGTGGTGATACCGAGGAACTGGGTGCCTCCAGATCAATGAATGCGCTGTTCTTATTGAAACCTGCATTATGAGTCTTGCTGCCGCTTGATGCACAGGGGAGTCATCACATTTGGATCGGTCGCTCTTTCCCGACCAGAGTGTTGGACCCCCCCGGTCGTTCCTCAGCGCTAGCTGCTTGGCGCTTGCAGTCTCCGCCCAAAAAATGTCGTCGACCTTTGCCTGTCCTCTCCCCACCTACACCCAAAAGTCGTACAGGATAACTCCCAAAGACACCTTTTCAACACTCCATTCATACATATCCTCGTCGAGACAATGCCGCAGGCAATCGCTGAGTGCTAAATTCCTGGAGGGCTCGTGAAAGTTTGCGAGCCCTTCAGCCAGCTCAGGATATTTCAATCTCAACGACGATACCACCACACGACTGCGTGAAGCACGAACTGCTCGCAGCCGTCTCAATATATTGATCATTCGTCCGGCCTGCACTGAACACATACCGCATCTGTCAGTTCTGCCGGCTCAACCCTCGAACATCGACGAACCCGCCAAAGACTCTACATAGTTGAAGAGCCTTGCATTCCAGTACACCATACTCGCAGTCGAGAAAACGCTTTTCGCTCTGGGCTCTCTAAACATCGACACCTTCCACCACCCTTCCTCCGACACATCCACCTGACCCGGGACCCTTCCTTACCTTCCTCGAACCAACGCATACTCAAAGGATCTCTACTTCACAATGGCGTACATCGCGAACCCCCGAACAGTCTTGGGCGAGCTCGGCGGAAAACACCTTCAGAATCACAAGCTTGTTCCTGACGCCACCGCTCAGCCCCGCTACAGCACTCAACGAGCCTCGGGCTCGGACATTGCATCTAAAAGTCTTCAGACTACCGAAGGCCACGGTGACGGGCAAGCTACCACCGAGGGGGCTTCCGAGGAAGACGAAGAAGACGATAGTGCCACACTTCAAGACGACAACGAGACTGACGACGACATTCCAGTCTCGTATCGTGGCCGTGGCAAAGGAAAGGGCAAGGGCAAAGGCCCTGTCATTCGCGTCGAGCCTGTCGACAATGAGGAGACCGACAAAGACGATGACGAGACTTCGTCCAACGGAATGGGTCTCATTCCTAGCAAGCATCCAGTGAACCAGCTGCTCATGCAAAACAAGAAGCGTACCTTCAGCAACCTTTCAAGCACATCGGTCCTTTTCGGAGATGAAATAATTGATCAGGAAGTATTCCCCAGGCGTAAGATGGCAAGAAAGCTCAGCAACGTGGGTCCCAAGCCCCTACTAACCTACCAAGAGAGTGACACAAATGAGCACGCCATTGACAGCGACGATGAAGATTACAGCGGTGTCAATCTGATTCCTGATGACGATGAGTTTGACCCGGAGACGATGGAGCTGCAAGAAGAGAACTTTATTGCACAAGAGCAGGAGCAACAGGCGACCGCTCTTCTCAACCAGTTTCGTGATGCTCGCCGACTCAGTCTCGAGAGCTCTGCCAGTGATGACATCTTTAGTGTCACTGCACCTCTTAACGAGTCTTACATGGCCGGTCTGACTGACTTTGGTTTCGCTCAATTCTTCGAACCAGAAGCTCTGCCCGCGTCCCCTGATCCAGCTGCCAAGAGGAAGTACTCAGACAGTTCAACGAAGCGTGTCCGCTTCGACGACGAGGTTCAAGTATCAGAGGACTCCGAGTCTGAGTCTTCAGAGCTCGACAACAGTGTCTTTCCCGATTTGTTCCTTGAACAGGACAAGTTGCCTCCCATCTTGACTCAGCTGTTGGAGGCCGAGAATGACGACGATTACGGCGACGTAGGCTCTCCCATGTCCGATGCTTCGTTCTGGGACTTCAATCACGACGAAGCACGCATCACCCAGGCGGATGACTCTGATGATGAATCGTCTGCCGGCTCTAGTGGCTATGAAAGTATGATATTGACCTGCATCAGATTTATCTCCGTTACTAACAAACCACTACAGCCGACGAGGGCGACACTACTGACGAAGAAGACTTCGGGTCCGACGTACCTCCGCAAAAACCTCTAGCAAAGAAGTCTGTGCTGCAACAGCCACAATCAGCACCAGGCTCTAGGGCAGGTACACCCAAGCCTTTCGCACGAAGCAACCCACCCACAGGTCGTCAAATCCCTCCAATGCGAGGAGTCTTTGTCCACAAGGAGTCGAACGCCGCGATTGCTATCACAAACAGAGCTACCAAGACAGTGACTTTCTACCGTCCCCGCGTCCAAGCCATTCCATGGATCCCTATACATGGCACCCACAGCAGTACAAGCAGCACCGCCAATAACAGCCCCCGAGCTTCACTTGCCCAGTTCGCCAATGTCTCGGACAGTGAGGCTGAAGCTATGAATAACGCGCTCAGCACAGATATTATGCTCACAGGTATCTTTGGATCTGCCCCCGGCAACGACTACTTCTTCAGCAACGACAATGTTGGTCCTCCAGAGGCTTTCTATCCCTTTGTCAGCTTCGGGTCAAACGGAAGCATCGACGCTTTCGACGAGGACGATTTTGAGTCTGAGGATTACGAGGATGATCTCAACATCGGCGACTTCATGGACTTCGGTGATGAGTCTGACAACAGCGACATGGAAGACGACGGCGAGGAGACCGATGCACCAACGACGCCGGGTGCCTCTCAGACCAACGGCGGTCGATCCGTCGAGGCAACCCCAGTCAAGGAGACTACTGGCAACCGCAAGAGGACCACATCGGATGTCATGCTCGAGCACTTCGACCGTGGAGTAGTCACTGCATTCCGCAACAACCAGAACCGCTACCGCGATGTCGCTTCGCTGCCTTCCGACCCGACAGCTCGCAATGCTGTCTCACGTCCTGTTAGATCTGGCAAGTCTGCTGACGCCCTCATCACTCCCCTTCGCAAGCGTTCCAAGTCGAACAGGATGGCGAAGTCTCCCATGGCGCCCATCCCGCAGAGCTCGCCGCTCGCTAGCGTCAGCAAGGCGCAAGGCTCGATGGCTGCACCCCGCCGCCCACCTCCAAGGATGGGCACCTTTTCTTAGGTGTTTACACACCATACACGTAATCTAATTACACCCGACATGGACCGTAGAGGAGCTAGAAGAAGAACGACGAGGATCTACGGAGGATGTGTGGGTGTCTACAGCAAGACGCCCTAACGACGTTACGATGCCCACGACTGTTTGACTTTCTGCTACTCTGGCTTTGTTGTCACTATGGACCGATGCGTTTGCATATCTACCAAAAGTCCATCGGCACAGTCTATACCCTAGATGGTCTCGATCAAAAGTTAGAAGAGGCCATTTCACGAATGAGTTTTTCTTTGATTTCTTTCCATCTCTTTTCATGTAGCCTCGGTCTGGGGCATCCGCTCTCTACTGTCAATTTTGCTTTCCGTACATCTCATCGTCATCTTCCTTCGAGATAGAGACAATATGTTCTGGATGATACCACATGTTTTCGACGATCTGACGGGTTTCGCTTCCTCTGGCGTTCAGATCTGCGGCCAGGCAGGCTGCGGGGTTTAGAGGTTGAGGAATCACTTCCGGGCGTCAGGTTGTTTGGGTTTTCCTTGCTTTTGGAGTTCAGGCTGAGTGTGGGTTGTTGCTTTCCATGTAGGATCATTAGCCTGATGATAGTGCCTTTCCGTAGTAAATGAAACCGCGTTTCGCGAATCTATCAGCATGAAGATGTGAGACGCCACGCGAGATACGACACGAGCGCCACGCGGTCCCTGTCAGTCTCAGATTGCACAGATCAGCAATGCACAAGCCTCCCGTTCTTGTCCCTGCAGGATGGCGCAACTGATGTGTGCTTGGCGGTGAAGATTGCACTTGCATTAGCGTGCTGCCCCCCCCCGTGCTCAAGCTTGCGAGACACCGACGTCACTTGTCATCGAATTCATGTGATGCTCAACGTCAGGTCAACACACCTTCCGACATGGAAGTGTCCACCATGGACGACACCAAAGAGGAGTACGATGACCAAAGATCACTTGTCCAAAATGCTACGGTATGTGCCTCTCGCAATTTATGCTCTTACCTTACCATAGCCAAGATGCCTTCATGGCCAACCCAGCTAACATTCGCAGGACACCCTCCTCTTCCCCATGCGCGTCGCGACCTCCCCTCCCCTCTTACGAACCTACCTGCGCACACTCCTCCTCCTCATAGCCTCAACCGTACTCTTTGCCTTCGCCGTTATCGCATACATATCCTTCTACTACACCTACATTCCCATCCGCGGCATCTCAGTCCCCGTGTACTTGCAATTCGATCACGGCACCACACCAATATCCTTCTTCGGCGACTCGAGCAGGACGTTCGGCCAGGAAGCACAGAAATGGCCGCATGCGGTTGCGGGCGTGCATGGGCTGGTGAATAGACAGAAGTACGATGTCAGCGTGGAAATGGTGGTGCCGAGGAGTAGAGGGAATCTGGGGGCGGGGAATTGGATGGTCGAACTATCTCTGCGCGGTCCCTCCTCTTCCTCTGCGTCACCGGGGATAAGGAGCATGTTAGGCTGGGACGACGACACCGCTGAATCCACCACTCGAGACAGCACAGCTACCACCACGAGCAGACCACCCGTCCTCGCGCACTCCCGCCGCCCCGCCATCCTAACCTACCGCAGCTGGCCCACCGAGCATCTCTACCGGCTCCTCCGGCTCCCCTTGTATCTCGCCGGTTTCGGCACCGAGAGCGAAACACTGCACATCAGCATGCTGGAGAGTGCGTACTTCCTCTCCACCGTCCCGTCGTCTCTGCGCCTCGAACTACGCAGCAGAACAGCGCTGGAAATATACCACGCCAACGTCCATATTAAAGCGAAACTGGAGGGGCTGCGGTGGCTTATGTATAACTATAGGGTAGTGAGCGCGGTGGTGTTCGTGGGGTTGTTTTGGGGGACAGAGATGGGTGTTTTACTCTTGACGTGGGGGGTTGTCACCATGCTGTTCGGGTCTCCTACCTCGCTCAAAGGAACGGGAGAGGATGGGGGAAGTAAGATTAAGAGAGAGATGGACGGCGCAAGCGAAGCAGGCACAGAGTACAGCGACGCATCCCACACGTTCCCCACGCTCTCAGGGCAGGCACCACTTCGCTACTCCTCTCCCGAGAACAAAACGAAAACGAAAAAAGAGCTTGAGGACCAAAGACTGGAAGACATACCGCTCAAAGAAGACGCCGAGGCGGACGATGAAGATGACGACTTTGTGCTCGATGAGCCGGTGCTGAGGAGCATAGAGAGCCAGGGGGTGTTTACAGATAGTGGCCTCGGGACGGCTATGGATAGTGAGCGGGATAGGGAGCGGGATAGGGAGAGGGAGAGGGTGAGACGAAGAGGGAATGCGGGGGATGGACGGGTCAAAGAGGAAGGGCGACTTTAGAAGAGGTGTCCTTGCAAGCGCCGACACTCAGGCTCTCATGTCCCAGCTGGGCCTGGTTCAGCACGACCTGAGGAGACGGAGCGGAGGGCTTCGAGATGATGGATCATGATGGCACGAGGAGATGAAGAGATGAGCGTATCCATAGCACAGCGTATCGCTTGGATAAGACTAATACATGTATACAAAGCCCAACGCCCTGCGAACTGATGCGAACAACATTACAAGAGTTTTCGTACCCTGGGCCCATTCCAATCCCATGCGTCAGCCAAGACCCAGGTCATGTCCTTGTGTGCCTCTCCTTTAGCACCCCAAGTCTCCTAAGAACGCGGGCTAGCCTCCACAGTCCCGCTCTCGGATGTGTCCTTCTTAGCCTCCTCGTTCTTCTTCGCGGCCGCCATCTGCCACGCCGGAATCGCTGCGCGACCTTGTGTCCCCCGCCATGACTGCACTGGCTTCTCGGCTGCCGGCGTGGATGCCGATGATGCTGTGCCGTTCGCAGCGCCTGTGCTCGCACCGCCCGGCATCGCGGGGCTGGCCTGGGCGTCAGTGCTCGTCGATCCGTTGGTCTGCCCGCTCGGTGACGGCTGAGGCGCTGGTGGCGCGGCAGGTGTGCTTGTGCCGTTTGTAGGCGCGGGGGTTTGGCTTTGCTGGCTCTGGTTCTGGATGCCGTAGTACGGTGTCGAAGCTGCGCGAGGGGCGGGCGGCGCACTCATACGGTTGCTGACTAGTGTCTTCAGGCTCTTCAATTCGGTGGACAGCTCCTTGAGCCTGTTGTCGTTGGCTTCTTTCTGCACATCTAGCGCCTTGGGGATCAGATCCCTCAATCCCCTAACGTCATCTTCGATCCTCCTGTTGTCGTCGCCTTGCCTCTTGCTGCTCTCCTTCAGGCTCGCCAAGACGCTCTCCACTTCGCCCAGTGCGTTGTCGAGGCGCTCTGTGCGGGCTTCTTCGCTAGCTTTGAGGGCTTTGGTATCGGTATCGAGTTGTTCGAGCAGGTCGAAAGCGCGCTTGAAGGATTCTTCGATAGAAGCCTTGTCTTGTTCGAGCTGTGGGGCGGTGGGAGGGGAGATGATGGGGAGGATGTAGCGTTTTGCGGTAAAGTAGAGGCCGTAGCCTACACCGCCCATGACCGTCGCCATGATGAAGTAATCGCGCCAGTCGCGCTTCGGTGGTCTAGAAGGGCGTCAGACTGATTGTCTGGGAATGTGCCGGGGAAGTTGGCATGCTTACTCTGGTGCTGGCGGCTGCGGCCAGTACTGTGGAGGGTAGCCGCCGCCGTACCCTGGGGCCGAGGGCGGTGGGCGGTATGCATTGCTGGGTGGAGAGGAGTACTGCGGTGCTGGCGGCGCTGGCTGGCTAGGGTCGTCTGATGCGGCGCGGGCGAGCGAGACGTCAACCTCTTCCTGTGTGAGGTTCTTGGACTGCAGGAAGGCAATGCGCTTCTCGACTGGTGCGCTGGCTACTGACGGGTCCTGGAGAACTACAACATGTCAGTATCGACTCCACAATGGTTATAGATAGGACATACAAGACACCGCCGACGTGATGAGGTCCTCACGGACCATGTTGGCTACCTGTTGCGCTGCACTCGCGTCATGCGCTGCTATGGAAGATAGGTGCACGATAGATGGAGTCGCGAACTGATGACCGAAAGCTGGAGGCGGCAGTCTAGCCGTGCCTCGGCTCTTCCGTAGTCGGCGCTCGCGACTCCCTCACGTGTCACGGAAGCTATTTCCAACTTCGTCTCTCCTACGCGAGCACACAGATAGCAACATCATATTCATTCGGTCCCATCCTGCTTCCCGGTATTGCAGATAGTCGTACCCACCAACACAGAAGTGACTGGAACCAGACGGGAACACTCCCATACAGGTGGTATGAGACGACGGAACTATAACAGCATGCTCGTATCAGCTGCGTCGCTATAACGAACGGCTGTCCTAAAACAATACAGCTTCAACATAGATATTCGAGTGAACCAGCCATAAGGGCCAATCGCCCAGGTAGACCTATTGGTAAGAAGACCTCTTCACCTACGGCTCGCATGTCCAGCTGTTGTTGTGCGAATTTGTTGAAAACATAATACAATGTCTTTCAGTCCACCGACACTTTCTCGTTTCACTCACATCTCATCTTTCACGTGTACACTATGCAACAATGTCGACTCAAACAAACGCCTCCCGCTTCTCAATCCTCCCGCAGTCACGCACTGTAGGCTCCGTTTCCTCCTTTTCTTCTCCTCCAGACTTTTAAACACATAATGGCGCCTACAGCAAAACCGCGCGTGCCGAATAAGGCAGCCTCCAAGCATTTGAAGAATACGGTTCGTGTACCACTTGTCAAGCACGGGCAGAAGCGCCCGCACGCTCGATCGACTAGTGAGCTCGCCGCAAAAAGCAAGGGAGCCCTGTTGGGCATTGTAAAAGACTATGCCGTGAGCAAAGCTCCAAAACTGATCAAAAGTCTCGCTTTGAAAACTGCCATCGCAAAATGGATCGAGAGCATAGAAACGCTCGCTTTGGGCCCACACCCGGAGAGTAAATTGCCTTGTAAGTCGATGCCGCGCGCTTACGGCATGAAACTAACTCAGGTGCAGAAACAAAGAAGGAAGATCTTGTCGAAGCATTTGGGCTCAAGACAACAGCCCCAAAAACGAAAGGCAACAAAGTGGGGAACGATGCACCAAGCAAGAAACCTGCTCAGAAGAAAGCAGCTTCGCCTACTGAAGACAAGGTGATCACGCAGTCGATATGGTTGCCAGCATGATCGCGCCTATCATTCAGGAAGTTGAGGAGAGGAACGGGACTTTGAACGCTACGTTCAGCACTGCGTTCTACCCAGCGCAGATCTTGGACACTCGTGTGCCTAAATTGGAGGAGGCGCTGGTGTTTTTCGGAACGAACATTCCGCTGTTGCCGCAGGGTGGACAGAGGTACTTGTATGGCGCTGGCACGATTGAGGTAACGCATACGCTGAACGAGCAGTTGACGCAGGAAGAGCTGTTGCAGGGTGCGGAGGCGTATGGTCTCATTCTAAGGCACCTGTTCCCAGAAGAATGAAAACTCCGCATGTTGTGGTAGGTAGAGAGTACCGATTCCAGAAAGTCTGGTACATTTACATTCACAAATACCCGTTGCGCGCCCAGAGTCCTTTCCCAATCCCAAACACCGCAACCCCAACACTCCCTCTTGAATTCCACGCTGTATTGCCGACAAATAGTCCAAACATCCCAAACCGTACACTCTCTCCATCACTGACCGCCCTCGGCCCTCGCCTCCTCCAACAGCTCCGCCCAATCCACCATCACCCTACCCCCCCTCTCCATCATCGGCAACTCTTCCACAAATCCGAGACCAGATACCACTCTTTTAGTCAACCATAGCTCCTTGACTGACACACCATCGCACTCCTCCCCATGAATCGTGCACGGTGCCACCCTCCCACCACTACTAACTCCCACGGGACGGGGTAGATCTTCTATAGAAAGAGCATGGTCTCCGAGACCGTAGAGATACCTTACTGAAGAAGCAGGGCGGGATGGGGTGTCTTCTGTTGAAGAATTAGCTGTGTGGATGGGGATGTTAAGATGGTGGGTATGACCGCGTATAGAGCCTAGACGAGCCAGTCCGACGTGGCTTGAAGTAGGCCGAAGTCCGGAAGGTGAGGCGGCGCGGGAGGCGAGACGACTTCCTGGTGCGGAGGCGGCGAGGAAGCGCGCGCCGAGTTGTGGTGTGAAGGTGTTCAGCGCCGCATCGCGGAGCACGGCGAAGGAGGTGATGGTGGGCGGGAGCGCTTCAGCAGCTGGTGGAGGGCGAAGAGAAGGTGAAGCAGAGCGACTGGAGGGCTTCAGTGCTTCATTGACAAGCAAATCTGTGAGGAAGGGAGCTGGGGTCCTGGACGTATTCACCACATCCACCCCATCCTCCAGCGCACATACAACTTCCTTCGCCTTGTCCTCCTCACTCTCCTCCTTAGCCCTCTTCTCCCCCTCAACACTAGCCTCCAGCGCCCGTATGCTCTCCTCCTCCACTAGCCCCTCATCCTCCTTATCATACCCCGGCGCCGACGCAGACACAATGCCCTGAATCATGATCCCCTTCCTGGTACTATATGGGATTGGCTCGATCAAGTTGCCCGCTGGGTAGGCGTAGATATAGTGTCCGCGGTAGTAGTACGCGAGACCTCGTTCGAGCGTGTGGTGCCCCGACAACCCGGAGATGTAGACGTGTGTATGTTGCGCTCTTTCACGGGCGATGCGTTCGTTGTGGGATTTGCGAGCTGCGTGGGAGGATGGCATTGTGTGTATGCGGAGAGAAATCGAATGGGAGGCGAGGTAAATCGGTCAAAGACGGAAAGGAGAGGCAGAGGGTTTGAGTGGGTGGGAGTAACGTTTGGGAATAGGTTGGACGCAAGGATGGAAAGGTTGAGGGAAGAGAACAGGAGGAAACTCAAGGCTGTTGTGTGCGCTGGGAGGTTGATGGAACGCTGAACTGAGGTGAAGACAAGCATAGCGTTATTGGTGTGGTGACCGGGCGCATGTTGCTTTCACTTACGTACACCCTGACCATAATGAACTCTGAACTCTGAACTCTGTACTTCGATGCTAGGAGTCTTGTCGCAGTGTCCGTTAGCCACAAGTTCGGATTCTTGGTAGAGCATAGCCACGTGGACGTGGATCTGGTGCGAGAGTATGATCTCCTAATCTTCAATTCTTAGAACTGTGCGCAGACAGTCGTACTTTGTGGATAGCTTGGTTTCAAGGATTTATGTTAGGGCATAGACACGTATAAACTCAATGGCGTTAAAAAAGATAGAATTGATAAGCTGGATACAACAAATAGTGTGACAAGCAAAAGAGAATCAGGGATGGAAGAATGAGGATCCTTATACAGCTCGACTTCGAGAAGGCGCTTGATGTAGGTGGTAAATGATATGTTGTAGTTTAGGATATCGTAAAACAGCGCTTCAGATCATAACATCTTGTGTTAGACTCTTACTGACGGCCGGAGGAGGTACCATCGTTGCCGTCAACGGCACGCTCGAGACCCTCATCGTCTCCAGGCTCTGTGTAGGTGCCAGGCTGCTTAGCGGCGCCGCGTGTGCGTTCGTCAAGGATGTTGTCCTGGTCGATGGCATCCTTCTCGTCGCGCTCTGAGTTGTGTCAGCTTCAATTGCGATGTTTGAGGGAGCTGCGTGTGGTGCATACCGAGTTGCCTGTCAGAATCGGCGGCCTCACGGTCGTTGTACTCAGTCCTCTCAATGGGTGCATCGTCCTTGAGGACACGGATTTCGCTCTGGCCGGTGCTGAGAAGGCATTAGTGATGCGTCTAAGAACATAAACCATGCAATCCAAATGTTCCGCATCTTAGTGAGGTGGAAGAGGAACAGCAAAGACGCCAATAGTACTGCGGTTATACTAAACATACCGGCTCTCGTAACCTTTCTCTTGCTCGGAACCCATGTTGATTGTTGCTAAATAGTTGGCTGGGACTGAATGAATTGGGTGGTTGGTGTGGTAGATAGTAGTGTTGTTACAATGGTTGAGTTGATGCAGGGCAACACAGGTGAAAAGCTCAGGCTAAGTACTGTTACAGCTCGCAAGCGTACGTCATGCGTCTCGAGTGTGGAGGTTGGTTATGTTGTCAGTGCCTCAGGGCCAACTCTCTTGGTCTCCATGGCGATCCGGATCATGACAGCATGATGTGTTAGGCAAACTATAGAGCCGGCGCGCCAGGCTAACTGTGCAGTGTCAGGGACTGCCGCAAGTGGGCAGACACATGGCGATCCAAGAGATGTGATCGTGTATTAAAGCGGGAGCTATCGTTAGCTGCGATGCTGTCTTTGTTTCGTGGAGGTAGATTCTGCGTCATAGCGAGCAACTATCATGATGATTAGAGGATCGTGACAACGGTATGGAGATGCCGAGCTGAGTGCTAAAGGCTCGATTGTAGAAACACAGATACGCATTGTGTGTCTTCATTTACGTTGCGACATATCCATCCGGTACTGGTGAGAGCCATCTTCAGTGCTTTTGGGCACCGCGAGGAAGGGCCGCTGCTAAGCTCGTATTGTCGCGACGCTAGCACCATCGAACCGAAAGATTTCTGGCAGACGTCAATACGCGACGAGCAAAGGCTAGTATCAGGGACACTGTGGGGCGCCAGGATGGGCATCGAGATTGCCGACGTATCCAAGATCGATTTGTCGATTGCATCGGAGCGTGGCCCGGCAACCGATGATGTGAGAGAGGCTGAAAGAGTGGTTGGAGGCTGGGGTTGGTGCGACACGTGAACACGGTCGCGCGTAGAGTCGTGACGTTGAGAAAACCACTTATACTTCCATTTTGGGCTAAGTGAGGAACGCTCTGCATCAGCTCGATGTCACACCTTTGACACCTCATGGATGTGCAGGGACAAAAAGGTTGTCGACGAACAGCATGCATTGGGTCGTAATGTGATAAAGCTGACACTGACTCCAGTGCGTTCACCGGGTTCCTCCAACGCATGGCGTGAGGATCTGCTGACAAGCACTCAATGTCTTCCACTTTGACAATTATAAATCAATGCAGCAAGCAGAGGTCGCTATAAGTCTTGTCTCAACGTGAATGAGTGCATTTGAAGGTTCGCTATCCATGTAAAGAGATGGAGCCAGACACGCTCGGTGGGACTGTATCGAAGCCCAGGCGGGGGGACATGTACAACAATCTGGTTCGCTGTAGAGGTGAACTGTGCTAGGACTTCGAAAAAGCTTACAAGGCCGTAGACGAACACAGTCGCGGAGGTCTTCAATGTGCTTGGGTGATTCTGGTGACGCTGATGTGTGGAAAAGGGTTCGAGGCGCATGCAGACGTTCATTCAGCCTCGCCTTGGCACCCGACCCTTGCTCGATCGCCGCGGAAGAGAGCACTAACAACATCGATCTTGAGATCCCATTCCTTCAACACCACACAACAATCACCCCGCCACGATCCGCATCCATGCTCGCCAACAACATATTGCGATCATAGACATATTACACGCACATCTTGCAAGAAGAGTTTCTTGAACAACGACCGCTTTGCGCCTGGAATAGGCTTTTGATCGCACCGCGCGTCGCAAACTACATAATTCTGCAAGACTTCCGGTAATGGTATCAGCAGCAGGGACGCCACAGCCGCCGCGACGGGAGCGCCCACGGCCACCACCGCCGGCGGTGGTCGAAGCAGAGCAACAATGGATCTTCGTCGAAGATGAGCTATTGCAAGCGCCCTCGATAGTAGAGGGTATGGCACCGGAGGAAGAGCGCACGTTACGGCGGAAGGGCATCAACTTTATCTTACAAGTGGGCATGATGCTCAAATTGCCACAAACCACTCTCAGCACAGCTGCCGTGTTCTTCAATCGGTACCTCATGAAGAATAGCTTGAAGCCAAAGCCTGGCTACAAACCACTACATCACTACGTAAGTGCCTTGGTGAGTCTGCAGATGCTTGAACATGTCTGACATATTACTAGCAAGTTGCTGCGACTGCGCTATTCCTCGCTACAAAGGTCGAAGAGAATTGCCGTAAGATGAAGGAGCTGGTCGTAGCATGCGTACGAGTCGCGCTCAAAGACCCGAACAAGCTCGTCGACGAACAAACCAAGGACTTCTGGAAATGGCGAGACACAATATTGTACAGCGAGGACGTACTTTTGGAGAGTCTGTGCTTCGACCTGAACGTCGAATCACCATACAAGACGATGTACGACATGATGAAGTACTACGGCGTCGAACACAACAAGAAGCTGCGCAACTCTGCCTGGGCATTCTTGGCCGATTCTGCTCTTACACAGATGTGCCTACTGTTCGACTCGCGAACCATTGCCGCGGCATCTCTTTACTGTGGCGCTCGTATGGCGGAGGTCAGCTTGGAGGATGACGATGGCAAGCCATGGTGGGAGATCCAACATGTCAAGCTACGCAATATCAGAAGAGCCTGCAATCTCATGGCAGACATATACGAAAGATCCCCAGACAAGGACGAAGATGCGAACAAGTACTCTGGGCTTAGAACACCCGAAGATGGTATTGACTTTGGCGACACCCCGCGAAGCATGGAAGGCGTACAGATGACAGGTCAAGAGCTCAGTCAGAGCCAACCCACCGCAAACGGAACTGGCAACGCGACGGAGAGGGGTAGTGAGGAGGGCGAGTTAGACGGCTAGATGAAGCTCACAAGCACGTCTGATTCAGTGCTCCTCTTACCCAACACTGGAGCCTCGCAGCGGGTATGCCCGCGGTGTACTGGCCACGGCTTGTGTCATTTCTGGTGCCGCTCGACCGACAGACCAAAGCGCGTTGCGCCTTTCGTGATGGTCGACCCCATTACTCCTTTTCAACCTCACCTCAGATCGTTCTGAAGATCTTGGCGGTGTTCTTCCTTTTGAGCATGGCAGCTGGCGTTAGGCGAATGAGCATAAAGATACCCCTGAGCTCAAAGGGTTCAGGTTACTCATATTTAATTACTACAAGTCATCGCATGAATGACGTTTTGTATCCTTATGTGACTTGCTTGCTTCATACGTTGCGACCACATGAGCAATATCAGGTCATACCTCAAAGCCAGGCCGTATCGAACGTATCGAGCAGCCAATCACATCCACCAAATCGCGCAGCCTCGGCCCAACTTTCACGCGCCGTGTTTCAGCGACTTCTTCGAGCTCAACATCACCGCTACTCTGTCATTTCCCTTTCCTTTTGCTTCTGCTGCCTGTACGTTTTGGATCTCGTATTCGAGCGTTTCCTGTTCATCTATCGCATCTCCCTCTTCTAAAGCATCAAAATCCAGGATACACATTTGATCCCGCGGACCATCAGCCACACGCACTCGCCACAATGGACGCCACACCTTCAGCCATGCTGAGGCTCTTGGTGCCCAAGGTACCATTCATGCTCAAAACAGCACTCTGGCATTCCATCGGTCAATCCGCCACATCCTCAAAATGGGATCTCCGGACCGAACTCACCATCAACATTCTCCGGGACATGATCGGCCCCAACTCTGAGCCGTCTCCGATATCGAAAATCCAGCGCTTGACCACGAAAGATCCGGGAATTAAGGGGAGTGTGTGGGTGAGCAAGGTGAAGCTGAAGGTACCAGAAGAGGACGATGTGCGACAGCTGTTGTTCAAAGCGATTGAAGACATGGGCAGTGGAGAGGAGCAGTGGACGAAGCCCTCATCCCAGCCGCTGGAAGCAGAATGGAACGGGTACCGCGCTCAAGCTCTGGACCCAAAAGCTCCGCAGCCCACAGACCGAGATGAAAGACAGGAGTATGCCAACATGATGAAAGAAGTCACTTCCAAAGTCACGCTCCTCTACTTCCACGGCGGCGCAATGTACCTCCTCGACCCCGCGACCTACCGCCCGACCACCTCCCGCCTGGCCAAGGAAACAGATGGCCGAGTGTTCAATGTAAGATACAGGCTGGCGCCATCCAACCCCTTCCCGGCTGTGCTGCTGGACTGCTTCACCGCGTACCTCTCCCTCCTTCACCCACCGCCAGGCGCTCCGCACGATCCCGTACCAGCGAGTGAGATTGTGTTCGGCGGCGACTCAGCGGGCGGCACATGCTGCACGGCTTTGCTCCAACTACTCTTGCAACTGCACCGCTCGTCCCCCGGGCGTGTGCCGACAGTCAAGTTCCACGGCAGGGAGGTCGAGATCCCGCTCCCAGCAGGCGTGGCAATGACAAGTCCATGGCTAGACATCACGCGCGGCCTGCCCAGCATCGAGGGGCTGGTAAAGTACGATTACCTCCCCCCGCCCAGTCAGACTGATACGCGCGAGTTCCCCGCTTGTGATATCTGGCCGTCCAACCCCCCTCGCGCAGACCTCTATTGCGAGGGCAGCGCACTCCTTCATCCGCTTGTTTCACCGCTGGCAGCCAAGGACTGGAGCGGTGCTCCGCCGCTGTTTTTCAGTTTAGGGCAGGAGATGTTGAGAGATGAGGATGCGGTGCTTGCGCAGAGGGCGGTGGGGCAGGGTGTGAAGGTGGTGTGGAGAGAGTTTGAGGCTATGCCGCATTGTTTTGCGATGTTGCTTGAGAACAATAATGGGACGCCTGTGCATTACGCGGAGTATGCGAAGTTTTGTCGGGAGGTTGTTGAGCGTCAACACAGCATTGCAACGAACGGAGAATTCATAGCAGCAAAGAGCTTGGCAAGGAGTGGGGTGGATGTGGAGCGGGGGTTGACAGACTTGACGGATGGCCAGGTTGAGGAGTACATGAGGAAGGGCAAAGACAGGATTGAGGCAAAGTTCAGAAGGGGTCAGGATCCGGCTGTGGAGGCAAGGCCCATGTTGTAGATGTGAGATGGCTTGGTAAGGTAGATGGAGGGGTAGATGGAGGTATATACCCGTACACATAGATCAGGCGTTCTTCGTTTCCAGGGGTTTTGGATGTAATATGACTTGGTAGACATCAGAGAATCTGCACATAATTTGCAGATCAGCGATTTGATACCTTATGATTCCATGTTGCTGCTGACATTCGAACGTAATTCAAGTTTCTAGAAACCGATGTCTCAAGATCCCCGCATACGCAGCGCGGAGTCCCAGAGTCAGTATTGGGGGCTCGAAGTCTGATGGTACCCATGATCCAGTTTTTGAATCGCGAAAAGAGCCGCCCCGTTCACGAATACTATTGAAATATACAACATTGTTCTCAAGATTTTCCGTATTATAACTCCTCTATATGCTGACTCTCACAATCAAGCAGTAGACCTTATGCCTTGGAAACTTTCTCTTCTCCCCCAGTTCCTTGGTTGTCTCTTCAAGAACGCACCCACACTGCCCAGATACCCTTCATGCCTGAGGAAGTATGCCTGCTTGGTCCCCTTGGACCAGAAGCGGATGGCGTATGATAGTGTGTTCATCGTTTGAGCGTGGCCGCCAATGAAAGATCCACCAAAGTATATGCGCTCCAAGCCATGCTTCTCAGCATGTAGATACGCAATCTGACCAATGTTGTTCGAGACAGCATATAGCAGTGACCTTGAGATATCCTCAGGTGCGAAGCCACTGGGCGAGTGCTGCATCTCTGATGAGCCATCGACGTGCTCTTCTTCTGCACGGCGCTTGAGGTCGCCATTGCACCCATCCTCTGCGTCTCGTTCTGCTGCGCGCTTCTTTTTGTAGACCTTGCCGAACGATGACGCAATGTGTGTGCTCTTCAGCCCAATCTTGTTGTACGCTTGGCCGTAGATGTCGCCGACCAGTAGATCGACAGTCGAGTTGTCGCCCTTCTCCGCTAGTCGCAGCATATCATCGAAGCTTCGGGCTCCCGTCAGCATGGACAGCAGCCCCCATAAAGTTCCGCCTCCCAACGATGTACCGCCGATACGTTCGAACTTTTGGGGCCCTGAGACCTTGACCATTGACACACCGGAGCCAATGTTGACGAGCAAGTAGGGGTAAATGTTCGGTGGGTCGGGTGGGTGTGCGACGAATTCCATGGGTTGGTCTTCGCTGTAGGTGAACACTTCGTTGGGGATCTCGTTGATGAAGAAGTCAAGACCTGTCGATGTCAGTTGCGATGCTCCGCTTTTGCCCATCGTACAGTAGCCGTACCTGTGATCAGACTCTCCATCTCGTCTTCCCTGATGACTTCAACGCCCAGCGCTTCTGTGATCTTGTCGTAGTACTTGTACGCACCACCACCCGTCGCCATAACGCACAGGTCGCTGGGGCTTGTGCCGTTGTCTCTGTGGTCAGAGACCAGCTTGCGCATGAATTCTATGCATGTGTCTATCCGGGCTGTCTCGAACTTGAGGAAGTTCAACCGGCCGCCGAGGGAGTCGTCGCCATGTTCGCGAGAGAAGTATACGAGCTTTGCAAGAGAGCCCCCAATCTGTGCGCGTGTAGCATATCAGCACTATATCCTCCGAAAGTCGCAGCGTGTTTGAGCAGAAGTAAGGGAGAGTGTCGCGTGCGCCGTGCAATCGAGCACGCGACACCAGATGCACTCACATCAACTGCTATGTGGCTCACGACTGCTGTGTGGTTTGGCAGTCTAATATCTTTGGGGTCGTGCTCGTAATCTTCGCTCTGCGGGGTCCCGGGCTGCTCCTCGTCCACGATGAATGCGCCCTGGACGTTAATCTTCACATTTCCGGGGTGCAGAATTGTCTCATGGATGTCACTCTGCGCGGTTGTCCGCCTCGGTCGTGTCGCTATGGTGCCTGACAGCGAATGCGCATGGCGGGCACGCGATGCGCCGTTGCCGGTTTCTCCCGTCACGGGGTCCTGCGCTGGCGACATGGATGCGGATGAAGCTAGTCTTGGCTGCAGCCTTGCCCTCTTCCTTCGATGGCGCACGCTATGCGTTCGTTTCGCGGTGAACTGGAAGGGTGAGTGGTGTGGAGAATGGTGACTCGGTAGCGGAGGAAAAGTTGGCCGTGTGGATAGCGATAACTCTTCCATCTGTCCGCTTTGTAACTGGTGTGAACGGCCCGGGATAGGGGTGATATGGTGTTCTGCGCAGAATGCAGCCCAAGGAGGTCAACGAAAAACTATGAGAAACTGTTGACCAGCGGACGGCAGCGCCATTAGGAAATATAATGTCTCCATACTTTCGGCGCAATGGACGCTGTAGCATGAGCTGCTACCCGAGATCCACGGTGCTGCTAAGCTCGGCAACATGGTGGACGGTGAACTGGAGAACCGAGGACTATGGGGTATTGTGGGGTTCGATCTGATAAGAGAAGCCGAGGAGTTTTGTACGCGTCAACAAGCGCTCAAATGGAGCACACTGTCAGCATCATTTTACACGTTCAATACAAGAAGGTCGTGTCCGAAAAGTCTGCAGGCTGTGGCGTGCCAATGCTGGTTCCTTCGAGACATGGCACATGTGCTGCGGCTGCTTCACTGCGTCATGACATCTTTGTGCGGAAATAAATGTTTAAAAGCTAGTTGATTGTCAACATCTGAACATTTTCAACTTGCAGATGTTCCAACCAGCAATTCCACGGCGAACTTTGCTGCAAGACACGTTTCAAGCCGTCGATGACGTCGTGTGCTCGTCAACTCCTTCGTACTTCTAGACCTCGCCCTGCAGATCCAAGCGAACACACATTTTACAAAAGCCAAGCTGTCCTTCCTAGCTACGAAGGGCCTCATCAACTGTCTGAACCGATTCGAAAGGTACAGATTAGCCAGCTACCAACAAGGCTACACATCTCAGTTACAAGGACCAGGCCAGCAATCGCCAAATCTACTAAGTTAGCACTCCGATTCCTGTCCACATCAACCGCCACAATGTCGTGGATGGACTCCTGGTCCCGTCCCTCAAAGTCCCAAGCCACGCCCCCACCCCTCTACCTCACCATTGGCGACTCTGTCCCCTACTGCCACTCATGCGGCCGTGTCATCGGGGACCGCAAGAAAACCTCAGGCGCAACCGAAGTCAAATACTGCTCTCAACGCTGCAGACACCAAAAGCCCGGGCCCGTGGACCGCAAGATCGAAGCCACGTTCGCTAAACTGCTGGAAGGCGCGACTCCGGAATCGATTAGGGAAGAGCAGGCAGTCGCAAAGAGTAAAGAGAGTGAAGAGAAAGATGGAAGTAAGGAACTTGGGAAGGAGAAGGAGAAGGAGAAGGGGGATACGGCGGACGAAGACGAAGGCAGCAAGTTCGGCAAGAAGAACAAGTCGTCGCACAAGAAGAAAAGTTCCAAGACAAAGAATACACCCAAAGGCGACCACAGAATCACAATCGACTGCACCGCCGTCGAAGAACTAGTTTTCAACCGCGAAAAAGACCCGGAGAAAGTCTACGGCCGGCGCAAAAACCGCCGTGCAAGATTCGTCGTTGAGAAGCCAGAGGACTGGAAGAGCGTCGATATGGTTGACCATCCCCCGCCTGCTTTGGCGGCTAATCCCGCTGCGGGTGCGGAGGAGATTAGTAGTGCGGAAGATACGTTTTCGGACTCTGAGCCCGAGGATCAGGGTGGCATCGCTCTCGAGAACGGTGAAGCTGCAAGTCAAAAGAAGGAGAAGGAATTGGGAGATGTAGTCGAGTATGGCTACGGCGGCGGTAAGGTTCGGCCGCCGCAAGACCAGTCAGACATCAATGGATCTATTGGTGGAGAAAAAGGGTGGGCGGAGCGGCAGCATGAGACTGAGGAGGCGAAGCAGCGCCGTCTCGAAGGCCAGAGGCGCGCTGATGAGCGGGAGATGGTACGCAAGGCAGCAAGGCGTGGCTGTGCCTTTGGGTTCTTGACAGAGGGAGAGGAGGGTGTAAGAGGTGGTGAAAAGGGCGAGAGGAGAAAGTGCGAAGCGGTCATGAAAGGTGCGGTTGTGGAAGCCAGTTTTGCGAAGGGCGAATGGGGTGTTCGGTGGCGGGAGAAGGTGTAGAAGCTCTCATGAGAGGATGAGGTGTTGAAGTGGATGAAGTGTAAGATTAACTCAACGCGTGACGTAACGTCAGGTATCAATAACATGAAAAGGCCTCCCAGAAACGTGGATGGCCGGACAACTACCATGTAAACCCAGCCTCAAGCAACTTCTTCCCATCCTTCGAGGTCTCCTTGATAATTTCCTCGAATCCCGGCCTCAATCCCGTGCCAGACCTGCATCTTCATTAGCAAACCTCACTCGTCATCTCTTCAAGATCGCACAACTTACTTAATCATATTAACCGCCATAGTCCTCGCCTTGTCCTTCAGATTGACCTGGGTAAAGTCGCCCAGCACGCCGTAGCCTTCGTCGGTACGATCGAATTTCTCGATCTGTGCGTAAGACCCCTGAAATCGCTCCATGTACTCGACAAGCGCCTCCTCTTGGTTGGCAGTCCATGTTCGTCGTGGCTGGCGCATGCGACCTGCGCCACCTATGGCGCTGTTCTGGCGTGCGAGGTTGTGCTGGTCTTGGTATGTGGAGTGAGGAGGTAGGGTTTCGGTCATGTCCGGCGCTTCGGTTTCGGTTTCGGAGAGGCTGTCTTCCTGTTGAACGCGCGGTGCTGTGGGTGCGGGGGAGGCGGATACACGTTGGTAGCACTGTGAGATGCGCAGCTCCTCGTCTTCTGGCGCGCGGACCGTCTGGGAAGCGCGGACGGCTTGGTGGGATGGGGGTGCTGGAGCGGATGAGGGGGGTTCAACGCGCACTCTCTTGGAGATTGGTGCTTTCTGGCGGCGGTCTTCAACGTGAGCTGTCCGGTCGCCAGACTCGAAGGCGTCGTCGTCGTCGTCGTCATCTTCATCCTCTTCTGAACGTGCGCGTTTCCTAGAGGCGGACGGCGGCGGTTTGGCGTGCTGCTTGCCCTTGTCAAGGACCCTGTTCGAGGGGCCGGGGGTGGGTTGGCTGGACCCAAAGCCGTCTTCGAATTCGACGCGCACAGCATTAGGTTGTCGATCGACAAACCTAGCAGCCTTGCGGTTTTCTTTGCCTGTGGGTTGGACCGACTTCAGGGCGGCCAAGATGTCTTGTGTGCTTTTAGGTGGTCCTGAAGGAGCGATTGCATCGACGTCTTCGAAATCGTCTTCTCCTGCTACGAGGGTCGCTTCTCCCGGTTGCTGATCGTCCCCGCCAGGTGTCTGCTCCCAGACGTCTTGTTCAATTTGGTCAATCTGTTCACTCAACTCGCGCTCAGCTTGCGCATCCTCGGGCGCAACCTCAAGTTCAGGCTGCTCTTCGACTGTCTGTTGTGCGTGGTCTTCCTCTTCAGCTACTTCTTCGAATACATCGCCCGGTTGCGGAACCTTGGGGTCGAAATGCACCCCGGAGTCTCTCTCTCTGGCTTTGAGTGCATCGATCGCCCGTAGATCAATCGGAGCATTTGGATCAAACTTTCGACTACTACGTCTTCGGTGTCCAAATGATGTTCGCTTCTTGCGTGGGGAATCTCTAGGGGCGGTTGTGGGTCTGACCTCTTCGGGGGCTGGTTGAGGCGCTGCTACCGCCTTCCTGACATTTGCCAGTATCGCTGTAGAGCCACCAATAGCTTCAATCGAGGCGCTGAGTTCTCGGTGCCGTAGACGCGTCCATTGCAGCAGTTGTAGGACGGTCGCTTCCCAAGGGAAGTTGCTGCTCAGTCCATCTAGGTCGACCAGGTCCCCATTCTCCAGCGACTGCGTATCCGTGGGAAGGAAAGCTCTCAATTCATGGAATCGTCGCACGATGATGTCTTGGAACTCCTGTGAGAGACTCGTTTCTTCCCCACCAAGCGCTGCCACACTCCAGCCACGAATGATGTCTCCGTTCTCTTGGGATGCCTCAGAGTGGAGAAAGATCCCATTGAGAGCCTCGTCAGGATTGAACTCGCCATCACTAGCAGAGCGTTCCAGCGAAAGGATGGCGAGTTGAGTACGCAGTTCCAAGCCCAACTCGAATGTCTCTCTCAGCAGAGCACTGTCTCCGACAGCTGTTGGCGAGCTTTTGGTAACCAACGAGCATATAAACTGACTAGGGAAAGAGTTGTCAAGCCGTCGTAGACGATTCCATACATCTTTGTCGCTTCGATCAGAATGAATCATCTGCTTCGCGAACACTAGGACGTTGGCCAGGTAGAGAACAAGGTTGACACCAGATTGCAAGGCTCCAGCCTCGTTGTATAAGCCGAACAATGCGCGATGAACCGCTCGAATATTGATGTAGTTGTTTTCATCGCCTTTGAAGTGCTTCAGATACAGCTTGAACCCCTCGTCGAAGTCATTGTACTCCTCTACGAATTCAGAGTCGGGCTTCAGCATTTCCTGGATGTTGCGATGGTCGTCAGTTATGGTTCCGTCTGGGGGTGCAAGATGCTGCAGAAACTCCTCCGCAGATTCACAAAGTTTGCGCATATGCTTCATGATAAATTTCGGCTCCAAGAATTCGGCCTCGATCATGGAGAAAGAGGAGATGGCGGTAGTGCCGGACATTTCGGAGGCTGCGCCAGGTGAGCGGAATGTTTGCTGCTCCAGAGGGAGAGGGATGTCGATGTGTTGGGGTGTGGCTGGAGCTTCGTCAAAGGCAATTTCGGTGTCGATCTCTTCAACGAGTGTGAGATCTGGTGCATTTCACATCAGCAATTGCAAGCCGGTTTGGGTGGTGTTGGTGGTTTGGTAGCGCAGTCGTTGATGGACGTTTTAGGGTTAGGGTTTAAGGGCTCACCAACCTCCTGCTGCCTCTTTGGCGGGCTTTCGCTTTGTTTTGCGCGCGTTCGGTCCCTTATTTTTGCTTTCACTTGCGATACTGGTTACACTCCCTTGACGCGCGCTCCGGCGGGTTGGCTTTTGCAGTTCAGAGAGCGGTTCAATATCGCGACTTTGGCTGCGCAATCGTCGCGGTGCGCGTGCAGGTGCCTTTTCCGGCTGCAGGGTGGGTGTTTTGCGCCTGCTGCCGGCGCGCACGCCTCGTGCTTCTGCCATTGTAGATTCAGCAGGCGCACGCAGATTTGCCATCAATTGCGCGCCTTGTAAGTTGTCGAAGGATGAATGATGCCGTTGAGCGCGTTTGTTGTGATGGTGATGGTGAGGTTCGCGACGGCTAGGATGACCCGCTTTGCCGCGTTCGACCCAGGTACTCACGTGAGCTTGGAGCTTGGCGTTTGCAGCCTAGCCCTCAGCCCTCGCGGATGCTCGTGTCCGGGCAGGGAGAAGGGGGCGATGTGCAGGAGAAAGGTGAGCAAGATACGGCAGGTGTTTGACGTCGAGACGGAGTTGCAGCGCGCCGACGTCTGACTGGCTGAATCCGCTGCCGCTTTTGACAGCAACCCTTTTGCTACCTAGCGCTCTGCCGTACGCAGGTTGCAAACATATTACGTGGGCCTCTGCACGTACCTCCTTGCGTGCATCTGTGGCAGTGGTGTCTCCTAAAGTTCAAGAACAGCCACATATCTCATTCACACCTCAGCACGCCCTGAGTGCTGAGCACACACTTTCAGCCGTTTGTCCTACTTCTCTTCCACAACACTCCCTCGACAGACGTCTTCCAGTAGAATTTGTAGTAATAACCCCATCGCCGCTGCTCACGCTCCCTGCTCGTGAGCTCACAGCATACCCCTGCCCACATTTTCATAGTCGAAACCATGAGGTTGCGGCAAACCCTCATTCTACTGCCAGCGCTCCAGGTGCTCGCCAGGTCTGCAGTCGCCGAGGTCGACGACAAGCATGTTGCACGAGCAGCAGCCCCCGCCTACACCAATGCCATTCCCGACCCATCTCCCGCCGCCGTAACTCCAGGCTCAGCCAAAGGAACAAAGGATGCGCCTGTCGATGGCTTCGACGGCAAGCCTCACGCCGGCCCATACGTTGACGACACACCGACTTCGCAGGACAAGAAGCCTGCTGTGGTAGAAGACTTGGGCACAGGCAAGAAGACAATTCCTGCATCCAAGGACTCTACCCTGGTCGGCGCAGAGAAAGAAGTGCTGGATGGCGACAAAAGCGTCATGCAGGACCCTGACCGAAAACTAGCGACAGGCAAGACTGGCGTGGAGGGCGGGGTCTCAGCAAAGGACAAGGAGCGTCTGGCGCACGAGGACAAGACAGGCTCGAAGAAGGAGCAGGTGCCAACGTCCCCCAAGGAAGCACCGCCGCCGCCCCACGGCGAGCAGTCACATCTGAAGGAAGCGGTCGCCACAGAGACCACATCCACACGTGTCTACGGCGCAGTAGGCCTCGAGGTAAGTCTGAGCACTGTGATAGGCACCTCATGCAAGCAATTGACCATATTACAGAAACCCACCGACCTGCCAGATACACCGCACGACGACCTTCCTCACCCCGTTCCAGACTCCCTCTCGAAAGCAGACCCGCTAGACACTACACCGAAGACAAAGACCCCAACCTCCAACATGCCTGACGAGGAGGCCGCCGGCGTCATTCAACCCTTCCACTCCTTCGTTCTCTCCTTCACGATGATCATCTTCTCTGAGATCGGCGACAAGACCTTCCTCGTAGCCGCCCTGATGGCCATGCGACACCCCCGCCTTGTCGTCTTCTCCGCCGCTTTCTCCGCCCTCGCCATTATGACAGTGCTTTCCGCTGTGCTTGGTCACGCTGTACCTGCCTTCCTTTCCGAGCGCTTCACACATTTGGCCGCTGCCATTCTCTTCTTGGTCTTCGGTGTCAAGCTGCTGCGCGAAGGTCTCGCTATGAGCCCAGACGAGGGCGTTGGAGAGGAGATGCGCGAGGTTGAGGAGGAGCTCGAGGAGAAGGAGCAGCTTGCGCGTTCCAAGGGTCGCCGCCGATCGTCCATCTCGCCTTATGCTCTCGAATCTGGCCGTGTACGACGCTCTCGATCGAACTCCAGGCTGCCCGCGCCCGCTCGAAGCCCCTCCACATCGCCCGACCGATCTCCTTCACCTCGAGGATCCTCGCTCTCTGGTGCTTTGAGCGGCATCAACAACCTCTTCTCACTGCTTCTCAGCCCGGCATGGGTTCAAACATTCGTCATGACCTTCCTTGGAGAGTGGGGTGACCGCAGTCAGATCGCTACCGTTGCTATGGCTGCAGGCTCTGACTACTGGTGGGTCACGGCCGGCGCCACCGTTGGACACAGTATCTGTACGGCAGGTGCGGTCATTGGTGGTCGCGCCATTGCCGGCAAGATCAGTATGCGCAATGGTAAGGCCAGCAACTATTACTTTATGAGCTTGATGCTAACATTACGCAGTCACTCTTGGCGGCGCAATTGCTTTTCTCCTTTTCGGCATCATTTACGCATTCGAGACGTACTACCACGAGTAAAGGAACGATTCATAACCCACGGAACTGCATTGCACGGCGCTTGGATCGGCATTGATTGATCTATTGTAATACGACATGCGCGCATACGTATCGACATGTTGACACTTTCTTGTATCACTATTGTACCGGCGGTCTACCACGAGACGACTCGGGATGGGTCACAGGAGTTGTATAGGTTGCATAGCACAGACTCGGAGCAACACGGAGTCTTGTGTGCCCGAAATGAGGGTAACATTTCGCAGCAAAATCGACTTATTCAACGTCTCCAAGACCTCGGTCCTTCTTCGATATTTTCGTACGACATCTGGTCTCGCATTGCGATGATTGACATGTTTGAAACAGTTTCACAGGTTTCACGCTTCGTGTCCGGGTACCTGCAGATCTACATCCAGCAATCACGTGCATCCAAGTCTGGACGTCTGGCCATCTGGACCCTGACAGCATTTGACGTTCTTTCTTTGTTCGCTGCCGTAACACTCAACCCCACATCCGCATTTTGACAGTCAGCCTTCTGGCTACGAAGGCGCAGCAAAGATCTTTCAACGACTCGCCAAATGTATTGCACACTCTTGACTTCACCTTGAAAGAATTATATACGCGCCAAGAACCTCATGAACTGCGCAGTTTTATTTCTATCGCAGCATCGTGACCAAATGCGGTTGTTACAGTAACACTTCGCGTTGTACTAGTAATGGGCTGACAGCCCTCAGTAGGTGCTGTGCTGTATGGTGCGAATACGAAGCATCACAAGATTGAAAGGCCAAGTCTGTCAGGCCTGTTAATACTCACGTGAACGTAAGAACTTAAGAATAGCAACGGTCTCGTCCCTGTCGAAGGTCAACAGGTTTGTGGTTCGCTTCGCCAGCCACGTTGTCTAGGTAGCCGTTGAGGACAACGGTATTCTTATGGACTTGCTCTTCTAGGAACCGCTCCTTCTCTTTTCGGACCCTGACCTTGCTCTAACCTCAGCCTCGTGAGAGAAGCATTGTGGCACTTGCCGAGTCTCTCGCTAAACAGTCATCTCAAGGAAAGCCTGGGGTATCTAGATGCTCACCAAGATGAGTACACGGCGAGGTTGTGGAGCTGGAGCAGGCTGAAAGCTCGTATAGAGAGAATGTCTAGGTGTTATAAACAGGCTCTGACTTCCTCAAGGCAAGTACAACCTCACAATCATTTGCATTCACCAAGTCAATCATTTCGTACCTCACTCGCTACACCATGAAGCTACCACCTATCATCGTCGGCGGCCTCGGCGGCCTCACTATCCTTGAATGCACGTACGCCTACCCAGGAATGAGAGCCACAGTACGCGAGAAAGAAACTGAGGATATATTAGCCTGTCGACGATGAACATAGGGTCGTTCTGTTGTAACGTCCCTGGTTGCAAGGCAGCGCCTTTCCAAATTGAATATCGTCTCAAGTATGTTTATGCCTAGAATCATGTTCAACGCACTAATGTCTACCAGTTCTCATACGACGACCCATACTCAAAGTCGTCTCCATTTCTGTCCGGTGCGAAGCTGCCCGCGAAGCGAAGGTGGTAAAGGCTTCAAGAAGAAAACGATATAATTCGTCATGGAATTGTATATCGAAATTCCAGTTGTGTGTGTCCGTTCTGTCCAGATCGAGAGCAGAAATATGCCAGACCGGAGAACCTTCAGCGGTAAGGCTTGCACCTACTCCTCCCAAAATGTCACCATCAGTTCTCAGCCACGTTCGTGTCCACCACGTGGATAAGGGCAGAGATGATCCTCAGCTACGAGAAGTTCTCGCTCAGCGCCCTGAGGGTGGCAGCCGTAGCTGCAGAAGACATATTATCACTTACTAGACGTGCATTGACGCGGACCAGGTTTGAGCTCAAGCATGTCAGGAGAGTCATGTCACCTTAGATATACTGACTATCAACAGGCAACACGTAGGCAGCGTCGGCATCAGTGCTCGGAAGCGAGGATATGAAAGCTGAGAGAAGGCGAAGAATGTTTGTTGACAATAAGGTTGTATTGAAGTTGCATAGCGCTCGGAGTTTTTTGGTATCTTCAACTCGGTAACCACGAAGACACAAATGAAAGACATGTCCAACCCTACTCTTCCATATGCATAGCTGGCCCTTCGAGCTTCAACTCCGCCAGGCTGGTCTGTCTCAACCGTGTCTTGATATCCTCCTGCTCAAGACCAACCTCTTTCGTACAGATCCATGTCGACGCGTACATGTTCACACTGCAATTTGTTAGCAATCACTCCTTCCCATCGTCCAAAGAAGCTCACTTACCGATCAATACAGCTGCCCGGTACCCTGACAGCAACCCTCTTGCAACTAAACCCATTCTCCCCAAACACCTTCAGATACCACGGCTCCAGTCCCGCACTCCTCAACATAACCCGACCCTTGACCTTCAACGCCCTGTTCAGTGCACGGATCTGCTTGACAGCCTGCTGTCCCGTCGGCGGGAACCAATCCATACTATCCATCACCACGACGATCGTGAGCGTAGACGGACGCATGCGCGCAATAACCTCGCTGATCTCGTCGGTATGGATGCGCAGACCGCTAAACGCGTTTGGTTTGCTGAGCCTAACATGGCTCTTCGGGCTCAGATATGTGGGATGGGAGGTGGGCGTGTAGTGTCCGAGGAGCGTGAGGAGGTAGTAGTGGTTCTGCGTGCTGAGCAGCGTGGTGTTGATAACCGGCTCAAACGTATTCAGAACATACTCATAAATTGCGTTCCCGGAGCTGCTCTTCAGCGCCTCATCGCTCGGCTCTTCATGGAACGCCATATACTCCTCACCCGAATCTTTCTTCATCTTAGTCTCGGAGAAGTCGGCTGTCTTGACGAAGTCTGCTTCGATGACAGCGCGTTGCGCAGGCGGCACGCCGAGCGCTTTCCAGAGCCATTTTTCGTTGCCGAGGATGCAGTATGTGAGGACTTTGGAATGCAGGACGGTTTTGATGCTGCGTTGCCAGATTTCGCGTTGTTCGTTGAGGGTTTGTGCGGCGCAGAGTTTCTTCACGTCGGAGGACATGCCGAGGAGGCGGAACAGCCAGCCTCCCATTGCGAGGGCATTGCCCGAGCCGCCGGAGTAGTAAAGACCCTTTGAGGTTGTGGAAAAGACGGAGGGGCCGTTGTGCAGCCAGAATTGGAAGGCTTCGCTGGAGAGGTGAGGGCTGAGTTTCTGGATTAGGATGTCCTTGAAATCGCCGTGCTTGCCTTCGCCGAAAAGCTTCCAGACATCCTGGTAGCCGAGAGCGGTGAAGGCAGCGACCTTAAGTTCGAGGAGATGGTTTTGCGAGGGGTTCAGGTCGACAGCGTGTACTCGGCGTGGATTAGCAAGACAGAAAGATAGGATGTTGTCGCCTGCGGATCCAATGGCAAGGATGACATCGTTTACAGTGGGCTTCAGGATGCGGTGATCTGCAACATCGTCTTCCCAGGTGAAAGCATAGATGTACGAGTTGTTGAAACGGGCATGCTTGAGAAGTGTGGAGTCGTAGTGAATACGCCAGTGGTGGTTCTGATACCAAGTGGCGGGTAGAGGAAGCGATGATTGCAGATTCACAATCGCAGACTCGTATGCTTTCGAACGGATCTCGACATCGGTCTGTGTAGCGCCAGTCTGGAGGTCAAGAGCGGAGAGGTATGGTGATTCTGTGGCGGCAGCATCAATCTCAGCGAGCTTCTGTGTTGATGTGCCGCTGTCCTTGGGGCAACCGATCCAGATATAATAGGGGAGCTTGATGCCAGTACCGAAGAAGTTGTTGCGGGCGTTGATGCTGAGAACTGTACCAAAGCGGTACTCAAGGTAGTCCTGTAGTTTGTCAGCAGTGGCCTCTCTAAATGTGACGTTCAACATGCCCTTCTTGCAGCCTCAAGATTGACGCGGTCGATCTCGAACCATGTTCGCCAAAATACTCTGGAAAGCCACATGCAGTGGCGATCGATTGCGCCACCGATGTAGTTTCGACCTCTGAAGTCGATCTGATTCTGGACATAGAAGTCTACAACACCCGCAATGCCATTGGGGCTCAACAGGCTATCGATCGAGTCGATCACAGGATAGAACTCGGGGATCATGGAGAGCGCATAGCTCATGGTGACAAGCTCGGCTCCACCAGCGTCCGCATTCTCATCCAGGTCGCGCACAGTCTGTCCTTGGACCTTGTATTCCTTACGCTCATAAGCTTGCGCTTCGTGCTCGTGAAGACGGAAGGCGCGTGCATCTTGACAGATTACTTTGACGTTCGTCCAGCCGAGGCGAGCAAAGCGTTTGCGCGCCATCTCGCACAGACTTGGGGAGAGATCGACAATGTCTGGTGACGTTAGTCTTGGAGCTTCAGATGAGCACCCTGCTGCGTACAAACTGCGCGGAAGAATTCCGGGACCGAGATGAAGTTGTTCATCTGCTCTACATTCCAGCCAGTACCGCCACCAATCTGTCCAAGTCAGTCGTTGGCAATTCACTTCTGCTCAAATGGCTCACATCGACCCAGACTGGGCGCTGAGGAATCAGCCCAGCCTCAGCACGGTGCTTCAACTGTGCTGCGACCAAACCCAGCATGTCTTCGCGACCTCGGAGGAGCTGAACCCGAGTGGCATCGTAGACGCCGGCTTGCGCTTTGTAGAAACTCTCCTGCATTAAGGTCAATATCTAAATGCCTACAAAGGCTCGTTCTCAGCGTACCAGAGCATCTTGCTGGCTTCCAGTGCCATCACCTGTATGAGGCTTCAAGAAGCACCCATAAATGAACTTCAGGTACGCTTCTATGCTGCTTGGGGCTGGCTCTGCCTTATTTCTCGGCTTGAGAGTAAAGATGAAGATAGTCGCAAAGAAGAGTCCAAGAACACACAGAGACAAAGTCAGCTGCTGGAATGGGTCCCTAGGGACATATGCTAGGACGTCTAGCATAGCTGCAAATCTGAATTCGAATACGACAATAGGAATGAGCAGAGAACACAAACAAACACAAAAGACATCATGAGGGGTTAAATGGAGGGGCGTTCCAAAGCACATTCCGACTTCGGTTCGTCACAACCCTGGCCCACATGATGCTAGAGGATGATACATACGCAAGGCCTCGTACTGATACATCATGAGGCTTACCAGCCAATAGAGCGAGTCACATGGTAAGGTGATCTGAACGCGGCGTCAAAGCCCTTGCCCTGAAGCGATGATCAGACGCGGTAGGCAAAGGTATGCTTGAGTACCGCTACCAGCGGCTATGCAGGGTTAGATTGAACCGAGAGATTCTCCAGATTCGTGGGGAACAGTGTAGCTAGGCGGCCTATGAGGTTGAAGCTTGGTTGCTCGTGGACTGAGCATGCTTGGTGTTGAGGTTCTGGAGTTGAGGCATGTTGTTATTTCGGGAGCCAATGAGAGGCGGCGTATCCGCACCGTGCTAGCACCGCGCAAGATGCAGGGACGACGGTTGTTGACAATCAGATATGTCAACCGTGGCTCGCAGGAGGCTCAAAGGGCAAGATGACCGACAGCCGCTTCGACCTGCCTGTCTCCTTGAAGGCATCGGTTTGATTCGGCCATCCTATGCTGCTAAAAGGTGGCGGAGCGTTCATCGAGGACTTAGGTGTTCGCACATCTGGCAGACTCACGTCGGTAACAAAAGCGGGCTGTCCGTTGAGATAATGTCACATTGAAGGACTCCCCTTTTGGAGCAGCTCCTCTGAAGCTTGCAGAACTGATGTCGCCAAGCGTGTGTTAAGACCCATTTTTTGACCAGATTCAATACGCGTGCCAGTCATCTATCAGTCATCTGTCAGTCATCATACGTGCTGCAATGAGCACCAATATCAGCGCAGTAATGACACGAGGAAATGAATGCATCAAATAGCTGAGGCGTCGTGTTGAGGTGTGGAAGTGGACGTGAGAAGATGTGACGCGTCGAAGCGAGGAAAAGTAGGGCTCACTTGCAGCCTTCGAGCAGCCGTAACCGCTCCTTCTCTCACACAAATACCACAACAATACCAGTGAGATCATGCTCCACATTCACGCTACTCAACAGTTCTGCTTGCTTGTATTGATCTATAGTGGTGTTGATAAACTGCTAACCTTATTCGAAGCTTACATCTTCAGCACTAATCGACACTTCAGATGCTCGTTCATATACACCTCCGGCAACTTTGGTACATCCTTGAAGCCGATGGTAGTGAGATGCGATCGAACACCGTGCTTATCAACAAGCTTGAACATCTCATCAGTCAGAGGCTTCGTAGCCACCAAGCTGCCACGGATGACCCGCTCCTTGAACACCAAATCGATGGCGCCGAACTTGAACCCATCAGGCGGCAGACCAAGCGGGACGCACACGCCTCGAGGCCGCAAGATCTTCAGGCTCTATTCTGTTGCGGGGACATCATCGGTGCAGACAATCACACCTGCAACACCGCCGGCGTCGCCACCGAACTTGATGACCTGCTCAGTAGCATCCTTGTTGTTGTAGTTGATGACCTTGTCAGCCCTGAGGTTTTCAGGTCCGACTTCCTGGGCAAGGTCTCGACCCTCTTTACGGTTGCAACAGCGACGGTTGGGTGGCCTAAAGCCTTCAGAAACTGGATGGCCGCTGTCCCAGGCCGCCGACTCCGATAACAGCAACAGGTAGATCTTTTTCGATAACTCCAACTTCGAAATGCCGCCATAAACTGTAGCCTATTGAAGATTTAGCATGAGCAGATGGAATGCTCGACCTACTTACGCCGGCGCACATCATCGGGGCAGCCTGCTCAGAGGACAACCCATCAGGGAGAAGACTCGAACTACCAGCATCCGCCACGACATACTCAGCAAACCCTCCATCGTGCTGAACTCCCGCCATTTCCTTATTCTCGCAAAACCTCATGTTAGGCGGATCGCCTTCGCGATAGTTCCTGCAGCCCCCGCAGCTGTTGCATGCATGTTTGAGGTTAAGCATGCCGACACGCTGACCGACTTTCTAGATCTTACCGGCTTTGCTGCCGAGCGCGACGACAGTACCAACAGGCTCGTGTGATGGTGTCAGAGGGAGCTTTGACTGGTAGACGCCTTCGTAGACCTGGTAGTCAGTGTGGCAGAAGCCTGCTGCGCCGACCTTCAACAAGAGGTCATTGTCGCCATATTCCGGAACTGGGACTGTATGCTTGGTTGAACTGCACGGAGTCAGCATCTACTTTCTCCATGGGTGTATGCTCGTACTCTCATCCCGATGATAACCTACTCTGGTGAGGCGCGCAGCCTTCATGGTCTTAGGTACTGACGACATGTTGCTGGAGGGTTTCGATGTTTCGTTGGTAAGGAGACAATTGTTCAAAGACCAGCAATGTCACAGCGAGCTTTTGTACGCTTGCATTAATAATTGCGATTGAAGCTTCTCTAGATCAGGCGATGTTCATGACGTCGATCAGACGTTGCAGAGGTCCACTGCATATAGCCATCTTCCCGTAGCCGCATCGAGTCCGCTAGCGGCTCTTACATCGAACGACAACCTCCACACGTAAGTGGATCTTGATTTCTAATGCTAGGAGTGGTGATAGAAGACAGGGCCTCGAGTCATGCAAATTTAGGTGTTAAGAGCTGTTGTGGTCCTCTCAGAGACAACCTGTTTGCCAGCGGTCCGCTGCTCTGATTGTCCAGCTCATTCGATTAGTTTGGTTTGTTTCCCCACCCTTTCACTGCTGTTCCCTTCTACTATAGTCTCGGTCGATTCCCGATATGGCTCTACAGATCAATCAACTCAACCATCTTAACCCTTCCACACAACCCGAGCGATCATGTAGTCTTTTCGGCAGAGCACCGGACATGAGGTTGTCTCATGAATCATGGCATCGACTACGCTAGCAGCTCTAACATCAATTGAAAGACGATTTGAACTTGGTGACTCGAAAGTACTTGTTTCATGTATAACTCTCCGAGTTGTAAATCTGCTGGTTCTCAAACACGTTTGGCAAACAATTCTACAACCATCCTGCTGGACATTGTGCAAGGCTCCAGCGAGAGAAAACGCAGCGACGTGACGCATTACAGTTTCGCAATTATAATTATATTCCCTTCGGCTCTATCAACATCTTCGGTAAATGAAGCTGCTTTCTCAATACTTCCGAGCTCGCTGTTAGGTTTGCCTCCGTCTAGCCTTCATCAGGACTCAATCTGATCGCAAACACAACCCCTAACGTCGCTCAGAGTACAAATACCTTCCACGTCACCCATAACACAAAAAGATTCACCACGACAGGAATGAGCCATGGTGCCGTCGCTGTTGCCATGTCAAAGACCTTCCACAGCGCTCTGGAAAGAATGCCCTTCCAAACCACCCCTGGTAAGATGGAAAGCATCGCCAAGGAGCAGACCAGTGATGCCATCCTAGGTTCCCTCAACACTAGCCTTAGTCCCTTGCACACTGTCCAACACGAAAAGAAGATCCTCCACACCTTCCACGGCAGTACAAGTCCCCACATAAAAGGGACGATCAGAGGCGCTATTCCTTTGAAGATGGGTGATACCAATATTGTGAGCAAGTAGCCAACAGCGCGAAGAATTTGTAAAAGCATACGTTCGCGGACCACATGCGTCTCGCCATCATTGTGACCAGATTTGTCAGCAATGATAGACGCTGGAGGCACACACACCGTTGACTTTCCAGTTCTCGGAATCCTGGGATTGTAGTGCACAACTCCCCTCGAGCTGTTGCCAACTATGCTAGACTGACCAGATGGCTGGGTAGATCCTGAAGGTATACATGTCCTTGAAATACCATGTATCGGGATCCTAGGATTGTGAACAACTCGTCCCACAGTCTGATCATATGGCTGAGTGGAGCCGGAAGGTATACAGTCCATCGAAGTTCTTGGAGTTTTCGCATGGTATCGGTGAGCTCGTTCTCTGCCATTGACACCTATGATATGAATGGCACGCAGTCCGTAGTCATCTCCATCTGCTGAAAAGTCGGACAAAAGTTACTTTGGCGACGACATCTTGTAGAACTCCTGATAGTGCAGGCCGACAGCGGTATGTTGCGCAAATGTGCTATAGCTTTTCTGGTGGTGTGAAGGGGTTGAAGTGCAAATCATGACATTCAGGTGAAATTATTCGCGTTGTTCATCTTGATACTGTGGTGTACACAATAGAAAATACCAACCACTGTCGATGACAAAATTTCGACATTCTTCAAAGAAATGCATGTCCTCTTTGCACTCCGTTCCCACCCCGATCAAAAATAACCACTTCGCGACCTCTTCATCAGACCCGCTGCAAAAATGCACACAAAGACAAACGAATCCACAAGAAACAGTGACCGCAGCGCAGCCAGTGGCGCAAACCAGAGCAAATGCAGCGGAATCCTCCCCAGTATGAGGTGCTGCTGGAAGACAGCGGGATCGTTGACATCCACAACCCAGTGCCATATGATGATAAGATAAAGCCACATTAGACAGTCTGGCGTGCGGGTGTAGGTTTGGGCGGCTCCAGAGTTGGTAAGGCGGACGAAGATTTTACTTTGGTGTTTGTCATGCGATCTCGTAGCCACTTTCTGTTACGCTGAGTGTTTAGAAGAAGGCGAAGCGCAGATGAATCTGGTTCCAGGTGTAGCTTGACGCATTGTGGTGTGTTGTTTGATGAAATTTTTCCATGTTGAGCTGGTGAGATGGTGGAGCTGTCGATTAAGTAAAGAGAAGAAAAGGGATGGCTTCTGTTTGTAGTTATATGTTGTGGTCTCACCCAAATACTGGTTCGAGGTAGCCGTACCAATGCAGATTGGAAAGTGGAAATTGGTTCCAGAGTTACGTAGAAGTGGCTAATGCTACCGCCGCACTCGTTATCAAAAGTTGAGTTGCAGATCTGTTCTGATTGATCCACTGTAGTTCCTCATATCCTATCATCCCAATATCCAACTCTCCAGTATTAACATAAATCACAGATTGATACTTCTTCTTACAAAACACAAACAAATAACCTCAGCTACCCACACACGTTGCGCATTTGCGATCGAATTCCAACATTTCCGGTTCCCCAAAACGTTATTCCAAAGAGGCCCATATTCAACCCCCCCCCCCCCCATTCCCTCAACCATACTCCACAACATCTCCCACATCAGCCAACCAGACGCCCCCACAAATACCTCAATGTGCACAACGCCCATATCACCATCACACCAGCAGTGCGAATAAAATGCCATCCAAAAGGCTTAAATTTCAGGTGCTGCTCAAGCTCCCGAGGGTTATTGACGTTAATCCATGGTACGAGGAGGAGGATGTGGAAGTCACGAAGCCAGCAGGGTGTGATCATGGGCTCGGTGTAGTTCCCGGAGTGGCCTAGACGGTGGCAGGAGTGGCAGAGTACCAGTTTGGTTTGATGTGTGCCGTTCTTGTGTCGCAATATCGACTGAGGGTTGTATTGTATTGAGCGCGTAGAGGATGAAGAGGATCTGCTGCATCTGGTGACAGGTACGGTCGGTTGATGTTGGCCAGTGATTTTGTCTTCATGTGGAGTGTCGCCGTTGGTGATGTGAACAGTCGTGCTGCGCCAGTGCTTGCTGTTGTAGGTATTGTTGTGTGAAGAACCCATCGTATTGGAGTATCAGGTCAATTTGGTGTTGATTGAGAAGAGTAGAGAGCTCGTTATATCGACTTCCTGTGTGGCTGTGTGGTCGTTCCATGGTTGAATCGGACCCTCAAGGGCCAGTCGAAGACAAGATTGGTATGGACAGCTATTGTTTGCAATTGTTGGAATGATATATTCACATATAGCGGCTTAGATCATGAGGGTCAACTTGTTGAATTGCTGTACCATACATAGCGATGGCTTCTGCGTCAGCGCTTAATTAGATGTCATACCACATGTCTGCAAAATTGGCTGCTGTGTCACCTACATGTCCCTTGACTTTGTCTCTTCATGTACCGGTGTGGAGCCTACAACTAGCTGAGCCCATCGGTATCGCCCTCGCTCTCGGTCTTGACTACGTCCAGGTAGGTATTTACTGTGGGAATCTCGGCGACATCGGAAGTGTACCTATTGGAAGATGCGGCAATCATAGCCATAATCTGCAGTTGAAGATCCGGGTATCTGGTGAAGAGCTTGTACCAGTCGCTGTTGTCTTCCATGCAGGTGTAGTCGCCAAAGGTGATGTGGGTGGGACAGGATATCGAGGATGAAGGCTCTCAACTTTGAACCTGGCCTCAGCCGAGGTGAACTCGATGAAGAGGGAGGCATCAGCGTAGCCATACAGAGAGTGAGATGCGTATAGTTGGCTCATGATTCGGTCCATAAATTCGCCAGCCTGGAGATAGTCACCAAGCGTCCACAGCTAGAAGCTGTTCGATAGTGGCATGCGGGTAGATAGGCGACTCAGTGCAAGTCGATCCAGGATCGTGTCGAAGTACATCCACTGTATGTATACCTGAAAGATGGCAGGTGAGCGATCCGCCAGTGTGAGCTTGCTTGGGTCCGATGCCTTTTCCTTCACTGTGCTGCTGAGGGTAGCGCGGAGGTATTCAGAGTGCTTACCGAGGAGCGCGTCGGGAACCTACGACAACATCCACGGAGGGTCCTTGGAGTCTCGACTGTGTTAGTGTAGGCAGGTAGTGAAGCAGCTGAAGACACTCACAATGGCAGGAGCTGTGCATCGTGCTCAGCGCGCTTCTTCCTGTTATTGCCGCTGCGTTGCAACTGTGACTGCGATTGTGATTGCGGCGATAGAGATGCTGCAGGTAAAGTCAATTTGCTGGCTTCATCTATAAGTGGCGGCGTGCACTCACCTTGCTACCCTTGACGGTAATTGCTGCTGGCTGCCGGGTTGGCCAACGCGTTGACGGGGTTGAGGGTGCTTGGAAAGATGCGTGGAGGTAGGCAGCGTATTCAGAAGCTCAACCTGCTGGAGAGAGATGGTGAGACTCGTGGAGGAGCGCAAAAGAGAAGTCGATGCGAGGTCTGGTGGGTTCGAACAGCAGCGACGCTAGCGCGGCGGTGACAGCGGCAGTGGCAGGCGCGACTGCCTCCACAACGAGCCTCAGTCACCTCGACTTGATAAACGGAACGAACGAACTAGCTTGCTACAACACACTGCAACATATGGAGAGTTCATAAATCTATGTATGTATCGCGCTGTAGCAGCATATCAACAGCCAGCGCCACCCTATATGATACTGATGTAAAAGTAACCAGAGACCGAAAACGAGAAGCTCGCGAAACGAGGCATGCAAGAAGCGCACTGCCATGCATGCATGCAGAAAGTATACAGAGGATTGTAACAAATGAGAAAAGCAAAGCCAAGACCAAGTAGTGTTGCAACGCCGTAGGACCTCAAGGTGCCGAGTGAGTATCCAGATGCAAGTGGGCCGTTAAGTAGAACCAATGCTGCGCGAAAGATGAGATGAGATCGTTCCTGCCGATGATGATGCTGACAAAAGAGTTTCGCAAGTAAGGCTAGCCAGGTCGCCTGAAGGCCTCGACGCATAGCGATGGTGTCTCGACCTGCTTGTTTGTCGGTACACCCTCATTCTTTCGTCGGTCGAAGAAGTTTTGACACTCATGCGAGACGAAGGTCCACTCTGCGAGTGCGCGGCCGGCGTAGCGACTTGATGTCGCAGCTTTGCCTGTGGGCTGGATGCTACTGACTGCGTCGATGTGTATGCCCTTTTGCTGAAGTAGGACCTGCGCTGGCAGCGGTAGTCGTGGTGGTTGAAGTCGCATGTTCTGATAGGTGCCAAAACGTTTGTCAACCCATTCGAGAGAAAAGCGGAAGCTGTAGGAACGATGGGCAGGAGGAGGAGGAGACGGTGTTGGTGTAGGGGCTGGTTTCTCTGCGGGCGCTTTTTCGAGAGAGGCGTTGGGAGGGGTTGCTGTCTTCGCATTCTCTTTGTCTTTAGCGGACGTTTTCGATTTGGACGGTTTCGACGAGCCACCCATAAGGCTCTTGAGCATGCCCCATTTGCCCTTGGTAGGCTCTTCATCCGGAAAGTCCATAGAGTCCGTTGTCAGTGCTGCGACCTTCTGTACCATAGGTTCCGGGACAGGTGTGGAAGCGGATGGTTTCCGCTGGTGAGGGTTCTGTACAACGCCGTCGAATGTAAGGAAAGGGCCATTGCTGGCGGCGATAGGATTATCATTACGTATAATAAGGAAACGTCGACCAGGCGCTGGGTTGCAAGCCTGTGTCGAGGGAAATGCGAGTTGCAGTCGTTCGGCGTCTTCAGCGAGCCAGAGGTAGTGAGACCATACGGAGCGAAGTCGCTCACTCAGCGCTGTCTTGACTTCTCTGCTTTCTTGTTAGTAATGTACAATCAAAGTTTGCGGTTGTCACATACACTTCTACCTCCGAAGGCTCGCCATCGAACCGTGCAACCCGCCAACAAATCAAACGCATGTAGTACGAGCGTACCATTGGGCACCAATGGTTGAACCTGCTCTCAAAGAACGCAGGCTCCAACAGAAACTCGAGGCATAGGCTCCTCTTGCGTTGCTCATCTAACACCAAGGTAGACCAGATACTGTAGAGAAATGAATACAGCTTGATCTCTGTAGCTGTATTCTCGCTTACTGTCATCTCTCTGCAGACCGTCAACCAGAATGACCAATTCAAGACCACATGGTGCTCGCTGTTGTGCTGCTCATATCTGACCAAGATTGCAAATGCCTCTTCCAGGAAGTCGCACAACGTGTAACAGGCATTGCTGTCGTAAACAGAGATCTTTCGTGCTTGGGCCTGTAGCAAGCTCGCAAAGCTGTCTGCAAACATGTGTCGAGCAATGTGAATGTGCGAGTTGCCCTCAGAAAGGAAGTCGCGTATGAGCATGATTAGTCGGTTCTCTTGCATCTGTCGCGTGGCGTTTGCAGGCGGAATAGCCATGGTGGAAGCCGAAGCATCAGGGTCGCTCAGAACATCGTCGAACGTGATGGACTGAGCTCCGTTGTCCTCCGGTTGCTGCAGCAGAGCATGTCTGTTGATCGTGGCATCCATGTTGACGAGAATTTGTGCGTGCACCATGAGCAAGCCTGGTGCACAAACACGCTCCTGCGCAGTTGGCGCACTGGGTAGGAAACCAGTAACGAGGATATGGTAGTGCTTCACGAAAACGTAGAAGAGATCGCTTTCGGCGCCTGACCAACGCTTCATCCATAGCCCGTACCAGTCGAGGTTGGCGATTTGCAGTGGTGGTGTCGCGGCTGGAGGATTGCGTAGTACACGAACCATCTTGGCCAAAGACTGGAACTTGAGTGGGTAGAGATTCGGCGGGAAAGCAGCTGAGATACGGTCGGAGATAGCGTCCATTTTGTCCAGCCTCGAGACGCCTGCTTCTTCCAGGACACGCTTCATCATCTCCAAAGATGGACTCCACAATCGGACCAGGATATCAGCTACTCCAGGACAGAAGCAGAAGGCGTACGCACAAGTCTTTCCACAAAATGTTACTAGACTTGCTGCTGCGTTTCGCGGGGTCATTTTGTCCACCACAAATGCCATCTGAGACATCAAGTTCTGCTGGAACGTGTTCTTGACGTTGTGATAGACGGACTCTGCGAGGAAATCGGAAGAACTGGAAGTGGCCGAAGTAGCTGTCAGAGCCGAACCGGGCTCTTCGCGGTCGGCAAGCGCGCAGAACGGGGATGGCGCAAGTCTCCATTCAGGCCTCTCCATGATCCCAGCAAGACCCTCCAGGATTACTGGGCGATCTGTTCCAGATATCGACTGGTTGTTGCGTCCTGCCACAAGCTCCAAAAGGCCAGTCCACCATCCATTAAGAATGTTTGTTCTTCGATCGAGGTCTTCCGGTCGGAGCTTCTGGTTCGAAGGGTGATTGGCGTACTTGTAGATGAAGTCTTGAAGGAGGCTCGTACGGACGATGTTAGCTTTCAAAGAGCTGGACTTGTGCTGGAACCTGTCACTTGTAAGCATGGGGCAGCCATAGGTAGCGCTCAACATACTTGCGCAGCTCGCCCTCTAGGGTTCTAAATACGGTCCAGAGCTCATCTTTCTTGCGCGGTTCCGTCTTGACTTTGTTGCCTAGCTTGTCTGTCGATATATTGCGCGGTAGTGGAGGGACAACGTTGGTGGGGCTGAGAGGGCTATCTGAGTGCGGGTACAGGGGAAGCTGCTCGGTAGAGAATGACTTCGGTACGGAGGGAACAGCAGGCCCGTTGGCTGTCAGGAGGGCGCTGAGACGCTTGTTCTTCTTGCTGAGGGGTATAGGTGCCGGTCGGTGGTCTACAGTGTCTTCTGCCTCGTCCCTTGCTTCGTTCTTGGCTTCAGCCTCCTCAGGAATGCTGTCTGTGCTTGCTGGTGTCTTTCGTTTCGGTGCTTCTGTATTCGTTGCCTTCTTCTTAGCGCTTTCCTCCTTCTGCGCTGCTTTCTTTTCTTTTTTGCTCTCTTTTGTGGGCGAGGCTGTTGTAGGCTGCTGCTGCTGCTGCTGCTGCTGCGAGACGACCCACGACTTCCTCCTCAGCTTTGTCAGGGATCTCGATGGGGAGCCGCCCGGCGACTCTGTCTCCTTGACGGCTGCTTTGCGATGGCGCTCAGGTTTGGGCTCGATTGAGGGTTCTCTGCTTTTGCTGGAGAAGGGAAGGAATCTCGACGACCGGCGTGTGGTGGCAGCAGGCCTCAATTGGGGCATCTCTAGGGCCTGTGGGGCTTCCTCTGAAGACGGGCTCGATCCACCTGACGAGCTGTCAGACGTGACCTCGACGTCTTTGCCCTTCTTCAGGTCTTCCTCAGAGTCGTGCGCCGGCGCATCTCCGTCCAGGCTCTTCACGCGCGGAAAGTAGGTGTATGATGCCGCCTTGGGCAACTGCGCCCTCTCGGGCTTCTTCTCGCCGTCAGTTGGGGGCAGTGGTCCAACTTCCGAGGCGGCTCTGCTCCGGCCCCTCGACTTGCTGGAGAAGACATCTTGCCCGCGCAGGGCTGAGGCGACGGCAATCGGCATGTCGGCGGAGGGTGAGGTATAAAGCGAGTGTCGTGGTGCTTGCTGCTGGTTCCCCTGGCTGTGCTACTCCCCCATGAGCGACTCCAAAAGGTGCTGCTGCGCTATTTTTCACGGGCTCATTGCGTAGGAACAGGAATAGAGCGACGTTGTGCTGTTAGGCTGGCACGGCGGGCCGTCCAGTGGGCTGTGAAGTTGAAAGATCCACAGTGCTAGTACGTCACAGCCTCACCATGCGATCGGAACGAACGGAAGGGTGGCTGGAGAGAGGTGGACTGGTGTTTGCAGGCAGCGCAGAAGGTGCCAGGCAGACGCTGTTAACTCTCCTGTAGCGAACGTGGACGTGCCTGTTTGAGAAAATACGCTCAGGCTGACATTAGGTCGGTTCGATTCATGTCCAGGAATTTGACGCCTGCACTGCACGCCGACGAGGACAACTGCGGCTAGTAGGGGCGTACCTCCCGCTTGTGCAGATCAGTGTCGGAGGGATTTTCTAATATTATAACCGGAGCCCTACTGCCGACCTTCTGCCTGGCGCCTGTTGTGTGTGACGCTGTTCACGGGCCGTGGTCAGATGTGGGAACATGGTAGTGCAGGCCTCAACATGACGCCTTTCGGGTTGTTGCATCAGGTGCATGCCACCCATCAGTGCATTGCTGGCGTCTGCCGTCTGAGATCCATCGAACATGGCTCGTGCGAGCTGCCAGTGCGCCCCCCCCCCTTCAACCTCTACTATGCACCAAATTGCGCGAGTGAGCCTTGTTTTCGCGACTTGTGAACACTGCAATCTCTCGTGCGGCGTCCCTGCCCTTAATCGAGCGCTTTTATCGCTTGATTCCAAGGTCATGACAACTTGGCTAAAGCGCGCGCTTACCGTTTTATGGGATTCTGCCCCGAACACCGGTCCATTCGTGCAAAGAGCGCATTATTCTCTGATGCACTGTTCGTGGTGGGTTCTTCGATAGTCTACAATACGGAACTTACGGGCCAGTCGACTACCCGGCTCCGCTTGCCCAGCCTTGCATCTGTCGCTCGTCAGATCCAACCGCCAATCGTTTCAGGACCACGCTGAGGCTGAGGTGAGCTGCCACCGGACTAATCCGAGGACCTGTCTCTCGAAAGCAGACAGCTTACACTATGAAAGTCTTAAAAGAGAGCCCGTGGCGTCTAGAAGGATACTTGGTTCGCTGTACATGGCGGGTCAAGTTAGTTCGTTTGTGTTCGTCACTCTGCCACCAATACTTCGGTGCAGGTAGCTGAGGGTCCTGTGCATGTTCGTGCATCGGGTTGTACCTGATCTAGTTTGTCCCCGCATATAAATGCAAGAACAACAAGTCGAGATGCTTACCGCGGAGAGAAGCGAGTCGCCGGTGAAGGTTTTAGCTCGTTCCTCAGATCGTGCAAGCAACATCCCATCAATCAAGCACTCTCGTTTACACCTTCACGGTTGCTGAGCCTCGTCGGCTGCTGGCGAAGTGCAGTAGTGCCCTGTACGTGCCTGGGCCTCGGTTTGCTACATATCACAGTACTGGCACGCAATCCTTCAGATCCGTAAAGTCAGTACGTAAAACAAGCATTGCTTCCCCACGTTTGGCGGACGAACTGATCAGGAAGATTTCCAGACCCATATCACGTGATTAATAGCGCGCGTTGTGGAGGTACTTCAAGCTTGGTCTATTGCCCAATCCATATTGACACATTCGCTAGTATTTGGTACAGATGATCTCAATATCAGAGCGCAGCCAGCTTAGTGGGTGGCACCGGGGGTGGTGATCGACTCGTCCTCCTCAACAAACCAGTCCTCATCGGGCAGGACCTGGCCATCCTCTGCGGAAGCCTCAGAACCAACATCGGGCTGCTGGGTCTCGTAGGCCTTGAGCTCGTTCGCGATTTCGGCCTCCTCGGGGGACTTGGGAGCGGCGGGGATGGAGAACTTCTGGACGTGGCCCTCGGCGTCGGTGGGCTTGACCTGGGGGACCTTGTAGTTCTTGAGCTCGCGGAGGTAGAGGTCCTGCACCAAATCGGCTGCACCAATTGCGTCAGTAGTGTCCCTGGGCGTGCGATTGTGATGATGTACCTGAGCGAACGGCCGTAGGGGTGATGAAGGTGCGGCGGGCAATGGTAGGCTGCTGGCGAGCAACGCGTGCGAGCGCCTGGCGCTATTCCGGGTTAGCAGGTATCGACAATTGGGTGTCCAGAGGAGCGTACCGAGGCCCTGATGGATTGCGCGAGCATGATGTTGGATGTGGAGGGGGTAGGAGCTGTCAATGGAGCTCCTGCGTGCACTTCGGAGCCCTCACCTTCGATTTTCCATTATGTAAGCTCACTAGCGCGGTTTGCGGCTTGGCGTTTGCTGCTGCCTTTCTTGCACTTTCAGCGCCTCAGCTCCCGCCTAGCAAGCAACCACACTCTCTCACCCCACCCACCCACGGTGTCAACCTCACCCGGAGCTTCCGAGAGCCAGCTAGAGCAGCTAGATAATCAAACGTGACTCTCAACATGTCGTACGCGCCTAATGGTCGCATGCTCTCGCCGGGCGAGGTCTATGAGGAGGCGCCAAAGCCTGTCAAGGAGGAAGAATGGTCAGAGGACCTGAACGTTACCCTGATGTGCCCCGACTGTCGCGAAATGCCCCCAAATCTTGTTGAAGAGTTCAGCGCCGGAGATACTATCTGTGGCTCCTGCGGTCGTGTTCTCTCTGAGCGCGGCATCGATACACGCTCCGAGTGGCGTACATTCTCCAACGATGACCAAGGCAACGATGATCCTTCTCGTATCGGTGACGCCGCCAACCCGCTGCTGCGAGGTTCCCAGCTACAGACTGAGATCGGTTTCGGCGACGGAGGTCTGAAAGTGCGCGAACTGTCTCGTGCTCATAACAAGAGCAACCACGACAAGGGCAACAAGTCGCTTCAGTCTGCCTACGGCCAGATTACCACGCTTTGCGACTCGCAAAATATCAGCAAGACCACCCAAGATACAGCCAAGTTACTCTTCCGCATGACGGACGATGCGAAGTTGTTCAAGGGCAAGTCGCAGGACGCCATCATCGCCGGCTGTATTTTCATCGCCTGTCGACAGCACAACCAGAATCGTAGTTTCCGTGAGATCTTCAAGATGACAAACGTGTCAAAGAAGGAGGTGGGTCGTACGTTTAAGGCACTTGAAGCATTCCTCCAGAAGAAGCAAAAGGACAGCGGTGGCCCTCAGGTCGCCGGCAACGGTGCTGTTCTGGATACCACCAACTTCTCCAAGGGCGGCAGCACCAGCGCAGAGACGCTTATGCCTCGTGCCTGCGCTAAGCTTGACCTCGAACGTTTCATCCAGCTCATCGCCGAAGAGTGTGCACGTCTCGTCTCGGATCACGGAATCGCTGCTGGTCGTTCTCCTCTCTCTATTGCTGGCGCTTGTCTCTACTTTGTCTCTCACCTCATGGGCAATCCTCGTTCACCCAAGGAGATCGGCCAAGCCGTCGAGGTCAGCGACGGTACCATCCGCACTGCCTACAAGGCCCTCTACAGCGCACAAGATCAAATCATCAAGCCAGAGTGGCTCGAGGCCAGCAAAGGTGGCGACAAATCGAGGCTTCCCGCCGTCTAGAGTATGGTGGATGGCTGGAGGGGCGACACGACATGCCCTTGCAATTCTCGTCTCAGCGAGTCCCCTGGAGTCTTTTGCTACCTGAAAACAAGAAAATTTTGGTGGGCTTGAACCACCCATCGGAGGAAGTTGTCTTTATTTTTGTCTTTCTTTGCATTACTAGCGAGCATGGGACGGCGTTCATGGGTGAGGCAACACAAATTGGACAGTCTTGTGCTTATAATACCCCATAGAAAGGCTTGAAAATGGAATCATGGCGTTTGGGAAACCTTCGTGTAGTGCATTGTCATGATTCCATTGTACTTTGTATGAGCACCCAGCATCTGAGTGTCTTCGTACGGCTTTCGATTGTGATGCCTGCTGGCGACAGGTCACCTTTCTAGCTTGAGCCTGCCGCGTTTGACGCCGCCTGAAGCCCCTACAGCCATTGCTTCATCGAATCACACATTCTGCGTGAGTCCTTCTGGCATCGCAATTCCAAAGGCGACGTTGCGACTGCTTGTGGTTGGAGTTGGATCACTGATTCGGTTAGACTGACCCGGTTGTTCTTGCCTCACTTCGCCTCACTTGTACCAAAAGTCTCTCACTGAACCGTATCCAGACTTTTGACACCTCAATCTCAGCGCTCGCTCGTGCGTTGCAATGTCCTGCTTTCTGAATCTGCATATGCGGGAAGGACGTCACATAATTGATAAGAATGACAGGCTGTCGTTACAATAATCTAAGGTTACCAATTACGCAGCATCCTCGCGGGTTTACGAGCCTCTTCTCGAGCTCACAAGTCTCTGTGCCTCGAGAACAGTCACAAGACTCCCCAAGCAGCCTCGCAATATATCTCTGGATACTACAACGGGCCACATGCCCCTGTTCTGCTTCCATCCCATCTGATTGGCTACCTCCACACTGCTTCATTTTAAAGGGTTTGAGTTCCCACCAAAATACCTGGAGTCCCACGGCTCTCGTCAAAAGAAGATCGGTACAGCGCTTCCGGACTTGAATACACCATTGTGTCCTGTGGCGAATCTCATGCCTGACCCATTACAATGCTCTGGGTGCTGATAGATGGTGCTTGCAGGAAAGGTCAATGCACACCCTGCAGTACTCGAACTATATTATGCTTATACTCAGCTACAAATGAAGAAGAACAATCGACATTCAGTTTTGGTTGCGTTCGGATGTCAAGTCAAGCCGATTCTATCCAGGTATCAAATCAGGTTCGACCCTGCTTCCACTTCGATATACTGACATACGTAAAGGATCGTAGGACCAAACGAATGTCGCAGTCAATCCGGTACAACGTCCACTCTGATGAGGGGTCATGATGCTCTGCAGTCAACCCGAAGAGTAGCTTGCTTGAGAGGGCATTGATGTATAAACTCGCCTCTCCCCTCGCCATTTCATTCTTTCTTTGTTTCGTTCTTCAAGTACATTCCTAGTCCTTCGTTATCTTCAAATTCCCTGTGGCTTCCCACAACGACGCCCTTCGGCCCGTTTCTCGTACCCCCTTCGGCGCTCCACTCCTCTGGCTCCGTTGCATTCAAAATGAACCCCTTCCTCTTGGTAGTTTGCCCCGCGGTTGCAATTCTCTCTGGTCTTGTCTCGGCGGCAAACAACATCAAGTTCGTCAATCACTGCCCCTACGATGTCTACTCCTGGACAGTCGGCCCCGTCAAGTCCGGTTACACAGGCAATGACCATGAAGCGGTTACTATCCCTGCCAATTCTGTTACTATTCAAGGAATGGTCAACGGTGAGGCGATTGGTGGTGGCATTTTCCTCAAGCTCCGCGATTTGCCAGAGTATCAGGTCGCCCCCACTGGTAATATCCAAGTCGAGTACAATATCGAGCCTAGCCAGAACCATGTCTCGTATGACCTAAGCGCCATCGACTGTGATCACTCTGTTGGCCCTGAGAACCCGTCATTCTGTCCGTTGATTGGTAGCGGTATGAAAATACACGTTGAGCATGCTAATAAGGGACGCTGCCCTCCTGCTTCGTGTGGTGCTGATGGCGTGTGCCACCACACTTACAAGGAGCATGGCTTCTGGGAGGATGAGCATAACTTCAGATGCGATGCTGGTACTGACATCGTTGTTGAATTCTGCACTGAGAAAGCTGGACCGAGGACCTTCAACGGACACATGGAGCCTGGTCACCCTGCCGAACCTCAACCGGATACAAAGCCTGGTCAACAAACAACGAATGGTGTCTGTGGTAAAGAAACTCCTGATGAAGCTACTTGCTTCGGCTATGCTCACGGCAACTGTTGCTCTGGTAAGTCCTTCAAACCCACTATTGCTACCACTCAATGAACATTCGTGCTAACATCGGATCCAGAGTATGGTTGGTGTGGTTACTCAGAGGCACACTGCGGAACAGGCTGTCAGTCTGACTTCGGCGACTGTTTCGGCAAGCCCCCTGCTCGGCCTTCTGCATACCCATCTCCAGCTAAGCTTAGCACTGTCGAGCCGAGCTACGCAAAGCCTACGTCTAGCTATGTCAAGCCGACACCCAGCTACTACCCGCCTGCGTCAAACTATACCCCACCGGTCAAGACCAGCCACATCTCTGCATACACCCCTGCGCCCAGCCACAGCAAGCCTACGTGGAGCTATGCTACATCTAGTCATGGCAATCCCACAATCAGCTACTCCGTGCCTACGGGCTACATACCACCAGCGCACACGTCATACTCACCGCCGTACTCACCACCGCCCTACCGCACCATTTATGCCACACACACGGTGACAGAGACACGTGCACAGGCCACCAAAACGGTGACGGTGAGTATGAGCAGCGCTTACAGTATGCCGAGTACCTCCAAGATCTATCCTGCACCCACGTCCTCTTTGGTGTACTCTGCACCCTCGCCCTCGAAATCGGTATATGATAAGCCCAGTCAGACTTGTGTACACACGCCGCAGCAGGAACCGCACATCCCGAGTACGTGGTACAACAAGCCGACTCACTCCAAGGTATACGATGTGCCGACTACCTCTAGCGTCTATCATGCGCCTACGACGGGGGCATCGTGTTACCCGCCTAACCCGCCTGCGCAGAGCTCGGCGGTGTACTCCCTACCTAATCAGTGAGCATAATTGAAAACTGAAGTAGGTGGGGGATTTGAAGGAATCGAAGGATTCTAGAAAGGATTGTGAAGGATAGGGCAGGATTGGGTATGTTTGAGCCGTTGCTACCATTTGAGAAGGAAGGATGGAAGGCAAGGAAAGGCGGTGGAGGACTGGATTATACCCTAGAAAAACAGTAGGGAAAAACAAATGGAAAGGATTCAACTTCGATCACCTCGGAACATAACATTCACTGGTGGATGGTGAATGCTGATGGAGTCGTCGACTTCAGCATATGCCTCGATCATCTCACTACGCTTGCCCGTGGCGCTGTCGCCAACAACATCGAGTCAAACATACACAGTGCACTCTTGAAAGGTGTTGCATACCTCTTCACTTCAGATAACTGCCTTCTAGTATCCATCATCGCAGCCCTGTATGCTCCAACCGACCTCGTGGCATGTTCACTTCCTCTGGCCTTCGAGTTTGTATCGGCTTCTCCGTCCTCGCTCTTCGCACATCGCCGATCACTGACCTGGATATATAACACTATGCTGTATATCAATATGATCATATCACACCTCCACATGCATGGATATACCCTCGCTGACTAACACACTTCATATCATGAACTATCTCCTCGTTTCAGGTGGTCCTCAGACCTTCATCACTTGCTCCTGCCTTCAGCTTCTGCTTATCGACGGATTGTCCTTGCTCCGAGTTGGATGTCCAAATGATACGCTCCACCGCCCTCGCTTTTTCCCGCTCAAGACTCGCACTTGCCTCACTCATCAAACGACTCTCTCCAGTGTACCAACACGATCGTATGATAGATCTATACGCATGACTATCTCCTCGCTGACAAACCTTACGCCATTGAGCACCTCCTTGCTTAGAGCGAACACCACACCTTCGTCACTTGCCCTTGCCTACAGCTTCGCGTCCTTCATCTTTGTTTTACAGTCTGATTCCCTCCGCTTATCTTCGCTTCCTTCTCGCTCCTTCCATCTTCTATTGTTCGATGACCAGACTCCTGACTCACTCGCCAAACCCGTCTTCATGTGAGCCAACAACATCCTGGGCATTAGGTCCCGCAACCGTAAGGTCTTTACTCAATATTGTGATATTCAGTACAATCTGCTGACCACCTCACCTACCCTAGACCAGGGTTTCGTTTGGCTCGTCTGTGTTCCCTCTCTTCAAGTAGCTGAGAGCGAGGTGAACATGTCAGTCTCGCCTCATCAAATGGACAGCTCGCTCTGCCGTTACCAATATGATTGGATAATAAGTCTATATGCATGACTAACTCCTTCGCAATCATCTTCCACACCTTCGCCGCTTCCTCTGGACTTGAGCTTTGACATTTTGTTGCGTGACTTTCGCATCGAGTCGTTTGTGCCTGTGCTTTTGCCTGCCTTATGCGTCTCCTCGTTTCAAGCTCGCTCGCACCTGATTCACTGCCCAACCATACCCCCCCTAACCCACTCCCCAAACCCCCCCTCCTCAACACTCTTACTAAACGCGACCCAAAACGCTAACTTTTCACTCACCGGCTTAGCACAATGCTCAACCAGCGCCTTGACACTAACGCTCCTCAGCCCTTGTATGTGCATCAGCTGCTCCGCCCACTCGAGATCCATGCCGCCCATGCTTCCGCCACCCCACTGCTGCTTCATGCGCATCATAGTTGCGTAGTCTTGCGCTGTCGGGGCGACGATGTGCTCCCAACCGCTGTCGGGGCGACCGGCTATGATGTTCAGGTGCAGGTTCTCGAGGAACATGGACGGTACGTTTGGGACGTTCTGAGGATCGACCCAAGCTGTGTTTGGGTTGAGTGTCGGGGGCTGAGGTGGCACCCTGGGAGCGTTTGCGAGGTAGGCGCATAGATTCTCCCATTCCGCGCGGTCGAATTCTTTGGTGTATGGTAGAGCTTTCTTCGTGATGCTCAGACGTTTGACGTGGCTCCGCGAAAACGGGGTGAGGTCGCTCAAGAAGGGTACAGCTGCCTCGATGGAAGTGTGAAATGCGAATGTGTACGTGGAATACAGAATTCTTGAAGCTTCAGCGTGGATCTGGCGGTTGATGCTGAGCAAAGACGGCACTGTGTAGCGCAAGTGTGCAGTGTATGGCGAAAGAAGGACGCGGTACGTTGTCGGCGTTGTGGTGGTCAGAAAGAGACCTTTGATGTTCGATGAGTACACATTCGTGAATGGCGCTTGGTAGTGAGGAAACGTACCGGTCCTGACATGATATGTGCTTCGGCGTCGCCATGTTCGGCTTGCTTGGGCACCTAGCCAAGGATCGATTGTTCGGACGCTCAGTGTGAAAGGACCGTTGTTTGTGTCTTCCGAGAGGTAGGTGTGAAAGTCGGGAAGTAGGTTCGTGACTGAGGTGCCATGAGTCGTCGTAGGTTGCGACGATGGGAACAGCATGTACTCATAAATCATGAGGCGTACTTCCACTGGTAAGCGCAGTAGCGGTGAGGCTGGCAGACCATCCTCTGCTGGACTGCTTGGTGCAGCCATCCTGAATGCGATCTGGGAGGTTGTGTCTATGGTATCGTGAACTGATTGCTGTGAAGCTCAACTGTATTGTCGAATGCTTGCGACTCCTCTTCCCTTCAAAGGCTGAGCTTTTATGGTCCTTCACGGATGCCCTTACTTCGATTCGCGATAATGGTGTTTCGGGATCTCGCTATGCTCACACCAATCACATACTAACGAGCAAGACAACGAGAATACAACACAGCACAGAGAGTGGGCAGATTTTAGGCGAAAGTCACACGGGATGTGGGCGCAACGCGACTTGTAGACGTGCGACCACAGCGACACGATGTGGGAGACCCATTGTGATATGCTTCTCAGCGCGTTCAAAACAGTTCCGATTACCATGGTCACCATGATGCATTGCGAGTGGCGCTATACTTCGAGGTCAAGTGCACGAGGACGTAGACCCGAAGCGACTTAGGGTTCGTCCTGGGCTGCAGTAGCATGTAGATGCTCGATTTAAGTGGGATGACACTTTGGGACATCCTTGGATTCAACCTTCCTACGGGCGCGGCAGGAGAGGCGATGTGATGATGGAATCCGTGATGATGTGTCAGTCGAATGGTGTAAAAGCTGATGTGGCAGATTGAACGAAAGGGACAGCCACTCGGCAGTCAGCCAGTCGAGTCACACGAAAGCCGCTTGAGGCAGCGAATCCGTGTCCATCCATCAACAATCTTCGCTTTCGCAAGCGACGATTTCGCTCACGGAAGCGATGCGATGATATGCCGCGCCGCTTCCGGAATTCGCGACTCGTCGATCTCGCGATCTTGCAACTCTAACATCCAGGTTCGCGAAGCAAGTATCATCTTGACATCTCTTCGACGTCGTGACGATTTTCCGGAAGAAGCTCCGCTAGTGAGTAGCCGCTGACAAGGTGTGACGACCGGATGTGCCTTGCGTTTGGTGAGGTCGAATCAGTGCCCATCCCGAAGGCCGAAGGCTGTGACCAATAGGAGGAAAGTGATGAGAGAGGAAGCAAGTTGCCGTTTTCTCGGCCAGGGTAGGTACGTACCTGCGTCTCGTTACGAGCATCAGCATTCGTTAGTGGTGACATCCTTGTCTTGGTTGATCGATTGATTGATTGTTTTAACGTCCTATCTAAGTCTAAGAAGACGAGAGGAGCAATAGCTCCTCTGGTAATGCAAATATTTAGCTACAAGAGATAGGGTTCACTGAGAGTACAAGAGATGGTGAGGGCTCAGGCCCAATCCTTGTCGAGAGATTGTAGCTGGTAGTGAAGGATCTGCAGAAGCGTGTAGTTGTTGGGGTGAAGAGGAGTACATGTAAGGAGCTGGACAGAGTGGTAGAGATTTGGACGTGTGTTTGTGGGTGATGAAGAGACATTGATTCGAAGTTGTGTGATGGGTGAGGTAACTGTGCTGTTGGAAGGAAGTACGAGGGACGCACACGTGCAGTGCCCAAAGAAGCAGACGCGACTCCGGTCAATCGATCTTACATGGCTTCACAAAGATATCGTCCTCGGCAAGTGTAGATTCCCCATCTCGATCAATGATATTGATTTGCACGCTTTTGTAAAGCTGCCTGCTGCCTCAACTCCAGAGAGCCTATACCAGTCCACTCTCTCCTTGCTAGATACCTGTACCAATACTAAACAAAACACTAGAATGAACAAGATTTTTAGAGTTTAAACCCTCCCGTCGCTGTGGACTGATCTTAACGCCCTTTCGCAATCAACGATGCGAGACACCAAAAGTGAGAGGATGCAAGAGGAGAGAACAACTGAAGAGAGGAGAAAAGAGGAAATTTCATAATACAATGGTCGTGGCCTAGCAAAGCGTGCAATATCAAAGACATGCTTTTTGTGCCCGTCGTCAATCAGAAGCCTGTGAAGAGAAGAATGGTCCCCTCGCCGTATCTGTATCCTCCTCTTGATACTGATGGACTTGGTATCCTTTTCTTGCAAGCTCCTTCAACCTAAACTTAAGACAGAAAGCGTGCACTCGCACCTAACGATTCAAGCGGCCTCCTTTCAAGTGCTTGTTGTTCCAACCACTTTTAAGGAATTCGGTTGGGCTTGCCACCTAGTGCTGGCCGTAGTTGGTGCCCCAGCCACCACGGCTGTTGTAGCTTCCACCGCCGTAGCCGCCACCGAATCCACCATAGTTGCCGTAGCCGCTCTGCTGGTGCTGCTGGTTGCCGCCCTGCTGGTGACCCAGTCCACCAAGTCCACCGTACTGGCTGTTTCCGCCAAGGTGGCTGGGGTAACCGCCGAAGCCCTGCTGGTGAGACTGCTGCTGGTGCAGACCCTGAGCGCTTTGGCTAGGGGTGCCCTGAGTCGCTGACCCGGGACGGCCCTGCTGAGCTCCCAAGGCGGACTGGCTGGGTCCAGTGCTCTTCGAGTCACCGAAGCCCTTCAAAGAGTCATCACCACCCTGCTGCCCGCTCTGCTGCTGGCCATATGAGCTCTGACCTGTGTATCCAGGTCGGCTGAATGTATCTGGAAGGCCGCCGAATCCACTGGAACCACCTGTGGCGCTGTGGTTTTGACCCATGCCGGAGGCTGAACGGCCGTAGTCGCCAAGACCACCAAAGCCGCTTCCACGGTCGTTGGAAGATGCTCCAAAGCCCCCCACATTAGCCGGGGAAGATGAGTGCTGATCGTAGGAAGCCTGAGGAGACATTCCGTAGTGGTGGGGCTGACCGTACATGCCCTTTCCGAAGCTGCCATAGCCTTGCTGCTGGCCGTAACCCCCGAATTGGTTCATGTAGTTAGCGTAGTAGGGGCTGCCGTAATACGGGTGGTTGTACGGGTAACCGCCGTGCTGACCCTGCTGCGATTGCTGGCTGTGTCCCTGGTGATGTTGCTGGCTTTGCGAAGCAGGTCCAGAAGGAAGCTGGCTTCCCAGACTAGGATTGGGAGTGTTGTGTCCGCTGTTCGACGCCTCGCCGTATCGGCTCTGCTGGCCCTGGGAGAACGAGTCTTGGGGCCCGGAACCAAAGCCACTGCCGGTGCGCTGCTGCGCAGAGCCGGCCTCCTGCTGGCTAGGTGTCTGTTGGCCGTAATTCTGGTAGTATTGCTGGTAAGCATTGCGCTGTTGCTCGGAGGTGAGGTACTGGGAGGAGTAGTTGTCAGGTGCGGAGGAGAATGCGCCGGGCTGCGACTGGGCCTGGCTCTGCTGGCCAGGGTAGTCGTACTGGTTCGACGACGGGATCTGCTGGCCGAATGGATCGTAGGGCTTCTGAGAAGGTGCTGCAGCGGTCTCGGACTGTTGGCCGTAGCGGCCGAACTGGTTGTAGGGCTGGCTGGACTGAGAGCCCTGGTTTTGCATCGCCTGCGATGCAAGGGGGTTGGACGGCGACTGCTGCGACAGAGGCTGCTGCTGCTGCTGCTGCTGCTGCTGGGGCGCCGGGGGGAGGCCTGGGGCCTGCTTTGGTGTAGGGACAGTCTGCTCGGGCTCTGACTCCTCGACGTGAGGAGCCTGGCGAGGCGCAGGGGGCAACGAAGCCCTGGGCTGTGCAACAGGCGAGTGCTGAGGGGGTTGAGTCCTGGTCTCTGCCTCCTCCCTATCCTCATCGACATCTTCCTCGCCACCTAGACCCAAGCTGCCGAACTGAACTGCTGCTCTATCCACGGCGTGGTTCCCTGGCATGACAACTGCCTCCTGTTGCTCCACGAGCCTCCTCTGAAAGCTAGCGCTGCGGTGTGGTGTCCCTGAAGTCGCCTTGAGTGCGGTCGTTGCGTATCCTCCAACAGCAGGGCGGCCAATAGGTGCCTGAGCCGATGTGCTCAAGGGGGTGGCTACACCAACGCTTCCAATATCTTTCGAGCTGGCGACGGTGCTGAACGCGGTCTCTGTGGGCGGCGGGTGCGACACGTCGGGCAGGTGCTCAACATTCTCCTTCGTGAGCTCGTCCTTCGAGGGGGTGAGGTCGAGCTCGGCTGTAGGCTCTTCGACCTTGTCTGGGGTCTTGGTTGCATCATCGGCGATAATCGTGGGCTCGTCGACTTCGTCTGCGACTGGGGGAATGGGCAGCTCTTCAGCCTGGACGGCTGGTTCCTGTGCAACTTCGGCGGCAGGTGTCTCGACGGCGGCAGGAGTGGGATCCGTAGGAGGTTCTGGGGCTTTCGGCGCAGGCTTGGGCGGGGTAGGCTCTGCAGGCTTCGCGAACATGCTGGCCCATGTCTTCTTCGCAGCGATTATAGGGTGCTTGGCCGCCTCTTTCGGGTCGTGAAGGACCTCTGATACAGTTCCAGGTACTGCATCCTCCTTCTTCGCAGCCTCGGTGGTGGTGGTGGTGGTGGTGGTGTCTGGCTTCGCGCCCCACGCGCCGGTGCTAGCTTCCGTCGTAGGCTTCGTGTCCCAAGCTCCAGGCTCAGCTGCGGGCGTGTCCCATGCAGCAGACTCGGTCGTAGGCACTGAAGTCGATGCAGTGCGGGGTCCAGTTGCAGCACCTCCACGTCCGCCGCGGAAGCCACCACGGCCCCGGTCAGTGCCGCGACTACGGCCACCACGGCCGCTGTCAAGACCACGTCGAGGAGCATCGCCGCGTGCGCCGCGGATGGTAGACGACTCTGTAGGAGCAAAGTTCTCCTTTGTTGCTTTGGAGCGCGATCGGTCCTTGGCCTTCTTAGGGACTTCGCTGAATTGAGAGACGGCGCCTGTAGAGCTTAGTGTTAACTGAGCCCGTAATAGTGTTGTTCCCTCGATGGGACATAGAGGTCATGTGCTTACCCTCACTGATCCTCTCGATGGTCCTCTCCAGATCGCCGTCAGCCTCTTCGATGGCGAGCACGAGATCAGCGTCAGACCAGTCGGGGAACAGCTCCTTCAGTGTGGTCAATTGCGACGAGTAGCGCTTCTTGAGCTCGCCCAGTTCGCCCTGCTCTGCTGATGTGTCGATCTTGGACGATGCGCTGTCGCCATTCGTGTTTCGCGCTCCCCGAGAGCCATAGCCTCCTCCTCTGCCGCCGCGGGCGGTGGTCCTGCCTCGCGCAGGCCTGCTTTGTGCTTCAGACATGTGAACTGTATGTGTGGGGGGTGAAGCCGCTATGGACTCGGTGTGGTGTGGTGTGTGAGGGCAAAGGAGAGGACGTGCGTGAGGAGGAAATGGTGTATTGTTGGAGGTAAAGTCGGCGCTGAGAGCTCGTTTAGCCAGCAACTCGGCCTTGGCAATTCGACCAATGGCGTCAGAGAGAGCGCGGCTGTGTCGCGTCAATTTCACAAAGAGGGGCGGGGTTGCATAAACCAAAGCAGAGGCTGGGGATTTGAAATGAAAGCGGCGTCTGGAAGCACTTTCCCGTCCTGCTGTGATCGCTCTCAAGGTTGTTTGCTCGAACTTGGGTGGAAAGCATCACGTGGGGCACCGGTTGCTCCACTTGCCTCACCGTCACCTCTGACTTCGAGGACCTTCACCGACGCCTCACCGGAGGACACACGTCGTTTGGCGACACCGCACACCGACAATGCAGCCCACCGTAGGCCAGAGGGCGCTGAGCACCCTGGCAAAGAAGCTCCATCCGCAACTGCCACTCACCCCACGCGAGAGCCAGCAGCTCCTCAATCTACTCACTACCTCTTTCCGCACTCACCTCGACCGCGAGCACCCTGTACATATATCAGAGAAGGTCCAGGATCCTGCCCTACGCAAGACTCTTGGTCGCGAAGACCATGGTTCTCTCCACGCCCCATCTTCAGCCGCGCTGGCCTCGCAGCACATTGATGCCGTCTTGTCCAACCCTCTATTCGCCGTGAAGCCCTCTCGACGAGGCTCAGAGTCTGCTGCGTCAGAAATTTTAAAGGACCCTATGGGCTGGTTTCTGAACCAAATTGCATCAGGAAGTGCCACTCTCTCCAAGACTTCTCTCTGCCTTGAGATACTCGATAGGCACACAGCTAAACAGAGTCCGCAACTGCACGAAGGCAAGACACCTGGTGCTATCATTGGTGATTGGCTGCGCTCCAGCGGGTTGGATACGTCCAAGGAGTTTCTCGAAATGTGCATTGCGAAGCCCCAGACTAAGCGACCTTCCAATACCTTCATCTCCCGCCTTGTGACTATACTGATCGCTGATGGCAAGAAGCCGCTTCTTTGGAAGTGGTTCGCACGTCCTTGGCATCAAGGCCTGAGCCCTTCGAAGGCGCTTTTATTCAGACAGCAGCTGTTGAAGCACATGGTACACGCTGAAGCCAGCCAAGACCTATATCGAGGCATCGTGCTGTTCAGAAGAGCGTATGAAATAACTGGAGAGCACCCTGACAAATGGTACGAAAAGCTGAGGCCTGCCGGACAATATCTCGTACAAGCCATCATGTCAAAACCAACAAATTCGATTAGCCACGATCTCTATAACTCTTTCAGACAAACTACCAAGCTCTGGGTTCCCGGCAAGTGGGCGCAGGCCGTGGACTCGATGCTGTACCTTCACCACCCAACTACGGCGTCTGCTGCACCGGGCCTACGATTCATTCACGACCCCGCTGGCGCTGCTACGTACACCAAAGCCATGCCAAGTCAAAGACGCTTCATCGTCCAGCTCAGCTTGGGCGTCGCACGACAGCTTCTTGAAGAAGAGAGCTATGAAGATGCACAGGCCGTCATGGCGTTCACCAAGCAGCACTTCCCTGATCTTGTCTTGTCGAACCTTCCTACCGAACAGAGGACAGTTGTTGATCGTCAGTCGAGCAAGATCACCAAGGCACGGAGAGAGGAAGAAAGGAACCTTGAGCTGCTGGACGGTCTTGTACCAACTTGAAACGCTCAACCCCCAAGGTCATACTGCCAAACAACAACATCTAGCTCGCGCCACAGCCAGTAGCATGTCGCTTGCCAGATCTCCGAATAGACGCTTTGCAATCTCAGTCACGCCAGAAGAACACATCGACATCTACCAGATGGAAGAGAGAGGCCGAAGCGATCCTAGCCGCAAGCATCAGAGGTATGCGAGTCCCCTGAGCCACAAGCGACCGATTCAATCATCCCCACTGGGTTTCCCAATTTGCGGTCCGCAACGTGTGGCACTCGACTGTTACACTGCTTAATGCCCCATCACAGACGCCCTCAAGAGGAGAAGACTCGAGCCAAGTTGACGCGCATGCGTAGGTACTTGACAGAACTGTCTCCGAGTTGACACCCCGTTGATGGTCGCTTGTGATACCAGCAGTTCGCAGGAGGATGTCAATACCAAGTTACCAAGCAGAGAATTACCCGTGGAAAGCGGTCAAGCCTACCGTACAATCTTCGCGCTACACATGGAACGACCAGAGTCCACGAGTGAAGCCGGACAAGGATACCACGCAGAGCAAGACAAGGCTGCGGTTACGGCTAGACAACAAAGTCGCCTGCAGAGAATTCGTTCATGCCTGCGCACTGTACAATTGCGATACATCGGCTAACAACTTCGACCTCAACGGGGTCACCAACGTCGATCGGGTATGCTTCTGGGTTAAAGGCTTATTCGTATCCGACTGGTGCTGGTGAAATCACCACCAGGGCTAACAGCTCACCCCCAGGAGCTTTCAGTGAATTGGAAGCATTTCGAGATGTCGAGGCATTAGGAATAGAAACTGATCGAAAGTGTCGAATATCGACGACTTCTCTGGGTACATATGATTAGTTGAATGCTGCTCCTTGAAAGATCTTGTGCGAATATTGTCGAACACATATGTGGGATTTGTGTGCATAAGAGCATGGTGCAAGTCAAGTCTCGAACCGAAGTTTACGTTGCTTGCACGTCGAATCGAACTTACCGCTTCAGGAGGGACATCTGCAGTATCGATCCCTGTAACCTTTCTACTCACACATACGCCCTCTTGCAGGATCCGAACCTTCACGACAGTTCTCATGGACATCACAAATGAACCTGCCTAATGCGGCAAGTCCCGTCGAAACCATCGATTATCCTTGACAATTCACTCCGTTCTCACGGGCCTGAAGCAGGGACCAAACAATGTAAAGATCTGTCTTTCACTCGTGCATTATCATGATGACTCAGATCGGTAGCATCAAGTTCGAACCTACTGCTTCTGGAAGCTTAGCTATCACGTTGATAGCGGAGCGAATTCACTGTCAACTTTGGTACCTAGTCGCTCTTGAGCTCGTACCACATTACGCTACTCTCGCTTTCCAATTTGGGACACGAGGGAGATGACGGGCAGGATGGCGCAAGTCGTCAGCCGGAGTATGTTGCCATGAACGATGAATCTCGACAGATCAGAGCCGTGGACAGTAGTTCTTAACCATTCAGCCGGTCACGATAGAATACCCCACCATGAAGGCTGACAATACCCCGCCATCTTCACATCGTCCACCAGCCATGCAAAACACCAGCACACAGCCAAGCAGACACCAGCTCCCATCATGATCACCGGCCTCCATCACATCAACCTGGTGGTTCCGCCCGAGACGTTGCACCTGGCAGAGGAGTTCTACAGCGGCACACTCGGCCTAACACCACGCGCTGTTCCGCAACTGCAGCGCGAGACCTTGGCTTGGTTCGACATTGGCACCTCGGGGCAACAGGTGCACATCGCCTTTGGCAAACCTGAAGATTTCACGACGCCGTCGAGCAGGCATCCGTGCTTTCGTGTTGGGAGTGAGGAGGAGTTGGTTAAGTTGAGGCAAAAGGTTTGGGAGCATTTTGAGAGAGGAGGCGAGAGCGCACCGCAGCAGGCGGATGGGCCGGGGGAGAAGAATAGCGGCGCGGTGGGGGTGGAGTATCCGACGAGGTTTTTTGCTAGGTGAGTTGTCTGTGTTGGACAACATCGGTGAAGCTGGTCAAGGTCAGGCGCTAATGATAGAATAGGGACTTTGCGGGGAATAGGTTAGAGTTCAGTCTTTGAAAAACGAACTGAACGAATCACGGAGACAGGAATATCGGGTTGGGTAGATGATTGAAGTAAGAGATGCTTTTGGTAGGTCAAAGTCTATCTAGAAAAAAATAAAAAAAATTCGTAGATCTAGTATGCAAGCAGATCGCTATGCAGGATATCCACCGGATCCATGTATTATTCACCCCGAACGCCGTTGTAATGCAAGTCTATCCATCACTCTAGACCATGGCCCTGATCATGCCAACAAGTAAACTAGATTTACTCGATAGCAGAGACACCATCGTTGCCAGTGACAGGGTTGATGCTCTCATTGAACTCAAACTTGAAGTCCTGACCAATCTCCTTGCGGATAGCAGTCTGGATAGCCTCAAGCACGTTCTTGAACACACCGAACGAGGCCGGGTTGTTCTCGTCGTTGTCACCACCCTGGAACACACCAGTGCGGACCAAGCAGGTGTTCCAGCCGTACATGTTGCCGCCGATGATATCGGAGGCCGGGTTGTCACCGATCATGTAGATGTTGGAGGGCAGACGCTCGTCGTTGTGGATCTGCTCCATCCAGGACGCGATGACCTCGTCGGCGTACTTGTAGGTAGCCAACTCGGGCTTGCCGTAGACGACACGCTCGAGGTCCGCGCCGGTGAGCGCCTTGTACATGGCCTCGAGACCAATGCGGAACGCACCCTGCGACATGCGGGGGAAGGGGTGCTCAGTGGGGCACAGCAAGTCACCCTGCGAGAAGTAGATGGGGATGCGCTGGGAAACGGGGTCCTTGGCGCGGGTTCCGAAGCGGCCGTTCTCAGACTGGAGAAGGTCCATGATGATCTGCATGTCGGTGGCGTAGTCGCGGGAGTCAGAGAAGACCATGATAGCGTCGATGTTCATCTTGGAGAAGTCGCGGGGGTTGGAGGTAGCGCGCTCCTCGTCAGTGAAGACGCGGTAGGGAGCAATGGTGGGGTCCCAGGCGATGATGTCGTTGGGGACGACAATGTTCTTGAAACCGTACTCCTGAGCGACCTCACGGCACTTGTAACCCTCACCACCGACAACGAGGACAGTCCCGTAGTAGTCGGCAAGAGCACGCATGGGGGTGTGGGACTGGATGAACTGGTCGGTGGAGATGGGGTTGTGGAGGATCTTGGACAGCTGCTCGCAGCGGGGTCCCTCAAGCTTTCCGGAACCGTTGGTTAAGAAGATGTGGGGGATCTTGATACCGAGCTCGTTGTCACCGTTGAGGATCTCAAGAGTACGCTTACCCTCGGGAATCAGACGGTCACCGTGGACGAGGACACCGTCAATGTCGAAGACGAAAGCCATGTCCTTAGCCTTTGTGACCTTCTCGCCAGCGAGATCCTGGAGCTGGGCAGCGATGATGTCGCGGGAAGGCTGGATCGGGGGCATGCCTGGGCGCTGGGCAGCACCACTGGGGTAGTGAACGGAGCTCAACCTTGACTGCCTCTTTGAGCGGGGGATGGGCAGCGAGGTACCGAAAGAGTTCCTTGATCCTCTCCTGTCCTTCATTGAAGGCGAGAGTGAAAGGTTGTGCATGTAGTTCTGAGCATCAGAGATGGAACTCCTTGTTGCTGGGACCTCGATGGAGTTGACACCGCCCTGCTGGTGCTGGCTGCCAGCCTCACCAGGGATGACAAGAGAGCCGGCCATGTTGTTGGAGGGTGCGCGGTTGATGTCGTGGGATTCCTGCTTCTGGATATCCTGAGCGAGTTCATTGTCGTTGATCTGAGACATGTTGGTGGTCGTATCTAGTCGTGAGCGGATGTGGTATGGAGTAGGAGGGTCAAAGTGGTGTTCGGCTTCTCAGAAGCTCTAAGTATGCTGGTCTTTGAAAGAAAGTTTGGGTGAGTGATGGAAGAATGAGCAGCATCCAGGATCCTGGGGAAGGCCATATATATCGTTCAGATGTTAGACTCGACAACCCCTCTTCGCACTCCCCGGATGCCATCATCATTGCTCCAAACACCTGTCGACTCTTCACAGAGCCTTTCCTCAACCATTCCGAGCGTCGCCGAGTCGTACACCGCACGAAACACCAACAAGTACCTGCGTACCCACCCAGCGACATCATCACTCGCTCGGAAGAGCCCGTCCAGGGCAGCGCTAGTGCGAAATCTTCGCTGCTAGAAAATAGAAACTGGATACCGTCATGGCACAGTTTGGACCGTTTGGCAAGAAAACTGGGGACTGATAACAAGGAGAGGTCGTGAGTCGCCACAACACTCAACGCGAGCCAAATGCTGCCTGTATAGAATTTGGCCGAAGTAGACCCCTAATAACGCGCGCTGCAGCCCCATTTCACCGGACTCGCATCGCGCGGCCGGCAAGGCTACCGACGCAGGCCGCCGTCACCGCTGTTCAACGTACGATCAGATTGGGCGGCAGGATCGGTGCATGTGCAGATTTCAGCGCAAGGCTTCACCTTCATTTTGATAAGCAGTGGATAACATCTGCAAGTGGTGCTTGGTACAATGATGGTCGCTGCAGCCAACTGCAGCGACGCTCGCTTCAACTTTCGGCAGTGACGTTCACGGAGCGGGTCTTAACGCATGAGGTAAGCGCTGCTCGCCGAGTTTAACGCGGGCTCCAGCGAATGGCATGCCTTCCCTGGGAGATCAGCGAGGTGTTTCGCCCTATGCGGCCGGGCTGCCCGAGCGTCTCACAGGGCTACGCGGAGCCGCACAGACGTCCCTGCAACGCTTCGATACCAAACTTCTCGAAGCACCATCCACGCCATGTTACGGTCGACCCGCACGGTGGACCCTGAGCCCACATGCTACGTCATGCTGCTGGCGGCCGACAAAATGTGAGCTCCTTTTGAAACTGTTGGATGTTGTTGGATGGGGCAACTGTGGAATTTTTGGGCCTTGGTACTCGTGCGATGGGGCTGGTACGAGAAGGGACCGGGATCGGTCACTGGTTGCTGTGATGAGGTTGGGAGGGCGGTGATGCAACGCGTGGTTGAGCATCGAAGAGCGAAGAATTTTGCTAGAGGCAACCATGGCGACGAGTGGTTGCGTATATGTACCAACGCGGCCGTGAGTCGCGCCGTGACCTCGTTTATACCATACCGTCATAACTACAGCTTGAGCAGGAACTCGGTTGTCGCACTCTACCATCTACCACATTTCACATACCAACAGCATACTCACAACCACCACCACAATGGGTATTCAGAACAACAAGACCTACAAGCTCTCCAACGGCGTTGAGATCCCCGCCGTGGGCTTTGGCACCTTCGCCAACGAGGGCTCCAAGGGCGAGACATACAAGGCCGTCACCAAGGCCCTCGAGGTCGGCTATCGCCATCTCGACTGCGCATGGTTCTACCAGAACGAGGACGAAGTTGGCGATGCTGTCCGTGACTTCCTCAAGGCAAACCCTAACGTCACCCGCAAGGACCTCTTCATCTGCACAAAGGTCTGGAACCACCTGCACGAGCCCGAGGAGGTCAAGTGGTCGTTCAACAGCTCGCTCTCGAAGCTGAAGATGGACTACATTGACCTGTTCCTCGTCCACTGGCCCATTGCCGCGGAGAAGAACGAAGAGTACATGCCCAAGATTGGCAGCGACGGAAAGTACGTTATCAAGAAGGATCTCACTGAGAATCCCGAGCCTACATGGCGCGCAATGGAGGAGCTCTACAAGTCCGGCAAGGCCCACGCCATCGGTGTCTCCAACTGGACCGTCTCTGGTCTGAAGCAGCTCCTCCAGATCGCTGAGGTCAAGCCCCACGTCAACCAGATCGAAATCCACCCCTTCCTGCCCAACGAGGAGCTCGTGCAGTTCTGCCTGCAAAACGACATCCTGCCCGCCGCCTACTCGCCTCTGGGCTCGCAGAACCAAGTCCCCAGCACGGGTGAGACAGTCCGCCAGAACAAGGGCCTGAACGAAGTCGCGCAGCGCAGCGGCCACGATCTCGCCCAGGTCCTGCTCGCATGGGGTCTGCAGCGCGGATACGTTGTGCTGCCCAAGAGCTCGACGGCCAGCCGCATCGAGAGCAACTGGCAGATTCCCGAGCTCAGCAAGGAGGACTTTGAGGCTGTGCAAAAGGTTTCGGAAGGCAGGCACACACGCTTCGTCAACATGAAGGACACTTTCGGTTACAATGTGTGGCCTGAGGAGACCGATGGTGGTGAGATCAAGGCTTAGAGAGCCCGGTTATATAATGATGCCTACGACGATGGAAAAGGCGTTTGGAGGGTTGTTGTTTGATTTTAGCGATACCAAAAGTCTATTGTTGACTTGTAGATGATAGAGCTCAGTGAGCAATCGAAGCATTACCAGCTACTTTGCCTGTCTTGGTGTTTTGTCGTGATGTGGAATGTGGTGATACACTGGCGCATGCCCCTCACCACATGAGGGGCAACTCCACGACCTTGAAACTCGAAAGAGGAATGCACCATCGATTACAGCTGACTGCGAGTTGATCTACGGCTGCTCCGGACCAGCGGGCGCTTCATTCATCGAGAAGCTTGAAGGCCAGCATGTACACTGCCAACCATGCCAGTGAGCAAGTGGATGAGCCGAAGCAAGCCCTCTCCCCTTTATGGTCTTGCGGAGAACCATGCCGGCGGGGAACCACGTCGCACCTTGAACAACACTTTTGGGAAACCTTCCCAATTGGGGAGGGTGCGGTAAGTGAGTGACATGACTTGCCGTGATCGACATTTTCGCCAAAGTTTCCTAAAGCGGGGGAGGGGGCCTTATGAGTGAGTGAGAGGTTTACCGCGATCGATGGGTGGGTTTGTGGATCTTCCTAAAGCTGTAGGTTGAAGTTGGAGGGGGGTTGAAGGCAAGCGAAGTACCCAATGCAACTGTCAGCAAATGCACATCCACGATCATGAGTAGGTTTCAGAATGTCGAGCTTCTGATATTACGATTATATGGTGTCCTCTAGAGACGCCGACTTTTGTACTGGTTGTGCTGTTGTGAGAAATAAACACATGTTGCTTGGGTATAAGTTGCCTTTAGAAAACGAATCAGACATGTCATGCACCTCGACCATCATCTCCCCATCCCCGGCCTACGAACGGAATACTGTCTACGAGCTCAAGTCGCAGCAATCGCCTCGGGCACACCCGATTCACCGCGCGTCTGCATCTTACCAGCAACAGCTCTACGACACGCTTCATGGAAGATCGTGATAAAGCGGTGGATGTCGTGGAAGTTGTTGTACAGAGGCGCAGGAGCGACACGGAGAACGTCTGGTTTCCGCTCATCAACTACCACACCGCGCTCCTCAATGTACGCCTGTACGCTATCCAGCAGTCCCGGATTAAGCAGGACACTGAGCTGCGCACCGCGCTCTGTAGAATTGCTCGGCGTGATAACCTTGTAGGGAGGTTCTCCGCCATCATAGCTCAGCAGACGCGCCTCCAGGTACCCAGTCAGCCGTACGCTGCGCTCGCGCAGTGCGTCCATGGTGGTCAGGCTGAAGACGTCGAGCGAGGCGAGCACGGATGTCATGTCCAGCGCTGACGGGTTGCTGAGCTGGAAGCCCGACGCGCCGGGGATAGGGACGAATTTGTTTTCCATGGCGAAGCGGGAGGATTTGTCGCTGCCCCACCAGCCGCTGAGACGGGGGCGGTAGGTGAGCTGGGTCTCGCTGAAGTCATTCTTACCATCGTCATCATCACCACCACTCGCTTTTCCGTTTGTGGTGTCAGTGGCTTCTGACGACTTGGTGGGGCGTGCATCGACTTTGCCGTGCTGCTCGTGCACGAAGAGGCCGCCGATTACGCCGGGCCCGCCGTTCATGTACTTGTAGTTGCACCATGCTGCGAAGTCGACGTTCCAGTCGTGCAGCTTAACGGGCACGTTGCCGACTGCGTGGGCGAGGTCCCAGCCGATAGGGATGCCGTTGGAGTGGCAGTGGCGCGTTATGAGCTCGATGTCGAGGAATTGACCCGAGTAGAACTGTACGCCTGGCAGCAGGACGAGGGCGGTGGTGGCGGCGTGTTTGGAGATTACGGATAGGATGTGCTCGGTGGAGAGGTAGGGTGAAGAGGCAGAGGGCGGTTCGATGGTGATGAGGGCGGACGGGTCGAGATTGTGGTGAGCGATTTGCGAGAGGGCAGCGTACTGTCATGGTAATTAGCTGGGTGCGACCGAAGTACTGGTGAAGTGACTTACGTGGTCGCTAGGGAAGGCCTTGCCTTCAATGATGATCTTCCACCGGTCTGCGGTCGGACGGTAGAAGCTCGACATCAGAAGATGAAGGTTCGCTGTCAGAGTCTCCATGACGACACATTCGCTCGGGAGTGCGCCAACAATCTTGGCTGACTGCTGCTTGGTGGCATCGTCCAGGTGCAACCATGGTGGCAAGCCTCCCTCGTAGTCTGTGAAGTGGCCAAAGACACCCTTCGAAGCCCAGGTGTCCAGGTACCTGTTCACATAGTCTCTTGTTCTCCGCGGCTGCAGACCGAGCGAGTTGCCGCAGAGGTACACCGACTCTTCGTCATCGTCGTCCTGTGCCGCTGCTTGGCCATCGTACGATGCTCCTAATGCATCTGATGCACCTGATGCACCTGATGCACCTGGTGCTCCTGATGCTCCTGATGCACCTGATGCTCCTTTCGTCTTTCGCTGGAACCCATACTTCTTGTTCTTGAGATCACCTTTCGTGGGGATAATGAATTCGTTCCTGAGCTTGCTCAATTCGTCTTTCTCGTCTTCTTTCCTCGCAAACGCCTCCGAGCATAGCTCCGCGTCAGCTATCGACTGATAAGGATTCCTGGACCCTGGCATATCAATTGCGCGTGTGAAGCGGCCGGTTGTACAGTGATGCAGCAACGGCAGGTGCTGTTGAGAGGCAGAAAAGCTTAAGAGCCGCTCCAGATAATACACGAGGAGCCAGCTATGAAAATAGCCCTCGGTGCTGCCGGATGGTATGCTTAGAACAGGCGTCGAGGCGGGGCTCGAAGCGGTTTGGTGGGGCCTGTCAACGGTCTGGCCGCTCGGTCTGGCGCTCGGCTGTCATTGGCTGCAGGCCTGTGACAGCTCGAACATGACCTCAGACATGGCTATCTGAGCCCTTGTCAACATCACCACGACAATGGCGTCTCCGTCGACAGTGTGCACGCCGTGCTTGCGGGCAGCGAGCAGGGCAGCCACACGCGGCCTCAGGCCCACAAACGCCACGCAGAATGCAGCGAGAGCGTACAGGCGGACATGCGCCACTCCACAGCTATATCTCGACTTCCTTGCGCCATCGATACTGCGCAGGACCACAGGGCCTGTCTCTGCGTTCAGGAAGAACAGTCCCCTGCTCTCTGCCACCCACGCCCGCCGCACACTAGCCACCACTACCGACCCCTCCGCCGCAACCCCCGCCCGCGCAGTCCTCCACCCACGCACCGACGACTCAGGCTCACCCATGTGCATCTCGATATCCCCACGGGCCTCGCACCGCCTGCACTCCATCGCCCAAAAGGACGCCAACCCCAATACGGCCTTGCGCGTCAGCATCGAGTCCGGCGGCTGCCACGGCTTCCAGTACCTCATGTCCTTGACCGACCTGGCGAAAGAACCCGCAACAGAAGAAGATACGGTGTTTGAAGGAGAGAAGGGCGAGAAGGTGGTTGTCGATGAGAGTAGTCTCGAGTTGCTGAACGGGAGCACGGTGGATTACACGATGGAGTTGATTGGGAGCCAGTTCAAGGTTACGGGGATTCCGGGCGCGACGAGTAGTTGTGGGTGTGGGACGAGTTTTGACATTAAGCTGGATTAGGGGACATTTCGAATGGTGGTGTAAGATTGTTTGTGCATTGTTGTGTAAACAGGTCTGGCACGACAGCCCGGTGATGGCGTATGCATTTGACTTCGCCCCTGCATAGAACGTAGCATTTGTTCGCGAGTACGCATCAAAGCCATCTATTTATTGCTCTACCCTCGTTGTCGACGAAGATGAACTGACAGCTCCCGGTCAAGCAAAGTCTCTTAACAAACGGAAACTGACATTCAACAACACCCAGATGCACTATATACCCAACATTCGCCGTTTAACGAGACAGAAACCGCAACGCCCGCTGATAACCAAGCCCAAAACAACAAAACAGAACTCAACTCGTTCACTTGAGCGCAAAAGAAAACAGACTGTCCATCTGCACCCACTGCCGTCCATTCCTCTCCAACCAGCCCCCAACTACGCCCTTCAACGTCTCGCACCTCTCGCGATTCACTTCGGCAAGGACCTTCATCTTCTCTCTCCTCTCGCCCACTTCGCCCATATCCGCCCTGCCCACCCTCTCAACGTCAAAGAGCGACTGCAGGTACAGCAGCTGGTTCCAGACATCCTTCTCGCGGATCTTGTAATGCATCTTGCCCAAACAGTCCTTCGCCAGGCCCTTCGGCCCGAGACATCTTGAGCCATACACAGAGATGGAGCGTGTGCAGGCACCGCACGCCGGGTCGTCGCACACCACTAGGCCTTCATAGTAGCGGGCGAGGAGCTGCCGGATCTGGCTCTCAAGCTGCGCGACGACACTGATTGTTGGGAGCACTGTGGCACACTCTGTGTTTGCACAGACGATGCCTTGGTGGCTCAGCGTCCTAGTCCTCGCATCCGCAACGCCGTGGAACGGACTCACGGACGCACAGGTACGACAGCGGAGGAACAAGGGTATGCACTTCTCAAAGCGGACCGCATCTGGGATCTGGCTCTCGAGGGGGTGGATCTCAGTATCCTGCTGCACACCCGAGGTGGTTGTTGAGACACGGTATTTGGACGTGTCCAACCCGAGACAGGCTGCTAGCATAGTGATGTTTGTCCCGCTGATGGGCGCGCATAGACGTTCCACAGGAGGCAGGATCTGCTTGTGCAGGTAATAGTCGATGTCCGGCTTCAGCTCGCTGCCGGGCTTGAGCACTTCGTCAACGGGATAGGCGTTCTTTGCCGCATTTTCTGCGGACCCGGAGGAGTCGCCTGTGATGATGAAGGACATGACGTCCTTCGCTTTGACATGCTTGCCCTTGGCCTGGAGGTGTAGGGCGACTTGGACGCTGGGCATGGACGCGCCGTTGGGGTATTGGTCTGGGTTCTTTCCCAGCTGCGTGTATATGGTATACTTGCGGGTGGGTATCGTGTACTCGCGCATCTTTTTGCTTAAATCTCGTAGATGGTTATGAATCTTCTCGACGACGGTTTCGGGGTCTTCACCGCTGAGCAGGAAGTTGAGGAGCTCACTGGCAGAGTTAGTATTCGTGAACGGGAAAGGGGAGGGGGACGTACGTTGAGGTTTCTTTAGAGAGGGCACAGTACTCTCGGCGCCTCATGTCGAGACCCTTCACTTCGAGCTTTTCGATATATTTGCCGTCAACGGGGACCATGTTGATGGCGGCGTACTTCTTCTTGGCGTGCAGTAGGATGCGGCGGAATACGTTGTCAATGTCGATCTCCAGCAATCTGTAGCTGTCATTGACTTCCTTCTTGAACTCATTGCCAAGTTTGAGCGCATCCTGGATGTTGTCGGCGTTGGTGTTGATCATGACGGAGTCAGTGTCACCGTAGATGACGCGGAGCATCTTCTCTTCGGCCATGTCCTTCGTTCTTCGCAGAATCTCACGACCCTTGTATGTGGTGAGCATGGCAAGCGGTCGCGCGTAGAAACGTGATTTTGTGTATCCCAGACATCCGTACATGGAGTTGGCAGTGAGCTTCAAGGCGAGTTGCTTGATGTCCCAGGTGGCCAGCTGATCTGTCGTAGCTGACTTGTCTTTCATGAGCTTCTTGACTTCACGACGGCGAGATACAAGAGTAGCAATGAGACGAGGGAGGATACCCTGGTCTTGATTTGTGGGTACCTCGGGCACCTGGTCTTCATCCTCAGCCAAGTCAGATCGTTCTACTGTTGTGAAGCAGATGTTGAACTCCTGAATGATACTTGGGTAGAGAGAGTTGAAGTCCATAACCAGGATGAACTTGTCGTAGAGACCCTTCTCAGGTTCGAAGACAAGACCTCCCTTGAACTTGTCCTTCTTCTTCGCATCGACACCCTCTTCACCTTCTGCGTTCTCTTCCTCAACCTTGATTTTACCCTTACCCCACTGCTTGTCAGGGCAGATGTACTGGTTCTTGTGGAATTCATGGAGCAAAATGTACTCGTTCCGCTCAGCGCGGGTACCGCTTAGTGTACGAGCCCACGAGTTGCCAGCAAGATTCGTCAGGACCTTGGTAAGAGGGAGCATCTGCACCTTCATCGAAATGGCGGCGATGAAGTAGGCATCAGCCTGGCAGTGCTTGACGTAGTTCAGCAATCCCTCCTTGGTGGTCGCCCAGCTCTTCAGCGCAGCTTCGTTATCCAGCTCCTCGCGTCGCTTATTGAGAACTAGCTGACACATCTCGTCCAGGCTCCAAGACTGACACTTGGTCATGAGAGACTTTCCGAGATCGTTGGCCAAGTCACACAGCAAGCGACCAGCAGCCAGCTGCTTCTCAGCAAAGAAGCTGCCGCCGCCCTTTCCAAAGCTCTTTGGCCAGTCACTCCTCTTGAGACGGCCCACTCGGTGCCATCCCGGGGTCTTGTTCTCGCGCAGACGGTTGAGCAGAACACTGTAGTCCACGTCATCCAGACGATGACCGATGAGCACGTCCGGATCATGTCGCTGGAACATAGCCATGAGTAAGCTGAGCAGCTCCTTTTCAGTCTTCATGAGCGAAAAGTTGCCCTTAAGTTTCGCCACTTCGGGCTGGAACCCAACTGGGAAAGCGGCGCCGTTTGGTCGCATTATGGTGAAGCTCTTGCATGGCATCTCGTCGATCGAGGTCGTATCTGTAAGCGAAAAATTGTCGTAGATCATAGCGCTTGCCATGAGGATCTCTTGTTTGTTGTCCTTTGCGTTGAAAGTCGTGCGCAGCGACAGACTCATGAGAGTCATAGGAGGAGCATCGAGGTTGTCTGAGTTGCTTAGAACTGTAATGTTGTTGGGTTTAGCGACCAACACCTCGAGCTTGCACCACGAGGCATTGTGGATCGCACCGCAGTCCGCAGCGTCAATCTTCAGCCAGCAAGGACCCATCACATTCTTTCCGAGAACGAACTGTTCGAAGAGAGAGGTGTTCGTGCCGAAGACTCGTGAGAAAGTCTCTCCCGTCAAATCGGCAGAAAGAGGCATTTTATCGTAGCCATACAGCAGCTGGAGGTAATCTGCCTCCTTAGGCACGTCTGGCAACTCGAATGCATACTTCCTTGTGCAGGGCTTGATCTTGTGCATCGTGACTCGGTGTTTCGACATGATCGAGTCAACCTCTTCGTAGACATCGCTCATCTCGACTTCTTGGTCCGTGGCTACGCCTCTGACATGGCGGTACTCACGTGGCAGGAAGTAGAGCTCCCTGAAGACGTTATCGACTTTGACGAAACAACTTGCGTATCCGCCTGTTGCCTTGTCTTTGACCTTGCCGAAGAGACACAAGCTGCCGTTTATCTCTGTGTAATCGGTCCAGAACATGTGGAGACTACCGTCCTCCTCTAGTACTGCTTCTGCATTCATCTTCCCCACACCTGTAATTTGTGGAGCCGGACTGCTCATAACGTTGAGCTTACTTGTGACGTCGTTCCAGGAAGATGCATCTATCGAGGCTGTGGAGGGTCCTACTGGAGATGAGCTGGCTGGTGTAGGGTAGTCTGCTTTCTTGATCTTGGCTATGGGGCGTCTTCCAGCCATATTCACGCTAGCCACAGGCACACCGTCATGTCCAGTTGGCAGAGCTACTTCCATCAGATCCTCCTCTTCATCCTCAAACTTCACTATAGGCTTCGATTTTCGTTCGACGGCCTTGGTGACGGGTGATGATGGCAAGACTGCATCGCTCATAGGTACATCGTCGTCGTTGAATGTAGGCATGTCATCGTCGTCTGCGTATGTGTTCGTTGCTGGCGGCGTGTCGGATATGTATGAATCAGAGTCGTTGGTCCGTCTTGCCTTAGCAGCAGGTCGGTTCTCTGATACTGGTGGTGACAACACTCGAGTCTTCCTTCGAGCTTCGGCCTTTATGGGGCGCATGCGTGGTGCAGAACGGCGGGCGTTGTTCGTGTTGATTTCGCCAAGCAGATCGTCCATGAAATCATTATCGGCGGCACTGGCGACGGGCTGTTTGTGTCAGTCTCGTTCCATCGTGACTATTTTGAGGTGTTTGGCCGAAGTACCTTCGGTTTTGGGGCCTTTGCTGCTGTCTTCGCGCTGAAGTACTTGCTGATGCCATTGTTGATCTTCTCCTGTTTCTCCGCGTCTTCTTCACGTTTTCTCTTAGCTGCTACGCGTCAGTCAAGCCTCATCATTCAAGGTGTTGGCATTGTATACCGGTCTTGCCCTTGGGCCGCTCGTCATCTTCCTCGCTGTCTGTGGCAGCATATTTGTAGCGGCCCTGGCCATCATCCCACTCTTCTCTGCCGTCGTCGACGTAGCCCTCGCCATTGTCGTCTACGATGAAGTCGTCCTGGTCTAGCCTATTTCGTACAATTTTCTTGTAACCTTCATCGTCGACTGTATCGTACAGATCCTCCTCTTCGGCGACTTCGTACGTGGATAGGCGCGTCTTGCCAGCAGCGCGCAATGCTCGCAATTCCGCAAGTTTTGCTGCGCGAGACATGTTGTATTATGGGGTATATAAAACTCGAACAAGAAAAGAATAAACAAGAGGCTCGTGCGAGAGACTGTAATGGTATTGTGGGAGCGTCGAGGGCTGGAGGGAGAGCGTGCCGTGTAAAGTGGTTTGAGATCGCGCTTGTACACGCGACGCGTTTTCCACTTAGGCCCAAAAGGTGCTAGTGTGCTTCCATCAAGGCCTTCCTCATTCGTTCACGTCACGACCCCTTGACGTTTGCATCAACGCCCCTACATACACAAAATGGCCTCAGTTTCAAAAGTTCCTCTAGTATGGATAGACTGTGAGGTGTGTGCGTTTTGTTGCAGGTCAATGCAACGCTTACTAATACTTGCAGATGACTGGCTTGGACACCAGCAAAGATACCATCATGTCTCTTGCTGCATTTGTCACCGATGCAGACCTGAACATACTCGACGAAGAGGGTTACGAAGCCATCATCCACCACGAGAAAGAGCAACTTGATCAGATGGGCGAGTGGTGCACAAGACACCACGGCGAATCTGGACTGACGCAGGCTTGTCTGGACGCAACTATCACTGCAGAAGTGGCTGCTGAAGGCCTGCTGCAGTACATCAAGCGGTTTGCGCCAGAGCGCCGTACTGCACTCATTGCTGGCAACTCTATCCATGCCGATAGAGGGTTCCTTGTGCTGCCACCGTACAAACCAATCATCGATCATCTTCACTACAGGATCTTTGACGTCAGCAGCATCAAGGAAGCTGCACGAAGGTGGGCGCCGAAAGAGACGTTGAAGAAGATCCCTAGGAAGCAGATGCTTCATGAGGCTCGAGCTGATATACTGGAAAGCATCGAAGAAGCCAGGTTTTATCGCGAAGCATTCTTTATTAAGAAAGATCCAGATGCGACGGAACAAAAATGATGATCAAGTGGTGGGCCCAACATGCACTCTCGCTGCAGCAAGCGGCACGGATGGGAGGACGCTTAGTGCCTGATGGATGGATCCCACCTTGCCCTCGAACTTCTTCATCACGACGGCGATCCATACACCGCGATATCAAATTCGAAAACTGTACGTGAACACGAAGAGCACCTGACGATGAACTACAGTGATTCTGTGTACGCCTAAAACCCCACAATGCGCCCGGAGTTGAACAATTTGTCTTTAGCGGCACATCAAGCATCAGCCTCGTAGGCAGCCGCCCGGTGTTGCTGTCCTCAATTGACGTTCTTACATTCCTATCACTACCAAGAAAGAATTCGATGATGGAAAAGAAGGAAGAGACATACGGTTTTTTCTTTAAACCTCGACGGCTTAGTCAGTTACCTGTTCTACAGGCGCTGTGCTTTACCTACGGAAGAGTCTATTCGTCTAGTCAGATTGACCAATATCCCGTTGCTGTTCGGCACCCAAGAAGTTCAGAAGCTATGTACGATCGAAACATTCACTGCGAAATCGGCGCCACCTTATATGGCCCTCAGCTACACTTGGGGTGCGCCAGTCTCCAACGAAACGTCTGCGCAAGGGTATGCTGAGCCGGAAATGTGGATAAATGCCAGCTTGATTCTCCAAGGAGATGGTGTTGGTCGTTCCAACATACCCGAATTTTCGACTGTCAAGATTAAGACAAATTCGCAGCGCTTGCTCCTTTACCTAAGCCCCCCCCCCCCCCCAAAGAAATGTACCCTTTATCTGAGATTGACGGTCTGTGCATCAATCAGGAAGACCGGTCCCAACAAGTCGCAAGGATGATGAACATATATACGGTTTGCACCAGGGCCGTCATCTGGCTGGTGATGTTACCAAAGTTTGGGATTTACACGAAGACCTGTATCCAGCTCTGGAGGCACACTACTATGACAAAAGCTACGTTCCCAACAAACCTGTCGCAGGGTGGAGCATCGATAACATGTATGAGCGACTACATTTGGAACACAAGAAACGTGATCATGATTGGCTATGCTACGCACAATCCTTCAATGAGCGCACGTGGTTCTTAAGGTGCTAGTCTTCCAAGAAGTCATCTTTGCGCCTGCAATCGTCTACATCTGTGCTGGTCTCACCTTCGATTCTGACTACATTACAGCTGTCGCTCAGTTCCTGAAATGTACAGGCCTTCGAAAGAAAAGTCAATACATTGCGCCCATCAAAGCCAGGCATCTCAAGTCATACATCACAACCTGGGAGTTTGAACAATTTGACAATTAACCTAGCAACCAACCTGTTCAATAGCGCGTACAGAACCTCGGTTGGACGATTATACCAGAGTCCACTGACGTTAATCGCAGCTAAATATTCTTGAAGGAAGAGATGGAAAATCTCCTTTACATTTATCGCCTGGGCAATACTAGACCGCACATTATGACCAGTGAGGGTATCGCGCCTGTCAATGACGCTATCAAAGAAGCGCAAGAGTTCACTGACTTGATGAGGAAATTTAGCCTGAACCGAGTACTCTTCGTGACTACGAAAGGCCTCCTAGGCTTAGGACTCGAGTCTATACAACCGGGTGACCAGATCTGGGTTGTCCAAGATGCCAGGCTGGTCTTCACTGTGCGGCCAACAACGCATGGCGACTTCACGCTGCTAGGAGAGACCTATGTCTATCCATGCATGAGTGGCGAGCTTATGAAGTACGCAAAGGGCAAATGTAAAGACTTGAAGCTGCGTTAGATACTCCTGGAGCAGCCTTGCCAGGCTAGCTGGAAGGTCGATATCTCTCGGTTCGATTACAGCATCTGCAGTCACAATTGCAACAGCTCTCGTTGATCCATCACAGGCACAACGAATGACCGCAATGTAGCGTCGCTAATGTAAGGCTGCCAGTCTCTTGCAGCTATACTATCATGCAACACTGCATACTTTATCCTATGAGATACTACCTTCATAGAGTGGCGTAACGTAAGCCAATCAACAGCATTGCCCGCAGTCCGGCCACCTGCTGTTGCTCTGCGTTGGCGTTTTTGGTCCTGCCCGGTTTAGCGGTTGGCGTCACTTTGGAGATCAAGACTTATGGTATGAATGAAATTTACGTCGGCTCGATATTTCTCATTCAGTACAAACCCAAGGATAATGTGGTCAGTCACCCCATGCATGTGTAGTAATTGTTCAGAACTTAAAGGAGCAGCCTACAACACTCACCCTCAAACAAGGCATCAAGGAGATCGCCATTCTGACTAGTAGGTCGTCTTGGTCTATGAATATTGGCGGGACTGACAAGGCAATCAACGACTGCTACCGGTGGTGTTTTTACGTGAACAGTTGATGATGAGATCGGAAGTGGGGATGGTTACACTCTGCAGATATAACGGCAAGGGGAGCTACCTAACTATTCGGGAATGTTTGACGTCGTGCACAAGGGGACTTCCTCAGCTCCAGACAACCCTTATCAACGCAGACCTCATTTACCATAGCATCCGAGACGAGATCGGGAAGCTCATCTAAGGTCTCTGCAGGACCGACGACCACAATAAGTAACTCAAATAAAGGCGGGCTCAGCACAGGGGCAAAAGCCGGTATAGGTATATGCGCAACAATCGATGGTCTGGTATTGATCGTGGGTGCCTTTCTGCTAGGCATGCGTGCACGTGGAAAGCCACCTAACGCCCTCAACCCGGAATGTGCATATGAAGCCGACAAATCTGAGCTTGATGGCCAGGTGGTGTACCGACATGAGATCACACTAGAGAAGGAGGAGAACACGGCAGTGAAGCAGGCTCAGACCGTAAAGCTGGAGGCGAAAGCTCCTCATGCAAAGATTTACTCGCGGCCGATCCAGCATGCACCGCAGGAACTTCAGGGGAACGACGACGCAGTTATTGCCACGCGACCAGCTGCTTGAAGGCCATCATAATCATTTCGATCTCGACTGCAGATTATATAGCTAGCAGTAGGCGCACATTGGTGTCTCAACGCCACCAACTTGGGTCCGTTAGAAGAATTAAAAGCGAAGACGTAAGGATCTCAAGGACATTGTCTTGATTCTGTGTTATCGCCATGCTCATGCAAATCCACGGTCGGACAGCAGGAGACATCGTTCTCGTGCTTGTTTGCCGTTTCAGTCGTCCATGCTAGCCTTTCCGGGAAGATCCGCAGTCGGGCTGCATGACGTCTAATTTTCAGCCACGGGCCGCCTTACGCCCAAGCTTACGATTACCGGTAGCTTAGTGCAGATAAGAGATTTGGTCAATTTCTGCAGCTCTTGCTGTTGATTCCTCCTCTACACCAGAACGGAATGCTTGCCTGCTGACATCCATCGACGCTGGAAGCGTCGACTTCATTAGAAGCCTTCACACATTTTTGACCGCACTAGCGCAACCGGCTCGGTTGATACCAGCCCCCAAGGAACACCTGCTCGATGGCCGCCCCACAAACTGATTTTGAAGAAGTCATTCCAGGTACGCGACGCCTTTATGATGAGAATGGCAACAATCTACCTGGAGATGCTTCGCTCTTGAAACATGGCGATATCGTCCTTGTGCCGCAACCTTCGGAGTCCCCAAATGATCCTTTGCGATGGTCCAAACCAAGGAAAATCTGGCATTCCATCCTGGTCCTGTACATAGTCGGTTTAACAGCTGCAACGTCTAACAATGCTGGATCTGGATCAGATGGAGTCAACGAGGAGTATGGCATCAGCTACGATGTCTTCAATACCGGTGCCGGTGTTCTCTTCATTGCCATCGGATACTGGACTTTACTGAGTTCCCCACTGGTCCACTTGTACGGACGCCGTCTTGGATACCTTATCTCTATGCTGGTCAATATTGGTGGTCTTATCTGGTATGGCCGCATCACCAACGTTGCCGGTGTTGTCTGGAGTCAGCTGTTTGTTGGTGCAGCAGAGTCGGTTGGCGAAGCCACCGTTCAACTCTCGCTCCTTGACATATGGTTTGAGCACCAGACGGGTAGTGTCTTGGGCATCTACACCTTTGCTACCGCCATCGGTACATACTTAGGACCGCTAATTGGAGCACATTTGGCCAATGGTCTTGGCTGGCGATGGATCGGCTACGCGGGCGCCATCATCTGCGGTGTCAGTCTCGTTGCCATCTTCTTCGGTCTTGAAGAGACGGAGTTTAACCGCGATCGCTACCTGACTGGTAATGGGGACCGATATCTGGTGGATGCTGCCTATCCGGTGCCGGAAAAGACCATGGAACACGCTCCAGTTGGGATCTTACCTGATGTTGAAGACAGTGCTTCTGTGGACCGCAATATCGACAACAATGAGGGACCCGAGAAAGCTGTACAACCCGTAGAGAAGCACAACAGCAAGGAGGACTCGTTCAACAATGTCGAGGACGGGTACCCCTCAGAGACTGCTCGCAGACGGATGTCCTTATCATACAGCCGTCGCAAGACCTACTGGGACCGCATTAAGATCATCACACCGGCTCCCAATCTCCGTGGCACCGGCACAAAGCAGTACATCCATCGCCTGTGGCACACCTTGCGTGTCTTCACCTTCCCGGCCGTCTGGTACGCCGGTCTTCAATGGGGCCTCCAGAACATCTGCCTCACCTTCTACCTGACCGTGCAAGAGGACTGGTGGTACAACGAGCCCTGGAATTACACCCAAACCGAAGTCGGCAACATGAATTTGCCAACGCTGATTGGCAGTCTGATTGGGTGTGCGTACGGCGGTTACGGCAGTGACAAGTTCATGCAGTGGATGATCAAGCGCAACAAGGGCGTCATGGAAGCTGAGTTTCGTCTGCATCTTATGGCGCTTTGCACGCTGGTCTTTCCGACTGGTATGTGGCTGTTCGGTATCGGGTCTGCGCGGGGTTGGGACTGGCCTGTACCGTACGTGGGCTTAGGGTTTATCGGCTTTGGATATGGTTGCGCTGGCGATTTGAGCCTGTCCTACCTTGCAGACTCTTTTCCGTATGTTTTCCGCTCGATGTGCTGTGACTTCTGCTGACACCTTGGTAGTGACATGGTTCTCGAGGGCATGGTGGGTGTTGCTGTTATCAACAATACCATAGCCATGCTGTTCACCTTTGTTGCGAGTTACTGGATTGACTCTGGGATGGAGAACTGCTTTATTGTCCTTGGTGTGCTCAGCTTCGTGATCATGGCGTCCAGTTGGCCCATGATTGTATACGGCAAGCGCACTCGTCGCTGGGCGAGGGAAAGGTACTTGAAATTCGTTGAGATCCGTGACGGATTCTCAAAGTAGGTTCTCGTATAGTGACGTACAGTTGCAAGACGAAGGCATGTAGCAATGTTTATGACTATTGCTTGAAATTAAAGGAGGTGTGGAAAGGGAGATGGCGGGTTTTGCAGCCACAAACTGCTGGGCGGAAAAAGTCGAAAGTGGAAACTTGCAAGAAAGAATCGGGCAACGCAATTGACGAGACTGTTGTGCATCATGAAGTGGAGTTGTATATATCCTATACGCGGCTGCCACGCGTTTTGTTATCAACAGATATGCATACCCTCAGGAAGCTTTATCATTCAAGATCCCAAAGTGCAGGTCAACCGTCTCTATATGAGGTCCTCGGAGTTTAAGTGCCGAGATACACATCTGCCATTGTTCAGGCTGAAGCCACGATGCACATCTTTTAGATTACACACGGCAAAAGAAGCGTTCATATTTGTTTTGAGAATTCCACACTAGTGGTTTCTGGCTCGGCAGATCGTCCCATTCCCCACTTCGAGCACAGACTGCCATGTTTAGGAACGCGACACTCGCCTCGCACTCCTTTTGTGATTCAGGCGCACCTCCAAACGGCACATTCTTCCATGCAATGTCAGCCGCAGATGATCCCTGCGCTTGGGCGCTTGGTAAGGCGAACCCTGGCTGGGCAGCGCGGATACATGTATCCTGACAGGTAAGAAGAGGTCAAGGTACCTACAAAGAATGCGGGCGAAGTCGCATATTGACTTCGACGAGGGTCGCACAACATGACAGTTAGCTACCTCGCATGTCCACACTTCATTGGCTGTGCCGTACAGCCTCAGAAACTTCATGTTGATACCTCCACGGGGCTGCCGCTTTACACGGGCGGTGAAGCTTACAGCGGCGGCTCCGAATCAGACCGTCACAGCGTCAGCCGTTCAGCGCCCACATGAGGAGACTAGCGATTTCGCTGCACGAAGCGTTCGAAGTACCGAGCACGTCAGAACTCTGCAGAAGCCTGCAAGGGCGTTTCTGCATCACCTGCAGCGACTCGGTATGTTGTCCAATTACAACCCCGTATTGCGACTATACAGTTCGTGTTCCGATTATTCTTCACCGTTCACACATTTGATGCCCCAAATCATCGGTGCCTGCCAATGCCAGCGAAGGATGACTGCAGTCTTGGACCTAATAAAAACCGGCGGAGTCTTGTAGCCAAGACGCAAAAAGGCTTGACTGCGTGCACTCCGCGTGGCTAGATCTAGCTGGAGAACCGCCACCAAAACTCATGTTACCACATCCGGTTAGCATTCAGCCCACTGCTGCTATTCGTCTCGTAGAATGTGGAAATTGTGGAAGTCTGACTGGGCAACTCTGCACAATGGTCTTAAAACGAACACTCGCTCGGGTAATGCCCAGCTATGACTTGCTGGGACTGGTAAGTGCGTTTGTTGCGTCGGTCGGTACAAGGTTGTCAGGAGATGGTGTGGTATTCAGTGAAAAGCCTTCGTACCCCAGCGCAGGAAGGGGAGGATACCTGCCATCATTCAGATCTTTCAATCAGCTGTTCGCTTTGCTCAAGTTGACGCTCGTTCCCATATACCTATATACTTGCGATCGTCGACCCCGTTATACTATCGTTACGATCAGTGATTAAGATCAACAATACCTATACAACCATCAATCCTCATTCGATACCATCCGTACAACGGTACACGTACCTCTAAGATCACCTCAAATCTATACTACACTGTCCTATCCTTCGACCGAAGGCAATCAACTCAATCAGAATGGTCAAACTCGAGATGGGCATCTGGGCTGGCATTGCAGCAGGCGGTGTCATGTTCATGTTGATCCTCCTCCCCGTACTCGGCTGCATGTTCTCACGGGGCAAGAAAGCCAAGAAGGCCGCTGAACTGGAAGAGGAGTCAGCAGCAGAGAAGGGAGAGGTTATCTACTCAGCGCCAGCACCAGCACCAGCACCAGCACCAACAAGACCAGTGAATGCGATCCTTCAGAAACCGACTGTGAAGGTCAGCCAGTACGAGGCCGGGGTGCACACACAACCATCGACACAGAGCATGTCACCGAGCTATCAGAGCCAGGCATCGACACTCTCGCCGCAGTCACAGCTAGGGAACTCAACACCAAGCCCACCCCATATGCAGCCGATGTGGGTGAAACCATCATCATGAAGGAAATACGTTGAGGAGAAGGGTATTGGAAAGAACAATCAGTTCATGACACAACTGGATTTTACTGGAGTTAAGGATGGACGGAGAAGATACCTGTGCGCTTCTAAACCGCTTCATGTAACAGCGAAGCTCTACCATCAGGATAGCCGCCACTACTTACGAAGCCGGCGTTATCGTGCAAAGTTCGATATCTGTTGTTCAACTAATCGTGAGCTTCTTCAATTGAAGACACGAAATACATCGTTAATATCTCATTTTCGTCCGGCCTTTTACGCAACTGTTGTTCTCGCTCTTCGGCCCAACTTTAACCCTTTTCGTCCTATGCAGATTCCGAACCTCCGAATCTTACACCAGCGCCCCATACCAACTCCATCGGCCACCGCTCCTTCAGCCCCTGGACATTCACCCCCGGCGTACCCGATGCCTCGCTGTACCCTAACGACAGCTACAATGTAACGACCAGCAACAACCACGTGTGCATTATCCCACAGATCGAGTCCGTTAAGGGCGTTGAAAATGTCGATGAGATCGCTGCTGTGCCTGGTGTACATGCGTTGATGTTCGGGCCTGGCGATTATATGATTGATGCAGGTTTGGATCTGTCGAATGCGCTGAGTGGTGAGCCGCACCCGACGTTTGCGAAGGCGATGGGGAGGTTTGGGGCAGCGGCGCATAGGAATGGACTGCCGATCTTTGGGTAAGTGATTCTGATGAGTGTTGTAGGATGTTGGCTAATGCGTGGCAGTGGTTCGTTGAGCATTGATATGGTTCCCATGTTGATTCAGCAGGGATTCTGAGCGATTGCTATGCAGTTTGATGTCTGGGAATTGGCTAAGTTGATACATGGGTCATTGACGCAGGCGAGGGCGGCTGCTAAGCAGGTCGCTGCTGAAACGAATGGCGCCAATAATGGTGCCAATGCATAAGCAAAGAGTCTAGTGTTTTGTTATGATATAATTGATAGCGTGGAACTGGGAAGCTATTCAAGTTTACCTAAACAACTCCAATGAAGAACATGTCTCAACATGTGCGCAAAAGAATTGAAGCGGAAAATGCCTTGAATTTGATAGACCGTAATAAGTTCATCACTACGCCAGTGCGAAGGATGCTCTTGGTCACTCGATGTCCCCTGACCTACACCAGGTCAAGAGCCTGTTTGCACCATTTCCAGCTCTCTTGACCTAGACCGATACGCAGGTGCTCGCGCTTTCTGCACAAAAAATCCGTTACTTTTTCTGCAGAATAGCTTACGCTGCCGTCTTCTGGTGCAATACCGGAGTACCTGAGAGACTCAGGAGTATCTCGAATCCATAGCCCCACACGACGGTAGTACTTTGGTATGATGATATATGGTATTTCTTGTAATATCGAGAATTGCTCGGGGGCCAGACGTTGCAGTAATAACTAGAGAGTTTCACTAATACGATAGGTATTCTTGCCGATAGCCGCTTGGAAACCAAAGGATAAGATACTCCCTTGTCTAAATATCTCAAAACAAGGCAGTAAAATGACCGAGATCGAGAGGCTCTTTGCAGTCAAGGTAGGCTGTGCCTGAGGTCGAACTTGCTTCGAACATGATCTCGAAGGGCTCTGTGAGGAGGTTACCTCCGATGAGAAGTTCAGGATAGAAGCCAGTGTACCTAAGGCCTTGTCGAGAAACAGTCTCTAGGTTCATCATCGTTCCAGATCTAGATATGATTTGGGGATTTGAGATCAGGATGGTCCACCATGGTTCGCGGCGGTTTGAAAGATATTCGCCAGATGGACCATTGTGATGCCGCGCCTTGATAGATGCCCAAGACCATGTTGGAAACATGGATGGAAATGTTAGTGGTTCCATGACTGGATGCAGATGTACGATCCTCCATGCTAGGTCTTTAAGGAAGAACATTAGTTGAGTGTTGATAAGCGATGAACTTGCCATATGGGTATACTGTAGAAGTGGCTGAGGGTGACCAGCGACGGATTTATAGTCGTTGAGCGGCTGGAGGTAAGTACCGACGTACTTGCAGTCCTTGAGCGGCTGAAGGTAACTAGCGACGTATCTGTGTTCGCTGATACAAGGGAAGAATTGCACACACCCAAAAATGCATGGAGAGCATCTGACCTTACGGTTAGATGTCTTTTGGTAATACTCAACCAAGCGATTTTGAAGATACAGAGGGTCATCACTCGTTCCGGCAAGAGGAAATACGTGACACCGATCACCCAAGGAGGAAGGACCGACCGTTACTGACACATCTAAGCTTTCCAGGTAATGTTCAGCTCTGCACTGAAAGTACATCTGCGAATCAGTAAAGACGAGGCGTCGATGAGAGAGCAGCATCTCTTGATATATCTAGCCGCGACTATTCTATCTTGACCTGATGATTTCTTCTCGGACGTTCTCAGTGGATGCGAAGGTATGTTTCCCTGCTTTCAGGTAAAGCTGACGGTGGCTTGGGGTTTGCAGAACTCCTGGAAGGCCATGAGAGGATTCACCCCTGCTGATGCCACGATTGTAATTTCGGTGCCCTGATATAACTGGTCCATGTTTCGAATGAGATGGTGCTTTTTATCAGGATTGTCTCGATCGATAGAGTATCAGTCAACCCACAGGTACGAGATACCCAGCTTGAAAGTTACCCACATTGCGTCTCTGATAGTCTGCAGTATATCTTGAAAGACCCCGGTAGCGTCGACTTGCTCGTTCACGGGTTGGCCGCCCCAGACGTAACTTAGGCAGGCCTACGGCTCTGTTGAGCCAATATACCGCAACCGTCTGTCTCTGCAGTCGAGAACTCGTAACAAGTCCTTCCGTCCTTGCGAGCGCCGAAAATCACCATGGGAGGATTGGCATGTGTGCAGCCATTGCCTGGCCAGGTTGAGATCCGATGAGTTTGCTTGCATGTTTCTACAGATAGGGATAGAATCTTGGTCTGGGGATCCATTCTAGGCAAATGCCGCCGTAGGGTAAAAGTCGAAATCAAAACCGAGGTGCTATAATGATTGACCGATATGGATTTCGTGATTGTAGTCGTGAACCAGAGCGTTCCATCTGAGCTACTGCGAACGGGCAATTTGACGTTATGGAGGCGGCGAGTGTGTGGAGCTGGGTGACATGTGGGTAGTGCGAAGTGAATCTAGTGCTGGGGCGTCAGCTGCAGCTGCCGTAATGAGAAAGAGGGGAACAAGAACAATCCAAAAGAGATGACAATCGCAGTGTGGTGATAGTGATGGATATGACTGACTCGCTAGAAACTCATGACAAATACCAAAACTATGCTTAACAAATACTGAAATAATACCTGAAATGCTGGCTACCTCGGCGGCACCTGCAGTTTCCCCATATCCACACTTTTATGATACTTCCTACACGGCAAATCCCCGTGCTCATGCTCCTCCTCATCCTCATCGATATCAAACATCCTCCTCAGCTCCTTACACGCAACCAAATACTGCTGCCTCGCGCCAGGCGACTCCCTGAGCGGATTCGGCGCCTTGTCCCAGCCATGAGGCACACCAGGCACGCAGTGGTAGTGCACGCGCTTGCCCAAGTCCTTTTGCAGCTTATCCCTGAACCGCTCGCCTTCGGCGAGCAGCATGTCCCACTCGCAGCAGAACATCACGATGTCGTCGGGCAGAGCTTCGAGCATGCGTGTCGGTGCCTGGCCAGGGCTGAGCCAAGGGTGTGCGAGATCGAGGGAGGGCGGTTGGAGGTACGAGTCGTCGAAGAGTTCTGTGAAGACGGCGGGGAGGTTCTGGTCTGCGCGTGCGCAAGTCGCTCTTCGTTGGGCGCGGGTAACTGTGTAGTCTGTGGGTGGGTAGAAAGATACTATCCCTCTGATCTTCACGACACTATTGTTTCCCTGCGTCATGACTGACACCGCTGGCCCCTCCTTGTATGATGAAACGAGAGACAGCGACGATGCACCTGTCTGGCGCAGCATAGCGATTCGGTCAAGGCGCGACTGCTGGTGCATAAGCGGTATGCGGGAGCTAGAACCAGCCGGTGTAGCGGTCGAGTTCGCAGCCGGTGGAGGCTGGATGACAGCGTTGGGTACACTACCCGCGCGTCCGTCGATGATTCGTGCACCAGATGGTGTTCGGTCGAAGAGTTCGCCCTGCAGACACAAGGGCACCGTAAAGCTCATGTTGCCGCCAGAAGAGAACCCTGACACTGCGAATCGTTCCGGGTCTAGCATGAGCTCTTCTGCGTGTTGCGCAAGCCATAGTATTGCGTCTGCGCCGTCTTCTACGGCGGTGGGGAATGGGTACTCGGGTGCAAGGCGGTATGCGACAGAGACAACGACCGCGCCAACTTCTTTGACGACGATATTCGACCAGCGCGCATCGTCGTGCGCTGTTCCTAGGACGAAGCCTCCGCCGTGGAAGTTGATAACACAAGGGTACTTCTTGTTTCCCTTGAGCTTCTTGTAGCGCTTGTAGTCCTTTGGTACGTAAAAATGGATTCGAAATTTGCCTTTGATGGGTGAGACAGTGGCATCAATGTCCCTATGAAACGCAGGTCGAGAAGGCCGAGGTCGTGCCATTTTGTGGAGAGACATGCCAATCCCCATGAGAAACCTCCAAAACACGGCCTGCACGTGCAGCATCCATCTTGGTCGACTTCCAGGCATGGTGCTGAGGTTGTTGAGGTGTGTGAAGCGCGAAAGAATTCGAGCAGCAGGTGCTGTCGAAGGGAAGAAAGGAAAGAGTTCAGCCCATGACACGAAATGTCAATGAGTGCACCAGTGGTCCCAGTAAAGTGACGATCGCGCCGCGCTTAGTGGTGATTGGCACACTTGGCTGTGATTAGTCGCAAAAAGGAACTGTTCTGGAAGAGCGTTGCGCGCGAGGCCTGTTTGACAGATGACGTATGCTTTTGCTGAGCGATACGCAGCGCTTGGCAAAGCACACCACCACTTTCCTGATGGGCTTGGGGCTGGGCGCATTGCATCAGTATGGCAAAATGCTGACTCTTCGAGGTCTTTAGACCACTTCAACACGCTGGATATGGTCTTAACAGGTTCTCAGATTTGAGAAGCATGAATTCATGCAACTCGATGTTTCGCATTAGTCCTGACTAGTAGGATGTACCATGGTACTGAATGCTCGGACCGAGCCAATACTGACAGGATGACAGGAGTGATCCGATAGCCAATCTGTCATAACCAAATAACAAAGCAATAAACTCGAAGCAAGCCAACGTGGTATAGGGCTGCTCAAGTCCTCAGAAAGCGCCGTACGCTCACCTATTGATCCATAAACCGTACAATGCAAGTAAACAGGGCGGACTAGTGGTATAGAGATGGCACTGAAGCCAGTGGAATGCAAGGAGAAACGCCGGTCAGGTGTATGCAAATTCGACGTGAGCGTAAATAAGGGTAGAGACAGGGTAGCGACCCCAAAGGCGTTACGCGTCGACGAACTCGTACTCGGCGTCCTCGGGCGCAACGTGCCTCTTCTTTGAAGCTGGCGACAGGAGCTCGCCGTCAGCGTCCAGCACCTCGTACTCGTTCTTGATCAGTTTGTCTGTCTCGCGGATCTCGTATCGCTCGATGGCTTTCTCGAGGGCAACGTTCAGGATCTGGCTGCCGTGGGTCGGTCCTCGCTCAGCATCGTAAGAGTAGGCGATCTCGGCGTCTGGGGCAGGAGCTGTAGATGGGTGCTCAACTTCCTCGTCCGCTGACGAGTCGTCGCTGGCGACGGCCATTTCCTTGTTCAGAGCGGTTCGAGCCTTCATTGGACCAGGGTAGGACGACCTGCGCTTGTCAACACTCGTCCGTTCGGTTGGTAACTGGCAGCAACTCACTTAATGTGGGGGTAGACACGAGCAGGGCGAGGCTTGCCGTCATCGACGCGTCGTCCAGGGCCGTAAGAAGGGCCATTCGCCCACTTCACCCTGCTGTCCTTATCGCGACGAAACTCCTGGGCCTCGCCGCGGAGGTCGCTGGTGTAGGTCTGCTCAGAAGCCATGACGACTGTCTCAAAGGCTTGACTGATAAGAGCGGTATATCGACGAGAGAGTAGGCTTGGGGCGCGTTGGGATATGGTAGGTAGCTAGGTAGGAGAGTTTGGCTGTGGATAAGTGGATGAGTGACGAAGTCAACAAACGGCAGGTATGACAGCTACGGCAGGCAGTAATAAGCTCGGTAGTGAGAGAAGGCGTGACTGGTGACTGGAAGCAGCTGTCTTGGGTCTCGGGTATGACTGTCTTGTTGAGTGACTCAGGTTCAGGCAGGCAAGTGGCGATGCAGGTACTCAGATAGGGGATGAAGCTTATGAAAGCGCGGGGAAATTGTTCACTCTTGCAGGAGTAACGCCCTTTATGCAGTGAACGACGTCGTAGGCGCCTTTGTTATCCACGGTATGATCCCTGATAAGGAGCTTGGAGCTTGAGGCGCGGGAAGCTGTTAGCTACGTGATCACCTGCGCGAGCTCCGATACGCCGAGGCCCGTCAGCCCGCTTTGGATCCGGTTTGACGCGTTGGTGGCCTTCGCCCATGATGGCATCATCAGGGAATCATGCGCCTTGCTTTCGCAAACGTGGGTGGTCTGAAGGCTGAGCGTTGACCGTTGTTGGTCAGGGTGGAGGTTCGATGTAGATGCATGCTCCCGATCGCCGAACCCACATAATCTCGGCATCCCTCAAACAGTAATCGTCACGGCATCCCCAACATACATCCCGTCATCCCAATAACAAACACGCGGCTATCGATAGGCTCCGCATAGCAACTATCATGGCTCTTGTTATCATTACAGCATTATGATGGCTTTCAAGCCGCTCCAGCCATTTCACTCTGTTTAAACAACACGCTGTGCTGCGCAGCTGAGTACCCTCAACGAAGTGTGGCTAATTATACGACCAACCCCTCAAACTCCAGCCTGATAACAACCCGGAGCTGGCCGGTCATCAGCCTGCGCCCTTTGCGGCTAGGACGGCCATCTCTCCACCCGTGAACCCTCCTCCGGCGAGTATGGGAATGCCGCCCTTGGTCCGTGGGCGAGACCGCTGACACAAAGCACATCTTCGATCCTATCAATCAGAACTCGTGGAGCAGTAGCGTGCTAGAACAGCCTCATCGTAGACAGTCGCTGTTCCTGGATTATGCACTAACGCTTTCAGGTATGATAGGCTGCTGCCTCTTCGTCTTCATCGCTGTCCTCGCTGTCCTCCACCGAGGCTGCTTCGCTTGGAAGCACGTCTGGAAACCAACCATAGTCCTTGAAGTCGACCGTGTACTGGCCCATGCTGTCCTGGCTAACCTCCACCCCCTCTCTCCTTAGAGCATCAGCCTGCTGGCTTGCTGCGCCTGGTCCTCTTGGTTCGTGTCAGACAAAGACCTCAAAGAAGGTAACACAAGAGGAGCAGCTTTGACAAAGATGGGAGACTAACCTTGGACTGATGCCGCCTTTAGAGTTGATCACGCGCTGCCAGGGTACGTTACCGCTGTGGAAGGCTGGGCTCTTCTTACTTAACTCTGTTGAAGGTGAAGGTAGATGCTTGAGACAAACGCCAACTTGTCTGTACGTCATTTGTTAGCCGCATAACAGCTGGTGTATCTCTTGTGATACCATGTCTTACCTCGGACACTGAGCTACAACACGTCAGTGATTCATCATCGTGTCATGATCATGCATATGGAGCGCTCACGTTTCCCAACCAGCCTTGCTATATGCGCATAGCTCGTCACCTTGCCATAGGGTACTTCCTGTATCGCCTCGCAGACCGTTGTGTGCCACAGCCATGCTTCCTCTGAGCGTGCGCCCGGCGCCATGGTGTTGAGATGTTGAATGTGACTGCTGAAGCTGGAAGGAGACCTTTCCGACACCAGAACAACCGAACGATCTGATCAGGTACTTGACCAAGTACCACCAAACAACACTTTCAAAGAAATTGAAAGATGCGCATGCAGTGAGTCAGTAGAAGCGATCGATCATTCGGCGCGACTAAACCACGTCCGCACGTGACAATCATCATTGCCAAGACCAATAGCTCTTCGAGCATTCCAAATTCGCGGCTGCGGGCAAGCATTTTCCACATTCATATCTCACCACAACATGTCTCTCGCCGACTACCTGGCAAAGAACTACCTCACAGCAGACTCAGAGAAGAAGTCAAAGAAGCGCAAGAGAAAGGACAAGAATGGCGGTCTCACAATCGACGATGATGACAATCTTGGGTGGAAGAACAAGGCAGACGAAGAAGATGAAGATGCGCCCATGATCAGTACGATCTCCTTAAAGACTTTATACGCTGACATCAAGCTAATATCAGTTTTAGTGGGAGGTGCAGGCCTCAAGAAGTCCAAAAAGAAATCCAAAGAAAGCAGTGCCGCAACATGGGCAACAGTGGGTGTCGCTGCACCTTCACATGCACAACAACTCGCCGCCGACGAAGCCGCCGCGGACGCGATCATATCATCGACAGCCGCCGACCGCCAACAAGCTGCAGACGCCGAAGACGAAGCACCTGAGATGGTCGATACGGAGGGAGTGCTGAGGTTAGAGTCTGGCGCAAGAGCAGGTCTACAAACGGCAGCGCAGGTAGCTGCAGACATGAAAGAGCGACAAGATGCAGAACAGCGGAAGGCAGAGCAAGCTACAAAAGAGCTGGGTGCTGCAGCACAGGAGACCATATACCGAGACGCAAGCGGTCGCATTATCAATGTTGCGATGAAGCGTGCAGAAGCGCGGAAGAAGGCCGAAGACGAAGAGCGCAAAAAGCTGGAGAAGGAGAGGGAAGCTCGCGGCGACGTACAAAACGCGGCTGCAGCAAAACGGAAACAATTGCTGCAAGATGCGAAGACGATGACCGTTGCGCGATATGCCGACGATGCGGAGCTCAACGATGAATTGAAGGAGAGAGGGCACTGGAACGACCCTGCAGCTGGATTCTTGCGCAAGAAGAAGGCCGGGCGTAGTATTACGGGCAAGCCACTGTACACGGGAGCTTTCCAACCGAATCGATACGGTATCCGCCCCGGCCATCGATGGGACGGCGTGGATAGAAGCAACGGCTTCGAGAGCGAATGGTTCAAGTCGAGGAACCGCAAAGCGAATATCGAGAAGCTGGAATACCAGTGGCAGCAGGATGAGTAAGGGCTGTCTACGACTCGAGTACGGTGTTACCGGACCTTGCATTGCATTGCATTCGAAAACATAGCGCGGCGTTTGAGGCACAAAATACCATTTTCCATTATATCCCATCAGTAACGACTTCTGCGCACCTTTTCGGCCGATGTCCGCTTATGCAGTCTTGCGGCGCACAGCCACCATATGCTTGCTGCAAGCCAATTGATACCCCACTTCCCACTCCAGGCGGAAAAACAACTTGTCAACACGCTGTTGAGCTCTTCAATATGGAAATCATGCAGGCGCCTTCTACGCATCATCCATACCGGCCACTCCACGACCTTATAGAAGAGTTTCGCTTGCTTTACCTCCACAGCAGGCGAAAGACTGACCCTGAAAATGACACAATTCGGTGCAGCCTCATCCATGCATCTCTAGAGAGAGTAAGATTCTTCGAAGCGCTTTCGTACGTATAGGGTAAAGCCGTGAGCCAAAGGATAATTGTACTGGATTGATCACCGGTTCAGATTACCAACAACCTCTATGTTGCCCTGACACGTTTGCGCAGAGACAACAAAGCTAGGTGTCTGTGGATCGACGCACTATTAACCAAGCCGACGATCATGAACGTAGTAGTCAGGTTGCTCAGATGCAGCATATATATCGGTTGGCCAGATCAGTGGTAGTGTTTTGGGTGACACTTGGCCCGGGTGTGATGCGGTCATGGACTTCATGATCACAGAAGGGCAAAACGACGCTTTACATTTGGACCCATCCTTGGAACCGCATATCGTGAGCCACAGAATGGACGTGAGCTCAGTACAGCTGAGGTCCTACCTCATCAGGTTCTTTGCTTCTCCCTGGTGGTTCCGCGTTTGGACGGTTCAGGAGTATTGCCTTGCCTCAGATGTTGTTTTTCAATGCGGAAACCGCACTATAACCGACAGCCTCGGATTGCCGGATCCACCACTTGACTTGTTGCCGACGGGTTCGAAAGTTCAACGATTCTGTAGATGAGACGCCTCATGGAGAAATTGTTATTGTTAGCATATGGTTCGCAGACATTGCACTCAGATCTCCCAAGCCTCGTTCCAGGTTGGAGAGTACATGTGAGCGATCGTACGATTAGACCATACCTTTCTCCATTACAGTGCAAGCAAGTCCGGTTCCGTCGATCTACGGAGCCCAGCTCTCAACAAGGTCACAGCATCGGGAGTACACATCGATCGGATCCTGTCAAGCGCACCATGGGGGCCCTGGAAAACAATGCTATCCACTTGGCCAAAGCTTGCATATACTGATAAAGATGCCTCCGCGTATGCCGACAGAGAAAAAGCATTCTGACAAACAATGTACGGGGGCTTTCTTCCCGTGGACCCAGGATTCTGAGACACTGCGACATGTAGGGGAACGCGATCCTCCACTTTTCCATTTGTCGGTAGAACACATCAACTTGGACTCTCACCAAGGCTTTTGCGGGAACTTTGATGACTTTTACGCATCGTTTCATTCAGTTGTTACAGGGAGAACATTTGTTGTCAAAGAGAAGGGCCACATGGGGTGGGCGCCTACTGAAGTCCAAGTGGGAGACAGGGTGGTGCTCCTCAGTGGAGGGAGTGTATCCTATGTCTTACGACAAGTCGACCCGGACGAGGCGGTAGCACAGAGAACGGACAATAGCGATACAGAAACATATCTGAAGCCTCAAGCATTCGCATTCCTTGGCGATGCGTACATTCATGGTATCATGCAGGGAGAGTGCTACGATGAGGACAAGCTCGAAAAGTCCCATCTGGTTGGAACAAGGTCATCCAGTCACTCACATCTCTCGACAAAGACGGCCTCACAGGAGTTCTTATTCAGCGCCAAGGCAGCTGTTGTGGAAGCAATGCAACATCTGTGGGAGAATGTCTTTACTGACTCAACGTAACGTTCGAATTACAATGGCTCGCGACGGTTCGGCCTGTGCTCTTCTCGATCGCTGGAACTTCAAGTCGAAACTAATGATGTTCCCCAGACTTGGCGCTGCACTGTGCTGCAAACGAGACTCCGGGGTATCCACGTCCAGATATTCCTCCAACGGGGTAATTCTCCGGCCCCAACTATGTATCTCCAACTCGCCAAGAACCACCACATCAAATCAAACCTTGAAACAATCCACAAAACCAGCCAAGTCATAATCACAAGATGTACCGACAAGACGTTTCAATCAAATGCTGTGTGCCTCTGACAACGATATCTCTTGCATTCCACCTACGGGAGTCTTATAGTAATATACCATCAGCATAAGCAAAGCTTGTCGTGAAAGCACGCAAGACCTGAGATCCGCCTACCCAGCGAGTCAAACGCCGATGGAGTATACAAAATGACCACGGATCCGTCAAATGGAACGATATCCATCGACCACTAGTCCAATTTGTGAACACATCTGCGATGAAACTCTCCACAACTCTCTTCCTTCTTGCGGCTTCGCTGGTTTCAGCAGCGCCGACTCCAACGCTCGAGGAAGGTGCTGAAAAGGTGCTGGTGAAGAGAGCAAGTATCACTGATGCTGCTAATATCGGTTATGCTACGCAGAATGGAGGGTCAGCATGCACGCTCGTCGTTTGAGAGTATGAAGACTAACACCTTGTACAGTACCAAGGGCGGTGCTGGTGGAGCAACCACTACCGTGAGCACACTACCTCAGCTCTCTGCCGCAGCAAGCGCTGCGGGTGCTCGCATTATTGTCGTTCAAGGTGGCATCAGTGGTACGGCCAAGGTATCCGTCACATCAGACAAGACTATCGTTGGAAAGGCTGGTAGCTGTACGTATCACTCTCATCTCACCACCCGCATACTGAAAAAATGCTGACATCTATCAGCCCTGACTGGAATCGGTCTCACCATCCTTAGCCAGAAGAACGTAATCGTCAGGAACCTAAAGATCTCCAAGGTCCTTGCCGCTTATGGAGATGCCATTACCATCAACGAATCAACGAACGTCTGGGTCGACCACTGCGACCTCTCCGGCGATGAGACAGTCGGAAAAGACACCTACGATGGCTTAGTCGATCTGTCGCACGCAGCAGACTTCGTAACCATCTCGCACACTTACTTGCACAACCATGTAAGCACCTCCTCTCTATTTCCCTTCCCTCTCCCTCCCCCCACCTTCATGATCACACCCATCTCACACTACCCCAGTCCAAAGGCACACTAGTAGGCCACTCGGACTCCAACGCTGCCGAAGACACCGGCCACCTCCGCGTAACCTACGCCAACAACCACTTCTACAAAGTCGCCTCGCGCGGCCCACTGCTGCGCTTCGGCACCGCCCACATCTTCAACAACTACTACGACGAGCAGGACACGGGCGTGAATACGCGTATGGGTGCGCAGGCATTGGTGCAGAGCACTGTGTTCGAGAATAGTGGGAAAAAGATGGTGTATACGGAGAGCAGCGCTAAGGATGGGTATGCGGTGGTCATTGATACGATTTTTGGTGGTGACAGTGCGAATACGGCGCCGAAGGGGACGTTGAGTGCAAGCAGCTTCCCGTATTCGTACTCGTTATTGGGCAGTGCGAACGTCAAGGCTGCGGTGACAAAGGAGGCGGGGCAGAAGCTTGCCATCTGATTGATTGCACGCTTCAGTCTGCAGTGGCTGTCCTGTATATAGCGTTATCGAGTGCAGTGGGTGGTGGGATAACGAGTTCGCAGAAGCTCATAAAGAACTGCCTTCTTCTACATTTAAGTGCGCATATCTATCCACAAGATTCGTCAGCATATGTGAATCCAGATCCTCCTTCTTCCTCACAACACTGACCAGCCAATGACTCCTTACAGCCTGCGCCATATTCACTTTCCCATTTATCTGATCCGCATCAATATCCCCATTCCCTCTAAACAACGCAACTTCCGCTGGCCGCATATGTCCATGGATGACATGGAACAGCGCATCAGCCAGGTAATGATTCTTGCGCTGAATGAACAGCCCTATTGCGACCAGAATGAGCGTAGATCGTAGGGTTTCGAGTTCGGCGTTGGATGTCTGCGGGCTGGTGGCGTTGATGGCGTCGATGGCATCGATGCAGTCAGAAGCGGAGAGCATGAAGGGAAGACGATGAAGAGATCCATTGCCTCGTATCCGTGACGGGAATAGTAGATTCGCATGATGGCTTGGAGGTATCGCGTGGCGTCGGCGACGATCTGATGTGGAGATGGGAAATGGGTTGTTTCGATGTCGAGTAAAGGTTTGAAAAGTGTGAGTATGGGGTGGTAGTAGTGCATACTAAAGGTGGGATGTTAGTACAGCAGAGATAAATAGCTTAGGCTACGTCTGGCACAAATGAGAAGAGCGCTTATTGAAGTTGCAAGTGTCACGGAAGCACGATGGACTTGGGCAGAAGAGAGCCCGAAAAGCTGTTGTACCAGTTTCTCAATCTTAAGGAAAAACCATACGCTTTTCAACGGTCATTTCCGAGTCTTTCGAATAGGCCGTTTGATAGGCCTCATTCATGATGACTTGAAATTGACTTCTCGCTTCGAAAACCTGACCAAAGTACGATGGAAACAGACGCTCATTGGTCGGATACTTAGTGTTGCAGTAAATGCAATAAGTGAAGGTGTAACCGCGCAGGGCAGTAAGTCAGGGGTAGCCGCGCGAAGCAGTAAAATCGGTATATTCTGTTATATTCTTGTTCCGTTATTGTCTCTCACCCGGCAGTCATCAGGGTCTGTTTACACGACGTATCTGTCGTGCAGCCAGAAAGTGCTATTGGAACAGGCAGGAGCACTGCACCAGCACACGTGGCAGACATGACCGCTTTACTCCATAAACCGTCACAATTTTACTGTAGTGCAGGCCGTGATGTGTGATTGAGGAGTGAATCGAACAAACGGGCTGGTCTGCAAGCCCATCTGTGGCACAACGCATTGCCAGGAGAGGAGCTCACAAACACGATGTTGTGTAATGAGAGAACAACGCAGAGGTTTTTCTCCTCTCTGCAGTGGGGCGCAGTTGGTGACTTCTCTGTCTGGCACATTCCCCTAATACGATCCGAAGCCCTTCTATCATGTCGGTTGACTCCGTCCAAACATAGTTCGCTGGCTATGGTTATGATAGATTTACTAAAGCAGTAGCAAAAAAGGTAGGTAATGGAACATGCGGGTGAATGACCGTTGAGGGCTCTGCACTGCTTGATTTGTTATTGAAGCGGGTGTTTACACCGAGTAACTGCAGCCTCACACTTGCAGCTTACTTGCAGTGGCCTGCCTCACTCTTGCCGATTCTTTGACTGATGTCTTGAAAGGCGACCTTTTTTAGACCTGCTTGCAGCTGAAACCTATTTCCAACATATGCGGAAGACTCGCATGCTGTATGGTATCTTCTCCTACATGATCGAATAGTCTAAACCCGCCATCTTCTTTAATGTGCAAAAGGCGCATGAGAAAAGGCATCAGCGTGCTTGGGCAACGCGACTGGAAAAAACAGTAGTAACAAGTTTCGGTAGAGCTCGACGGTCAAAAACTGCAACTTTACTGGCTGGTGAGTCTGAGAACGGACACTTCCGACCGGCGTGGATGATCAAGCGGGGTGGGCAACAGCAACCAGACTTGTCAACAAAACAGAATACGGTGGAACTAAAGACTTTTATGGTAAACCGCCAGGAACAACAAAGTCCCGTCGAAGCTCAGGGCCGCAACGGTAATGGAAATAGTGTTCTAAGGGATGATTTCATGGCGTCATTCACATGCCTCCTAAATTGTTCCGGCAAACTGTTTCAAATCAGTCGAATTAGAGGAATATCTGGGGAAGGCTAACAATTCGCCAGCGGTTGTGGCCTTCTTTCGCTAACTGCTCGTCGTCGAGCTTATACAAAAATATATTACTCTTGCTGCGCTACAGCCCCAACAATTCCAGAATCTTCCCCCGAACAAACATCTTCCTTATTATTCGGTAGTAACGGAACTTTACTCGCAGTGATAACGTCACATCGATAACCCACACCTCTTCATCCAGAATCTTCTCTGACTCTAATCTAGCCCGAACTTGTAAATTCGATGTACCACGTACAGGCTGGATATGATGTACCGCTCTGCTCTGGATCGAGTGCTGATGACATGTAGCAGCCTCAAGATCCTTACAAATTCTTTCAAGAGACTTTTTACCTCCACAAATGACTTTGATGAATTGGGCCTTGTACAAAACAGCAAAACACACAGTAACTTTGATATCTGAATCATACTCGAAAAGAACTGCTCCAACTTGCTTGTAGCCGCCAGCATGAGTAGAAGTACTTTTGTATCGGTTCAATGTCATCGTTCCCAAGTTTCATTGATAGTTCGGGAAGGCCTGTATTGGTTGAAACGAGGCTGGTCGGTTCCGAATCCATACAGACTGGGTCAACTTCAGGGCTGAAAACGTCATATAGGTTCGAAAATTGTGGAGCGGTACAAGAATCGTTGTGGGCATTGCAGTGTCAAGGCTATCAGTAGTCACAGGATGGATGCCACAGAGTTCTCGCACAGATGCCTCGAGGCTGCCGTATTCCATCGTACATTTTTGAACTGAGCATATCATAACAGGGCCTCCCCAAGTGTTGTCCTGCCCATGTTTTCTCAAATGCAGGGCCAATACGTGGGTAAAATCGTCCTCCATGCGGCACGCTAATATTCCTAAGAAAGTTCCGTCATGGTGTTGTTGGAGTAGGGGTAACGTCAGTCTTAGCCCACGATGTGTCATTTCCCAGGAGTGCGAAATACCGTTGATGTGGGTTTGGACAATCTTGCCACAAGGGTGGAAGTACGACGGCGACGGAGCCAGGATGCCAGTATCCATCCCACGAAACCACAGGAAGAAGGAGCCATCAGCAGACTTCCTGATTAGCTCATCTTGTAAGCGCTTGAAAGCCTTCCCGCCTTCGCCGTAAATGAGCGTCATATTAACATTCAGCAGTCCTAGAAGACAGTAGGCTTGATCCTCAATGCGGGTAATCTGTCTGGAGGCCGCCCAGGATAGTCTTTTTGCTACACTAAGCTCATGCAGCTCGCAACAATAGCTCAAAACCAGTGAGTCAACCCCGGTGATAGCTGATATCGTTTCCACGAGACTCTTTTTAGAGCCAATGAGTCTCCAGTCACAATCAAAGAAAGTGACATCCTCAGCAGCGATCAACTCTTGCAGTGTCCAGCCTCGAGTAAACCAGCTACAGTTCTGCAGCCGAGAACGAAGGGAATCTTCTTCGCCGAGCGTTGGAGCCACGATAGATATATCAGAAAGATATACGTAACACCTGACAGCATTCTTGTACCAAGAAAACATGGAGTTGATAGCTTCCGAAAGCTCCGCGCTGCTTGCTTTGTCGATACAGCAGGTGTCTACCCATATGTATTGCAGGCCGTCTTTTGCAGCTTGTCTCTCACAAAAAGTAAGCTTACGGTAACCCCCCTTACTCTTGTCTGCACCCTTCATCATGTCTCCGAATGTTACTTCTTCTTCGGGCACTCCCCATGTATGCGAAAGGATTGCATATGGTGGGGCTTTACTGTCTACATTCTTGAGTTCCAACCCCCCATCTTCAAGGCGCAAGAGACGCATGGAAGAGTGACCGCCTGAATATAATGGCGAGGCAAAGAATTTAATTTCTGTCTCGGTAGGTTTTGCGAATACTGGAACGGTCCAAAGAAGAGTCAAGATGATCAGGCCATTCTGGTGGTTGACGCAAATATGAGCCGGCAGCTAAATGCGCCCCGCGGCGGAACACCGTCGCATTGGACAGCTCTGAATGCTCTGGGTTCTTCGTTATTCTTGGAAAGGAAAGGACCGATACCGCAAGGTCCATCATTGGCCAAATAAGGACGCTGCTCTAAGCGCTCAAAATCTAGTGCTTATGCCGTGCCTCATCTTCTCCCAGAGTCCAGAGCCTTAGCTCGAGCATCCAGTGCTAATTTGCAGAACTTTGTTACCTGACTTCAGCGCCAACACTACTGAATACAGTAAAATCAACGGTGTTTGTGGTGAGCGACTAGGAGACAGCAAGGCTTCCCGTCTGATCTGCCGTCTGTTTTAGGGTCTTCGTTATTTAAAATCTCTGCTAGTAATGTACAAAGTGGACGAGTTTAAACGGTGCTTGGGTTCTTTACAGTTAGTGCTGCTACTAATAGCTATACGAAGAAGAAATCTATACTTCTAGATGGCGTTTAGTCATTTCAAAGAGAACACCCAATGAAATATGCAAAGTTCATTGCCCCTCTCTACTGGCTGTAGATGATGGACGCATCTTCATGGCTGCTGTAGTTGTAGCGGTGTGGACCGCTGTAGAATACTGATAGCTACGGTAAACGATAACGTAGGACTATCGGGTCGATGGAATACTGCGCTGGATTGCTATCTAGCTAAGAGGAGACGGTTATATACCTGACCTGTAACACACTAGTCCAGGGTAGTGGTCAGGGGTCAGGGGTATAGTCAGACACTGTACGGACCAACCGACACCGCAACATAAGTCGCTTTGCTGAACAGATGTGGGTCAACTGTGTACGCTGAGGTTCAACGAGCTCAACATACTCAAATCTACGACTCAACAATCGCTGAACCACTTGTAAGTTGATTTAAAGTCTTATTCATTGGTTTGAAATTAATCAAATTGGCTAGCATGCAGACTCTATGCAGGAATACTTGAACAATGCTCCAGGCGACCTAGATGCTGAAATCACTGGCCTTCTGCAGGACCAAGTTAGCGAAGTAATAGAGCGGTCCTATTATATCCCTTTACCACAAATGCCATCTGAGCTAGGAGTGCCATGTACAGTTACAATCAAATATCCGGCTATCATCCCTCACTTCGATGTACAAGACGGTTTCACCTCTACAACGCCTCATCACACTCCACAAACCAACAACAACATCTACCCGCCAAATGATTGGTCGCAATTACCTGAGAAGCTCCAGCCACCACAATTTCATGTGCACCGCTGTCACCATGAAGGGGTCACATCTAGTACAACTAGCAAAGCGTTTGAGTTGCCCTTGGGATTTCCTGAGATAGTCCAATACTTCCATGAAGTACCTGAGGATGTAAGGCATAGCGTGTGTTCAAACATTCTGTTCTAAAGTTCCACAGTCCTATTGTGCTGGACTTTTCATCAACATCCGTTCATGGCTCTCTCCACCAACTATCGAAGGCGGATTGCAGAGCTTTGAATGCCACCTTAGCTCTACTCAAACATGTTTCTATATCACCGTGGAGCGCAACAGCGACATCTTGGTGTATGACTGCTTCAGAGATGAGGAGGGTTGGTTTTGTGACGGTTAATGGGGTATAGAGGCCATGTGTGCCACGTGTGTTGGTGCAGTACTCTTGACCTTTCCAACAAGCCCTTTCTACTTCTGTCTGAACGACAGATACGTCATGTAAACAGACCCTGATGGCCCGGTGACAGAGGCAGAACACTGAAGAAGAACAACAACAACAACAACAACAACAACAACAACAACAACAACAACAACAATATATACTGATTTTACTGCTTCGCGCGGTTACCCCTAACTTACTGTCCTGCGCGGTTACACCTTCACTTATTGCATTTACTGCAACAGGTTTCCTATCGCAAAGTAATCTGCAGTTGCTAACAGTTAACAGCTTTGGGCTCAGAGCCATGACAGTCACGAAGAGTGTTCCCGATGTTGAAATAAAGATAGTTCCTTACATGGACTGATTGTATCTGAATGCTAGAGGTGTAAAATACTATAGGTAGGATAAATACAATTCTTTATTTTGTAGCGGCCCTGCAGCGATACAAAAAGGCCGACCTTCCTGACCCTGCGGTCCTGAAGGTTGTATACACCGTAACATATTTTTAGAAGCCTACAACATCACATCAGTGACCTTCTTGCTGCGTTTGATACTATTAATAACATACTACTAAGCAATCTATGAATAGAAGTAGCGCAACACATTACAGCTTTGCATACTAAAATACTGTAGACGAAATGCCCTACCTACATTCTTAACAGATCATGCAGTGAACGTCATCTGGTCCATCTGGGCACATCGATAGGTCGAAAACACGCCGACATCCTTTGAAACAGGGTATTGCATGAGTGTTAACAAAATGAGGCCTCGTTGTGGTAATGGAGCCCGATAGGCGCTCAAGCGTGCGCCTGTGATGACTTTCGAACTTTAAGAATCTGAGTGACCAGACCCGCTTGGTTAAATCTTTCCTATTGAGGCCACCACAACCGCTCGTGCAGGCTATGTGACCATTCCTCTCAGGTTTGCATGTCCCAAATTGATGCACCATCTCATGCATATATGCCAGTCGACTGAATGAGCATACATTGTTCATATAGAGCTACTGAGGCAAGCACATACTCAAATCATGCTGCATCCACGGTTTTCACAATCCTCAAAACCCACGCTGTCGAGCCGTGTCTTCACAACTCAATAATCCCGTACCATTGATAGTTAACACTTTCGGTACACAGTCCTTCTCCATTACAATCCCGGCTTGTCTCAAGTCCTGTTCTCATCGTACACATCGTACTTATACTGGCTTCCGGTGTGGTCGGCCCTTAGTCCCGATTGTCCCTTTCCATACACCTTTTCTCTGGCAGTCAGCCCTTCCTCTTCCGGCTGAGAGTAAATTCCTCTCTTCCTCAACTCCGGCACCAAGAGATCCACAACATCCTCGAAGCTCCCCGGGGTCGTGACATATCCAATGTTGAACCCATCAACATCAGCTTCTCGTACCCACCGCTCGAGTTCGTCAGCCACGGTCTGCGGACTCCCGACACTCACAGGTCCCAGTCCTCCAATCGACGCCTTTTCAGCTATTACCTTGGGCGTCCACTCCGGTACCTCCGGCGATGTGACGGTGAATTGATCCAGTAGACTCCTCACTCGATGATCCGTAGTTGCGTCATCAGCAGTCAGAATCTTGTCCGGCGGGTACTGACTCAGATCAATGCCAGTCCAGCCAGACACGAGCACCAGACCACCAATCTCACTAGCGTACTGCCTCAGCTCTTCGTACTTCTGCTGTGCCTCCTCGTCCGTCCTTCCCAGGATAGGAGTGAAAGTTGCAAAGAACTTGATGCTTTGCGGGTCACGACCCTTCTCTTTGGCCAGCTCGCGGATCTTTTCAATCTTGGGTTTGAGTACGACTGGGGAGTGGGAAGACACGAAGATGGCTTCTGCATGGTTTGCAGCAAACTCACTACCTGCTGAAGAGGTTCCAGCTTGAAAGAGAAAGGGTGTGCGCTGCGGCGAGGGATCGACGATGTGTCTGCTCTCGAGATGGAAGAACTTCCCATTATGCTTGATAGTCCGGATCCGATCGGGGTCGATATACTCATCGTTTTTCTTGTTCTCGGTGATAGCGTTATCTGCCCAACTGCCTTCCCAAAGCCTTCCATCTCGTCAGTCCAGCCATTGTAATACGCAGGTATGCACTGAAGAAGACTCACTTGTAGAGAACTCGCAGATACTCATCTGCCTGCGCATACCTCTCATCATGCTCAATCGGATTCTCCAACCCAATCGCCTTGAACGCTGCTTTCTTCCAGCTCGTGACAATGTTCCACCCAAATCTCCCGCCAGTCAAATGATCCAGCGTACTGAACCTCTTCGCCAGCAAAAACGGCGGCTCAAAACTCGTGCTTGCAGTAACCGCAAACGCAAGGTTCTTCGTCACAGCGGCCATGGCTGAGATCGGAATCGTGGGATCTGTCATAGGCCATTGCGCGGCTCGGCGGATGCAGTTGTCGAGGGAGTCCTCGTAGGTATCGTATCCGCCGTATGTATCGGCGAGGAAGAGTGCGTTGATACCGCCGCGCTCCAGCAGCTTGGCAAGATTGATCCAGTAGTCGAGTTTGCGCTTGGTTGCAGATTTGTCTTTGGGGTTCTTCCATTGGCCGGGAGAGAGGTGACCGACTGTGCTCATGTCGAACGCATTGATGAGGATCTTTTTCTTTGAAGAAGTACCGCTGACAGTTGTCGGTTCATTGTTTTTTGATGTTAGTTCGGTCATGGTGGCAGATGTGGTTGTGATGCCGCAGGCAAGATGCGAACAACGGCGTTTGTTTTTGTATAATCTGTGTCGAATAGTGTAGAAGGTGTTTTATAACCCTTGTGGCCAGTTTCCACATAACATGATCCCGCCATGTTGGTATTCACAGTCGCTATCGTTTGATGTGGAGAATCGTAATGCAGGACGGTAATTGCGCCATCGTGAAAGCCGTGAGCCGAAGTCGCAACTCGCTGTGGGGTAGCTGCACTCATCATGTCATACGCGATGTCGGAGGTCTTCATGGGTGTGATCCTGTATGTAGGCCTCCAACGTGGTGTGAATTTTCAAGTTTCAGTGGAGCACGGCTTGTTGAGAGTGCCACGGTACATAAGGCTTGAGCGGTAAAGAGCGCACTAACTACGGGCATCACGGATTGATGACGTCTGCACAAGAATTTGTCCAGAAGTCCCAGAGTCATGAGCAGCTTATACAGATATATGCAAACATGAGACTTCCGTTTATATTTGGAGTTCACAGTGTGTGCTTTTTAGTTGTCATCTAGATGCGTTAGGCCTTTCCCAGCCGTGTCCAAAGATTCCAAAGGTAGTGAAGCCACGTGGTTTCCGACGAGGGCGGAATAAATAGTACAGGAGGCTGAGCAAGATATTCTTCGCTCTATGAGACTCAGGCTGGACCTTCTGTAACGGGCAAAATCTTTGGGTTATGCGCATGGACCGTCTCTTGAATTGAGCCTACGCTTTCGTCGTCCGACACAGCTCCTTGCTTGCTATGTCTAGAATCAGTAAAAAGGCACGCGTGTGTTGAGTAACGTGACATACCTTGGTTTCTTCTTGATATACGCTTTGATGACGTGTGCCAATATGATCAGACAGACAGCGTTCGAAAGCACGAAAGCCCATCCTTTTGGAAACCTGGGCCCCTCCACGGTTTTGAAAACCAAGAGTGGAGTCCACGCAGTGGTAGACTGCGCCAAAGTATTGGCAAGCACCAACGCAACTGCTCGTTCTGCTGGCGAATAGCTAAGTTGGCTGTTGATCCATCCATACAATACGCTTGACATAGCCACAGCTGAGTATGTGGTCATGAAAGCAAACCATATGGCTGGCTCCGGCAGGTCCCAGATGGTGAGAATTATAACACCGATGATGTTCCAGATATGAGAAACTGTAATAGCCCACGCAGGTCCTAGAAACAAATCCGAAGCGAAGCAAACGGCCAGCGTGTAGAAGATTCCCAGACCTGGCGGAATAGCACCCAATTCGTTGATCCGTGACTTAGAGTACCGATTTAAACTCTTCAGCCATAACAAGTAGCCTCCGGACGACGTGTTGAGGGAACCATTCCAGAAAAAGACATCTAGCAACAGGAAGGCCCAAACGAGTGGTGATTTGGCGATCTTGACAAACGTCTGAATGGTAACGTCGCCCTTCACACTGTGACCAGCCCGCTGCAGTCTGTGTTTCGCGAGCTCGACGTCGTGATCGGTCAAAACGAGTTTGTTGGGCTTCTCAGGCGTACCAGGAAGGACGCACAGTCCAAGAAGACCGATGGGGATGGTGATGATAGCGCATATGATATACATCCACCGCCATCCAGCCAGACCGTGGACGCCATCCAACCGTGATGTCGCCCCAGACTGGATCAAAGCTGCAGTGAGGGTACCCAGGGTCAGGCCAACGTAGAAGAAACCACCACGACGACCAATCTCGTCGCCACGGTACCAAGAACCTGATATGCGGTAAGCTATAGTTCTTTGCGATAGACAGCGTACTTACCAAAGATGTAGTGAATAGCGGGGAAGAAGGCAGCCTCGAACAAGCCCACCAAGAACCTGTACGCTGCCAACTCTGCAAACGAGTGTACTCGGTATTGAAGCAGGGTGAATATACCCCAAGCTACATCAAGGAACGGTATCAGGTAGAACATGGGAATGCGTGTGAACAGGTACATGAACGGCAACTGGCCAACTACTGTCCCCACCACATACATTGTCTGGAGGCGCACCAGCTCATTTCCTTGAAAGCCAAGGTCTTCTTTGAGGCCAGCTACGTAGGCGTTGTCTGCGTCGGTCAATTGCTGAATATTCAAGTGCGCGTAGAACTCACTGATGTTGGCTTGATCAATGTACTTGACCCAATAGGCCAAGAATACATAAGGCACGATTAGAAAATCAAGTTTCGCAATCAGCTTACGCTCCTCTGGCGTATCATAGTCCTGAAACCAACGTATCTGGTACCATTTGCGGTCCTTGCTTGGTATAGACATTGGGACTGGACGACGTTAAGCTCTTCGATACCTCATCGCATTGCATGCGTTATTGCAACCTTATGTATGTCCACACTCGCACAACTTGGTCCCAGCGCAGAAACAAGGCTGATGTTAACTTTGTGCGCAACTCATGCCGAGCTCTAGACTCACGCCAGATAATCTCAACGCTGAGCATGGACAGGGTAGTGAGCACGACAGCCAAGCTGGCTGCCACATGGCGAATACCGTCAACCTGTGGGGTGAAGGCGTGATTACCATTATCATGCCGAGCTGCGATGGCGGAAGATCAGGCAGACGCCGAATACGGATGGACAACGGATACGGCACGGAAGTTTATCAACAGACCAGTCAGCCGACCTATGATGAAGGCTTCCTACCTTCTAACTATTCGTCGTTGCAGAAGGCACGCTGACGACCCTTCCTTTTCGTATTTCCCTAAACTAGTCCCAATCGAGATGGCCTCCCGCGTTATCCCCGATACCGACACACTCGGAAAGACGTCACCATCAACAACCTCAACGCGCCGCGTTGCGCAACTGACAGACCATCTTGCTCCTGTGAGCGAGACGGAGCAAGTCAATACTCGACCGCCCTTGCCAATCAATTATCCTGTTTCAAACTTGCAACTTGATCCCCAACGCCACATCGACGATGTTCGGTCGTTGAAAGTTGCAGTTATTGGAGTAAGTTCGCCCGACTTCGCAATTACAAGAAAACCTCTGATAACGCGTAGGCTGGACTAGCTGGTATAACTGCCGGTATCTTGCTTCCGGCCAAAGTTCCTGGTGTCCAGCTGACGATCTTCGAGAAGAATGAGGATGTAGTAAGTCAGGCGCACCTCAATTTTGTTGACCCAAACTAACGGTTATCAGAGTGGCACATGGTTAGAGAATACCTACCCAGGTGGTAAGTCAGGCGCCCTTATATGTTTTCCTCCAAACTAATAACCATTAGTACGCTGCGATATACCAGCCCACGTCTACCAGAGCACGTTTTCGCCTAATACGCAATGGTCAGAGATCTTTGCTAAAGGTGCCGAGATTCGCGACTACTGGCAAGCAACAGCCAAGAAGTATGACGTTTACAAATACGTCAAATTACAGCACCGTGTCGATGATGCGGCGTGGGATGACGTGAACTCTAAGTGGATTTTGAAAGTGCAAGACCTCACCAACAACACTTCAAGCCAAGAGGACTTTGACTTTGTCATCACAGCAATTGGGCGCTTCAACGCCTGGAAACTGCCAGATTATCCAGGGCTGGACACCTACAAAGGGCATCTACGGCACACATCGAATTGGGACCCATCTTACGATCCGACGGGCAAAACGGTCGCGGTTATTGGCAACGGAGCAAGCGGTCTTCAGATAGTACCGCATCTGCAGCGAATTTCTAAGCACGTCACTCACTTTGTACGGAATCCCACTTGGATTGCCACATCGTGGGCTGGAGATGAAAGGACCTTCGATCCTCAGCCATACACTGCTGATCAGCGAGAGTCGTTCCAAGATCCAGAGATGTACCTCAAGTTCCGCAAAGATATCGAGGAGAAGTACTGGCGACGCTTCAAAGCCATGGTACGAGGATCGGAGGAGAACGAGGGAATCCGAGAGACCTTCATCGAGGTGATGAAAGCGCGAGCGGCGAAGAAACCCGAGCTACTAGACGGTCTAATTCCAGAGTTCGCGCCGCATTGCCGAAGGTTGACTCCAGGGCCAGGCTATCTCGAGTCACTCACTGAGGAGAATGCTGAGCTGGTCAAGGCACCTATCAAGGCGTTCACACCCACTGGCATCGAGACCGTTGATGGCAAGACATACCACTTCGATGCTATCTTTTGTGCTACAGGTGCCAATACCAATCTGGTACCACCATTTCCTATCAAAGCACGAGGAATCGACTTGAATAAGGCGTGGAAGCCCGATGGTGAGTTTGGGTTTCCTTACACGTACCTGGGCACTGCGACTCCAGGATTCCCAAATTTGTTCTTCTTGGCTGGACCGCACGCCACAGGCCCATCTGGAACGGTACCACAAGCTGTAGAGACAGCGCTCACGTTCTTTGCAAAGATATTGCGGAAAGTCTCCTCCCAAGGCATCAAGTCAATCACACCTTCCAAGGAGGCTGCAGACGACTTTGTTGACTATTGCGATGCGTTCTTTCCGAGCACGGTTCTGACCGATAACTGCTCATCGTGGAACAACGGAGGGCTGCCCGGACAGAGGATACATGGCTTGTGGCCGGGCTCTGCTGCTGGTCTCACGCTTGTCAGGCGCGATCCTCGCTGGGAGGATTGGGAATATGAGCGCTATAACAAGCAGAATCGTTTCGCATATTTTGGCAACGGATACACGAAAGGAGAAACCGATGAGACTGCTGATCTGACCTCATATCTCAAAGCACCCGGTCAAGAGTTGGATCTGAAAGACGTCCACGAGAGCTGGTGGGATCTGCCGGGTGCTATCAAGAAGTCCGCCTAGACTTAGACCCCAGCTCCTACTACAACTTCGTAAATTCAGTACAATTACACTCAGCATTTGACCCTCACATTTCCGGGCATTTCTTGGTATGCTTCGTCAGAAGCCACTCCATACTAGTCGGCAATTGATGCTCTTTCAGAAGTAACTCAACTCGGCAACTCCGTCGAGGCATTGCGTGGCCACTAGCATACATACAAGATGCTCGGGATTACGACATATATTCTGCCGAAAACGTCAGCGTACTCTCGCTTGAATCAGTTGCTTGATGTTCTTATCTGCTTGTGGTAATTCGCAAAGTACAGGGGGAATGGCGTGCTACCCCATCAAAACACCAACCTCAACAACTTACCGCAGAAGACCCGCATGGATATCTAACTGCAGTTGGGTTACGTTTGGGCTTGCGAAAGAGTCTGGAAACATCCTGTCCGAATACCGGAGCCATGGTACACGGAATCGCATGTTTCCCGCGTGGAGATTGACACACGGGTGCATGCTTACAAGCTTCTGGTTTACGGTGACTTCGGTACTTGTTAACCCTTTGTGAATGCCTCCGGGCCCAGAAGTGTATTACAAGACTTGCAGACTATATGAAAGTGAATCCTTCCGCATAGTATCCTGATCTTCACACGCACGAGAAGAAACAGTCAACATGGCTACACAAGATTCATCTCTGGAATCTGGCAGTGACGTTGAAGTGGAGAGGCGCGATTATCCAAGTACGTACCCGCCAGACCTGCTTTGTTAACATTGTAAAACTGACACTTTCAGCAAAATGGTACCGAAGTACGTTCTTCAACATGACTGTCCTCGGGCTTTGCAACTTCTCGGCTCCTGGAATATGGGGAGCGATGAACTCCCTCGGAGCTGGAGGAGCTCAGTCGCCCCATCTAGTCAATGCCGGCAACGCCCTCACTTTCTGCTTGATGGTGGTTAGTTGCTACTTCAGCAGTGCGATCGTGCACTACATCGGTATCAAAGGAGCACTCATCTTTGGAACGTAAGTTAGGTCGAAACATGTCCTGGTCTCCACTAAGCTTTCAATAGTATCGGCTATGCTCCCTACGCAGCAGCTTGTAAGCTCCAGAGCCCCGAACCACTTATCACATGCTAATGGAGTACAGTGTACACGAACAACCGCTTCGGAACAGAGTGGTTCATCTACCTTGGAAGCTCGCTGTGTGGTATCTCTGCAGGCGTTTTCTGGATGGCTGAGGCTGCCATCGCCATTGCGTACCCTGAGCCCTGGAACAAAGGTAAAGCACTCGGTTATTGGCTGACCTTTCGTCTTGCTGGCCAAATCCTCGGTGGTGCCATCAATCTTGGACTCAATGCAGATCGCGATCAAGCGGGCAGCGTGTCGTACACAGTCTACCTGGTCTTCATCGCGCTGCAGTGTATTGGGCCGTTCGTTGGTTTGTTCTTGAACAAGCCCAGCAAAGTCCAAAGGAAAGATGGCAAGAAGGTCGACTTGACCATCTTGGACAACCCGTGGTTCGAGATCAAGGCTACGACAAAGCTTTTCTTCACGAAGAGGTTTTTACTCACAGTTCTGTGGATTGGACAAGCCGTCTTTTCAGAAGCTGTTTACTTCACTTACTTGGCTTGTAAGTGAAACTCTTCGTGAAAGTCTTCAGCACATCTAATACGTCCTCAGTGTGGTTCTCTGTCCGTGCGCGCGCCCTGGGCTCCTTCTTGTCCGGTCTTGTGGCCGTGATATGCGGTAATCTTCTGGGTAGCTACCTAGACAGAACCTCTATCCCACTGCGCATTCGCGCTCGCAGCACATTCTGGTTTATCGCTGTCCTCCAGGGTGCCTGGTGGTTATGGGCCACGATCCTCGTCACCGAGTTCCGCTCGACTCAGCCTACATATGACTGGTCCTCGGCAGGTTTCGGTCGCGGCTTCGCCGTCTTCGTCTTTTTAACAGTCGGCTTCCAGTTGAACTATCTTTTCTTATACTTCTTCATCGGCCAACTTGCGGAAAGTGAGCCCGAGGTCATTCGATATGCTGCACTGCTAAGAGGCACCGAGTCTGCATGGCAAGCAGTTAGCTATGGTGTCACTTCAGTGACCGTGTTCGCTGAAGTTGGAGCCGTCTACTGGAACTTTGCGCTTTGGGCTGTTGCTATTTGGCCAGCCTGGCTAGTACTAAGGGAATTTGGTGATGAGAAGAAGACGTTCGAGGATGAAATTGATGCTAAGAGTAGCATACCGACGAGCTCGACTGTTGTGCATCCGCAACAGGGAAAAACAGACTTGGACTAATTGGTATCTAGTATTGACAGGGGCGTGCAGGGCAACGGAATAGTTTAGGACATGGAGAGAGAACTGTACGCAAAAAACGCTTTACGCAGCAGCGAAGCAGATGACATCATTCACAATGGGTTGCAAGATTAGGGTAGTAAATCTTTCGATTTTCCAGAAAGCTTGTTGTATGTTGATGGTTTATTATTCACAATGTAACAGTGCAGAATATGCATAGGATCGCATCGCCAAATTAAGGCAGAACAGCTACAAGACGGCCTCCACTGATCTCTCTTCTCCTCATTCTATCCAGATCCTCATTGATAGCACCGAAACCTTTCACGGTTCCAACGACATCTGGTGGCACCAATAATCCCTTAACAAGCAGTCTCTCACACCAAGCACTCAGCGCTTTACCCACCTCAGGAATCTCGTGGAAGAGTTTGATCGGCACATTGTGAAGTGTCACATCTTCGGGTATGCCGGGCTTTGGTAGTCTGGTCAGTCCGACAAGATGTGACCGAGGACCATCTTCCGATAGCTCCAATGGTGTCGATGGAGGAGTTAGAAGTTTCGAGTCTTTCCGTTCGTAGTTCTGCGCGTCTTTTGACAGTGAAGAGATAGGTGAGGTCGAAGATACCAGCGATCGCAAAACGTGGGCGGCAGACTATTTGCCTTGCGTGTCAAAGCCGAATCTTGCGCTATCCTTCGTCGCCCGCTTGATGATATCGAACGCTGTCTCGGGGTCATGCGAGTCCACAAGAAGATCTGGACGTGTAGTCGCGTTCGTAGACAGAAGTACCCCGTGCTTCGCGCTGTCAACGACAGAAACGATCTTTAATCCAGCCAGCCTTGCGATGTGTTTCGTAAGATGAGCGCTGGTGGAGCTGCCGCCCCAGATAACAAGGTAGTCTCCAGCTTGAGCTCGATCATCCTCGCTTATACCTTCGATGCACTCCCTTCTTATGTCCGCCGGTAATCTCTCTGATTCGATGCTGCGCACGATCTTGAGTAGATCTGGACCATTTTCGATACTTTCAAAACTGACTCCCATACCTATGCCTAGAGCCAATACTGCTGATACGAAGGCTACGCCTAGAATGCTCCCAGACTCCGCCGACACGTTGTGAGGCAGACGTATAGTGTTGAAGATGACACGACGCTGTATTTTTGGAACGCAGCCTTTCGCAGGTCGCGGTAATCCGTGGAAGGGATAGTCACAACATCGCCTTCGCGGACGCGAGAATTTTGGGCCTTCGGTGCTTTCACGACTACGCCTGAAAGTTCACGACCGGAGACATAAGGTATGACTGGGATGCCAAAGTTGTAGTCACTGGCCGGCTGTTAGTTCGAAATATTACGTGCCTGGGGCAGCATCGAGACTTTGATCCGTGAAAGGGGTGTTGTGTACTTACGGTGCTGTCCAGTCCATTGGGTTCAGGCCTACAGCGGTAACCTTGACCAGCAACTCGGAGTCCTGCTGTATCTCTGGGACAGCGTGATCAATCGTCACTTCATATGGTTGGCGGATCGCGTGTAGTAACAATGCAGATTGCTGCTCAGGTCGCGGTGTGTCAATCCTATTGCACTGGAATTGATCCCGCACGTCATCTGCAATGGTTTACGTTTTGAGTTCTGCGGGAGCCTTCGAAATGCTCTTGAGTCGCCATCGCCACGGAGCCATAATGACCTGAGTGTGAAAAGATAGAAAGAGCCTCGGTTTCAGACAATCAAGATGGCTACAATAGAGCTGGAAAAAGTTGAAGTTTAGATTGGATGGCCAAGGATGTGACTGCAGCTCAGCGGCCTTGTCCGACGTACTTCAAGCGCAACCCCGGATAGCCGACTTCGTCATTTCGCAGAGTAGTCAGCGAAGGAGCTAGTGTGCAGCTGCATGCACATCTCCCTCGCCCGCCTCGGTGTTTACGGCTTCTTCGCGGGGACTGTTCTGTCGGCATTGTGGAGTCCAATGGCGTGGTCATCGTTAAGGTGGAGAAGGCCCGTGACAGGCCGCTAGAGCCTGACTACAATGTGGGTAATTTAGGAACTTAAGTACCCTTGTGCCAGGGACGAAACGCGGTACGAATCCATGGTCGAGTCGTCGATGCTGATTTGCGTTGAGGTCGGGAGATAAGCGATTGCGTGAATACAGACCAAATCACACCATTTTGCCCCATCGAATCGAAGCAACATCAAGCGCGACATCGGATTCATATCTACCTATGCATGCTTCAGTAAGCACAGGATAACTGAAGTTGAGAGCACGACATTTTCTTGGGAACATACGGAATCATGGCACCTCCAAAGAAATGGATAGTGAATGCGTTCGTGGAAATGTGTAAGCACGTGACCGCGCGTCAGCCCCAGCCCAACCTTCGAACGTCATAATCTTCAGACGCGACACTTCCCCGCTTGACGGACATATCCTTCTATTTGCATTGGTGGACGATGAACTGACGTGAAGAGGAACCAATAGGCAGTGGCCACCAGTCACCTGGACTATGGAGACATCCGGAAGATCACTCGCACGAGTTCGGCGACGTTGAGCACTGGGTCGAGCTTGCGAAGTTGCTCGAAGAGGCCAAGTTCCATGGCATCTTTATCGCGGATGTCCTCGGTGGCTATGATGTGAGTTCCGAAAGGAAGGAAATGTATTAAGGCTGTGATCTAACAAGTAAGGTTTACAACGGCAACCTCGATGCTGCAAAAATCTCTGGCGCGCAATGGCCTGTCAACGAGCCGCTTAGTGTTGTGAGCGCCATGGCAGCTGCGACTAAGAGCATCGGTTTCGGTGTGACAGTATCGACGACATACGAACAGCCTTATCATCTGGCTCGTAGGTTATCGACCGTTGATCACCTCTCTAAAGGACGGTATGTTCAGGCCATCTGTCTTACTCAAGACAACAGCTAACAAGCCAGCCTGGGATGGAACGTACGTAGCGCTGGTAACTATTGCCCGGTGCGAAACTAAGGTATATGCAGATTGTAACGAGTTACCTTGATTCGGCTGCTCGTAACATGGGCTTCAAAGAGCAGATCGCAGTAAGTGCCCACGGCAAGTGAGAAGGAATGGGGCTGACCTCATCAGCATGACGAACGATATGCCCAAGCTGAGGAATATGTGAAGGTGATGTACAAGCTCTTCGAATCGTCCTGGAGAGACGATGCAGTCGTTCTTAATCGTGAAAAGGGGGTGTACACCGTTCCAGACCGAGTTCGTGAGATCAACCACAAAGGCAAGTACTTCACGGTACCTGGGCCCCACATTTGCCAGCCAAGCCCACAGCGCACTCCGCTCCTGCTCCAAGCCGGTACCTCCAAAGCTGGCAAACAGTTTGCAGCGCAGAGCGCGGAAGCCATTTTCGTCAGCGCTTTCAGCCCCTCAGGTAAGTCCAGAGATCCCTCAATCATACCCGCAGCGAGCTGAAAGCTGGAATGCAGTACCTGCAAAGAGCATTGCAGAAATTCGAGAGCTGGCGAGAACGCAACATGGGAGGAATAGCAACAACATCAAAGTTCTCGCGTTGGTTACCCCGATCATTGGCCGGACTGAGGACGAAGCTCAAGCCAAGCTGGCCGACTATCGCAAGTATGCATCGCTTGATGGCGCTCTGGCACTGTTCTGCGGTTGGACAGGCATCGATCTCGGCAAGTACGGCGATGATGAGGAGCTCCGTCAGGTCGAGAGTAACGCTGTGCGATCGACCGTAGAGGCATATGCAAAGTTCTCTCCCGGTACATCCAAATGGACGAAGCATACGGTTGCCGAACATGTAAGCATCGGTGGGAATGGTCCTATCATTGTAGGTACGCCGGCTCAAGTCGCAGACGGACTCCAGACGTGGGTCGATGAGGCTGATGTCGATGGTTTCAACTTCGCGTACGCCTTGTTCCCGCAGTCCTTCAAGGATATAATCGAGTTGCTACTGCCAGAATTGAAGGCGAGAGGGTTGTTTTGGGACGACTATGCTGTTCCTGGAGGCACATACCGAGAAAACTTCTACGGAAAACCAGGGCAGAAGGGTCCGCTTGACGAGCACATTGCGTCGACATACCGTTGGAAAGCGGGGGTTAATGCTAAAGACCACGTCATCCCTGAATGAACGGTGGCGTCTAACGACGTTGTAGTCGGATTCAAAAGATTGGATGACGACCGACGCGTCTCGACGCGTCGGTAGAAAATGACAGCATCGCTCGATTAGGTTACCGTGTCCGTGCGCGTAATGCGCGGATTCGCGTATTGCACCCATACTTCACAGTACAATTACTCAACGCCACAATGACTATGAAATCTGCCTTTGAAGAGATAGACTCTATGATACCATGCGATAGGATCTCGTGGACAGCGCTGGCTATAAAACATAAGGTTGTGCGCTCAACTCTGTCTCGAAAATATCTGTCACGGGTATTTCCCCCTTACATGTACCGGCCAGCCCTCGGACAGGCTCCGGAGCTGGGCCGGAGGCTCACGAGCTACCTAAATATATTCCTCACGAACCTTGAGGCTCAGCCATTAAAGATTCGTCTAATCTCATCCCATTTGGCCCCAGACGGCCCGATCCATCCTGAGTCTGGTTGCCTGCTACTCGTGTGACAAAATAAGCCGCACTCGCGAAGAGTGTGATTCTGCCAACCGAGATAATCGCACAACACCACACAATATAAAAAATATAAAAACACGGGATTGTAGGGAATATCTTATTTTATAGTTCTGTGTTTTTCTAAGAATTAATCTCAAGTCGTTGTTGCGTGGTGTCGTGGCAAAGAGTGCAACCTTGTTGGTGTTCCTCGACTTTTGGCTGGTTTAGAGTGCAGCTTTTTCTGTCACCCGAGGTGCCTGCCTACAGTGACCTCACATCCCGCCTGTCAACAGTGACGCCAAGAAGCCTGTCTCAACAACATTTAGACCCGTGAGTCTCCTCACCCTGCCTACACCACACCACCCACCTCCAGCCGATCAAGAAGCAGTTAGAGAACCTGGGGGTGAGGAAATTGAACAATCTGGGGGTGACAATGACAATCTATCAATCAACCCGGCAGCTCCAACAACACCGCCACCACCTACTCTGCAAGCCCGTTGTCCCAAGGCACCACGCCACCTGGACATATCCGCTGCCGTAGAAAACCGCAACATTATTGATGGTCCTCGGAAGCGATGTCCCACAAAGAAGACAGCCGCCGCAATTGCCCTCTACAACCCACATATCCCAGTTGCTCTCGCACGTTGTTTTGCAACGGCAATTGCTCAGGCCGCATTGGCCACGCGGTTCCCAGTTTCCACCCGATCCAGTCAGCGGCAAGCAAGCCCGTCAACACATCTACTCCAAGGACTGGCTCTTCGCTGAGGCGGAGGAGTACAAGTCTCACAATGATAATGGGACGTGGGACATTGTTATCATCCTCCCACCAGGTATGCGAGCACTGCCAACAAATACCGTGGTTTCCTGGTGAAGAATCTCCAGATGATTATGGTATTTTCAAAATAACAGGCTTTGGAACGGCCCAGTTAAGCAGAGATTGCTTCCGGTAAGGTATCTCACCAAAGTTGTTGACATATCGATCCCCGGAACATGAGATTACGGAAAGCTTCAGTCCAGCATGCGATGTGTGGGCGCTCCGCTGCGTGTATTTCGATTTTGTCGTTTAGTACCTTGGTGGACTTGCCCTGATCGAGTCTTTCATCACTGAGCGTCTGGAGACAAACCGCAGCCTAGGTATGCCGAGCGACACATTCTTCATAATCATTGAGGAAAGAGCGCTTGAGATTGCGTACGTGAGAAAGTCGGTAACTAAGGTACGTTGAATCCTCGTAGGATAGAGATTTCGTACTGACACTACTATAGATAATCGACCGCTTGTATTTGCATCCATCTTGCACACCATATCTGCAATACCTCCTCAGAACCATTAAGACAAAAATGCTTGTTGTACACCATGATTTGGACAATGCCGAAGATCTTGCTCTTCAACAGTCAACTTCCAATTCGCTCCTTGTTCCCGATCAACCTCGAGTCAAGAGAAGTAGCTCTGGAGCTATCTTCCAAGCATTGGTCGACATAGCGCAGAGATGGGATGGAGGCTAAGCAAAACCAACTTACTGCCTTCTAAGGCCCTTGTGGGGGTTTCTTATTCCGCATTCTATGCTCTATTGTCAGAAGGAGGTTTTCTCCGGTGGGCAACAATAGAAAGGAGCGCCCCAAACGTGGCAATCTCGACAAATATAAAGGGGGCTTTTGCACCATGCTGGAATTTGTAATCGTTCCTCCTCCAAGCTGTACTCGCCTTGCAGTGGAGACGAAGCCTAAATCACAAAAGTTAGCACACAGCATTTTGCTATGACTGGTGCGCTTGCATTTTCCCTCGCCTCAACCTGATGGCCCACACGCCATCGACCGCAAATATTGTAAAGAATGAGAACACTAGACTCCCTCCAAAGACCAGACTGTGGTACGTCCAAGAATCCTTTGCATTCAGATCGACGACCTGACGCACAATCGCCCAGGGTATCACATATAGTATGTTCGAAGCAAATGACTGGTACAAATAACATCTTGGTCACGTCAACACTAGAATCGCAGCAAGCCGTGTCGAGACACCTTAAGGGATGTAGCATCAATCGATCGTCCGCCACGTACGCGCTGCAACCTTCGCTACCTCGTTTGAACCGGAAAAGTAGCGGGCAAAGGGTTGTGCGCCGAAGAAAGACATCAGGAGACAGTGTAGAATCTTGAAGAAAAGGTGTAAGCAAGGGGCGGCACTAGTATTGGGTCTCATGTATGAGTGTATTATTGTGTATATGTACAAGTGTGTGATCTGAGCTCGAAAGTGGTCGAACGCATTATTCTTGCCTGCAGAGCAGTCTTGTGATGTGGTCCTGCGCTTACAAAAGGACGATGCAAACGGAGTAGAAAGCCCCGAACAATGTACCCGGGGAAGTTGACATGTTGTACTGCATGCCAAGTCTTGCTTTGACGAGGCTGAAATTCAGGCGCTAGTGGAGGCCAGAAATACGTCGTATCAATGACGAATCAGCCTCAAGGCACGCAATCAATCATCACGGCGTGTCGGGACTCGGGACTCAGGAGCGCCGCACCGGGACACTGGTGTTGTTGCTAGCGGTTAACGCAGCGATTAGATTCGACTGCGCCCCCTTGAAGCATACTGTCAATGGGGAGAAAGTGAGCAGAATCGTGATGTACTAGCAGCTATCTACATGGTGTTTATCTACCTGGAAAGAGCTGTGGGCGCTAGCCGGAAAGAGGAAGGCGCAGAGCCTATGAGAGGCGGGAGGCAGTGAAGGTGCCTGGCTGACACATACAAAGCATAAATCAGCATGACGCGGCTTGCTCATCATCAAATACCCGTTTCCGGGGTCTTATGGGCTGGTCGCAGACTCTTGCTTCCAGTGGCTGGGCTTCTACCTGCCGGATACAGGAAAATTAAGGACATTTCTGGCAACCGGACAGGAGACAGCAAGTTCTCCCGTCTGATCTGCAGTCTGTCAAGGTACTGTTTCAGGGTCTCCGTTATTTAAAACCTGCTAGTAATAGACAAAGTGGACGAGTTTAAACGGTGCTTAGGTTCTTTACAGTTAGTGCTGCTACTACCGTTTTGAGGATGCCGTAGTACGCCTTCCTGTTTTTGGTAACTACGCCACTTAACGAGCTAAGCTCTATCTATACCAATTTGTTCTCTCTTCGAGGCATAAACACTGAAATGAAGACAAGAGTCTAGTCTGTGTGCTTCACAACATGCTGACCTCCGACATGCTGTTGACTACTATGTCCTGCCGGCGCCTCCCTTCTTGTTCGTGGTTGTTGGCTCCTTCCTGCTGGCTCCACGCCGCTCCGCCTCAACAACAGCCAACACGCAGTAGTGACAGATTGAACACATCTTCTCCTTTACAGATATGACCAAAAGGAAAGCTGGCAGAGCGATCGATCGCGAGGAATTCAAAAAGCGCGCTCGTCAAGAGATAGCGCCTCAGCCTTCTAGCCCTGAGGATATCAAGAGGGCTCTGATCAAGTCCAGCCATGATTCTTACAGATTTACAATGGAGCAATGGTCGAAGTAAGCCGCAACTCACCCTTTCTCACCGGCAGCTACAGATTCTTGTTTGATGTGATACCGTTCTTCAGCCACTTCTCTCTCCTATCCTCTATCGCAGCAGAAAAAATACAACTGTTGAAGGCATGCCGGCAACCATGTTGTGCGATGCATCGAAGACCGCTTTGCCTTCTGACTCTGCTGTAGCGCCGCCATCAAAACATTTTCCAGTTCTGGAATGCTAATCTGATAGGGTTAGCCTAGACGCACATTGTCCCAAATTGCAAAGACGATCAGATGTTGCAAGTGTAATCACCGAGGCTGTATCCGTCTTATGGGCACCTGCCCTTAGCGCTGTGTGCTTTGGCAGCTGGCTCTAGCGTGCTTATGTGGATGTAAGGAGACCAGCAAGGCGGAATGTATTATATTTGACGCTATGTCTGATCAGCTCGAATTGTGGCGCTCTTCCAGAAGCTTCCGTGGGAGCGCCACATGCTAGTAGCACCTCAGAACGTGGCCTCTTTCGAATCTGTGTCTTCCCTTACTTCCAGCGGCTGCCGGCATCAATGCATTTAAGATGCATCGAGTGATGTCAGTCCATAAATTTATTTGTGTAGTTGTCGACGACGTTGCTAGCCAGGCGTCGCTGCAAGATACATTGCAGTTATAGTTCATTGATCTATGACCGCGTCTCCATTGCTCCACTGATCGCATCGGGTCGGCCCTCTTGTGCTCCATTAAACCAAACCTGGACGTTGAGGAGTGGGCTGCCTTAGCCGCTGTCAGCCTGGCGGCTAGACTCTGGCGCGTACTGTCAACCGCGTGTGCCTTTCTTCGGGCCCTGCCATCTCAACCTCTCATGCCAATGACATGGCTAAACCCACCAGACTCAGCTTGTACCAACGCTACGGTTCGCTATAGCCTAATAGGTTTGCCAGAGACTATACAGCCTTTCGTGCGTCGTCCTGCGCTCGCTGACATTCGGATGCAATAGAGCAATAGGGCGCCGCACGCTCTCGTTACCAGGCTGCCGCGTGAAGTCTCTCGGGCCTTGCTGCTATCGCACGCGCCCACCACATGTTCACACGTAAAGATGCGGCTCTTATACTACGGCGAAGATGGGGAGCTTAGTGTCACTGCCGACTTGGTTAGAGAAGACGCGACCCCTTATTACGCGATTCTGTCTCATACCTGGGGAGCGGACGATGAAGAGGTGACCTTTGATGATCTTACAAAGAACGCAGGGAAAAACAAGCATGGCTACAGGAAGATCCAGCTGTGTGGAGAGCAGGCACAGCGCGACGGCTTGCAGTACTTCTGGGTAGACACGTGCTGCATCAACAAAGCGAACAAGGCTGAGCACTCGCTGGCCATCCGGTCTATGTTTCGTTGGTACCGCAACGCAGCTCGTTGCTACGTCTACCTACCGGACGTGTTTGTCTCACCTCTCGGAGATGAGGGACAAGCTCGCCCGCCACCATGGGACTCAGAGTTCCGACAATGCAAGTGGTTCACGCGCGGCTGGACGCTGCAGGAGCTTCTCGCGCCCGGCGTGGTCGAGTTCTACTCGCGCGATTGGCACAGGCTCGGCGACAGAGCATCCCTAAAGTCTCAGATCCACGAAGTCACAACCGTCCCTTACGACGTGCTCGAAGGAGCTCCGCTCTCTCAGTCCAGCGTCGACGAGCGGTTTCGCTGGAGACAAAATCGGCACACGAAGCTCAAGGAAGATGCAGCGTACTGTTTGTCCGGCATCTTTGACGTCGACATGGCGCCTGTCTACGGTGAAGGCACAGAGGAAGCCTTCAGACGGCTTCATGACAAGATCCGAAGCCAGGAAGAGAGCGTCCGGAAACGAGAGGAGTGCCTTCGCGACTTACGCCCTACCGATCCGCGGAACGATAAGAAGCGCATCGAAGACACAAAGGGCGGTTTGTTGGAGGGCTCGTACCGCTGGGTGCTCGACAATAGCAGCTTCCAGCAATGGCACAACAACCCACACAGCCAACTGCTGTGGATCAAAGGCGACCCTGGCAAGGGCAAGACGATGCTGCTCTGCGGCATCATCAACGAGCTGCAGAAGACGGTCGCTGGGACCGCGTCTGTGTCGTACTTCTTCTGCCAGGCCACCGACTCGCGCATCAACAGCGCCGCAGCTGTGCTGCGCGGACTGTTGTACTTGCTTGTCAGCGAGCAGCCGGCACTCATCGCGCACGTTCGCAAGAGGTACGACCAGGCGGGCAAAAGCATGTTCGAGGATGCAAACGCATGGGTTGCCCTGACAGAGATCTTTGCAGACGTGCTGCAGGACCCGAGTTTGGACATTACCTACTTACTGGTTGACGCGCTGGACGAGTGCGTCACTGATCTGCCGAAGCTGCTCCACTTTGTCGCAAAGCAGTCGTCTGCGTCTTCTCGTGTCAAGTGGATAGTGTCTAGCCGCAACTGGCCAAGCATCGAAGAACAGCTCGGACAGGCAGGGCATAAGGTAAGGCTGAGTCTTGAGCTGAATGCAGAGTCCGTGTCGGCGGCCGTCAGCGTCTTCATCCAACACAAGGTCTCTCAGCTAGCACAACATAAAAAGTACGACATGCAAACTCAGGGCGCGGTGTTCGAACATTTGACGTCGAATGCCAACGACACCTTCCTTTGGGTAGCGTTAGTGTGTCAGGATCTCGAAAAGACAGCCAAACGAAATGTCCTGAAGAAGCTGAACTCTTTCCCGCCAGGCCTGGACGCCTTGTACGAGCGGATGATGCAGCAGATTGGCGCGTCAGATGATGCTGAGCTTTGCAGGCGGGTGCTGGCCTCCATCGCGCTTGTGTATCGGCCGCTCACGCTGGCGGAGCTGGTGAGCCTTAGTGAGCTGCTCGAAGATGTTGCCGACGAAGCAGAGGCGCGGGAGATTGTCGGTCTCTGTGGATCGTTTCTCACTCTGCGAGCAGACACGGTCTACTTCGTGCATCAGTCCGCACAAGACTTTCTCCTTGTGAAAGCGTCCGGCGACATCTTTCCAGATGGCATCGAAGCCGCTCATGGTGTTCTGTTTTCCAGGTCGCTCGCGATCCTGTCAAGGACATTGCAACGGGATATGTACGGCCTGGAAGCACCGGGGATCTCTATCAACGACATTGCACCACCTACACCAGACCCACTAGCAGCGTCGCGCTACCCGTGCATCTACTGGATCGATCATCTGTGCGACTCGAAACCCAAGTCCAGGGCGAACGAGGTCAAGGATGTGCAAGACATGAGTGTTGTCGGTGAGTTTGTAAGGAAGAAGTACCTATACTGGCTAGAAGGTCTCAGCCTGTGCAAGAGCATAGCAAAGGGTGTGGTTTCAATGACAAGGTTATGCTCCCTGAGTCAGGTACGGCTTGTACAGACGCTTTGTCTATCTGTTGTACTTGGTGTAGATGCTAACACAGTCAGGAAGTGCAGGGCGGGGAAGAGCTTACAAAGCTTTTGCAGGATGCTCGCCGATTCATCATGTACCATAAAGGGCCAATCGAGAGCTACCCTCTCCAGTTGTATGCATCTGCACTGTTGTTCAGCCCAACAGAAAGCGCGATCAGAAAGCAGTTCCAGCACGAGGAGCCAGAAGGGGTTACAGTCCAGCCGGCGATGAGCAGCGGCTGGAGTGCGTGCCTGCTGACGCTCGAGGGCCATAGCAGTGGTGTCAGCTCTGTAGCCTTCTCGCATGACTCAACTATGCTAGCGTCAGCATCAGAGGACAAGACTGTCAAGCTGTGGAATGCGAGTAGCGGCGAGTGTCTGCAGACGTTCACAGGCCATAGAGGCACTGTCACCTCTGTAGCCTTTTCGCACGACTCAACTAAGCTGGCGTCGGCGTCATACGACAACACCGTCAGGCTGTGGAATGCAAGCAGCGGTGCGTGTCTGCAGACGTTCACGGGTCATAGCAGCTCTGTCAGGTCTGTGGCCTTCTCGCACGACTCAAGCAAACTGGCGTCAGCGTCAGAGGACAAGACTGTCAAGCTGTGGAATGCGAG